CCGGGTACAGGATCGTCACCTCGAAACAGACTGGGCAAGTGCAGGTACCGTTGTCGAGGACCTCCAGAGGCGGCAAGAAGATCCACCCGCTCATGGTGTTGCTAGATAGTGGCCGACAATCGAGAACAAGAGGTGTGTGTGGCGAAGCCTAGGTGTGGACGTAGTAGTAGAGAGAGGAAAGGATCGACGGAGAAGAATGAGAGGAAACAAAGAGGGAGAGAGGAAAGGATCGAGGGAGAAAAACGAGAGGAAACGAAGACGCGGACGGGCAGAGAATGACATTTATATTTGGTCCAAGGACGAATGCCTGGGGAGACTGATATGTACATTGGTATTCAGACTACTATCTAAAGCGCGACGCGAAGAGCCACGTGAATTGATTTTGTGGGCCTACACGCCGTCACATTGATTTGCGCGTCATCGTTTGTGCCGACACCCGCCGACACGCCGACACGCCGATACACCGCCGATACGCCGACACTAGTTGTTCGGGATTCCCCATCGACCTCGGTCGGCCGAGGCTGTTACTGAGCAAAGCACTGAGGAGAGATAGCCCCGTATGTTGCAGTCTAACCCGCAGGCCACGAACAAGTACTCGAGACCGCCATTCATCCTACGCAACCTTGGCGCAACCGTTCCAGACGGAAGCGGCCGTCTCGATCGGTCGGTAACATGTGCATCAAAATGCGGGGCAAAAGCTTCCGTTGGAAGTCATTCGAGGTCATTCGTGTCGAAGCAACAACGACCGACTTATCTGATCAAGGTCAACATAACACGAAAGGGTGTGCAGCAGGGGTTGAGCAGGAAGGGCAAATGGTCGAACTTCACCACCCAAACTTGTATTTATACACCAAGGACACCACTTTGCGGCGCTATAATACATGGAAGTATCGAGATCCTCAAGCTCCGTTGAGAAGACTTCTGGTCACACAGACGCGCAGAACTGAATTGCCAACAGTTCACGAGGACTGCTGAGCGATGAGCTCAATAATCCTCTCCACAAGACCTCGCATATCCTCGGCTTTCTGCCCGCCGACGGCGAGCACCTCCTCATGAGACGCAGCCCCAACCGTCTCCACCTTCACCGAGCGTCCAGCAAGCTGCGTTGTGACGATGAGTTTTATGCCTCGGCATCCGATAGCGTAGACGCACCTCCGCTTCTACTTCAGCACGGATATCTCTGTACTTCTCGGGTATGACGACCATGTTGGTCACCAAGCTGAGCACGAGCACGTTCATCTTCTCCTCCCGAGCAGCGATAACATCCGGAACCGTGCTCATGCCCACGACGTCTCCGCCCGCCGATCTAAGCAAGCGGCCTTCGGCGGGTGTCTCATACGCTGGTCCTGCAACCCAGGAATACGTGCCCTCGACCAACGCGTCCATCCCCAGCTTCGGAAGCTGGTGCGCTGCTAGGAACGCGAGGCGGCGAAGGGCTGGAGAGTAGGCATCGGATAAAGGGAGGAAGCGAGGGTATTCTGGCGATCGGACTGGGCCGAATGATGGGTTCAACCCAGTGAGGTTCGGCATGCCAAGGTGGTCACGAACAACCACAACTATAGAGAGACTTCAGAGGAAGGAACCGATCGCTGCTCATGGATCTCACCCTTTCCCACTGGGATTTGCGGGTTGAGCGAGCCAGCCGCATTAGTGACTGCGATTGGTGAATACCGAGGCGAGTGGTCCGAGATAATCCGTACTCACTGATAATGTTCTTGACTCCAAGCTTGGACATTACTCGAATGGGGTAGCCCACAACATCAGAGTGGTGGCCCTCATATAGATGGAATCTGGATCAACGTCAAGTTACTGAGCCATAACCTGCAGAACCGGATGAAGACAAACTAAGCAAATCACATATAAGCATTACGCACAAAGAGGTAAAGCGAGACACATTTCACCCGTCCAAGCATGGCCACCACAGGGATGTTCTGCTCTCCAACCATCCCGAACGCGAGGGCGCTCGAATGCCCAACGACTGCACCGAGGTCGTAGATATGAGGGAGTCAATTGCGATCTCACAATGCATAGGGCAATCCTTACTTGAGCTTTCGCCGAATCCTTTTAACTTCGAGTAAGGGACGTGTACAACGGGTTCTTTAAACTCCTTCGCCAGTGTGCTGAGTCCTGATCCGCACACAATACCGACAACTGGCTTTAGTAACCGCTCATCGGTAACATACTGCTTGAGTTGTCCGATAGTCTCGTCCAGCATGACAAGGAGTGGGTATTCAGAGTGCTGTTGTTCAGCCATGTTTCCCGTCGAAGGCGTCTGATGGATGGTATCAGCAGCACGATGGGGAAGCTATGAGATAGCTGCAAGGACAAGAGGGTAGGCGCGATGCGCGCGTCAATCTAGCGGTTGTCCGGAGTCCGGAGTCCGGATTTCGGAGCTTGCTTGAGCTACTGAGGCCCCTATCTTAGTTCCCCTTCCATGGACTTACATACATAGATTACTAAGTCCGCGTCACACAGGCCTTAGTTTTATTTGGAATATTATCCAGCGCATCTATCATTGGGCTGTGTATCGATGTACGTGATCGCAATAAGTACCGTAGAAGATACTGTCCCAAGAGCGATCAGGAAACAAGCCGACTACTCAAGCACGGGAGTGGCTTGATAGCCCACGGCCGTCGGGCCTCTGCTACCAAAAAGCAGGCTAGAGGCTGCCGAACGTCTCAGTGGACTCGTTGTTCTGGCGATAGCGGTACAGCAACGGCATGACCAAGTAACCGGGGTGGAAAATGTTGAGCGTGTACATGCCCAACGTGACCATGCCACCGTCTAGGACGTCTAGAAGAAGTCAATGGTTAACAATATGTTATTGATAGAAGAGGGTCTGCGAGACGTACTGAAGTAGACCTGGGTGGCGATGATACGGCCGTTCCATCCGTCGGTAAGTTCTATCGTGCGGTACACAGCACGAATGAAGAGACAGGTAGTGCTGAAGGCCATGGCGTAGCAGGCAATCTTCATGCGGGGATCCATAGCACCGATGCTGTAAGCGCCCTTGGGCTTCTCCATGTCGCTATGCACCTTCTTGTGGAAGGGCTTGTCGAATGCATAGCGGTAAAAGAACTCCGCGGCAGTGATGATGAAGAGCGTGATGGCGATCATTTGCAGGATGATACCAACGAGCATGATAGTGCCACCCTAAATGCAGATCAGACACGATGAAACGCCAAGTCCTGGAAAGAATACACACAGTGGTAGGATCTTCACCATTACCAGCGGCCATACCAGCAACGGCACCGCCCGCACCCTGAATGGACAGAGAGATCGCATCGCTAGTGACGAAGACGATCATGTACATGCGGGGAGAAAACCTGCTGAAACGGGGACCAAGAGTCTTGATGATGTACTCAAGGATAACAAAATTGGCCGCGATCAAGGGAGTAGGACCGGTGATGGTGGAGGAGATTCTGATTTTGATGTTAGAAGGCACTTAAACTAGGAAAATAAGATGAAACGTACTGAATCTCGAACGGGATCAGAGCACGAGGATTCCCGCTGGAATACAGACGTGCACCCCAACCAACGAGCTCCGCGGTACCGCAGAAGACAGCGGTTGGGAGAATCCACCAGAGGCGGTACTTCCAGGCTTGGAAGAGGTGGACAACCGTCGAAATCGCAAAGAGCGTGACAAATAGGATTCCGACGCTGCGGTCAGGGACGTAGTCGTAAGGCCCGATGCCGGTGTTGCCTCCGGATGCGAGGATATGAGGAAGGGGGAGAGAAACGTTCGTCGCCATTAGAGAATATGTATTCGTGAGCGTGGAGGAGTGTGGAGGCTAGGGAGGATCGTTCTTGTTAGGTCAGTTGGTTATTTCGTTCGTTAACCTGCGCTACCGGAGCACAAGGGATTAGGAGGAAAGTAAAGAAAGACGGGGGACTTTGATAAGAACGAAAAGCCTCTGCACGACCAGCGAATGCAAAGAAAGGATGAACGGCGATGACTGGCACCCACAACTTTCTTGTCATGAACGCAGTGGGGTTATATACCTTTGGGCCTCCCCCGTTCAAAACGGGCAGTGCGATCAGCCAAGCTTCAAAGTACGTACGTCGTCAAGGCGCGGATGCTGATGCCATCATGGCATAAGGGTTGGGGCCGCTCATTGAGAAGCGCGCTGTGGTGTGCGCTGAAACACACCAGCTCCGGTCATCATCGGTGCGCGTTTCAGTAACACAGAGGATAAAGCTAGACAGAAACCTATTGAATATGCTTTCAGCTGGTGAATTCAAGCAACGCTCCGAGTCAAGAAACTTGCTTGAATGCGCACTGAGTCTTGTGCTTTGCACAGGTCAAAAGGGAGGCGCAAAACGAAGGGTGCCGATATGGCGTAGCGCGCGAGCGCCGCTGTGGAGCCAAGGGTGTATTGCGGTCGATTTGGACAATGATTGCAGAGATGAGAAAATGGTAAGCTGCGGTAAGTTATCCAAAAGGGTCAGCCTTGTGTTCTGAAGGGCAGATAGCTCGGCGAAGATCCACCTTTTACTCTAGCCAAATAAGTCGCAATCGAGACAGCAGGGCTACTTTTTGCCTTCAGCGGGGTCCACTGCCTCACTGCACATCAACGATCCTCAAGGAGGCTATGTAAATTTGGGGTAGCCAAGAAAGTCACCGCGAAGAGATACGATGGCTCTTGTATCGCAATACCATTGCGACGCAGTGCATTACGATACAGTAACATGGGTGATACTCCAAGATGATGTTGGTGAAGCTCAAGGTGTGAGAAGTCCGGACCAGCACCCGCGGCGAATGTCAAAGCTCTCTCAACCACACAGCCACCACGACTGGTTGTTTGCATTCCACTCTGACAGGCTTCCCATCACATCATGGTTGGCGGTGTCCGTGACGTTGCAGCACCGAGCGCTTAGTATGCGTTTCTCCATATGCCATGAGACTTTGTCGGGGAAAACGTCGAAGACGTACTAGAGAGGCTGTGGGCTCAAGGTACTATAAGTAAATGGCACCTTCAAAGTTAGAAGAGCCGCGTCCTACCTTGCAACTCTCCGGCCACTGCCAGCCGCTGTCAGCGGACGTGACTTTACCGGATCCTGCCATAGCTTTACTAGCCAATCGATCGTCCATCGATCGTCCCTTCACAACCTCGCGGGCCGTGACCAAGTCCTCAGGAGGTTTTCTTTTTTCGAGTTTTCCAGACGTAGAATTGAGTACCGCATAAACGTGCTGACCCTATTCAGAGCGATCATGAAATGTGCGCGATGGTGAAGCATTCCAGCGAGAAATTCGATATTGCATTGATTTGCGGCGCAAAACCCGGGAGGCAGATAATAGATATGAGCAAACGCGACGATAGGGATATAGGGATATAATCGTGGAGATCTAGGTAAGATGTGATGGAATGAGTGTATAACGACAAGTGCAATGAATAAATACGAGACAATGCTTGAGTCCGACAAATAATGATAGGCAAGAATTAACGGGGGTTAGAATATACCTGGAACCAGTCTAAACGGTACTCGCTCCGCGTACTCCTCCCACTCAATGCTGAAGCGATCGAAGAGGAACCCGTCCTCTACGTGTACGCGCTTTTGTATCTTGAGGCTGAACATCACATTGGTTGCTGCCCATGCTAAGGCGATGAGTGCCCCGGACCACGTCTGTAAGAACCCTGAGGCACGAAGCCACGAGCCCTCGCTCAAGTTCATGATGCAGATGCCCAAGATGCTGAGATACCATCCCGTGTAACTCGGATGCCGGACAATCGAGTATGGTCCGTGAGTCACGAGTTGATGGTCTTTCCTCAGGGCTAGTTGGAACATAAAGTTCTGACCCATGACGAGGAAGCACCAGATGCGTGTGGCGGTGCCTAAAAGCGTAACTGAGACGCCAAGAAGGAAAGCAGCAGGTGGGCGGGAAATGAAGGTGTTGGCGTCATATCGGAGGAGAGACGTAAGTTGGGTGGAATATTCAGGGGGATATCGAGAGAGTAGCACGACAGCTATTTCGATAAGACTTGGTAACATCGCCGCATACTGCTACTTTCAGCAAAATCGAAAATGACGGGATAGCTGACGATATACCTTAGTTGCAGGCGTTAGGAACGCAATCCGGAACCAGTCCAATGTTGATGACGGTGTCTTCACGATCTCTGATCGCTCTGGGGGAGGCGACGGGGGAGTGAGGGAGACGTAGAACGCGAAGGTAGCGGCCAGCTCAAGGCCAAGCTTGAACCAAGTAAAGCATGAGAGCGTCAGGGCGGAATCCATCGTCGTATGGGTGCGAGGGCGAGTCCTACTGATCGGTTATATATACGACCGGCGCCCGTCAAGGATGGGTAAGTAAGCTTACCTTATGTTGCTAAGCAAAGGGAGTGCCTTTCGCAAGCTTTCGGATGCTCACACCGTGGTCCCTTTCAGGCGACTATCACATAGGCACCCGTTTGCCAAATGAAAGGTCCATGTCCGGTCCTATTCTCGGCCCAGTCCCCTCTCGCGTTCCGCCTTCAAAAAACTTTTGCGTCGTTGTTCATCTGGTTGCATATCACGTTAGCACGAGTCGTGCAACGGATCGGAAGAAAAGATCCAGACGTACAACACGTCGACCAGGACTAGTAATTGTTGTTGTCTAAGAGCTTTTGCCCTCGGACATGTCCACGTCGCTTGAAGCAAAACTCCGGAGATAGACAGGGTCACAACTGATGTTGGTCCCTCCCCTGATGTCCTCGTCGTAGACAAGTCACGTGAGACCAACACCTTGCAAAAAGATTCTTCTCGAGATTTGCAAAGTGTCGCATCAGGGGAAGTACCATGTGGTTGTACATCAGAGCGGTCCCGTTACTCCATTGCATCCCTTATGAGAGTGCCTGGAAAATGTATCCCCTAAATGAACCACTCGAGATTCGAGTGCCCAGAGGCCAGTTTGCTATCGAGAGTGGAGGCAAGCGGTCCTCGCCTCGTGGGAGGTAAGGCGTTAGTAGCCTTACCAAATTGCAAGATATCTTAATGAAAAAAGTTTTCGCCCCATCGCAGGACGCCAGCGCTTCGCGGTTACGGTCCCGGCCGCAATGAATGTCGTTCTTGAGAACATCGTAGAAGCTTCAGTTGTCGCATCGGGGACACGAGTACAAACCATTTCTATTGGGAAGGCCTTGTTGATGCTGACTGTAATATAAACACAGGTATTGATTGCGTGCCTGCTAAGTAGGCGTTGCAAGTTTCCTCCTTGACTCTTAGGGACCTGTTTGCGTTAATCTGCGCTATCCAACAGTCTCCGACCGGATGCTGATCTTGGGAGATCCATCTTACCTGCTTTCCAGGTCAGACGAAACGGCTGGTCCGAACAGCTCGGTGGCGGACTCTTAATAGTGTTTTGTGAACACCTTGAGGCTTATGTATGGTGTTGTGTCTTTGTTATTAGTGGTTCGAGTTCTTTCCCCAGTAGGCTAGTGGTGCCCGCGGTCCGGGTAACGCAAGAATATTAATCAAGTCGTTAGCTATAGATTAGGGAGACGTTTATTACCAGTCCCAATCTTTTGGTGTCAGTGAATCAAAGAAGAGGCACTGTATGCAGCACGGTCTGGTTGGCGGGTTCAGGCAGAGATGTGATTCACTTGAAGACGCGTTCAAACTTGGGTGACGTCGCGGATATCCAGCCCCCATAAAAGCGGGGAACTTACATAAAAGCAAGACTACACGTGATAACGGCGCGGTTTACGCGCCCTGTCGTTGTTGACGCCGCCATCCTCGCGATAATCCTCACCTCCCGAGTAGATCATTTCCTTGCTTTCAACACCCGTAAACGTCTATTCTGCACAACCGGGAGGACCTCACAAGCAAAGGGAGGTTGGAATGAACAACGTTCTGAATCATGGCACCGTCTGACGAAGGCTCGCCACTCTATGGCGCACGGCTCTAGCCGACGTCGGTTGTACGTACACACTAACCCAAAACACAGGGCCAATTTAAGTCAACCTCCGTCGACCAAGTCTGCTCTTTCCTCAGTCGACAACAGCACATTTCACCGAGATGTTGCTGCGGCTCATCCCTCCCTCTCCCCAGCCGACTGTCCTCTACACACTGGGCTTTGCCCAATCGCTACCTCTCCCTTTACCTCGCGCGTGGTCGGCTCAGCATCAGCTCCTTACCTCCGTCCTTGCCTTGCCTGCGCCGGTCTCTATCCATGCTCTCGATAGGTCTGCTTCGTTGGTCGCGCTTGCTCACGATGTCAGCTTAGATGTTGCTGCCCTTGAAGTGAGGGTCACGTTTGTGGATGGACGTCTTGTTACTCTTCCTATGGAAGATGGGCTTGTGCGTATGCTGGAAAATGTTATGGCCGACGTCCGGCGGTCTTCGGGTGATAATTGCAGCGACGCGGACACGAACGAAGAAGAATGCAGCACGCGGAGCAGCTCCCCCACCGCATCACCACTTACGATCTTCAAGAAGCACAAGCGTCAACGTTCTCTTCTGTTGTCTCTGATTTCGTACGTGACATATACCCTATGCTTGCCCCGTTCTTCTTTCAATGGGGTTTCGATTGATGGTTCCTGCCTAGTAGTGCCATCCCAAGAGTTATACTTGGCCCGCCTACACGTCCGGCTACACCTCAACCTCCGAGCTCACCAACGACGCCGACAACACCAACGCGCTCGTCTACCCCTTCTTCCCTATCTAAACCCGCTGTACTTCCTCCGCGCCCCTCGGACCCAGACGAGAACATGGACGCTAGCGCTCTCCGCCGGCGTGCACGTTCAACGCTCGTTGACGCTTGGAGAAGGCATGTGCAATCCGCCATTGTCTCTGGCTTTTCCGAAGAGCGAGCGCAACTCGTTTCCTTTCCCAATGCAGGCTATATTGAGTGGGTAGTACGCGGCAGGATGGACGAAGTCCTTATCCAGATGGCACAGCTTCGGACCGAAGGCCGCAAGTTCTGGTTGGAACAGCGGTCGAGACACAACGCTTCTGCAGGTCGAGAGCGCGAGGCACCCCCTCGCCTGATCACGTCCGCGTCTCCTGTTGATATCGCCAACAAGAAACGCAGCAAAAGTGTGCGTGTGGAGGAGACGAAAGTTCCTCCTCGCGAGCGCGCCAGGGCCAAATCGCGAAACCGCATACCGTCGCCCTTCCCGCGCGACGCGGATTCGGATGACTGGGGTATCAAAGATGGACGTTCGGGCTCAGAGGAAGTACGCGCGATGCAGTCGCCGTCTCCTCCTCTTACCGCACCCGACGACATGGCTGACCTTCTGACGTATGATTTCGAACTGGAGCTACCGGCAACTGGAGAGGGGGATGATTTCAGTCACGACGACTACAAGCTCGAGGTTGTGGACCCTTTCCGTCTCCAAAGGTCAAGCCCGAGGGATGCTAGGAAGCAGAAACTCAAGCAGCGGTGGGAGATTGGATACACCGGGACTTGTGTATGCCTTTGTACTGAAGAAGGAGCGTGTGGATTGGTATGCGAGGATGACCGCGAGTGTCAGTGTGGAAGTGAGGATGGTGCGTCACGGTTTCATCCTAGACTGGTCTTGTTTTCAATACTACTCCAGCCTCCACGTCGTGCGTGGATAAGCGGTCTTCCCTCGACTCCTCTGAAAGTGAGACGTCGGTTAAGACGCCCCCTGACGAAGGCAACGGTGTACCTATTCCTCTGCCTCTTCCCGCACATCTCGCGAGGGCCAAGAAGGCTTTCAAACGCAGCTTTTCCAAGCACGGAACCAGCAGCTCGCCTCGTACACCTGGGAAATTCTGCCAAGTCAAACTCCCCACTCACCTCGCGACTCGCTATAGCATGCTTACAGGGCAGCTGTCCAGCCTCCGCAACGCCCTGATTGTCATTCGCATCCGCGCCGAGGAGGAAGCCTGGCAGATCGTCCGGCCATCCGTCGTTAATAGGTACGATCCACTCTGCGGCGAATGCGCGCGAAAACAGCCAGTGACGTACACAACGGAATTTTCAATGACCCCTACGCTGATGGATCTCGAAGAACGGGCTCGTCGGCGCGCCTGGAGCAATGGTATTACCATGGATGCCTATAGGGTTGCGCACCGGATCGCAGACATCCGTTTGGTCACGAAAGAATCTGGCCCACCGAAGCCTCCTCCCGGGCTTGATGCATGTGGACCGCCGTCTTATGACGAAGCCATTGCACGCTCTCCGCCTTCCTTGCGTCCAATTCAGCCGCGAGGCATCGAGATGGGCGTCCCGATTGCTAGCTCCCCCCTCACCTGCTACATGTGGAATGCTGAAGACCTCGCAGCAGAGGGCTACACGCTTGATTACGACGACGTAGAAGATGATGATGCTCGAGACATTGGTAGCCGCTTTATCGTCGAAGACGTCGCGGTCAAGCGCGAGCGTAAGAGCTTGCGCCGCACAAGCAGCCGCCCTCAGCTATTCACCGTCTGTGAGGAAACTGCCTCGGACACTGAGACTGAATGTCAGCTCCCCTCTTCCGAAACCCGAACTTGCTCTTCCCCCGAACGCGAACCAGGCGAGATAGGCGCGACTTTTGCAACTACCGCAATGGAGTTCCCTCACGACGCCTTCGATGAAGATGATCTGGAGAACGGAGGATACCTTAACTCGTCGGACGATCCGATCCATTCATCGCCGCCGCCGCCCATTACCGAATGTCGTATTGACGAGGAGCGTGATGACGGCCCATTCTCAAGCTATACTCCTGCTCAAAACTCGACTTCGGCACGTATACATGGGGGGTCGTCGACACCTGATCTGACCAGTCTTTCAAGCCCTGCCCTCCCAGTATATAGGCCCACTCCGATTACTCCGAAGTCCGCGGACGAGCTCCCCGGTCGCCTGGATGCTTCGGCTCTTCTTTTCCAGCCTCTGAGTCAGTTTGCATCCGAGCCAGGTTCCACCGCCGACGACACAGGTGCACCTGCTCGCCGTGTTCCCTCTACCGCGTCTTCAGGTCGCCGCGATCGCATTCATTCACTACCTATAGCGTTCAAGCCCTCCTCGAATGCTCACGATCTCTCCCGCGAGTACGCTCTCCCTCCGCCTGAGTGTTCTTCTGACGATCCTGCCACTGCCTTTACAACTGATGTCGCACCGGTGCCTACCTTTCCGTACGCACACATGCAGGTCCACCACAAGAAAGACGGGCAGGACAGGCACCGCCGATCAGAGGAGGGTTCCCTAGTCCCCGACGGCGATGACATCTCCTTAGGGCTCGACATCGCTCTCGGACGCGCCGAAGAGGGCCAAGCCGAATGGTAATTAACGACTCGATATGACTCGAAGCAAAACCTCGCATCGCGCACTACGTGTTCCAATGCGTGGCCGGCAACGATATCCGTCCCGGCCCCTAGATGTACATATTTTTCTTGCATTTGCATAGCACCCCAATAATCGTAGGCACTCCTTTGCTCGCTGTTTATGGAGAGCTGAAGACTGACTATTATCATTTTCTTAGGCCAAACACTCATTTACATAATCCAGGACCTCGCACTCATTGCCGCATTCATCTGCTTCCATAATGCCCCCTTCACGTACAGACATTGACTCGGCATATCTAGACTGCATTTACATTGACGATCACTACCATCATTGTTTGGACGCACGACGCATCTCCCATCCTTTCCTTCTACGACTTACATTCTCGCCGCTGGCTTAGCTTCGGCATCTGTGTATACTTTATAAGTCGCTCGCCATCGTCTTGCTGTTGACTCGCCTAATCATGTCGCGTGGCCATGTTTATCACGCTGCGCTCTCGGTCATGTCACTTGCAATACGTTGATTAATATCAGTTTCATGCACGGAGTGGACTGTGTCCGAATAACTGACGAAGAATCTGCGTTTGTACATGTTACATGTTTCTGTGTCAAATACATTAATACACCCCTACGCGACCGCAGAGTTGAGGTACTACTCGTACCTAGCGCGTCACTCCGTATGCGGTACTCCCCCTCCTGGTATCTAAAACTTGTGTTTCTAGCGCCTCCGAGTCCAGCTTGGTCAAGCCCCTTGTATATGATCCTCAGTCCCTCATAGTGCTCCGGATTTATTGAAGTGAGATGATTGGGACCGGCATATGACGTTTCGCATCCCAGGGTGGCTCGAGCGTCGACAACACTGGGTTTCGTCATGTTTGATAGCAACAGTCCAGAAATCTTCTTACACCAAGGTAGCGTAGCATCGGAGGTGCACTCTGGCGCACCGGGAGGATCGTGCAGAGCCCCTCGGAGATTTTCTAGCTAACATTATTGCCAACAGTACTCCACACCACAAACGCGTCAAGTACCGCGAGGGAGGAGTCCGAGTCGGATCTGCACGGTGCACACACCCACCGAAGTACTCGGGCTCGCAGATCATCGCAGCGGATATGATGCCCGGATGACTCGCAGTGCTTGCACCAAATCGGATCCTACGTTGAACGTTGAACATTGACCGTTTGAGAGGAGATGCGGCTGCCACCTGCTGCACTCCGCTGCAGCATTCAAGTTGGCATCAACTGTTCAAGATTCTCAGCACCAATGACGTTGACGTCGTTGATGTGGTGCTATCGTTATGACCGCCGTCCGACAGTGGTACACCAAGGCTTTTTCTAGACAGTCCACTTCCCAAATGGATGTTGGAGCGAGCGTAGGCGATGTCGAGGGGGTTTTCGAAGGGCATCATGGTCGGCGCCGTCGATGGGTGTACAAAGGGAATCGAGCGGCGAGTAACGCCGTTATGGTCCATCCCAGTCTCGAAGTCCACTTACTGCTAGTACCTGGTCGTTGCTCCTCGGAGCCACCTTTGCCATAATTGCCAGGCCCGGACCGATCGTGTTACCTCTGTATTTAATATTTTCAAGATGCCCACCACCAGGTGGAGCTCCCAGAAGACGATCAAGTGAGATTCTTCCAAAATCAGGCTGTCTAGATCAGTGTCATCAACCAAGGTGCTCGTACGGTGGAGGAGTCGAGGGTAAATGTCTCAACACCATGGATGAAGCCTATGAATTCGTAAACGATGCGCAACGACGACTCCACCCCGCGGACACGGTCTCCGTCTGCTAACATGGATCACGACCAGTAGGGCCGCCAAACCGAAGGAATGTCGGCGCGGACGTACCCATAGAGATAGTTCTCAGATGGATAGCCCTTGAATAATTACTGGCTCGAAAAGGAATTCGAAATGTCGAAGAGGTGGCGATCGGAGGGGACGAAAAGGCAGGGTTCCAAAGCAGTAGAGCAAGTCCAACTGCACGAGGTTTGACACATGTGGCAGAACTCGGCGTCCGCACACCGAACACGTCCGAGTAGTGGCGAATCGGGCTCAGCCCAGTGACGTCAAAACCAAGAATGAGGCCTGCATGCCTGATCACGAAAGTGCCAAGCGGGGTACGAGGTCAACGCACGTATATGTCATTTGTCCACGCTTCCTTCATCTAAGGAGCAGCGCAATTGGGCCATACCAAGGAAGATGTTTGAGTAAACGCAGGTCGACAGACACCCGGTGCTGAGTGAACACGCACAGCTGCTACCCTATTCGCTCCCGGCCTCCGTCGTCTCGTCACACAATTTTCATCCGCATGGTGAAGGTAAAAATTGGACATTATTGCTGTGCCCTGATAGCATCCATCGACATCGGATAGTGCGTAGCATAATTCATCCTGCATAATTGACGTCGCGTATGGGGCGATGCTCACAACTCTTGCGCGGATGTACAACATATGCGATGAGCCTATTTGGTGGTAAACGAGTGCCGAAACGGGTTGATAGTAGAGGGCGATAAGAGACGTACGAACGCAAAGTCCGACCGAGCACAGTGACCCTGGAGCTGTCAGCGCCCAAGAAGAAGCGAGTCTCGGGACGTCGGATAGTAGTCCTCCGCTCGGAGAAGCCAGATCTACATCCAGTGCTCCGTGCGTCGCCGGTGGGGGGGCTGGGGACCCAAGATGTTTTTGTCGTCGGCCACAAAGCGGTTCCGGCAAGTACGGACACATGAGCGCGAAGTGTGCGAGAATCTATTCATACGTCCCGCATTCTGGAGCGAGTTTGGGTTGAATCTCACAAAGAGGCGCTCGTTCCGGGCGGAGATCGCGTCGTGCAAAGATCTTTTATGTTGTATGGTGTTCTAGATCTCGAAACATAAGCATGGTAGGGACGACGGTGAACGAGCTTCTTTTTCTTCTCGTGGACAGAATGAGATTGACCGGGAGACTCTATCGATTATTGCCGGGCAAGCAGGTGCCAAATATAAGGGAGGCGTCATCCTAAACTAATTTCCGCTCCGACAGCCCGACAGAGCCCGACTCGTGGTCGTATTCGATGTACAAGTTTGACTTCGGTTGATTCGCGTAGTCGGTCCGCCGAGAGATGGAACGTTATTCGGTTCATGAGGATCTTGTCATAAGGACGTCCACAAAGCGGCCGCGGAGGCAGAAAGAAGAGAGCTTGCAGTGTTTAGAGAGCTGTACGGCGCCGCGCGGGGGAGGCGATTAAGGCTGATAAAGGGTGGTAACGCAGCAGGATGACAGTGGTACGAGTGACGATCAGCCAGGCACGATCCTCGATTTGGAAGAGAAGGAGAGTAAGATTTCCTAAAAGCGGAATGAGCGGCAACGGCCCATCTGATCGCCCGGTTAACGCCACAGCATGGCAGGGCGTGGCCTCGTTTCCTCCGAGCATCAAAACATGGAGTCACTGCATCGTACTCGCTCGTCACCAAGTGACGCACCTATATAATTTGCCACTGCTTCTGTCATGCGGTATCGCTCATATACCCCTCTCCCATGAAGTCTGCTACAGTGGCCCTTGCTCAGTCCGACCTCTTCCAGACACGCTCCGAGCTCCTCACCCGTGCTGCTCGCGTAGATCTTGCATACGACAGGGCAAAAGCTATAGCAGACACCATAGGTACGTCGTTAACGTCTACACCTTCCGTGGTGCTGACGCGACCGTTGTCAGGACTTAGCTTCAACGATATCCTTAACCTCACGCCCAAGTTTTGGGAGACTCACCTTGACCCAATCTTTGCTTCCGATGCTGCTGCGACCACTTTGCTCACTATCCAGTACAACTTGGTCGCTGGTACCCTTGCAAAGTTCGCCGCCTCGGACCGGCCAGAACTCATTCCCTTGGTGCAGGACATCATCGCGTATAGAAAAATGTGAGTCTCCATCAGCCCTGCTCGTTGTCCTCACTGCTCACTACGACCTCAGTGGCCAGTTCTGCCTCACCGAACTCGGGCGGGGCCTAGACATTTATAGAATGAAGACCATCGCGACGCTTCTCCCATCAGGGGAGTTCGACCTTCATACACCAACACTCAACGATGCCAAGTACGTGTAGCCCACACCTTGTGGTCTTTCTGTGCTGATAAACAAAACTCAGATTCATGCCGCCCACTGTGCCTATCAAAGGCATCCCATGCATAGCTGTCGTCTTCGCCAAGCTCGTCGTCGACGGCGAAGACCGCGGACCGCGTCCCTTCCTTGTCCCACTCAATGACGGATACTCGATGTGCAAAGGCGTGACGTCCAGGTACGCATCATCATCGACCTGCTTCCGTCGGAGCAGCGCCCTGACAGCCATCTGCCAGACTTCTCCCTCCGCGCGGCGGCTCCACACCCGTCAACCACGCGCTCACCTCCTTCACGCACGTCCGCCTGCCCCCGTCCGCGCTCCTCGGCCAGCTCGCCAAGCCCGAGAGCACGCACGCCGAGTTCATGTCCCAGATCTGGCGCGTCGCCGTCGGCACGCTCTCCCTCTCCTCCCCGACCATCATCGCCCTCCAGGTCGCGTCCTTCGTCGCCGGCAAGTACTTCCAGCGGCGGCACGTCACCGGCCCGATGGGCTCGCCCATGCCCATCATCGCGTTCCGCACACAGCAGCAACCCCTGTTTACCGCGATCGCGCAGTCGTACGCGCTGCGCGCGATGTATCGATGGGCGATGCCGATTTTTACGGACCAGACGATCGACGTACGGGCGCGGCATGGTGTGGCCACGTGCTGCAAGGCTGTCATGGTCCAGCACGCGCAGGCGGCGAACATTGCGCTGTCTGAGCGTCTTGGGGCGCAGGGTCTTTTCGAGTATAACCGGATATCGCTGAACTGGGTGCGTTCGTGACCTTTCTTTACCGTTTGACAAGGTCAAACGTGTCTTACAGAACGAGATACGCGGGATGACGATCGCCGAAGGCGACGTGCTCGGTAAGTCATTGCACGATTGACTATTAATGGACCTCGTTTGCTCATGACCTCATGTTCTTCAGGACTATCAATGCGTACGTTCAAGTCAATCGTCACTTCCCAAAACCATCCTAACCTGTGACGCATGACGTCTCACCAACAGATCTCGTCACCGACCTGCTCATGCAAAAGTACTCCATGCCCGAACCCGCTGACCCTTCCTCGCTTCTCGCGCAGCACGAATCCGCGCTCTTCGAAGATGCTCTAAACGCGTGCACCTCCGCGCCCGACTTCATCCAGGGCTACATGTCGCACGTGCAGCCGAACGCACAGCGCATGACGGAGGCCATGGGCTGCCGCATGGCGTACGAGGCCGCGCGCGCGCAGGGCGTGCCCGCGTGCCTCGCGGACCTCTACCTCGTCGCCGCGCTCAAGCTCGACGCGGCGTGGTACGCCGAGAAGGGCGTGCTCGCGCGCGCGACGCTCGACGATATGGAGCGCAGCGCGCTCGATGCGGCGATGCCGCGCCTGAACGAGTTTCTCGACGATATGGGCGTCGAGCCGTATGTTACGAGCCCGGTCGTCTCGGACGACGCGTGGTCGAGCTTTGCGCACTCGTTGCCTGCGTACACGCACCGGCCGGTGCAGGAATCGTTTGAGCTGGAGCGCGCTAGACTATAGATTCTGTGATTCCTGTTTTCCTTTGTTCGCTTTTTCGTTTATTTTGCAGATGTTTTGGATGCTTTCAGGATAAATAATGTTATTTCAGACGCTACACAAAGGTCCACCACAGTATGTATCACCACGCAGTACCACCCACTCCTTTCTTCACTTCCTCCGTTACATAGTCATCTTGCTTCCCTCCCTTTGGACTTTTCAGCTTTTCATTAGATGTACATGATACCCGCGTAATTCATTTACCACCCATCATCGAATAACTTATTACCGCATCACACACTTTCTCTGACTATTCCTTCCTTTGAAATGGTCATCAACGTTGTAATTATCTGGTGTGTTCTTGAGCTTATCTTACACAACCTCTCCATGCAGTCCATATGGGCATGCGGGCTCATTGCCATCACAGACTCCGGGAGTTGATATCGCCTTTAAACTTCCTCCGGCGAGTCGCTCGCCGAATGGCAAACCGGTGAGCTCATATTGGATCTTGACCGTGACGTCGGCGGACTGCGACTGCGGTCCGTGATGCCTCCGAGTGAGGACATGCGTAAGCTGGATCATCAGCGCAATAATATTATTTATATGATGACGTCGGCGATATTTCGCAAGATCACTCACTCCGGCTTTATGCACAGAAAAAAGTCATCGCAGCCTCGAGAGCTGTGCTTGATGCCAATGAACATGTCGATATGCACGCACAGGCTCAGACTGGTCTAGTGCCGAGTGATGAGTCCTGAGTGAGTCGACCAGATCATTACTCCGAGTCCGACCAGCCCCCGCACGTGTGTACGGACTGAGGTTGGAAGATTAATAATCCTCCGCCACTGTCACTCAAGTTCCTGGAAGGTGCGATCATCATGATCGCCACTGAGCGACTTGATCGCCAAAATGATCGGTGTCAGAAGCTAAAATAACCATTTGACATGCCGTTGTTAAACCAACCAGGGCCAGTACTGCCTGCCCTATGTAGTGGAAACGCCCATATCGCGGTGGCGTGCCTCGGTTCTCTCACTGGAAGGAGGTACATCACAGAAAGTGCGGCCGGACAATCGACCACTGTGGCCGTTGTCAGAACCGGGTTGACCTTATCATGCATTCTGAGAGATTACATTCGTATACGAGCTCTTGTAGAATATATCGGAAGTCTGCAGAATTCGAATCGCGTCTGCAAGGCGCTGTGAAGTTCATGCTCGAATTGTAACGCAATGTGAACTTTGTCTAAATGGGGTGTCGTTTGACAAGGCATCAAGTTAGCTTGTCATTATCACTCTATCTATGTCGCTGCCTTGCCAGAACCGTGTATGTTTGACAAGACTACTCACACACCAACAACGGGCTTGTACGCGCTGGCGCACTACTCCGGGCTGAGGTTAGGGTTAGTAACCCACAAATGAACAACTCATGTTTCTGACAGCGTGTGAGGTGGGTTTTGGTTTTTGGGGCCAAATACAACATGTGCTGTAAAAGGGAAGCCGCCCAGAACAAGTGTTCTGCCCAAGAGCGTTTTCCTGTATGTGTGACAGCACATATGGAGCGAAGAAACAACAGGGACTCGAAATTAAAGAGATAATTGACAGCGTCGCGAATTCAATTTCAGACTCCGAGGACAAATACGGCAACTCCCCTATATTCTACTTGCGCGACCATCCAAAATCAACCACACAACACAAGCCAATATATATACTGTATAGCGTAGATTCATTATCCCAGAATGTCTGAATGCAGAAGACAGCTCATGACGGTTCGGGAGGTTCGGGAGAAGCAAGAGAACCAGAGAAGCGGGAACGGGTGAAAGGACAAAAGGGCGTAGAAGAAGCAGAAGGACTTTGGAATGCCAGAGTTTCTGGTACTTAAGAGACGGGCATCTCTCGCCTGACTTCGTCTCACCGCCAACCTTCTCCCCGCCATGATGCACCACCCTCTTGCCACCTGTCACCTATTATTATTATCACTATTATTATTATGTTATGTGCATTTCTTGCGCGCTTAGTCATGTACACCTCGCTTTGTATGGGCCTTATGCTCACCTCCGCTTTGTGTACTCCCTTGCATTGTCAGCGGCTACCCTCTGGGTACCCTTCTCTTAGTAATCACGTATTATTGCTGTCGTACATTAGTCGGGTTCAAGTATGATATGACAATGCATGACAATAAGAAGTGTGCTATAATCGTAATTTTTGGCTCATAAGAGGTGTGATTAATATATGGCCACTGTACTCATGACGTTGCACCCAGACACAGTCACTATGCCACCTACAAGGGCCACAGTGCCTGTAAGCAGACCCAGCCTTGTAACATCACTCGGGTGTTGACACGGTCGCTTCAACTTCTGTCAAATCCTCCTCATCTTGTCAAAGTTGAAGCTGCTTTGTTTGACTTGTGAGGTACCCTAAGTTACTCCGGCTGCTGTGACCCTTGTAAGCAATTATGGACCTTATTGTTGGCATGTAAGCCCAGCGCACTTTTAGTGATGTATCCACTGGCAGAGGTATCCACAGTTGCCCAATACTCGGTCGGATGAATAATTGGCTCGGGCTCTGGGTTCGGTCCTGAACTTGAAGAAGCTGAGCTGGAAGCGTAAACCTCCTCGAGTGAGGTCGACTGTCATCTGCAGCTGGTGCCGTGCTCCTGGTGCACGGTGTCACGGGCATGTCGGACAATATTGTTTGTGCAGATCTCCAGCCTGCGGGTCTTGAAGCCAGCACTCGCGTCCCGCGGCCCCGCGTCACGGTCTCGTAAAAACTGGAAGTCATGAGCAATTTAAACCGCTACGTAGGTATCTGCAGTCCATATCAGCCAAAAATTCTTCACAATGTGCATACGTGACGTCGGTTGGTGATATATGATATCTGACCGTTCTGACGGCGAGATACAAATGCCTGGCGTCATCTTCGAGAAGGATACCGGCGCCTATTGCTCTGTCCTCTGTCCTCCGCGGATCGCCGTACTACTCATTAAAATATTAAACGCCGACGCACGGACCCGTACGTCCTTGAGTGCCTATCTCAATTCCATATCAACAACAAGGTGCAGCTGCGCAGGACAACATTCAAGTGGCAATAAACATAAAGCACGTAGGGTACCGATAGCTAGACCAGCAAGCAATATATATGTGATGGCGAAAGCGTAGTATGCATACATACATGTACAACCAAGAGACTCAAAAGACCAAGTCCAGTTAACGAAGCGGGTCAACGTCCCTTTCTCGCCTTCTTCTTCTCCTCCTCCTCCTCCTTATCAACATTGGCGATTACATCCACACGCACCCCCTTTCCAACGGTGATATACTCCCACTTCCCGCCCCTCCAAGAAACCCTTAAGAAAAGGACAAGCCGAAGACGACCGGCACACAACACCAGCGCCGACGCCGTCACTCACGTGCTCCGCGCCTTCTGGTCCTTCGCCTCGAGGCTCACCTTCTGCAGCTCTTCCGCGACACCCTCACGCGGGCTCGACTGCGCATCCTCGCTCGCCTTCTTCCCCGGCGGCGTCTGCCCGTCAAACGAGCGCAGCGTCTTATCCGTCTCGCTCGGATTGTCGATCGAGATATCGTCCACGCGCTTCGCCTCCTTCGCCTCCGAGTGCGTCCGCGAGTGCGCTTGTTGGTGGTGGTGGCCGCTCCCGTCCGCGTTGTGGTGGTACGCGACGTGCATGTCCTCCATCACCTCCTTCTCCGACTCCTGCTTGTAGTTGTACACCTCCTCGTTCAGCCGCTGCGCCTCCGGCGACATGTGGTGCGCCAGCGTCGACATGCGCTTCATCGCCATCATGCCCAGCACGGCTTTGCGGACTGCGGGAACGCGTCAGCGAGTCACGCGTCGATGATGGCGATAGACAACTCACAGGTCTTGCGCGCATCGAACGCCTTTCTGACGTGCGGCAACAGATCCTTCGGCTGGCCCGTCTCGTTCTCGACGAAGTGGGGCTGCTCGGCGGTGAGCCATGGGTGGTTGAGACAGTCTGCGAGCACATAACAAAAAAGGGGGTCTTCAGTTGCCCATCGACTCCTCACAACACGAGGACGCACCTTCCGCAGTAGGCCGTGACTGCGGGTCAATGGTGAGACACTCCGAGACAAAGTCTTTGGCAGTCTTGGACACGTTCTCCCAGTATTCCTCTGGTATACGTTAGCAACGGGGGTACAGGAAACGTTAGCTGAGGACATACCCGGCTCAAACTTGAAGTCCCCAGCAAGGATAGCTTCCATCTCCAAGCGCTGGTTCTCGCGATCGAACGGCGTGTAACCTAAAATAGAGTCAAAGCATCAGACAGAACACGAAACAAGGGGGTCATGATCCGTACCGGCGAGAAGGAAGTACGCGATAACGCCCATAGCCCACACATCGACGGGCTTCCCGTGGCCGGCTACACACTCGTTAGCAACAACGCAGACTCAAACCTGATAGACGTACTCTTCTTGAAAATCTCAGGGGCCATATACTATGGTATGTCTGATGAGTACATTACCGCACGTCAAATCAGAGCCTACACTCACCCCTGGCGTTCCACAGATCTCAGTCAGCTGGCTGAGCTTGTTCTCTGGCATAACGCGGCTCAGGCCAAAGTCGGCGATCATGATCTGCTCCGTCTTCTCAGGTTTTGAGCGGAAGAGCAAGTTCTCGGGCTTGAGGTCTGCAACGCGTCGGGTCAGCGACAAGCGGCGAGGTGCGCAATGGCGGGAGCGACGAACCCCGGTGGACGATGCCGCAGTCGTGGATGTACTTGACTGCGCGGAAGATGTTGCGGACGAGCTCGGCGGCGTCGCTGTGTGGATGTGGAGATATGAGCACGGAGGTGTGGTGGGTATGCATATAGCGTGGTGTGGCGCGGCGCACTTACGCTTCCGTGTACTGGCCCCTAGCGCAGATGCTATCAAACAGCTCACCGCCCGTGCACAGGTCGAAGCAGAGGTAGAGGTTATGCGACGTCTGTGGCAAACGTGAGTGATCCTAAGCGCCGGTGTGGTGCACGTACGTGGCGGGCAACGCACCTCGAAATAGTCATGCAGCGTGACAATGTTGGGATGACCGCTCGATATTCTCTTCAGAACCGCGATCTCATTCCGGACCTGCAGAGGGAACGGTATCAGCATCGGCGCAAGTTTCGCGTTTCATTCGAGGAAGCAGCACGAGAAGGGGGACAAAGGGAGATAGCCTGAGAATGGCCTCGTATCCATCACAGCCCCTATGATAGATTATCTCGCCCATCGACCCTCGCGATCACGACCGAGACGCCCGTCGAGAAACGAGACACGTTTCGGGCATGCCCTTTGCCACGGCGTCTACAGCTCCCCGCAGGATGCTGCGCGGTGTACGGGCGGGGGGAGGTAGGGGCCAAGGTGAGAAAAGGAACATACCATGTACTCCCGGCCCTCCATGAGCTTCTTGTTGATGACCTTGCAGGCAAAGTACTCGCCGGTTTTGATGTGGATGGCCTCCTTGACGATGGCATAAGTGCCACTACCAAGCGTTCGCCCGGTGCGATACTACATGGGCGGGGCGCAGCGATCCGTTAGGATTTACAATAGATGCCGTCGGGGCCACGTCGTGGGGCGGGGGTGTCATTAGATGATCGCGGATCGCGAATGGGGGGCGTAGACGGGAATGTTCCAAAGGAAAAATGAGAAAAAGGCAAAAAAGAAGAAGCGAGGGCGGTCAGTGTCTCTATATCGGGCGAAAGCCAAGGAGAGGCGTCGACTGACCTGGCAGGGCACGGTGGTGGACTGGGCAGGCGCCATCGGCAGCGGAAAAGGGGGCGGAGCGGGCTAAATGGAGCGGATAAGAGAGAGAGATTGTGAGCAGCGATCGCGTCCCGAGTGCAGACAGCAAAAGAGAGTCGGGGCGATGGTCGCGAAGGAGGTCGATAGGGAAAAGGAGCACGGAGGATGTCAGATGCCGGCGTACAACCAGACGATCTCGTGTTACCACCAAAGACACTCACCTGCTGCAGCCCACCCACGGCGTTTGCCGCACCTATTATCTCGTCTGCTGCCGGTGGCGGTACAACAACTCCTTGAATCGACCCCGGCCCGCTCGAGCACCCCGCTGCGCTGCCCCCTCCCCCAACGAGCGGCGGTGTCTTCGAGTCCACAGAAGCCCCCTTGGCGGTCAGGAACGACGAGCTCTTCACAGACGACGCTTTCGACTCGCGCTCGTGTCGCTGTTTCCGCTCCTTGACGTGCTGGCTGACGTTTTGCCCCATCGTTCAACTTGCCTAAACGAGCGTTTGTGCACACACTGAGCTGGAAGAGCACAGAGAACAGAAAGACGAATACCCTTGCTTCTGGCGTGCAAGGGCTTTGTACGTAGTGGTACTGGACAGAGGAACGGGGACGCTGGAGAGCCGAATGCGGATAAGGGTTGGACGGTTGTACAGGCCGTGCTGTCAGTGCGTGCCCTCCACTGGAAGGGTTACTGCCTCTTCGGCTTACGTACACTGCCACCCTTCAACCGGGCGCTAAGCCACTTATTACCTCTCGACAATCACACCAGCGGACTCCAAGCTTCCATACTTCACTTCACCCCTGTGATTCCTCCGCTGCGGTTTCGATGCACAAGGCTGTTCGCACCGTCCACATCGGCGTTGCAGCATCGACCCTATCCTTTACCGGCTGCGCAGATCGGCGAAGGTGGACGCAGGGCCAGGGTGGACGCCCACTCTGACGGTGTTTCAAAATGTTTCAGGTTTTGGCTCTTTTCTAATGATGTGCCTACATCCGTCTCGTTTTGTGACGGGCGATAGTAAGTAGTTACAAGGCTCTGCTCCTTCCATCTGTTGCGCCCACAAAATGTGCAGTAGCGAGTGATAAGTAGCTGCAAAGTTTGATGAACAGTCCGGTACGGTAGAGATGATGTATATCATCGCGTGCCCACAACGCTCGCAACGAAAAAAAAACATCAGACGTCTTCATCTCCGAGCGATTCACAGCATCTCCACAACACTCATACTCAAATTCACTCAATCACACATCAGACAAATGTTTGTTTCAAAGCACTTCAGCAGAAGCACACGAAATCAATTTTGACCTTTGAGAGCGCAAGAAACCCGAACCGAACAAACTTGTGTACAGTAGAGTAATCCGACAATATTTAGTAAATAACGTAGGAACCAAGTGAGGAAGGGAAAAGGGAAAAGAAGCGAGGTATAGAGAAAGAAGAAAGAAGAGACAAGAGGACTGCGTAAACCTAAGATGCAAGATGAGAGGTGCAACGGCAACAATGAACAAAAGATCCAAAGAAAGCAAAGAGAATAAGAAGAAAAGGCGGGCACGCGCGTCAGGTGATACGCGTGCTGTAGTATTTTACATCATCGTACAACGTCGCCTTTCTCTTTTGCAGCCATCATCGTCCAGGAGGCAGAGCGTGAACCCCTCAGAGCGGCGGAATCTGCGTGCCAGTCGCCTTGCCGAGGGCAAGGAGCAGCACCTCCCACGCGGTGATGAGCACCTCCCAGAGCTTATCGTCGCTCGTGCCGAGCGCGCACGCGTTCCGCCAGACAGCGTTCACGCGGTGCAGGTGCGCGAGCACCGACACGGCGGTGACCTTCTGGCCTGCCGCCGCCTCCGAGCCCGCTGGGCGCAGCTTCGCGGGGAGCAGGCCGGCGGGGACGAGCGACGAGAGGAGGTGGTCGCGCCGCCGGGTGTATAGGAAGGTGGAGAGGATGGGGAACGTCTCTGGGCTGGGGATGCACAGCGGGAGCACGGGCAGGTCGAGCGTCTCGACAGCGCCGTCTACACCCGAGTGTGGGCTCGAGGGGGCAGAGGACAGCGAGGTGGGGGGGAAGACGGGGAGGTTGGCGCAGTGCGCGGCGAGGATGATGTCGTGTGCGGGGAGGAGGGTAATTTTGCGTGAGGAGGCACACGCAGGGCCCGACGAAGACGGGTACACGGCGAGCATGTGGGTGGGCTTGTTGGGCGTTGAGCAGGTCATGCGGGCCTTGATGCGCCGAGGGAGAGCACCTGCAGTTGGGAGAGCGGGATGTGTGCTGGAGAGAACCCGGAGCATACTGTGGAGGGTGGATGGTCAGCGGCTGGTAGGTGGATGGATGGAGATGTAAAACTGACTCAGGTCCTTCGCACTCGAGGCCTTCGCGGATGTACTTGCGACGCTCACGGCGCCAGTATTGGATTCCCACCTCCTGGGGCTGTGTATGGCACTATAGACAAAGCAATCAACGCGTCAAGCCAGGCAGGCGGGAGCGTTTGTCATGGCAAGCGGGATGTGACGTTGTTATGGATCCATGTGTATGCCGTGCTTTTTTCGGGTGGATTGGCCGCCCAAGAAGTCAACCGATCATTGTCCTTTGCATCCGGACAAAAGGGAAACAAGGGGCAGAAGAGCGGGGCAAGGGCGATTGGTGTTGGGGCGACAAACAAGGTAATTGCGGGATGGATTGGTGTGGGTGTATGTGGGTGTTTGGTCGTATGGGTGCGGTGATTTTTCCTGTAAGAGGAAGGAGAGGGACCCATCCGCACCTACGCATACTATTTGTGGTAATTGTGGGAGGCGGATTGCTTTCGATCCAGGTGCAATCGAGCTCGGCGGGGAGAGGTATAAGAATGACGGTGACCATGGCCCAAGGGCCTTCCCCCCAGCAAGAGCCCCCCCGCTTTTCCCCTGCAAGCCCCCTCTCACTCAGCTCCCCTCTCCGACACAAAGCCCGCCCTCCGCGACCCGCTTTCGTGCCTCTTCACCCAGCTGCCTCTCTTCACCTCCTTCACCCACACACCACATCAGCCACTCTCACATAGCACTCACCTGCTATAATCACCAATGGCCCCACGCTTCAACGTCGAGAACATGCCTCCCACCCGTGTCCCCCTTGCCCCCGTCTCGCGCTCCACGCGCAAGCTCAAGTCGTCCCACTCCAACCCCTTCATCTCATCCATCAAGGTCAAGCACAACGGCATCCACGCAGCCCGCCGGCGCTCGCGCCCCGTTCGTCCGACGTGCCCCAAGCAGACCCCCGTCTCCCACACCCAGTGCATCGATGTTGAGATGCGGGATGGGAGTCAGTCTGCAGGCGCGGGTCCATCGACCCACCACGTCAAGCTCCCCCGCACGCTCATCCGCCCCGACTTCAATGCGATTTCGCGGGATGCGATCGAAGCTGTTGCCTGCCACCTCGCGGATGTACCCGTCGGTGGCGAAGATCCGCCCGCGCTAGTAATAGGCCTACTGTTTACTCGCTCGCCGTCGCCTCGTCCTCGGCTATGCTCAATAGCCTACCCAGTCTTGTCCATGTTTTCTTTGTCCTCTCGTCTCTGAAGCGATTCTGCGAGCCGCCCATCACGCGGCCTACGCAAGGCTATTGTCAGCGTTGACTGCTCAATGAAGCGTTGCGCGGCACAATATCAATATCCGGAATTAAAGAGGCATGACTCGGACACAAGGTAAGCGACGATCCTTTGTTCTTCGGCTCTCGTGCTTTGTCTTCTTCATGCCTGATGGCCTACATCCCGTCTAAGGCGGGGCCGTGTCCAAATTGTGGACGTGTAGCATCAACAAGAGACAAACGACCTGTGTCACCTTAGCCGTCAACTTTGTTGACAGCTATGGGTGCTGTTACCATCGATGAACAGCCCGCACTGACCCTTCTTTGGCGCTTCGTAGCTTAGCGTGTCGCCTAGCTCGCGGCATGGTTGCTTTGTGAATGCTTGACTCCATGTTTGCATACTCCGCTGCCCTAAGGCCTGAACATGTGGTGACTGATACTTCAATAGACCACACCCACACGAACAATGCCGATATCATTTGGATCTCGCTGTCGTACTGTCCCAGTCCTTTTCATCGCGATATGCTTTGCTTTCTTTGTCACCGATTGTCACCATCAAGCGTGGAATGTAACGCTTTACAGCTGCAGCGCAGAATGGACCTACAAACGACCTTATGCTCTTCCGTGAATGAGTGCGTGTTCTGGCTGGCCTGACCGGTTTCAGTGTCCTTCGTTTAGTCCGTTCTCTATGCCATCCCCCTCTGCACATACCATTGCGCACGTCCTCGAAGCGCAAGCCGTTGAGTTGCTTTGTGAACCAAAGTGATTCACCGCACACGTGCTCAGGGCGAAAACATGCCAGCCGCGCATTCATGTTTCCTCGCTTGCTAGCGGACATGAGTTTCGCTTCAGAAACAGTCTCGGGGCTGAGGGTCGCAACCGTGCACGAGGTGGACAAGCGTCATCATTGTTCAAGCTGCTGAGGAGGTATAATGGACGTGACTATATGCGTGTTGACTGTGCGTTGAAAGCTAAAGCGGGCCTCAATGCAACAGACGTGACACAGGTAAAGCGGCCCATGCGCTGCCTTTCATCCTAGTTCAACGTTCAACTTGACGACAACTATGCTTTGCAGCTTAGGGTTGAAATTTCTCCGCGTTGGTTCTAACTAGGCTCGAGGTGTGCTGCCTTTATCACGGTGAGTGGGCAACACTCAGCCACTTTGAGTTTGTCGTAGACATCTTCACGGTTAGCTGATTGGGGCTATCTTGGTGGAATCGTCGATAACGGAGTCCTTGTAGAAATCTGTGTTAGAGGTTACGATCAAAAGCGAAGCTATCCGCAACTCTCCTCTGCTGTAAATGATTCCGGCGTAGTCAGTGGTCGTTGGTCCTAGCACACCTTGGTAGTGCACCACCCTACACACTTCCAATTGAAAGGGAAGCTCCGTTGCATATTGCCCCGCTAGTTTGTTTTACTTCTTCGAGACCTGAATGCTCGCGCATACTTGCACATACCCTAGGATATCCCCGAGTGGTTAAGCTTCATTGGGTGCAAGGGACCTCGGAAGCAAAATCTTGTAGTAACACGACAAGCATCCACGCGGTTTGCGCTTGCGCTCCGATGTTCTTCTTCTACTAATGGTGAGCGCTTCTCAAGTTTTCTCCAGGAGGCGCCGTTGTGGCACAGGTTCATAACAAATATCCCCTAGGAAACAGTCATGAATTCATTGACCCACGTCAACAGTGACGCTCTCTGTGACCGAGACTGGTCGTTGTTGTGCAAGGATCACATCGATAGCGCTGATTGAGCGCGAGGAGGTCGGAAGGGAGCCAGGACCGAGGCCGGGTTCCGATGGGATGAACGCGGTCACATGATGAGCGCGTCGAGTGAAACACATTCAGTTCGTGTCCCTTTACGTACGCGCTCCCCCGAAACGCCCAGGTTGACGCTTGTTCACGAACCATTAACGAACCTCCCACGCCCTTCACGTCTGTCCCCTACATACAACACCAACATCCCAGACGCATACACCCACCACCATGGAATCGACTCAGATTCTTTTCAACTCACCTGCACTACACGCCCTCAGACGAGAACAGCTCATCAAGCTGTGCAAGCACCATCACCTCAAGGCAAATGGAAAGAACCAAGACATGATTCTCCGCTTGCAACAACACGCTCTCGATCTCCAAGCACAAGGTAAAGCAGCACCAGGCATCGACTACCAGCCCAGCGATGACGAAGATGCCTCAAATCCAGCAGGAAACCAGCCCGATGACGCGTCCGAAGCCCCGTCACGACCCAGCGAACAATGGGAAATAGTAATGGAGAGCATCCCGGAGGGCGAGGAACGATCGCAGAGCTCACTCCGTAGTACAAACTCACGACCCAAGGCACAAGGGAGTGTAGGGGAATTTGGAACCGCGTCGTCGAAAGGTATGTCTTGCGTTTCCCCATTGGCGTCGCGTCCTCAAAACCGATGTTCCCCCTTCTTACCCCTACGTAGGCTCGGGTTCAGGTGTCACTTCGTCATTTAGGTCCTTTGCAAACTCGCTTGGTTTCGCGCGGTCTACGTCCAGCCAGCACCCATATACTCTTGCCTCTGCTCCGACAGAGGTTGCTCGGCCTCGGAGCAACTCGCAACCAGAGCCCATACCAGGCCATGCCAACCTCCCAGGTCTTCCCGCTCCCGAAGATGCCCGGCTCAGTCTTAGCGACGAGGCGAAAACCACCACAATCCGGCTTGTAGGATCCAAATCATCCATGCCTCCTCCGAAGACCGCCACTGCTCTTCTATCTGGGCAAGATCGACCGCCGAGCTGGATGTGCTCGCCTCCCAAGCTCAAGCCTTACGCAACTGCCTTTGATATTCTTCCCGCCACTCCCGCCCCCGGCGGAAACACCGGCGCGTTCTGGGCAACGTCCCCGCAGAAGGCTCCCGCACTATATCCCCCTATTCCCTCGCTGGATTTCGATGACGCGGGTAGCAAGAGTGTCGCGGATATGGAAGTCGAGGACGATGATGAGGCCGTCGATGTCCCAGGCGGACTTAGACCCTCCCCATCGCCTGTGGGCAAGAAGCCCACCTCCCGGCCTTCCATCCCACCCGCATTCGTCTTTGGCTCACCAGAGCAGACACATCGCGTCTCCAACGCTCAGTTCAGCAAAGCAGCGCAGAGCGTGCTTGCGGAGATGAACGCGCGGCTCCAGCAGGAAGGCACCTCTGCCGTCAGCTCCAATCTCTTGCAGGGCTTCAAGGCGACGGGGCCCTCTTCCGAGGCCAGCAAGGACGCAGGCGCTGCAGCTGGTCCGAGCGAAGTGCGGGTGAAGTTCAACCAGGCGCATGACGAGGAGTTTGCGAAGATGGACTCCATTGCGAATCACTATGCTGCCAAGCGCGCGGCAGCTTCGAGCTTTACGCCGTCGTCCCCGTCCAAGAAGCGCAAGTCCACTGTTCTGGAGGACGCCGAGGCGCCTGCTGCAAAGAGGAAACTGGTGGTCAAGCCGGCTGCTGCCAGGCGCGCCGGGGCTGTACCTTCTACTTCCAGAATCGCTACTACCGCTGCGAGGAAACCCCAGATCAGAGTCAAAGGAACTAAAGAAACTTCCAGCGAAACCAACGATGATGCTGAACGACGGTCAAAGCGGATGAAGTTCAATGCCGTCGATGAGAACAAGAGTAAAGAAAAGAAGGCCGAAGAGGACGAGGCTCGCCAGGAGCGCGAGCGGGAGGCGATTCGCCGTCGGCTGGAGTATAATCGCCAGAAGCGTCGAGAGAGCATGGTGCGACCGAGTATTAGTATCGGTAAATCTTCTCGTAAGTGTTCCTCGTATGCATCAGTTTTACATGCTGAGCTCAAGTTCGGTTCTGCAGCATCCCCAAAGCCGGCTTCTCGTTTCGGCCTCTTGTCGACGGCGAAATCGCTGGTGAAGAGTGTGTGGAACCGGGGAACAACGCCCAAGCCCGGCGCCGTGGCGCCCACTAGGCCGACTGCTTCTTCCATGTCAAGGGCGAAGACGCAAGAAACTGCCAGCAAGAAGCTATCCGCACCCCCGCCAGCCGCTAAATTTACGCGGACGTTGCCTGCCGCCACCAAGCCTCGCATTCCCTCCAGCTCTGGCTCTGGTTCCATGGGAAGAAGTCGTCCACCCATCCCTTCGTTCGCGAAGTCGCCACCTCCCGCTCCGTCCGCGCGTGCCAAGTCACCGCTTCCCGGCTCAGCTCCGGTGCGTGCTAGGTCTAACTCTGCCACTCTGGAGAACCAGGCAAGCTCGACCTCAAGCCGTGCTCGATCGCACACCACCAACTCCTTAGGCGTGGTAACGAAGCGCGAAGTGGCAGGCACACCTTCGATGGGCGTCATCACGGAGTCCAAGCGCGTCGTCAGCGATTCTGGCTCTAGCACCCACACCACCTCGACCACCGCGTCGAAGGCTCGGCCTGTGTCCCGCCTGTTCGCGCCGACGGCGAGCTCGCTTGCCAAGACGCAGAGCAGTGGCTTTTCCAAGATTTCGCCCGCGAAAGAGCGGACAGCCGTGACGAGGCCAATCAGCAGCTTGCCGAAGCCCTCGTCCACTCCCTCGGGCCCATATGCGAAGGCGGGCACGAACAGAATTCCCGGTTCGACGCTCAAGACTGGGACTCCTGCCACTGTCAAGAAGGCGTCCGGTGGTACCGCTCTGGACTCTATCACCAATGTGCCCTCGCCCCGGAAGGCGCAGGGAGAGACGCAGGGCAAGATCTTCAGCACACCGCTCAAGGCCTCGCATATCCCCGTGCGGTCACGTTCCGTCACGCCCAACCCACCGCTGACGCCTGCCACCGGACCTGGTTCTCCTTTGAAATCGACTACCGCTCTCGGTCCCAGCTCAACCACGAAACCCCCGATCCCTCCAAAGCCCAAGGTCCTCCCGGGGCGCCGCCCGCACATCTCGCGCTCCAAGGTCATCACCAAGCTCGCGTCGCAGCGCGACGGCGCCCCCGCCGCTCCTTCGGGCGCGGGCGCCGGCGAGGTCGCGCGGCACAGTCTCGCGCCGAGCGTGGCGTCCTCGCGCGGCTCGCACAAGACGCGCTCGAGTCTGAGTATAGACCTCAAGTCGGGCGGTATGGGCGCGGGCTCGCCGGACGTGCTCGCGAGCGCGAGGAAGCGGGCTGTGATGAACGAGGCTGCGCGGAGGAGGGCGAGGGTGGCGGGAGGGGAGGATATGAGTATGGATCTGGATGAGTATTAGTGAGCGGGTAGAGGTTTGTGCTGCGCTCTTTGCGATTCGGTGCGATCTTCGTGGCCCGTATATATGTTCATTTCCGCAGGGCTCCTCTTCTTGTGTTTAAGCTTCTTTCTTCTCGTTCTTCCGTCGTCTTTCTTGTGTCTTCTCGTCGCTTCTCTCGCCTCGACTATAGGTTTCGCGAATCTCTTGTTATCTGTCCTGTTCTCTGCTTTCTCTGCTCGTCCCCAGCTTCCGGCTATCACCGTATAGCTCTGACCCTGACTTCACTTATTGTTACTGTATGCATGCATATCATACTGTATTATCTTTTGTTGGTACTCGCCATAGACAGTGTATCGAGTCGCCCGACGCGACCGATCCCGATGATGTATATTCCTGTATTTTTTCTTTGATTGTTGCAACACGAGTGCTGGCGTCCTTTGTTTTGGTACACAGCCGTCCGGAGCGCGGACGGAATGAACTGAGCGGCGCTGCACTACTAGTGGATTGTTGAGCCGAGGGAGTCGCATCCCCCAGCTCACGAATACTCAGCGATAGGGCTAATCTTCCCATCCTTGTTCCTCTTTGGGCTTTTCCATCCACTATCTCCCAATCGGCACCGAAGAGTGCACGATATTTCTCTCCGCAAAACTGCTTCGATCTTCGAATTTACGACGCTCGGCTTTAAGTTCTCGTCGCGTCAACGTGTTCGCGGGCGGAATATCGGCTCAGCCGCTACGACAGGCGGAACAAGGGTCAAATTCCGGGAAATGGCGCTTGAATGTGTCAGAATACAAGGAGAGAAAGACCAAAAAAAAACATGAGAAGAAGAAAAAAGGTCTCACCTCCTCCAAAGCGGCCTCGCCGCACCGAACGATCAGAGAACCATCCCAGTCACCTTCAAATTGTCAGTGTCACTTGCCCGCGCCTTGGATTTTTTTGTTACTTCCGCTTCTGCTTCCGCCTCCCGCTGGTCGTTCAAGTTTTTGACGGGTTAACCAAGCCGTCGGTCCCGTCTGACCATGCGGAGGCACACTGCCGCGACACTTTGGCGAAGAACGTCGCCCGATTTGATCCGGGAGCGGCGCATACACTAGATATTGACATGCATGAGCCTGCTTTCTGTCCGGAACTTGAAATTGGCTGCACAATGTGCGGTCATGAGCCCGTTATACATGTGCGCGCGCTAGTATGTATGAGGTCAAGTCATAGTGTTGGGGCTCTTGGGGATTCTTGATTGGCGTGGAATTTTTTATCCGTTTTTTCTTATGGTTTTCTTGTCATTTCCTGCCGCAAAGTCCGCCGGTCTCGCGGACACAAGAGCCGGGAGCTGGGGACGCAGAACAAAGCAAGGAAGCTTATTATTTTTTGGTGTGTATACTATCTATCTCCGCTGGGCACAAGGTAGGGCCAAGGGCGAGCACTGTATTATATTGTCACTGGAGGAGGCTGTTTGGCTGGTGGAATGATGAGTACTACTGCGTACTACTGTATGTAGAGAGATAAAGTTCAAATGATTATGTGAGTAATAAGATTTCCGTTCCAAATGCGAGTTAGCGGTAACGAATGGGCACGCTGTACTGTAGGTGGCGAACTTGAGCAGAGAGGGGAGGATGTATGGGGATGGTCATGATCATCGTGAAGGCAATATTTCGTACGAGCGTCTGAATAAGGGAGAGAACTGGTGAGAGGAGACGATCATGAGGGCCAAAAATATAGCAAGAGCGAAAGCGACACAAAGCGAGGGATAGCTATGAACATGACAGAGAAAAACGAACAACGTGTACGTACAATGCGACGTTCCAGGCGCAGTTTTCAGTCCTGCCTGGACGCTTCCCATCGGCGCCTCGTGGACAGCGCCTTCGTGGAAGTATTGTACGCGTCTTTGAACTTTCCACCAAGTCCGTCGTGCGCCTCGCTCAGCGGCAAGGAGAGGGCGTTGCGCCACAATCCCTCGTTGAACTGCTTGAAGGCGAGGAGCTTCGTCACCGAGCAGGTGCGTGCCATTTTCTCCACCATGGCCTCTTCCGCCGGGAACTCGGCGATGACATCCGCCGGCAGCATGAGACAGCAGACGCCACTGCTGACCTCTGCGAGTCCCATGCTGAGCACGAGCAGGAGCGGTATCGACGGCACGTGGTTGACCGCGACAGGCACGACCGGGAGCGTCATGAAGATGGAGCCGGACGCCATGCGGAACGGGAGGGGGGAGGGCGATCCCGCCGCAGTTTGGGGAAGAGCGTCTCCGGTCACGAACGTCCAGCGGGAGGCTTGCATCGGGACCAGGATAGGAGGGTCGTTCACGTCGGCATCGATGTTGTGCACGTAGAGGACGTGAGAGGGGAAGGTGCTGCCGTGTTCTCTGGTGATGCGCATGTTGAGGGTGTCTCCTATGGGGACGGTGGAATCGATAGAGACCTTGGCTACGCCGTAATGTTCAAAGAGCATACTATAATAAAAGTGTAAATAATAGGCAGGAGATGTCGAACAATAGGTGGTCCGTACTCGAGAGGATGTCTGTCGAACGCTGAGAGATCGTTGATACGCTCGTACGGTGGAGGAGCGGGTGGCGTGGTGTCCTCGGCGGTGTCAGCCATTGTATCCCGATTAAAAGGAAAGTGGTGCCCTCGGGTGGGGCGAATTGTGATTAAAGAGAGTGACTGAGGCTAGGTAGTAGGGGAAGGGAGCGACTGGATTTCTCTCTGCAATTACGGGAACACCTGCAAGAAACGCGAGGAAAGGGTGAGTGGCAGCATTTCGGGCAAAAGATGATATTATAAGGAAGTGGGAAGGCAGCAAGTTGACATCGGGAACGGAACTGCGCAAAAGAGCGTGTTGTACTTACGACGGAGGGTAAATTTGGATCTGTCAAGAGGAAGCGCGTCCGCAAAGGGTGTTACAGCGAGGAATTAGAGTCTAAGAGGAACGAGGGTGTTGAGCATGACACGGAGAGAGAGAGAGAAAGAGGAAAGGAGGAAGAGATAGAGCGAGAAGGGGAAGGAGACGGATGAAAAAAGAGAGAGGTAGAGGAGAGAAAGAGAGAAATGTTTGAACGCCCGACGCTGTGCCGTTTGTTTAGACAGATCTCTGACAGCCACGAGGCAGATGGCTGGAGCGAATATGGAATAGAAGACGCGTCGCTGTGCAGATGAAGGCGACGTAATGATCAGCGGCGGAGGCAGAGCAAAGTTCTCGGGAAGATCCCTACCAACGAACGTTATTTCTCGGAAACACGTCGCCTTTATTCGTCGAGCTCATGAACAACGACCCCCTCGGCTACTCGGAGTTGGTGTAGGTCCAAGCCTTTCTACGCCGAGCCCCGAGATCCAATCCCAGATTGAGGCACCCACCGCCGCGGCAGCCAATCCCGACCACCCCTTGACAGCTCACTCCGACGACGCGGTAAAACAAAACAACATCTCCTTCTTCGGAACCTTCGTGTCGCGTGTCAACCGCACAGAACCACTCGAATACAGCTCCAAACTCCTTCACGTTTCAATGAATGATCGCCGTTCTCACAATTGACTATGTTTTGGTCATGTCGACGATTCTCGTGCAAAAGAGTGGCTTGACGGGGTCACTACTTTCGTAACCCGCCTCCCGGACGGCTGACAGGCTGCATGCTCTCGTTTGCTCCTCACTCCGCCTCGTTGATAGATTGCCTTGTTGTTAGCGTCGGGCAACGCACCGGACCAATGGACAGCAAACATGCTCACCGGCCCCATCTTTCAACGATCGGTTGTCGGTCCGAATGTGCAGATCTAGATGTGGATAAGCTTCAGCTTCAATCCCTTCAGAGGGAGAGTGTTCTTGCCTCTCGTCCAAAAGTCAGATTTGTGTTCAATATACGAGCCTCACGTGGTTTCGACCAGTCAAGTACAACTAGGGCCAAAGAGTCAAGTCTGCCAGTGCGACTGCTGGCGGTATGTCTGTGGTGATGTATCTGTGACATGTATCGAATGAAAAACCCTTGGTTCATTTTCCTTCATCCATCAGTTATTTTAGGGCCAGTCATACGCCCGACATGCGGAGAGTTGCCAAGCAAACCCTACGAACTTTGGGTCTTTCTTTAGAGCAAGCGACGCATCGTCGATGCTACTATCAGACGAACCTGCTCGTTCGCCGTGCTGCTGGTGATGGCAGCGGAATAGCATTAGTGGTTACATTCCTGCTCAAGGTGCTATAACGTTGTCCTCGCCTCCCTTCAAACCGGCAAAAAAATGCTCAAGCTCAGCATGCCCGTGGACAAGGTTTGTCGCACTTACGACGCATATATCCTTATGCGTATAACAATATAACTACCCTGACCAACTTCTCTCGCATAGCAAGATTCACCTCACTGGGGGATATTCTCGCATATTGCATTACGTGCTTCGAAGGGTTAGGTGCGGAAGAGGAAAGCACTTGCTCCAGAAACTGTGCTTTCATCCCAGGCCATGCGTAAGTCATCGAAAGCTCGAAAGGTTGCTCGACGTATGTTTTCTAGTTTGCAAAGTCGCCTTCAGAACGCGGATAGTACGACATAGTACGACAAATGGGACCCTGACTAGTCAGGGTAGGATCTCGCGGGACCCACCGCGTTGATACTCGGCTCACCTACCGGCAGCCGACGTGAGCCGCGCCTGAGACTGAATGGGAAGAGCTTGACGCCGCCGAGCTCGTCAAGATAACCGACACTGAAGCACCCTCGATGGAGGTTTGTTGATCGAGGGAAAGGTGGATTTGCATCTTGGTATGTACGTAAGTGACATCGGTGGCGGATGCTTCTCGAGGCCTCGACCGCGAGCCGACGCTCAGATCTGCGCCTAATGGGTTGACATATAGGAAGCGAATGTGTTGGCTCTCCGGCGTTTGCCGCTCCGATTATTGGGCGGGATGAAATTTAAGGACAGCGTTTGCTCTGACCGTTCACACGTTAGACCCAACGTATTTGTGCGAGCTCATCAAGCGAGCACCGATGTGGACAGTATCAGTTGATGTCTACAATAACATTGATCCACAACAGCAAGGCGCAGAGGTGCAAGCACCATACCTAACATGTTTTCTGAAAACCATTTCGTCCTGGAAACCCGGTCAAACTTCACGCAAGCTTCTATTCTTCTAAGGTAGGTTATTAGTCCCATCCAAGTACTTCAAGCTGAAGGACGTTATTACCAACGACTCGGAATATGTACCAAACAACCACTGGCAGGATGCCAGTGTAAGTAAATTCCATCTCCATCCTTCAGTCCAAATGGTTTTAGAAGATTGAGCTCGTGTTACTTTGCTACAATAATTTCTGCTATATCTTCGTTGAGCTCACTTGAGATGATCATGATGTATCTCATTATGATCCTGCACCGCATTTGCTTCTTTCACCCAACTTCCACCTCGGCCATGCCGGACGAACCATTCATTGCAAGATACTGGTTTGCGCTACAGTCATTTAACAGTATCGCACATATAGCCGCATGGTGTGACGTTCTACTAACTGCTATCAGACTGCGACTGAGAACGAAAACTCTTGTATAACAATCCTTACTGTTCCAGTAGGGATTTCATGTTGTGGGGAAAATAGGGGCTTTGAAGCACGTGTTCCAGTCTTCTGTTTACGCCCGTCCGTGCCTCGTGGACCTGAACGTCGACGGACCAGCACCGCGACAACCTTCTAATTTGTTCTGCCATTTTACCTGTTTCATTCTTCTACTGAGTTAATTCGCTCTCTATTGTACATGACCTTGCAGGCAGCTACTTCAAAAACCTCACCGGTGCCAGTTTATCCAAGCGTCCACACTTGATCTTCCCCTCGAAAATGAGCTCAGCTAGTGCTTTTGCGGTACCAGGTGCGTTGCAGATGCCCTATCTTTCGGTCATTTTATCTGATGGCCTTGAAATCAGAAAGCACGTACCCAGCACGTATGGCCTGTGGCGATGTATAGGCCCTTCGCAATTTTTCCTGCCTCGCCGATGATTGGACCTCCCCCAGTGCTCACGACCGGCCGGAAGCACCCTTGGCGCCTCTCTATGGTGCCCTCCCGAAGCTCCTGAGATATACTCGCTACATAGCTGAAGATGCGGTTACAGTCTTCGTCGCTCACGGGAACGTCGTCTATGTTGTCGGGTAGCAAGGGAACGGACCCGTGCCCACTGGCGTATACCTCGTTGTCGGGCCTGGTGTAGATCTCGGGAGACACTACTCGAGCTTTTCCGAAGGAGTCCGACTCAGGCAGCTGTATCTCCGTGAAGAGAACGTACGGCGAGATGGTAACGGACGGTTTGGGGCGGATGGTGATGCTGCAGCCGAAGGTGGTAGAGATGGGCACGGACGGCTCGAGGGAAGGGGTCCATGGTCCAGCGGCGAGGACAACGTGAGTCGCGGGAATGGTCTTTGTTTGAGCCTCATCTGATTCCTGATAGGTGACACCGGTGACTCGACCACCATCTTTGTTGATGTTCACAGCTTTGCCTTTGATCAACTCTGCACCTTTTTCCTTCGCGAGGTCCATCATACCAGAAGTGAACAGATACGGGTGGACCTGGGCACTTGCTTTGTGTCCTGCGATAGGGCTGTACGCGGTAGTGAGGTCTCCACCAACCCAGTCCAGATCGTCTGGTAGCCCTGTGGATGCCCTACCGCCATTCTCCCCGCTCTTTGCTATTCCCTCTCCGTCGGCGGCTCCTCTGCCCTCCCAGCTCCCACAGTTCGTGTACCTCCATCCCCACCGTGCAGCTCCACCGTTTTCCTCGGCGAGCTTGACGTGTTCCGCGAAGGAGATGTCCACCAGCTCCCGAGGGAACGCCCACGACGCCACCAGTCCGCCCGCTTTTCCCGATGCGCCCTGAGCGACTCCGTTCCTGGACGCTTCAAGCACGGTTATCTTGGTGGAAGAAGGACTAAAGGAAGGGTGGCGGGTGAGGTAGTAGGCGGTTGTACATCCGATGATGCCGCCGCCAATGATGACGATGTTGCGCTCGTTTGTCATGGTGCCAGAGAGTGGTGAATGTAGGGCTCGGGCGGTTCGCAGTGGTCCTAATGCAAGACGCATATGCCTCTCCGAGACTCCTTGCGTCAGACGGGCTTCGGCCCGCCGCTATGTTTGGTTGCGCTTGTGTTCTTGCGCCGACGGAGGTCATGTGCAATGTCATTGTGCTCCCAAGCTTGCAGCTTGCAGTCTCATCTTGTACTGACCAAGTTGAGAGGTGTCGCACCAAGAAATCACGATTCCGTAACCGCTTCGCTGAAGGCCTCACGTTCTGCCCGCTTAATTCTGGGGCTCTTGATGGGCTTATGCTCATGTATCTCAAACACCACCACAGACATAGGGGCATCAACGCTTCTGGTTCATTTTACCGTCTGCTGCCTCGCTGAATCGACGAACTACGAAAGTCCAGACTTTCACCTCCCCAACCGACTAGTTAATGTCGGTTCCAAGTTTCCTTGCAGGCTCTAAACTCCCACTGCTCCGCTCTGTACGCTCGATCTTCGGTGTCAATGAATTGGACAGTGACCTTGATATTTATTATTCACAGATGATCCTCTAGTGCAGGTGCCACCATCACGTTTAGGGTACTTGCGAGCCTTGGGTAACTGGAGAGCCGTGGCGGTGGTGCAGTTCAGGTAAGCGCCTATGGCACCGGACATGCAGGCTCGAGTTGACATTATTTGGGGCTTAACGTCATGCCGTAGGAGACGTATCTGATAATAGCCGTGGCGCCTGGCCATACAGTGTTATCGCGCTCCCGTCTCGAGGTTCGGAGGCGAGAGAAACTCCGGATCACGCACTTTGTGTTTTTCAGCACGTGGGTTACAAACGCGCGTCAAGGGGCTAATGCACAGTGCTGTATGCATTGTACACGTCATGACCCCATTATCCTCTGCACTAATTCAGGTACTTGCTGTATGTATGTGAAATCCCTCGTTACAGGATTGTGGCCCAATCGAGATGCTTCTTCCTTCTCGGACGCCACTGGCCTGAGACAGACTCAAGGGGAACAGCAGGCGGATATCAGAGATCCTTCATATCCACATCGCTGCGCTCTCACGTCCCCGGCCCTGGCCATCTCCGGTGGCTTGATCGCGGTAGGTGGACCCGTCTCGGCCTGAGGCTGTCTGCGATGACCTATACCCAGTCTGGGTAAATCAGTTCTCCTACAGGCAACTTTGTCGCTGTTGGAGCTTGATACTGATCCCGCATAGAACGGCTCTACCCCACTGCCCGAAGGAAAGCATAACATGAGGCAACCACGATGCAAACCTTTTTCGATGATATGGTTTATGGTGAGCCGACTTAGGAGTCATCCCAGCGCTATCGCGGGACGTATATAGACTGTGTCGCTGGGCTCTGGCGTATCTCTCCGGGCCCCCATTTATCGAGAAGGCGAGAAGGGAGTGCTATCTTATCCTCTCTTACTTCGAACATGGCCGTATTTGCAGTACCTCATCCACCCAGCGACCAGTCTATCCATCCATACCTTTCTACCATCCTCGACTTCGCTACGCAGAAAGTCCTAGCTACCGCCTCTGTCCGCGTATACTGCGCCGTCTTCAACAAGCCACATCTCAACTGGAAGTACTCAGAGCTGAAAGGCATCCTCGTCTTTGGGCGGGATAGAGAAGTTGACGTCGTCCAAGGCCGCGCCGACCGTGGCACGCGCACTAAAGAGCGCTACTGGTTCAAGCTCGTCGACACCAACATCGACCGCGTCGTGTGGGTATACTCCATCCCGGAGGTCTTCGAATACAGCAAGGACATGCCGTTCTTTCACTACTTCTCCGGAAAGGTACGAGCCTCAGGCTATCACCGCTGCTTGACAGGGCCCTTCTAACGCCACCTCCATCTTCATTACAGACGCGTATGTTTGGCTTCCGGTTCGACGAAGACCCCGAGGCCGCGAACATGTACCAGCACGTTGTTGACAGAACACGCCGGCACTGTGCGTTCGCCCCTCTCTCATATCCGCAACGCTCGGACTTACTGACAGCTGTGCCTCCAGTTTTCGGTCCCTTGTCTTCAAGGGGACTCACAGACAGACCGAGATCCCGCAAGACAAAGCCAATCTCGCCCGCGATGATCTCGGGCCCGCAGCCCAACTCATGCATCCACGTCTCGCACGTCGGCATATCCCCAAAGGGCGTCATCGAGGCATCGCAGAACATAGATCCGAGCTGGACAAAACTGATCGCAGACCTGCAGGGCTACGGCGTGGGCCCGGACGTCGTGCGCAATAACCAGGACTTCGTGGAGGGCTTCCTGGCGGGAGCACGGTCCACGCGCGACAAACAGGCTTCTTCTTCGCCACCGGCTGCTAAGCCTCTTCCGCAAAGTGAGCTTCCACTCAATCGTCGCCAGTGCCCAGTGCTCACGCGACGTCCTTTCTCTTAGCGCCGTCCGCACCGGCACGACCTGCCATCATCAAAACAGATCAAACGAAACACAAGATTCCTCGAAAAGCAGTCAAGTTCGCTTGAATTTTCCCATCGACGACGCGCCATATATCGTTATAAAATTGTAAACCTATCGGAGAGCTATCTGGAAAACTAGTGTATCAAAACCTGCTCAGCCACTTGTGCATTGTAGTCATACCCTTACCTTACTGTACTGTATTCTGTTATGCCATATGTACTTTCCTCTAGTGTATGTTTGGTTGAAGGCTCACATGCTATATGAATATGGAGATTGGGGAACTAATTCTGCTTCTTTAGAATCGGGAAATGTCTCGTCCAAAGATCCCTGACAATGGATGTTAGCAGTTAAGTGGGAATATAACCACGCGATAACTCACAGTTAAGGAACCTAAGGTAGGCCGCGTCATCGACTTGGTGGTCAGCTGGTAACGAAAGTAGAGACGTACCAATAGGTCGGGACCAAGATCCTGGAAGTGAAGATTTTGGTCATGAACGACAGGAGATACTCGAACTGTAATCGCACTTACTTGTTTCGGACACTAAGAGTCATCGTGAAGTACGCCGATCGCCACAGCAGCCACGCCAAGTGGCCAGTCTCCTTTCCTCGAATACCAGACTCCGCGTTCGAGGCATCGTATATCGCTTTCCTGTGTATCCCGTCAACATGAGGAGACGGCGACACCCACACAGCAAGGGCGAGGAGTAGTAAATGGGGCACACCAATCGCCGAGGTAAGCCAGGCTGCCTTGGTTGTGGAACTCGAACGGCGCCTCATGCTCCTTGTCCTTCACGATCTTGTTCAGCTTCTTGACCATATACTTCGCTTTCTGGTTGGCAACTGTTGCAACGGCGAAACACGAGTTTGATCGGCAATACAATAAAATCGCCCTCAGCCCTGTGCTGTAAATATGATCTGCCGGTGAGGGAGAACTGACCTTGCGCGGTGGCCGGAAGCACAGCGTCCTTGATAATGGCGGCGTCGCCGATCGCCCACACGTCAGGGTCTGGCTGACCATCTGCAGTTAGAACGTTGAGCTGGTTGTCCGTGAGGAGGCTGTGAGATGAAAGTCAGGTAAGAGATCGCGTCTGTGGAGATCACTGCGAGCTGCGAATACCTCTGCGTTTTCTCGTGCTTCTGCATCGCTGAAATAGATTGAACGAGGGGATTAGGGGCTAGCCCCGTGCTCCAAACGAGCAAGCCGAAAGGGACTGCAAAGCCCGTAGCTCATTAGCACAAATAAAGAAACATTAATGAGGGTGGCGGTGGCACCTTCGCCCTGCTCTTTCACAAACATCTTGGCCTACGAAAGCGTTGGGTTTAACGGCGATCATCGTTGGATGTGCTGCTCACCTTTTCAACGCGCTCCACGTGGTGCCGCGTTTTTATCGCGATGCCATCTCTGCGGAACTTTCTTTCCGCGTAGCTATAATTCGGGTGAGCACATGCGCATTAATTCGGCACCCATGTAGGGCTGCTTACGATCCTAGCGATTTGTCGAAACTACCCAAGATGCTAGGGGCGACGTCGTAGACGGTGATCTTGGCAAGTCGGGCAAGGCTAGGGTAGTATCGTTCCATCTCTTCATGCAACAAATCATGCAGCTCGGCTGCGAACTCCACACCAGTGGGACCACCACCTGATGCATGTCATTACGGCGGGAGTTAAGGTGCCGAATAACGCGCGACCTACCGACAACGCAGAAGTTGAGCAGATTCCTGCGCTGGATATCGGAAACAGTAGGCTGGTTCGCCTGCTCGAAGCCTGCAAGAGCGGGTGAGTGTGGGCTTGGCATCCGCGATAGCTCAAATGAGGTCGACGTACATTCTAGGATGCGTGTGCGGATCGCGCGAGCATCTTTGACATCTTTCAGGAAGTGTGCATGCTCTTTTACACCCGGCACATTAAAAGCTGGAAGGTGGCGCGGTCAGCGAAAGATGAAACATTAATGCTCACTAAATGCACCGACTTTGGGAGTAGGCGCCGACGGCTATCACAAGTTTGTCGTACCTGAGCCTGAAAGGCGTCCCAGTTCCCGGAAAGCTTGTCTCAGTGGGAGAGCCCGTCACACGAGGGGCTGAGCGCTTCTCAAATTCTAGTGGCGGCGTCGCAGGCATCTGATAATCATAATTTGGAAAAGGGTTGTGATACAGTACGACACACATACACATTCGAGCGTCTTCTGCTTGAAATCTAATGCATCGAACGTCAGCCTGCGGAGAAGTTTCATCCTGTCATGACTCACCGATCTTGTCACACCACGCCTGGTATGCCGTCTGAAATATTGTCGTGGGTATGTAGGCGCGTTCTAAGGGAGAAAACGGCTCACCACTTGTGGAGAGAAACGTCTCACCTGTAGGTGCGCGAAATTAGTTACCCTTGGCTGGTGTCACTGGCAAATGAGGTGGTGAAGATCCTTACTGATTCAACAGCACAACGGAACTCGAGGGTTCCCACCGCGCAGCTCGCGAGCAAGGGGGTGAAGTTGAACGCATTGGTCGGAGAAACCGCGGTAACATCTGAGTGATTCCAAGTAAACCTTGTTCGCGACTACCAGCACTCCGATAAAGTCGCGACTTACTCCACTTCTTCTTGTCTACGCCTCTCAACACCTGGTAGCCTCCCCATCCTGACCCAAGAACAACAAGACGCTGCTTGTTCCTGGGTGCAGAGGAACTAAACGCCCTCGCGGAATGAGGTGTACCCGGGACAGGGGTCTTTGACAGAATGACAATCGGACGTGTTCTCAACATGGCGGTGGCACGAAGGGTGGATCGTGCGTAACGAGACGCGAACGAGACGCGAATTATATACGTATCTGAAGCGATGATATCGCTTTACGTTCGACTGGGAATTCTCGGACGGCGGTCTGCGGTAGACCTGAGTCATTTGAGCTACCTGTAGCCACTTGATAAACGACGGGCTTACCGGAGGATAGGAGTTTCACGAGGATCCCGACTCTCTCCGAATTAGACAATTTAACCCTGATCTTGACCTTCCCGGGTACCCTGACCTGTGTAACAATCGCTGGTCGCCGATGAATCGATGAAGGGTCGGGGTGGGTTGAGGCTGCTTGGAACTTGAACATCTCTTCAGGTATATGAATCTCGAGGGATATGACACAAATGAGCAAAGATAGCCTCTGCCACTACGACACATGTGACGTCACAGCAACTTTGCTTCCGAGTCGGAATGCCGGAACGCATAAAGCGCTTGACCGTTTATTCGCACCTCGAGACTTTGGCGAACAACTCAAGTACTCAACACCTGCAGATAACAGCTGAAAGATGGCGTCCACGCTAACACCACTGTCCGCTTTGAATGTCACTCGCGTGCTCATACCGCGCCATAACCTCATCCCCAATACCTCCATCCAACACCGGCCCCTGATGATTTACCATGGCTGCTTCCCCGAATCGACCATGGCTTCTGCGATTGAATCGCACCTCAAGTCGGTTGGCGTGGTCGTCCCGCACTGGAGGTACACGATGTACAGCATCAGCCACTTCCACAGCACATCGCACGAGGTCCTCTGCATCGCGTCGGGCCGCGCGAAACTCTGTCTCGGCGGGGAGGATAATCCAAAGCGGCTGGAACCGGAGGTGAAGAAGGGCGACGTGATAATCATGCCCGCGGGGGTGTCCCACAGGCTCTTGGAGGACCTGAGCGGCGACTTCCTCATGATAGGCAGCTATCCCAAGGGATTCAACTGGGACATGTGTTATGGGCGGGAGGGCGAAGAACACAAGGTAGAGAATATCAAGAATTTGGAGTGGTTCACTCGTGATCCTATTTACGGAGACAAAGGACCTGCGTTGGAAGAGTAGAAATTCGAGATGAACGTACAAACGAACCTGTACTGTACCTGCATTGAGGACTTTGCGAGATGGGTAATGTACGAAATATTTTTAGCCAGCCAGAGGATGAGTGGGTAGAACAGCACCGATAGCGAGGCAAGGTTATGATTCTGTCAAGAGTTGTCAACAAGAAAAGCCAGGGAAAACGATGGGCGTCGTGGTGGTGTGCATGAGGGAGGAGTAGTAAAGGTTTGAGCGGTAAAGCGGCCGGGAATAGTCCGCTTTAGGAAGGTGTCATCGGCCATTCGGTGCTGTGTTCCAACAGTGGCAAGGCAGCCGCTTCACCTCGCTTCACTCACCTCCTGCAACCACCGTCCTCCTTGCTCTTTCCTTTCCTACGCCTCGTCAGCCATGTCATCAGAATCATCACCAGGACCCAGCAGTATCACCTCCAAGGTCGCAAATGCCGCACAGGAATTTGCAGAAAATGCGAACGCCGAGGACCCAGCCGAGGAGAGCGCTCAGGAGTCAGGACTGACGAGCATTGAGGAACGGAAGGCCAAGCTAGCAGCTCTCAGAGCGAAGATGGTGCGCAGAAGCCACATTTGTTTCTCGTTCTCTTATTGATGGTAGTTCCGGCTTCTCACAGCGTCAATCCACGAAAGACAACCGCACTTCGCTCGTTGAGGAGTCCGTCAAGGCCAAGATGACGGCACGCGAAACAGCACGTCTGGACAGACAGCGGAAGCTCGCGGAGACGCTGCGTCTCAAGGTGGATGCGGAGGAGCGGGGCGAGGATGTGGAAAGGCAGAAGAACTGGGAGTGGACGATCGAGGACAACGATAATTGGGAGAAGAAGAAGGCGCGCAAGGCGCGGAGGGCAGACTTTGAGTTTCATGGTACGTTTCTTCGTCTGGTCCATGTCCCACTGGTTCTTGCCTGCTTCTGCTATGGTGCCCATGATGATTCAATGCTCACGGTATTCTCAGATGACTCCGACGCTGCACGGCGGCGATACAAGAAGGACCTTGATGCACTGAAGCCCAACCTTGAAGCATACAACCGTCAGAAAGAAATGGCACTCGGTCTCGCAGCAGGGTCTCTGTCGAAGGCCGGATCATCAAGTTCCTCGGCGCTCACCAAGTTCGACCCTCAAAGCGGAGCAGTATGCACTATCCTATGCTGCCCTGCCACCGAATCGTCTGACCCATTCTTTCCAGCTTATACCTACCACCGAGCAGCAAAGGCTCGCAGCCGAGAACCTGTACCGTGACTCCAACACTCTCCTGTACGCCGACAACACTCCGTCAGAGGATGCCATCGACCGAGTGGTTTCTAAAATCAACCAAGAGTACGTGTCTTTACCTTGAGCCCAGTCCGCGTTCACCTGCTTACGAACATGTACGAATTGAACAGCATCGACAAGAAGGGCAAGTTCTCGCGCAAGCGGCTCAACGAGGACGAGGGGGACATCACCTACATCAACGAGCGCAATCGCGTGTTCAACAAGAAGGTAAGATTTCCGCAGTCCGCTGTGAGCGTTGCTAACCAGGCGAATGTCAGATTGCTCGATACTACGACAAGTACACAGCGGAGATTCGGGCCAGCTTCGAGCGTGGTACTGCTCTCTAGTGGACTGCCCTACATTTCACTACGCGCTGCAGACTTGCTTCTTCATGATATCTCAATACTAGCTCCACGTCATCTTGCATCCACGCGAGTTAGAAGAAAATTTGCATCAGCTTGTTCTATTTCGATTTTGTAGTATGTACACCGTAGATGGACACTAATACACCTCAGCCGACTACAACACGAGATAACCTGAGAGATGGGGTCAGCATGAGGAACAAGCGATCGTCGAGAGCAAGAAGAAAGCGGAAAAAAGATCAGTATTGCAGATTGAGGTCAGCAGCGAACACGAGGTTCATCAGACTGTTGAGCTTGATATGTGATTTTTGACTCATCACGGAAAGAAGAGAAAGTGCGAAAGTTGGAGATTAATGATGCTTACCTCACTATCGCGAGCGTTGGTCTGAAGGTGTTGGCGTTGACGAAGGACTCATCGACGGAAAAATCTTGCTGAAAGGCATAGAACGATTGAAACTCCGATCGGAAGGTGCCGGTCCTGGCTTTGCAGTTGAGCCGCGTTTGAGCCGCCCTATGATCGCGACAGTCAACCATCGATGTCATTCCTCCTTACAAACAAACTCCACAGTAGACAATTCTGCCGCATTGGCTTTGATTTGCATGAGTCTCACGCCGCAGTTGATGAATTACCGCTCAGAGAAGCGATAGATCCTTGCATTTAGCGGCAACGAGTGGGCTAGCGGGTGGTCAAGTTGAAGGCGAGTCTATATTTTCGCAACTGAAATGACGAGGGCCTAGTGGACTTGCTGGATGCTTGCATGTTTGGAGATCTTTCTACTTTTTTGTCGCTTTCAGTACACGTCTTTCTGTCTTCCTGCCAAGACGCAGATCGGAGCTGGTATTGACCATGATTGTGTCTTTCGAATCGTTGATCAGTGATATGTACTGCTTGATGTACTGTCAAGAGTCAGGATTTGCTATATCAACGGAAAGGTTCCGTGGCCTCGAGTTCCGAAGGGTAGGTTCGGGTGCATTTCTGACCTACACAGCTGCCACAGCTCCAGCAGCCACCGACAGCGATAAGTGCTCACGCGCACGCCCTGGCTCGATCCAGTTCTTGAACGATAAGGAACCATAAGGATGGCGAAAAGGTGGTCCTTGCCGTGATATCAACGTTGTTTTCATGAGGAAAGTTGTATAATCATCCAGTTCCGACGACCCAAGTTTGCGAAAGTGCGGGGAAACCTGGGGGAGTCTCGAACGAGCTTGTGGAGGCTTGTGGGGAATTCGGCTAAGCGCGACTCACCGGCACGCGAGCGGGGCGCGTGGACCTCTTCACCTTGGCAAGATCACAGCTTCCGGAGCACATACTTGTCGAGTTCAGCTTGTATGACCATTCAGTTTCTGACTGTTTCTCAATGGACAACATCAGTCGCCAAAGCAGCATCCCATCAACGCATCACTCTCCTGCAGAAACTTGAACTCAATCACCCGTGAGCCGGTACAGTTTCAGAAAAAGGGCAGGAGCTGTCAGCATCCGCGAGCTATGTCCGCATCTGTGATAGCCAATAAGTAGTAGGCACAGAGGCTTCTCTGCCCTGGTGCTTTCCTTCGCCCTCCGCTTCGTCCGACGTCTGCTCACCATGCCGTCCTCGCAGAGCTCGGGAGACAAGGAGGCTTCCTCTCAGGTTTCGAACCTGCCAGAGGACACCGCTCAGCATCCTGTCAACCGCTCTGAGTTCCAGTACAATGCAAGTCTCGATGGAGTGAAGCGTGGGCTTGGGCGCCAACATATTCAGATGTAAGTTACCTCCCTAGTTGCAGTGCAAGGAGCGTGCTGAACGTCTCGATAGGATTGCGGTGAGTTCCGAGAGCCGCCGCGGGTGGTGGTCATCAGTTGAACAAGGAGCAGCTCGCCGGTGTCATCGGCACGGGCCTCTTCCTTGGTCTGGGAGAGATCCTCGCCCTCTGTGGGCCGCTGGGTGCTCTGATCGTCTACGCGCACGTCTCTTCGGTCGTTTACGCGTGAGCACGCATCGGTTTTCCACGATTTACGCGAACTGAACGCTTGCGCCAGGACGTTGACGTCGGTGGGAGAGCTCTGTGCCTTTGCACCCATCTCTGGCACTCTCATTCACTATGGTCAGTGCTCAACGTTCTCAGGTCAACCGCGATGCCTGATTGAATGGGATCAACGTAGCGGCGAGATGGGTTGATCCGGCTTTGGGTTTCGCTGTGAGTTTCTTGGGTGGTCGTATTCAGACTATAGACTGACTGGGATTTGTAGATGGGATGGGTAAACGCTGCGTTCCTGGTACTCTGTGATAAACTGAAGGCTGACAACTCCTCATATTTGTGGGCATAGAACTACTACTACGTGAGCACCAGAGATAACCTTCACGAAACCGTCTAACCTAGTTTACATACAGTTCACGAGCACTGCAATCGCAACCGAAGTGACCGCTTTCTCGGTCTTCGTATCGTTCTGGGACGCGAATGTGAGTCGATCTCTGCTCACCTCGGACAGCAGCCCTCATATAACATATGTCAGCCTGACCACACGGGGATCTATGTCGCTGTCATGATCGTCCTTCTCATTTTCATCAACCTGTTCGGTCTTAAGATCTTCGGCCATTGTACGTATCAGAGCCTTGGCCTTTTCTCTTCTCCGTTCCTTACCTCCCGCAGCCGAAATCTTCTTTGCTTTCTTGAAGAGTAAGCATATGCCCTTTCCATGACATCTTAGCGGAAGTTGACGCTTTTGTCACCAAGTTTTCTTGATTGTCGGCTTGGTGAGTCGGCAATGCCGTTGTTCGCTCCCCCATCTGAAGAGCTACGCTAGATCATTGCTGGCCTCGTTGTGACCTGTGGTGGCGGCCCTGACCACGAAACGTAAGTCATGCGGAATCTGTCATCGCATGTTGTTGACCAACCTTTGTTTTAGCATTGGATTTCGTGTCAGAAAATCGTTGTCTTGCATAAACAAAGTCCTGATCATTTTTACAGTATTGGAGAGATCCTGGGCCCTTCGTTTCTTGTGAGTGTGTTCATCATAGCCGCTACGGCCCTGCAAGCTCACGAGTGATACTAGTCTTGGAGCCTGGAGGACGTGGCAGATGGGTCGGCATGCTTGTCGCTATTGTCCCGGCTGCTTTCTCGCTCAGCGGCGCCGAGCTTATTGCGATGTGAGTGCACCCTAACTGGAAATTGGCATTACCGAAGCTGAAGTTTGGTTTGTCAGTACAATCGCCGAAGCCAAGAACCCGCGAAAGAACATCGTGCTGTCGATGCGAACTGTACTCTTCCGCCTCATTTTCTTCTATGTATGAATCGAAGCACAACAGGCCGTCTACCCCAATACTAACTAAGGGCTAGCTTTTTGCAGTGTTGATCGTCGGAATGCTTGTTCCGTCTAACGACCCACGTCTCTTCCAGTATGTTCAGGACCACATCCCTAACCTGTTTTCTAAACCTGACAATCCTGCTTAGGCGAACAGGAACCGCCGGTATCTCTCCGTTCGTCCTGGCCTTCAACCGCGCCGGAATCAAAGGTAAGGACAAAGCCTCCATGGGCCTTACCCCACGTTTACTGATTACTTCTGCTATAGTCCTGCCCTCAATCATCAACGCTATCCTCCTGACATGCGTGTTCTCAGCGGGCAACACCTTCCTCTACGCTGCCTCTCGCATTTTGTACGGTTTGTCTCTCCAGGGCCAGTCGCCAAGGATTTTCTCGACATGTACGAAGGGCGGTACGCCGTGGGTGGCTGTCTTGACCACCGTATGTCTTGGCCACTAGGTTTCGCTACTTATTCGTTGACCTTGCGTGTTACGTCAGGGCCTCTTTTCCCTTCTCGCGTTTTTGAACGTGAAAAACAACTCCGGTGTCGTGTTTACGTGAGTTTCCGCACTATCCAAGGATAGCGCCCTGGCTGAGTCTTTCCTAGATGGTTTATCTCGTTAGGTAAGATAGCTTTGGACATCTGATCGAGGCTTTGCTGACGTGAAGCATGAAGCTACCATGGGCGGTCTGTTCGGGTGAGAAAATCTCATGCGTTGGCATCTGTTCTGTGCTTACGCACATATATCAGCTGGTTGTCCATTAACATTACCTACATCCGCTATCGTAAGTTCTATCCAGGCTGACGGCACGGATGCGCTTTTCAATCTGATAATATTGTAAGACTTTGGCCTAAAAAAGCAGGGAATCAAGCCCGAGGGTATCTACCGCTCGTGGATGCAGCCCTACTCGGCCATCTGGGCTATCTTTTGGTATGAGCTCACGTTGCCGTTCCTGATCATCGATTGCTGACGGTTGCGTAGGATCATATTCTACATCCTCGTCAGCGGCGTCTCGACCTTCTGGCAGTTCCAAGCCAGCTCTTTTGTTGCGGCGTGTATGTCCACGCGTCTTGACCGCTGCTTCTAGGATTTTGCTCATCACCTTGTGTGCAGATATCAACATCCCCATCTTCCTCTGCTTGTACACCGGGTACAAAATCATCTTCAGAACAAAGATTGTGCGTCGATCCGTATGTCTCGGGTGCATTTATACTGATCAAGCCTCAGCAACCTCTTGCCGACCTCGACTTTGTTTCGGTGCGTTCTTTTGGATAAACGATTGCTATGTTGCTGATGATAATTCTGCAGAACATCCCCACGTTGGAGGAGACCGAGGACGACCCTTACCCGACAAAGAAGACTTTGGCTGAAAATATCAAGGAGATGATCTAGGAAGGTCTGCTTCCAGGGGTATCGTGTTGTAATAGGGTTTCGCATGTGCACACTATGTTCATCTGCATCCTTGACTTGTACTACTTCTCTTCCAATAAATCGCATAGTTAGTCTTCGTAATTCGATTCGATTCAAGAAGCTTTTTGATACATTACGGGTGAGGTACAGCGGTATACAGCGACAGCATAGCACAAGAACAAAAGAGGAGAGTCGGGTGCGACTACGCACCATCGAGCTTGCGAATCGTCCTCTTGTCCCTTTCGCCCACAACGCTAACGAGGCCCTCATTTTCCATAGCCTTGACCACCTCCGCAAACTCAGCCGTATCAACACGGATACTGCTCTGCTCGCCCAGCCGCTTAACCGCGTCCGCCCACTTGACGCCCCTCCCGCGCGCGCCGCCGCTCGCCTCGAGCAGCACAAGCAGCTCGCGGCGCATATCGTCGCGCATCTTGCGCTGGCCGGCCGCCGTGCCCGAGTTCAGCAGGCCCATGTCGATCTTGCCCGTGCGCGGGTCCATCGCGCTCGTGCGGATCGCCTCGCGCATCAGGCGGCACGCCTCGCGGACGTCCGCGAGCGAGACGTGCGCGGCGAAGCGCATGCGCGCGTGCGCCTCCGCGAGGCGGATCATGCTCTCGAGCTGCCGCGTCGTTGCGGTGATGCGCTTCTCGGACGAGCGCGGGTCCGAGGCGCCGATGGAGCGCAGGGAGACGTAGGATGCGACGAGCTCTTCGGAGGCCTCGGAGGAGAGGACGGGGTGGATGTGTGTGCGGGCGTAGTCGATGTAGGCGGAGAGTTCGTTGATCGGCTGGTGGGTTTGGTGTTAGCTCCGGAGGTAGACCCGTTTTTGGAGGCGATTGGCTTACTAGGAAGTCCTGCAGTGCAGAGTCGGGGGCGTCCTCCAAGTATAGGCCCACAAGATGTTGAGCGAGCTTGCGATCGAGAGTCTCGTCGACCTGGTCGAGTACGAGGTACAACAGGTCGAAACGGGAAATGAGGGTTGGCGGGAGATCGATGTTGCGCGTGATGGGGAGGTCGACGTTGTACTTGGACTCGACAGGGTTCGCTGCGGCCAGGATAGACGTCCGCGCGTTGAGCGTGGTGATGATTCCTGCTTTGGCTATCGACACGGTTTGTTGCTCCTGGGCGAATTGTAAGACTTTTGTCGGACATGATCGAAGATGGCTTACCATGACTTCGTGAAGCACACTGCGCGTTGCTTCAGACATCTTGTCGAATTCATCAATGCAGCAGACGCCTCCGTCGCTCAGTACAAGTGCACCACTAGATCGAGATTAATAGTTAAATCGGAGAACAAGGGATGGAATCGCACCTCTCCAAGACAAGCTGCTTGGAGTCGGGATCACGCGTCACATATGCAGTGAGACCGACAGCAGAGGAACCCTTGCCTGATGCATACACCCCGCGAGGAGCAATCTTGTGGACGTACTAAGGAATGGATGTCAGACAGCCAGACAAAACATGAGGACAACCATCCACTCACATGTAGAATCTGAGATTTACTGGTACCAGGATCACCGACAAGCAGCACATTGATATCGCCTCTGTACCGCGGACCACCCCCGCCTCCGCCGCGAGCGATGCTCTTATTCGTGCCGCCGAAGAGCTGGAGCAGAATGCCCTTCTTCACGTCGTCCAACTCCCAGATGGACGGGGCAAGCGAGCGCGCGAGCAGGGTGTACAGATCCGGCCGCCGACTAAGCTCAATGAGCTTCGCCTCCAGCTCGGCCCTCCGCGAGCGCCTGTTCTGCGCGCCAGCAATGCCCTCCTCGAGCTCATTATCGCCGCCCTCATCGTCGCCCTCCCCGCCCACCCCCGGGATCCTGTCCCCGCCCGCGGGGCGCGTGCTGCGATCGAGCCCGAGGCGCCCGCCGAAGCTGAGCTTCACGTGCACGACGTCGAGGTACGTCTTGAAGAGGCTCTTCATCGTGCGCTGGCGCGGGTTCACGCGCACGGGAACGCTGCGGAAGATGCCGGTGACGGTGAGGCGGTCGCCCGGCTTCGCGACGTCGACGAGCTCGTCGTACACGCTCAGCGAGACCGTGTGCGGCGTCTGGCCGTCGGGCACGGCGTCCGGCGTCTCCTGCAGGCGCACGACCTGGCGGTCGGCGAACTCGCACCGGTTGTGCACGAGCGACATTGTGCCGACGGATGCGCACACGTCGCGCGGGCACCGTTGCGGCTCTTCGATCTTGCCGCGGTCGATCTCGACCTGGACGGTGTGCGAGCAGGTGAGGCACCGGAAGAAGGCGACTTTCATGTCGGGGATGACGGGGGTCGCGCGGATGACGAGGCCTTTGATGCAGATGAGCTTGTCCGTGTCTGTAGCACGCACGGTTAGCTCAGCTGCCCGCGTGGACGAGCACAGAGAGACGCGCGCTTACCAGTCGGGTTGAGCTCGCGCATGTTGACGGCCTTGAGCCCCAACGGGCGGACCTTGTACACCTTGCTCATGATCTCCGAGATCTCCTCGTCCCCGTCCGCGCCCTGCATCCCGTCGACGCCCGCCTGCTGATCGCGATCCGCGATCTCGAGCATCAGATCCTTGAGCACCTGGTCCATCGCGGGAATGACCTCCTGCGGATACTTCTGCAGCTGCCCGTGCAGCTTGCGGCACGGCGGGTACGCCAGCAGATTCGCCATGTCCAGGTTCAAATTCGTCTCGCCCGTCTGGCGCATGCGCCGCATGTACGTCTCGTACAGCAGCGTCTCCCCCTCGTCGGGCGCGGCGAACGCGCGCGCGGAAAGGCGCGACGAGCCGGTCTCGCGGTCGTGCGCGGCGCGGTACTTGGGCTTGAAGCCGGCGAGGAAGTCGCGGAAAAGCTTCATTGTCTCGGCGAGGTTGACTGTTGTTCCCCAGATCGCGCGGATCTCGTCCGGCTCGTCCGAGGGCGCGACGGGCGCGGAGAGGTTCGGCGCGGAGGAGGGGGGCAGGTCGAGGTGCGTCGCGTCGGAGTCGAGGGCGTCGTTGCCCATGTTGGAGCGGCGAGCGCGGCGCTGAGAGCTGGGTTTGGACGGAGTGAGCGAGAGCGAGGAGTGGATGTCGCCGCGGCGGTTGCGGACGGGGGTGCCTGCTACGGAGCTCCTGATTCATGTTTGAGTACAGAGCAGCGATAAAAAGAGGAAGCAGAACGTACGAGGGAAAGTCAAGCGGGTCCGAGTCCTGGCGTGCGCTAGCCTCGAACGTGACATTTCTGCGAGGTGTTTTGGTAGGAGAAGAACTCGGGAAGGGGAGCGGCGATGAGTTGCCTGACAAAAACGCATTTAATCACTCGTGTGTCCACCCAAAGACCTGACAAAACCACGTACCAGCGAAGAACAGTGGATCTCTCGCCTGCCTAGGCGTGCTCATACCCACCGCCCTCCTGGCCGTAGCTCCACTCATGGGCGTCTGGGGCACACCACTCCTCCTGGAGGGCGTACCCGCAGCAGAAGGTGTACCAGGCAAAAACAGCGGGTTCTGGGCAGGGGCTTGGGAGAGCGACTGTTGCTGGGTGTTAGCGCCTGCAGGCTGATCGAGGGTTTCCATGTCGATATCGCCGGCCTCTGACGAGGGAAAGTCGACTCTCGGTGGAGAAGACATGTTTTCTCAGTGACTATCGGCGATGAGCGATAAATCTAAGCAGTGGGCTGTGTGGACAGAAGGGAGGAGGAGAATGAGGGTGAGATGAGACGCGTCGCGACGCGTGCTGTCTGGGAATGAGTTGAGGGCAGGCACACACCGCGTGCGCACAACACGCGTTTGCTCGTCGGCGAGCTCAGTGGCGACGAGCAGAACGCGAACATGTCCGACTATAGCCTCGACGACAGCTCGCAGGTATGTCTCTCTGTTTAAACTAGACTCGAGTCTGAAGATCTGCTAGGTTGCAGTGTACATCCCCTACTCTGGCGACGGTATGCACACATCTGCTCAGCCTTCCACTAATACCAACCCTCTACAGACGACGACCAAGACCACACCTCCTACAGCCTCTACCCCGAGCGCGACTGGCCAGGAAGCTACGAACGTCGCCTGAACGAGTACAGAGCGGCATGGGGCCGGTGCCTCCAGCGAATGCAGGTACGCCACCTTCCCCGCTCACACGTCGAACGAGACCAGGCGCACTGAGCTCCTCCTGCGTCCCCAGGAAATCATCTACTCCGTGCACTCCGAGGTCATCGACGCCGTCGTCTCCAAAGTGAACAGCGCATACGCGGAGCCGTTCCACGGCCTGCCCTTCCCCGAGATTCCCGTCGTGTCCGTCAACGGTGCGTCCCCTCGAATCAACTCCCTTCTTTGAAGTGAGCGTCTTATCTCTGCTTTGGCACGATGCGCAGCAACATCCTCCAACGCCGCCGTCTTCGATCAAATCGCCGCAAAGCTCGAGCACGACGAGGAAGACGCGCTCTTCGGCTCCAAGCGCCACTTTGTCGCGCACATCTTCCCCGGCGCGTGCACGAGCGTGATGGCGGCGATGAAGACGCTCGTGTCCGGCTTCGTGTCGCGCTCGCCGCTCGGCGACGAAGGTGCGAGGCACTGCGCGCTGTCCTTCTTCCGCACGGTGATGCTCAAAACGGCGAGATAGAAGGCGGCATAAGACGGAAGCCGTCGACGTCGCTCGCGAGCTTTGATATCAATCTGCTCGCAGCGTGGTGCGACGCCGCGCAGGAGACACACGGTGCGTCCGTCGTCCCTGGCCATCCTTTCCATAACGCGTCCCCCGCTCACGCCCCAGCGCATCCGCACGTCCAGGCACGCTCCAGCTCGTCGCCATCCTGCACAACTTTGAACAATTCGACCCGCTCGTGATGCAAGACGTCTTCGAGATATGCAAGTAAGCTATTCCCTTAAAGAAACAATACCCTTTTATAATCCGCGCATATACTAATCTCAACCCGCTGCGCGTTACACTCCTAGCCTACACATCCCGCGCATCCCCCTCGTCTTCGTCCTCGGCCTCGCATCGTCCTCCGCGTCGTACGTGCACGCGGCGTACCCGAGCTCGACGCTCGCGCTGCTGCGCCTCGACAGCTGTGCGCTGCCGCCGCCCGCGGACGTTCTGCACCGGGTGATTCGTCGGGTGAGCCCTCCTCCCTTTGTGCCGTGGATTGGTGTCTTTCGAACGCGAGTGCTGACGAGGATGTGCTGTGGAGCGCAGACCTTCCTGGACGTGGACTTTGACCCGGGCGTGATGATCGGCCCCGCCGTGCTCGATTTTCTGCTCGATTTCTTCACGAGGCAGAGCTGTTCGCTCGATGGCGCGGTCTCGATCTTGCAGGTACGTCCGACGCGATGTACACGTCCCGCTCGCGGATTCGAGTCGTTCATCGAACAAACCGATGAATAAATGGATAACATATGAATCTAGATCGCGTTCATGAAGCACTTCGAAGACCCGCTCACGGCCCTCCTCACCTCGTCCTCTGCACTGCTCTCCGACGTCGCCCGGAACGGGAACAAGATCAAGAAAACGCACAAAGACCGCACCGCGTTCGTATCATCCGTCCTCGCGCGCGTGCGCACCTCCTCCCTCTCCGCCGCCTCCTCCTCCGACAACAACGACGACACCAACGATCCACCCACGCTCGCCGCGTGCGTCGACGCCGCGCGCGCCCAGTGCAGCAAGCACCTCCGCCTGCTGCGCTTCGCGTTCCAGACGCTCCTGCGCGTGCGCACGGCGCTGCAGCGCACGGGGCGGCGGATGCTGCAGCTCGACAAGGACGAGCCGGGCATGGTGCGCGCGGCGCTGAGGGGCGCGCTCGGGCTCGAGGTCAAGGTCGTGTGTCGGGAGCTGAGGTGGGTCTGGCGTCGCGCCTGCTGTATATGTGTGTTCTCTTTCTCTGGGCTAACGAATTTTTGTTCGTGGGTGCGTGGGTGCAGGATGCTGCCGTATGAGAGCGCGAAGACCGTGCTCGACGAGCTGTATGTGCATCTGTGCGGTGCCCCGGAGGACGTGCTGAGCGCGGAAGAGGAGATTCGCACGCGGATCGATACGGCGAGGCAGCAGCTGAGCCCGGAGCAGGATTATGATGAGGATGACGGGGAAGAGGAGAAGGAGGACAGCGCACTCGCGATGGCGGGGGAGTGGCTGCAGGAGTACCTCTTGTGAGTCCCCCCCATAGTCTGCCCGTTTGCGCGTTACGCGTCGGTGCTCACGGACGATGCAGATCCCGGTTGCGGTCGCCGGAAGAGCTCCCGCTGTGGGATATCTGGTGCATGGGCTCGACGCCTTTTCCTTCGGAGGTGAGCAGCGCTGTCCGTCAGATGCCGCTGTCGCATTGACATTGGGACTGTCTGCCATCGTCTAGGTATTCAACCCGTCCATCCACGCATCCCTCATCTCCGGCCTCCTCCACCCGCAAGCCTATCTCCTGCCCGTGCCCAGCGCCAGCGATCCCTCCTCGCCCCGGCTCGACGGCCACGATCGGATTCAAAACGGCGGCGGCGGCGAAGACGGGGAAGGAGACGCGCTCGACGTGCCCGACACGACACTGCTCTTCCGCGGGTACCTCGAGAGCGGGAAGACGATCAACGCGTACGACTGGTACGCGTCCTTTTCCGTCGCGCTCGAGAACCAGCGCGCGATGCGCCGCGTGCGCCAGCGGCAGCGGGATCTTGATACGGGCGTGGATGTGGACGCGGATGCTTCTGTGACGCCGAAGAAGGGCACGAAGAAAGCGGTTGTGAACGGGAGAGGTTCGGGTTCGCCGTCGAAGAAGAGGACGCCAAGCGGGAAGGGAAAGGAGAGGATGCAGGCGGAGGGTGAGGTCGAGGATGATGATTTAGAAGAGGGAGAGGACGAGGACGAGGAGAAGGACGAGGAGGCGTGGGGGATGGAGATGCAGGCGCGGTTCATCCGGGGGCTGCATGAGCTGGACTATATGGGCTTCGTGAAGCACAAGACGAAAGGGAAGAAGGCGGAGCATGTTGTCAAGACGGTGTTTGACCCGCCAGAGCCGGAAATCTAGAAGGCGATTATATCTAGGAGTACGTACATACCAACATATCATGATAGACTCAGCTCATGTCAGGATTGTGGTTTGCCGAAGTCCGTCAAGGTGACACGCGAGCTAAATTTACGGATCAGCATCATCTCTTCCAACCACCATCCAAGAATTCTGACGGCAACAGCGGCACCACGCTGCTCGTTGACAGAGAGCACGTAACCGGCTTCTGTGCCGCCAGCCTATTCCCTTTATGCTTAGCCTCATGGCTAGAATGACCTCGATCAACACGAGCTAGAGACTAGAGGGCACTTCCTGTCGAGACACTCCTTGGGCAGCAGCTGGTTTATCTCGCATCCTCTGGCTGAAATGGCGTCAACAGGCGTCAACCGGATCACGAATAAACGAGATATGCTTGTGCACGCTGCCATGCCACTGCCAGTGATTACGCTGCCGTCGTTGGTGCCTGGATTCTACGCCATGGCCAATGACATTCTTTCCTCAGGGTTGCCCAGGCTGCCACGAGAAAATACCCAGCAAGAACTAACTCCGCCCGATCGCACGTCTCAGACACCTAATAAACCTCCTCTTTGGCTTCTCAGTCTCTCATCTTTACCCCGTGGTCTTAGACAGACAATACTCCGCCCTCGAAACTCGCTCTGCAGTGCAGCTCCAAGTTTATCTACGCTCTTTTGCTCCTCGCTCGCTCCTCCCAGTCCCTAAGAACCCTCACATCGATATCCACACCGCAACACAATGTTCGCCAAGCTCGTCACCGTCGCCTCCCTCGCCGCCTCCGCCCTCGCCACCGTCTTCATCACCTCCCCCACCGCAGCGAGCTCCTTCCCCGCCGGCAAGAACGCCACCGTCTCGTGGATCGACGACGGCAGCGCCCCGTCCCTCGCCCAGTTCGGCAACGCGACCATCGCCGTGTACGTCGGGAACGTGAACCAGCAGGTGCGACTCACAGCTGCCTGGGCCGCCCGGTGGCAGCGACAGCTAACCCGCTTTTTTTTTAAATGCAGACGCTGCTCCAGCCGATCGCGACGAACGTGAACGTCTCCAAGGTCAACGCGGTCTCCTTCCAGCCCAACGCCAACATCGGCCCCAACGGCGGCGACTAGTACGTCCCTCCCCTCCCCTTCCTTTCTCCGTTCCCTTGACCGTTCCCCCCACGACATCTTTTCCATTACTACTATTAACACAACCACCACCCACCAGCTTCATCCGCTTCCAATCCACCTCCAACACCAGCACCGGCGCCCTCGAAGCCTTCTCCGCCAAATTCGCACTCACAGGCATGTCCGGCACATTCAACGCCTCTGTCCAAGCCGAAATCGCCGCCGCCGCCTCCTCCTCTGCATCCACGTCCTCATCCGCATCTCCCACCGCCGGTGCCGGCTCCGGTGCCGCCGCGGGTGTCGCGGGCGGCTCCGTCAGTGCTTCCTCGGGGAGCGCCGCGCCCACGAGCTCTGGGAGCGCGAACGGCGCTGTGGGGAGTTACGCAGGCTCGGCGGTGGTGCTCGTCGCGTCGGGCTTGATGAGCGTGTACCTTGCTCTTTGAAACACGTTTGGATTCTGAAGTTGCTTTCATTTCGTTCGCTCGCTTTTGGATGACTGTAGTAGCCTCATCCGCTTCGCCGATACCCACCTACCGTCGCCCGACGCATGGCTAGACTCGATTTTTTCCCCTGGTACATCATCGGAACAGTATATATACGTATTTCGGATTTTTGGAGCTTTCGCCGGGCGCTTTTGTATCAGATTGGAATCAAGTAATACTCATCCCGTTCAATGCACATGTTCTATTTCTATCAATTCCTCCTCTTGGTCGTAAGGAATAGACGACAATGGTGTTGCACACGTTATGTGAAAAATAATCCTTCCAGCTCCCACCAAAACCAAGGGATTCCGTCAGACAAAAGACGAGATAAAAATCTACTGTGCTGCAAAGCTCTCGCCGTCCTCCGAGCGGAAAACTGGTTGTGGGCCGGAATACGTAGTCTGCAGCTGAAATCCATTTCCGATGCAATCACGGTCATGCTACTGTGCAATAGTGTGTGCGCCTCACAGACGCATCAATGTGTCAGCGACGGCCGACGGATGGAATAGCCAACGAAGCCGAGACTGGCTGCAGGGTGTAGGCGAGGAAGCCGAGCTCGCCACGGCGAGCAAGAGCAGTTGTGGTAGTGTCCTGTCACATTGCACAAGAAACTCTGCAAAGAGTGGATCAGCCTCGAATCCAGACACACCCAAAACGTGATATGTTTTCGTACCATAACCATCGCAGGCTCAGCTCCCGCGATGCCCGCCCCTGCCCCGCCCTCCACCGCGCCCCCTCCTCCCGCCCCTCGCCCCGCCTCTCTCACCGCCCTCACCCACCGCTGCGGCTGCACCGTCCGGGGCGGGAACAGCGGGAAGAATCCCCGGCACGGGCGGGTTAGGCGACGTCGCCGTCGCCGCGCGCTGCAGAATACTCGGCACGCTCTTCTCCTCCCTTTCCTTCTCCTTCTCCTTCTCGGACGGGCCCCTGCGCTTCTCGCCCGCCCTCGGAGTCTTCTCCTTCTCCTTCTCCTTACCCTCGCCCCCATCCTTGCCCTCCTTATCTTGCGCAGCAGCCTTCTCCTTCTCAGCGCGCTCCCGGCGCTTACTCACACCCGCCCCGCTCAGCGCCGCCTCGAACTGCCGCCCGAGACCGATCACAGGCCGACCGCGCCTCCCGCTTCCGGGCGCGCTTTGGGCGTGTGCGCCGGCGTTGGCTGAAGCTGAAGCAGAAGCAGAACTTGCCGGGTCCGACGTGCCGCCGACGCCGCCGGCAGCAGCGGCAGCGACACCAGAAGCGGAGGCGAGCGCAGCATGAGCGGGTGCGGCGGGCGACTTGGTGCGCTGCTGGATCTGGGGGACGGTCGGTGTGTTCTGATGCGCCGCGGCGGCGGCGGCGGCGGCAGCCTTGTTGGCGGCTTTGGAGGGGCGCGGAGGGCGTGCGGGGGACTTGGTTCCGGCTTTGTTCGCAGGTGCGCCGCTGCTGGACGCTGCTGCGGGCTGGCCCTTCGCAGCTGTGTCCTTATCCTGTCCCTTCTCCTTCTCCTTCTCCTTCTCCTTCTCCTTCGCCGCAGCGGCGGCGGCAGCCGCTGCCTTCTTCGCCTTCTTGCTCATCGGCTGGCCCTCCTGCTGCTGAGCCTGCGCCTGTGCTTGAGCCTGTTGCTGCGAAGCCTGCTTCTGCACAGCGGCAGCGGCAGCAGCCTTCTTCTTCGCTTCCTCCTTCTTGGACGGCGCCTGGTCCTTGTAGTGCGCGTGGTTCCGGAGAATAGCCTCCTTGTCCTTCTGTGCCGATTTCTCGGCCTTGAGCGCGTCGAGCAGGGGCGTTGTGGTTGGCTGGGGCGGGGGCTGGGCTTGTGCGACTGTTATAGTCATCAGGATGCGGAATCAGATGGTGGGAGAGGATGGAGAGATGGAGGGTGCGTACTGAGCGCTTCGAGCGTCATGGGCTCGGCTTTGTCTGCGGCTTCGAGCGTTTTGAGGAAGGAGATGAAGTCTTCGTCTGTGTTCACGTTCAGGGCGAGGTTAGATACAAATTATGCTTTAGTTGAAGCTTCATCGGTGTGCTGAAGGAGACGTGACGCACCTTTCTCGATCGTTCCAGCCCTCGGATCCGCCTTCTTCTTCTCGGCGGGCACCTTCTGGAACGGCGCAAACTCGACGACCGCCTGCGATTCGTTGCCTACACGACATATCAGATGTCAGTCAGGACTACACGTATGCGCTGGCAAGGATCAGAGAGGGAGAGGCATATGCTCACCAGCTTTATCTCTGAACACATGCCCGTCGTACTCCCGACTGAACGTAGCGACGAGATCGTCGCTCTTGAACGCAATGTACGCGCGCGAGGGCATGCTCTCCTTGTTCGGCCTAAAACACCCAACCGTGTCGGTCATCCACAGCCGAAACACTGACCTCACGTCGGATAGACGGCGAAAGAGACTCACCGCTTGTGTATCTTGCCCGCATAGAACTTCCTCCACGCCACCGTCTCGGGGGTGACCCACGCCTGCACGCTCTGCCAGAATATGTCCTCGGGCAGGTTGGCGGGCAGTCGGCGCACGACCGCCTTCATGCGCTCCCCGCCGCCGCCACCACCACCGCTGGTGTTTCCTCCGCCTCCACCGCTGCCATTGGGCTGTTTCTGTTTGGGTGATCTGGGTTCCTTGGGCGGAGGCCTGGGCTGAGCTTGCTGTTTCTTGGGTGTGCTGCCCGACATGTGGGCGGACACGGGATTGGCGAGACCAAGAGGGGGTATGAGGTAGAATCGGAGTCAGGAGATTGGTTCTGCATATGTTCCCACGGTCCTTCGTAGGCAACGTCGACAACATCCACGCCATTTCTCGAGCTCGTCGCCAACAAATCCGCTACCAGGAAGCCGTGCTATGCGTTTTCGAGCCATTGAAGTACTCGAGTCAATGCGCTTGCGAGAAGACATATGATGTCCTGCAACCATCATTACCTGATCATCGTCACGGTGACTCGCGACATGGATTATTGTACGTCCTCCAAGGATCTCTTGCGAAACAAGTTTTGTGTCCGCTGACCCCTGCTCCCTTATATTATTGTACCATACTTTTCCGACATGCAGCTTATCGCTTGCTCACCGGTATCTCTCCTTGACCCGTCGCAAGTATGTGCTCAGCAGTAATTCCTTCAATTCTGACTGCTTATCGCAGTCGGGGGCAAAATAGAATGATACGACTCTTGAAGGAGCTTGGACAATTCCTTGGCCTTAGCTAAGAAGTAGCGACGGGCATCATGTGACACAACGCGACACGCGTCTGTTGGTCACCTTCAATGAGTCAATGAGTCAAATGGAGGTCCTTTTCGTCGCTTTCGTGCTCTACACCTCTTCATTTAGAACCTCATGCACGGGAATTCGTCGTATATAAGGTCGGCATCGAGCAGCTCACTTCGACGATAATTCCCCCGCTGTTTTTCACCTTCATGGCGGCCGACGACCGTAGCGACTCGCACCTGTCCACACCACCGTCGCCTACAGCAGTCGACACCAAGAACGGGCAGGCTGAAGGTGGGAAGGAGATCGCGCCCGTCGGTGCGAAGGACGTCGAGGACAAGCCGTATAGCATATACTCGTACAGAGAAAAATGGTTTATCGTCATTATAGCATCGGTGGCTGGTACCTTCAGGTGAGCGCCCCTGACCACGTCCACGATACGAACAACGGTCTCACCGACATGTGTTCAATTTTTTACCAGTCCGCTAACAGCCAACATCTACTTCCCTGCTATACCGACTATTGCTGTGGCTTTCAACAAGTCGGAGGAGCTCATCAACTTGACGGTCACCGTCTACATGGTCCTTCAAGGCGTTGGTGAGTGACAATTGCCATATCTACATATCGACTCTGCCTTACCGTCTTTGCCAGCGCCCATGCTTTGGGGTACGATGGCCGACCGAGTCGGGCGGAGACCAATTTTTTTGGTGTGCATCCTCGTCCTGGCGCTGGCTTGCGTCGGACTGGCACTCACGCCGACCAACGCTTATTGGCTCTTGATGCTGCTTCGATGCGTGCAGGCAGCCGGGTCTGCCAGTACCGTCGCTCTTGGTAGGATGTCTGCCTTGCCAAAAAATATGTGTGCTGATAGGCGCTACTAGGCGCTGGCGTCATTGGAGACATCGCTACGCCTTCTGAGCGTGGTGGGTTTTATGGATTATTCAGTATTGGACCTATGGTATGAACCTCACTCTTGGACGTGAAGCAAGCCCGCTACTAACCCACCGTCACTAGCTAGGCCCCTCCATCGGACCTATCCTAGGCGGCGTCTTCGCTCAACAACTTGGATGGAGGTACGCAGTTCAATTCTGACATTACTGCTGCGCTCATGACACCCGTATAGGTGGATCTTCTGGTTTTTGTGTATACTGTCGACCGCTTGCCTTGTTTTCATGGTGCTGTACGTGTTTGCACGTTGCTAATTAGCGTATCATTGCTCACACTTTTTTACTTAGCTTTCTACCAGAGACGTTACGGCGCCTGGTTGACGATGGCAGCGTTACCCCATCGAAGATATACCGCCCTTTGATCCCCCTGATGGGACGAGGCCATATATCCCTGACCAAGGAAATACCGCCTCCCCGCCCGTTTAAAAACCCCCTGTGGCTCTTCACGTACCCCGACGTCCTGAACCTCTTGGTTCTCGTCGGGCTCTTCTATGCCTCGTTCTCCGCCACGCTCGCGACGATATCCACTCTCTTCAACGAGGTATACCCCTGGCTCACGGAAACGGAACTCGGACTGGTTTACCTTGGAACAGGCGGCGGCTTGATGTTAGGCTCCATTTTTATCGGCAAGATGCTGAACAAGGACTACCAACGCTTCAAGGCTGTGTTCGACAAGAAATCTGGCACCGACCCGGAGAAGGCCGCAACACACGAGAGCGGCTCAACAGACCTCGACTTTCCCGTGGAGAAGGCCAGACTGAGGATCGTTCCGCTCTTCATTCTCATCAACGCCGCTGCTACTTTCGGCTACGGGTGGTGTCTCCAGAAGAAAGTCAATCTCGCTGGTCCGCTCATTCTGACCATCATTCGTGAGTGATATCGTATCCCGTGGCGCCTGCGACAGTTCTGACAAATTATCCCTAAAGAGGGCTTCGTCTCCGTTGCGATCATGAGCTCCCAACAGACCCTTTTAGTCGATCTGGTCCCGACGCAGGGCTCCTCCGTTACTGCATGCGTAAGCGTCGTGCACTCACATATAATCGCTACCGGTGGCTGATGGTCTCGCTGCAGAACAACATCGTCCGGTGCGCGCTCGGCGCAGCCTCGGTTTCGGTCATCGACCTCATCATCAAAGCCGTCGGGCCCGGCTGGACCTTCGTGATATACGGTTTTATCTGTCTTATCAGTCTGCCCATGGTTTGGCTCGCAGAATATATCGGCCCGAAATGCCGCGCGAAAAGACACGCGAAGGAGTCACGGTAGACGGTTGTTAGACTGGTGGTCGCAATCGACGTTACATGGGACGACAAAACCTGTTTCGTAGCTACACGGACCGCTAATTACGTGTCGCTTCTAATGCAGTACTGTATCTTGCGTCATGAGGTACTGCGATGCTTTCATCACAGAACAGTAAGAACATCCTGATGCTTGCTAGCACGATGATATTAGCGAAAAGTCTTTGGTCCCATGTACATGTAATCTCGCATTGTCATTTCTCACACAGAATCCCATGTAACGATTCGGCCATTGGAACGCATACGAAGCCTTCCACTCTTGCGACTTGGTCTCGTCTCTGGCTCTGATGGATCTAAAGAAGAAACTCACTAGCTTTGTTTTCGACCGTAGAAATGAGGTGCTCGCTGGCAAGCATAACGTCGCTGTTTGAAGGCTTTACCTGCTCTTCTCCTTCGATTTATGTGACCGTCTCATGTAGATCCTCCGCAAACAGCGTCACCGTGAAACATAGTATGATATATACAAGAAAACAAGTGTTGAAGACACATGGATAGTAGCTTGAATTTCCCATACGAGTCAGCACGAGAATAGAAAAATGCGATCACCAACTAATATTTCAGCTTTAGTGCTGTTCTACCATCGTCTTCCACTAGCTGAATTTTTTCCTTCTCAATTCTATCCTGTTTCAACTTTCCTACCGGTACACCTGCGAGTCCGGCCCTGTTTGAGGTGGTAGAAAGAATGACGTCGTTGACGTCCGTCGGGTCAAACCGGTTTCGGAGGGCACCAGTATTGCGACCAGTCATCGCAAGAACAACAAATGTAAGAAGCGCGATGACTGTTTGCGGCAAAAGTGTGACAAGCGTTCCAGCAGGCTGATACGACCAGCCCATCGTGAGTACGTAAGACTCTCCGTGCACGGCCCTCGTCATGTTGGGAGGGATGATGTCATTTTCAAATGTACCTTCCGCCGAAAATCCGGAACGGATGAACTGCACGCAATAATGCGTTAGATTCATACAGTAGCAGTCCCATGAGTATAACATGGCACGTACCGTGCCTCCAAACTCAACAACACCCCTCCAGTAGTCCTCCTAAGAACCGTAAATGCTATAGGTCTTGTCCATGATTGCTATCCTTGAGAGGAAGTACATACCAATATCATATTAGTGGTTGCATTCGAAGTAGTAGAATCCAGCTTCTGAGTGGATTTGATGAGGAAAACCGAGTCCCCGATTGAGTTTCCAATAGTTCCCTGGGCACGGGCGCCGATCCACTCAGTTATCCCAACAATGAATGACAACGCTGCTGGGTTAGACCCGCCTAGAGCATAGTAGCTCAACGGGCTCTGAGAGGTAATGATACCGTTGTTATAATCAGCAGCTACCTCCGTCACGATTGGCGTCACTTCGCAGATGGTGGGTGGAATGAAGTCGTACTTGCATTCCCCTCTCATCACGATTGCTGTGTGATTTTAGCACTCCAATACAAGTTAGACACGTGTTGAAGGGCATGAATACTTACTAAAACTATTGTTGTTTGGGCCTGATGCGTCTTGCATTGGGCAGGATATCACCGGTAGGAACCCACTTCCAGCGCAGTCGTCAACAAGAGTAATGTAGTTCTGATCGAAATAGTTCAACTTTGCTGGAGGTGCGTCAGATATATATCGCTACCGTTAAAGTAAGCTTCAGCCTGATGTTTACCTGCGCTGTAGCTACAATTAGCTCTCGAAAGCCAGAAAAGATATCCCGCGGTATATCCCGCCACGGAATTTGGAGGAGCATAGGAGACACTTGTGCTGACAAGGGAAAATGGCGACGGATCGTCCAAGTCCTGTTGAGAACAGGAAACATTCGCGGTGAGGCCTTGCTGGTTCACGGTAAAGTTCCGCGACATGCCAGCAAGGTTAAAGTTGTCTACGGTTGTGTTCATCAAGACTGAACCCCCAGAGAATGCAAACCCGGTGAATGTCGGCATGCTGCCCTCTTCGGCAAATTCTGGAATGGCGGGAAGTATACCTCCTGGATGAACACATCAACTTCTGTGTCCATGGTGGAATCGAAGGCATTACCAGTAGAAAGGTTGTAAGACGCTCCATTGAAATTGAAGAAGCTGGGCAATCTTAGTCGCGCTCCTCCGGCAGAATTACCACTGAGGGTGCCTATGTCCATCACTTCTAAGGCATTATTCAATGCTAATGGAGGAACCGTGACGTGAGATTAAGAGGTGCAAGATGTTCGCATGTGTTCACGTACTATAAGCAATGGAGTTTTCCGTGCCTATTGCTGGCGACATATTTTGGAGCGCATACTGGGCGAATGGTTCACTGCCAAGGTCCAGCTCTGTACCGTCGACAGACCCAGGAAGCAATATCGTCTTTGGGTTCAGAAGGGACGTCCACCTGCAAGCCGTTACTCACAACCGAAGCGCATAAACTGAGAATGCTCACCCCGCTGTCGAGCTTACCACCGCCAACCATACCATCGCTGAGCCCCACGCCCATGCCTGGTGTTTTCTATCGAAGAACAAGCTGCCCCTAGATATCTTTATAGAAAAATCAAGGAACTGTAGCGACATGGGGTTTCGAATAAGCCTGTTGGTGAGAGCCAACCGAATAGCAAGGGAGTATATCCTGCATAATGGTCGTGATTGGATTCAAGAGCTATATAATGATACCGGGTGATCACGCACCAGATAGATATGAAGGCGAACGCAGAAGCTACCAAGCCTACAATGAACGTTGTCTCACTCTGCCATAAGTATGCATAGTGTGCAACATGGTCTGGCAGTGCGATGTACTTAAAATACACTATGGATGCTAAGAAACTCCATCCTGAGACAAGGATCGTCGTCTGACCAGCTGCAATGAATATGATCTGGCTATTGCGGCCGAACCATCCTGGGAGGGCATTTGCATCTTTGCGAGACGTATGGTCGTCCTGATTATGCAGTAGCGGATTCATGTCGGCCTGGTATCTCATTACTGCACGGGCTGAATGTGGTAGAGCTGACGGCGGCCCCGATTGTGGGGAGAGAATGGCAGCAGTATCGAAGGGATAAAGAGAAGGCTGAAGGTGGGGGACCAGGAAGAGTCGTTATATAGGGCAGCAAAGGAACATTATCGCCGACGGATACAAACACTGACAAGTCCCATCGTAGTCAGTGAGCGTGTTGCAAAGCTGGCTTGAGGCTGAATGATGTTATATTTCGGGTACCAGGTCCCTGGATGTCCGCGCGAAAGGCAGAAATGGCAAACAAGGTCCGAGGGCATGCAAACGGCATGCTGCATCTGTGAAGGGTTTTTAATGGTAACGTTCCATGAACAACGTTCTCGGCGTCTATCAACTTACCAACATTAGCACCTTTGGAGGCGCCGTCCATTAGGAAGACCGTGATGATGGCAAGATGAACAAGGGCATCAGCGTTCAAGTGATTACCGTGAAGCTCTTTTCTTCTCAGAATAGTTGAGGATAAATGTAGGCACTGCTCTAGCGTGTTTGAAATGTTTATCAGGCTACAGAGAAGGAGGTGAGTGGAACTCACTAGATTTCGCAGGATATACAAATATTGCCTTTCAGCTTTCGGAGTTTAAGGCACTATCAAACTGCTCTCGCTCGTGTCACAGGTGCCGGTGAATGTTCAATGAGGTAATTCGGTGGCTGAAGAGTACCGCACTTCCCTCCTGTTCTCAATCCCCAACTTCGGTACTAACTATGCTCGCCACATCCGTATGTCGCGGTGCCACCGGAGCTCGCCAGCTTCCGACAGGTGACACCCTGTGGATGCTCTTCAAATGGTCCTTGATCGCTTGATCGCTTCCAGTAGCTTATCGGGTCACTGGAGCTTCAAAAAAGCCTAATGCAAGAGGTTGCTCACCTTGGGACAGCTCTCCTGAGCCTACTGATTTGATCTACCTCCAAGGGACATTGGACAGGTTTTGTCTTCTCTCACTGCCCTGCGCTAAAATGAGGCTTGCTTTGAACTAAGTACTAGTAAACCACTTTCGCTAGCGCAACAATTATCTTCTTATAAGCGCGCGTTCCTGGACCCTGTACTTACAGCGCTAAAGAATGACAAGATATCTTCTATCATCTACGAATGGCTTTATGAGTAATGTCTGAACTCACACGAGGACACCGTGCTGGGAAAATATCCGCGCACTGCGGAATTATAGACCATCATAGACGCAGCTTCCGTACTTACGTCCCGGTTTTAGCTGAGACTAAGAGATAAGCGCTAGCGCCCGCATAGCCTTAAGCTGGTATAATCGCGTCTAATCTGATAGATAGGAGATTTGAGTCTGCAAGGATGAGCCCCGTTGTCAGCAGTAGACATAGCCTGAGTTCCAATTGATCAGATACCATCTTGATTCCGGCAAAAACCAACAAGAGAGAGTAGGAGCTCTTCTGAAGACAGCAACATTTGTTCGTTGGTGTGGGTAGTGTGCGTCTGGAGGATCTCGATAATTAATGTGGCGTGCCTCGTGTTGCTCCGTGGCCGCTAAGGTCAGAAGGTGTATAGGGCCCAGGCTGAGCGTCAGTTTCATGTTACTATCGTGAGCGTCCGATATCTCATACCTCCCACGAACTTTTTTAATAATCGCAACCTTTGTTTTCCCTAACGCCAGCTCGGAGTAGAATTTTATCCAGTTAAAGTTTTGGCGTTTAGTTGTACTGTCGGTGGCGCTTCGGTCCGACATTTGGACGGTGAAATCAATTGAGATGCGCCTCAGGCTGATGAATATGCTTGTGTTCGGCTGTTCTTGGTGCGGGAGGTTATCTAAGATCGATTTGGCATGGAATTCGGCACTTGCGTTGTTCATAAACACAAACCTGATATCTCAGGTAGGGAAATGGTTGTGTTGTTTAACAAGCTAGGTTTATCCAGCTCCGGGAATCGCAGCAGCTAATCACACGATCTTACATGAGTACAAGTAGTCATCGCCCTGGCAAGTCGCCCTGAGTCTGGAACCCACTGGAATCGAAGGGGTTAATCTCGGCAAATATACAGAATATAGAAGAAGTAAACTGCATTATTTAAGCACGAGTAGATATCACCAGAGACGTCAGGTATAGTGTGTGCTAAAGCCAAAGAAGTGAGAGCATCGTTGTTGTACCATTGAATATACTCGCATAAACACCATCTTCCAGCGCCTTGCAGGCAGCATTGACCCACGAGTCATCGAGAGCGATGAGGAGGGCGATGGATCGGATATTTCATATCCTCAAAAACGAGCCCACAAAGCCTGAACGCGAGCCTTCAGTGGGGTAAACGAATAGGGAGGAGTGTCTACCCTGCCTCAGACCAGCCCAAATCCGACAGGCAGAGATGATTGTTCATGGTATAACCAGCGATGGAGTTTTGTCCTTATCCGTGTAGTAGAGGCCGAGACAGAAGTGAAGTAAAGTTTCGAACTTTGAGCCAGCAGATTTGAGCGAAAGCGAGGTTCAGAATAAGTAAGGATACTGGTTCACTTGTATACACTCGAATACCACATGAAGACTGGCCGAGTTGCATAAATCGCCAAAGTAACATGACAATATGCGGCGTAGTCCATAGCGGAGTTACACATGGTTATTGTGCCAGAAACATCAGCAAAAGCTGAGAGTAACTTACTTCCGAAATGGACCGGTTCATTTTGGTCAGGTGTGGACATGACGAGACCATAGAAGACTGCCGAGGAGCTGTAGCGCGGAGACGTTTGCCGTTTTGGAGAACAAGATAGACGCACCGGAGCGACAAGACAGGCGGAGCTTGAAATGTTGATCGGCGACTATACTATTTACCGCGTGAGTTCTAATCGGTAAACGAAAGACTTGGGAACGGATTCATTTGCGCAGTCCACCGAGGCCTGACGCGGACGATGGGGCTCCTCTATGAAAGACTGCTTCATAAGACTGGAGCTCTGCGTCAGACTCAGTATGAAATATCGCACTACTACTCATATCCATATTCAAGATTGAGGATTATTTGACACATTTGCAAGTATAGCTACACTACACACTCTAAAACTAATACGACAAATCTGATAAAACACATCGTCTACAGAGTCTCGCCGAACGCAAGCCAGAAGCAACAAACGGCAAAAGGTATCATCGTGGAATTTCGATGGGAAACTAAGGTATGTCACAGCAAATAAGAAAGCGAAAGCAAGAGTAAAAAGAAGGTGAAGTCAAGAATAGGTTGTCAAGTTCAATCTGAATTGTCATGTCCAAAGCCGATTTGAATCCGTCCAACTTCACAGGCGCCCATCCTCACAGGAAGAATCCGGTGAGACCAAGGACACCAGCCAAGAGCATCGACGGCGCGCCGACCGAAGATGCACCACCGGTGTTTCCGGTGGTGCTGGGCGAAGCGGACGAGCTTGCGGACGTCGACGAGCCGCTCAGCGAGGTAGAGGCAGACGAGAGGATGGACGACGCAGACGATAGTGGGGCGGTCGCGGTGCCCGTCTCACTTCCCGAGCCCGAGCCGCCGCCGCTGACGCTCGAAACCGACGAGGGAGGAGGCACGACGGTGCCAGTGCCCGTCGCAGTACCGGTCTCAGTCACGGTGGCGGTGGTTGTGGGGGAGCCGGTACCAGAGCCACCTCCACTGCCAGTAGCGGTGCCGGTGCCGGTGGCCGATCCAGAGCCAGAGCCGGTGCCAGTGGCGGTCGCGGTCCCACTTCCAGTACCGGTCGCAGTCGATGTGCCAGTGGTCGAGCCGCCGGACGCGCTGGAGGAGGAAGAGCCTCCGCCACCAGTCATACCGTCGAGACTATATAAAGAGTGAGGGGAAAGAACAAATAGTCAGGGGCTTGATATCACGATGCAACGGTCGTCAAGAGAACATACGTGAAAGAGGCAGAGAAGCTCTGATAGCCCGAGATAGAGTTCGAGCTGAAGACGATGTAGTACTGGCCGTTGTCGCCAGCGGAAGGGTTAGGCTAAGGATAATGCGTAAGGCGACGGGCGACAAGATTTAGCGACGCGATTACGTACAGTGAACGTGAGGGAGTGCGCACTCGAGACATCAACAGATTGAAGAGCCTGAACTTGGTTCTGTAAATCGCAGAATTAGGTGGATTTTAGACTAATAACACGCTGTTGAACCTACCAGCTCTCCATTGTAAAGGCCGACAGAGCACTCGCCGATCGCGCTGAGAAGGGGCTGCGCGCCATCGTCAACCCAGTCAACTTCGCAGGACTGGCCACCGGTGCAGGTGGTTGATGAAACGGGGCTGGTGACCTATACAGAGATCGCTTGAGATATGAACACGTGGTCTAGCACAGTCAACTCACATAGACACCTGCGTTGACAAGGGAGAAGTGGGAAGCCGCAACGGCAGCGAGGACAAAGGTGGAGAGGGAGTGCATCTTGACGAGGCCGTTTAGACGCTGGTGCGTAGGGAGAAGGTAGAGTGGGGAAAAATGAGGCGCAAGAGAAGGTGTCTAAGAAACGAACGAGTGGTCTTATATGGAGCGGGCGAATGACGAGGGAAGCGAGGAATGAGGATCTGGTCAGGCAATGGACGTCACTCTTCGAAACTAGCCCACCTTACGCGCGGAGGTTGTGTCCAGATTTGGCAAAGGTCCCCTGGATGCTGTCACCTCCCACGTGTTGGATGATCCCGAACGCGCCTGTCCTTGTCCTCGCGCTCGGCCACCCTTCGGCTCCTCCCATCCTCATGTTTTGTACTGATTCTGTGCCTGCTGCTCGACCCAACCATCCATCTTTGACCAACAGAACCTGCACAGACATCGACAGACCAAACGCTCTGGCGACCTTGTGTTAGTCATCTCCGCTCCCTTAGCACATGCTTTCTTGGAGTGGGTATCATTGGAGAGCGCCCGGGCAGCTCCGGACCTTTCAAAATCCAACGGCGGCTGAAGCGCTGACATTTGCGACAGATCTGTCAGTCTCGCCATCACGCTAGAAGCCTGCATCGAGGCCTCGCCGCTCATTCAGGAATCAGAATGAGCAGTTGAATGGGCCTTGTAGTCACTTATGATCTCATCTCGGTGTAGGCCGCTCAATACCACCGACCTTGAATGACGCCGCATGGTGGGCCACAAAGTTTACCCTCTGCCATTCATAATGGTATGTTCCGCCGGTCTGTCTCGTGCGTTATCCTCATCGCCATTGTACGGCATGGAGAGGCGGCCAGGAAAGTCCAACGTTCAAGGTTCGACTTTTGCAACTTTCTCGCATTACTTCTAGCGTTCGGGTCCGTGGGCCGGGCCCTACTCACCTTGGCAGATGCACGTTGCTTTTACCCACCATCACTGTTCGTTCAAAACAAGGCCAAAAGTAGCTGACGGGTCTTCATCGCCGACGCAGAGCCTTTGCTTGACAGGAACAAAAGAAACCAGTGTTCTTCTGATATTTCCCTTTGCGATGATGCGGATTGTAAAGCTGGGAATTCAAAGAAGCGCAACGCGAGCGCTTTATCTCCTGATCAAGAGCCTCTTCTTGAACTCTACCTCATCAACCCCCCAGACGTACTCCGTATGCTTGTCCGTGACGGTCCTTGTGTGCAGGGTGCTCTCATATTGACCGAGCTCCGGACCTCTGCAAAAAATGATTGGAATCTATACGGGATAAGAGGGCGAGTGAGTAGTGAACTTCCAGCAAACGCGGCAATTCATCAGACGCGTTCAGTTTAGGAACCTTTTCCAGAAACTGAATAGCACATTACGAGCGCCGTCCGTGGCAAGCAGTCAGGAGAACAATGAAGGTACCATTAATATTGGCGTTGCATACGTATTCACTGAGTTTAGTGGTCATCACTTACACCAAAGTTTTCCTCGAGGAGGTGAGCAATCACTAATATAGGCGGTGGGTTAGTTAGCGAGACTGGCTTGCCAAAGACATACCTATCCATCAGTCAACAACACGCGTAGCACTTGAGTCCTTTGACTAGGCGGATGAAAGGTTATCAAACTCGAGAATAATCTGGTAGAGGACATTAACACGATAGCAGCCTCGAAAATGAAATACCTTGCCTGGTTCATCCCCATCCTTACTTCAGCAACAAAGGCATCGAGCACTTTGCTCACATCCCCTTCCTTTAAATAACAACCGCATTTCTCGCAGTTCCTAATGCTCCGCATGGCCATCTCAACGTGCTTCGATTGATTAAGATTAGCGCCAGACGGCACCTTCTCGAATTCGGAGCTAATCTCCCCGAGGGCATGAATGTACCAACGAGGAAGGTTTCGATTGTTGTTCAACGAAAATGCCGTCGCGGTCGCGCACGCCGTGCACCGTGGCACCTGAACACCCTTGGTCTCTCTCCAGTCCCCGTGGGCGAGTCGCCGGGCCGTCTTGCGACACGCGTCGTGGTACGTGAGCAGTCTCTTGTACGGGATCGCGGTGATGAGCGCCAGCACGCTGTCGCTGGTGTTAGATTGCGTAATGTTGGTGAACCGCAGGGCGCTCCGCGCCGCCAGCCTGGCTTCGCGCTCCCATCCGTATCGGCACGCAAAGCAGTATACGCCTACGGGGTCTAAGTTCAGGTACGAGTCAGCGTTGGTGAGCTGCGAGCGGACGAGCTCGGTTGCGCGTTGAATGCCGTATTTGTCTGCTGCTGGGAGGACGAGAAGCATTTGGTCGAATGGCATCAATGTCGATAATGGCATGGGGACAGGGTAGCAGAAGCGGAAGAGCAGTTCGAGCGTCGTGCTGCTTTCGGAGAGATCGACGACCGGGAGTTCTTTGGTAGAGGATTCGGAAGGCGGCTGGGGCACCAGGAACATGTCTTTGAAGACTGGGGAAGCCAAAGACAGGATGAGCTTGTGAAGCCGAAAATCGACTTGGTTGGAAGAGCGAATGATGATGTCAGCGTCATCAGCATCGAACGGGCTTCCTGCAAGACGGGGCGATTGTGAAGACATGTGAGGAGTAGATCCCGGCCGAGTACTTGTTATCGCCAAAGCCGCAAGGTCAGTATTGGCAGATCTCTGTCAAGAAGAAACGTGATGGTTCTGAGCGAGTCACAAAAACCTTATGACAGGTGCTAGTCAATGTCGGAACTTTCTGGGGAGCATTATAATGAGTCCGCATTATAAACGAGTTTATTATGTACCCTCTTCATTATAATGGCGGCTGCTACAACGCGGGCTCGACCAAAACATGCGACCAACATGATTTCAAAGTCGCGTCTCGGCAATATCGTGAGAGCATACCGAGGGGCTGATTAGGCGCAGCTCGAGAACACACGCAGCGGCCGATGCGCGCGGAATGGCCGGGTGCCTATGTGCTGGACACATGGAGACAACCCGGCCATGGTATGCTGAGGGATATGGACAGTGGTTGGAGGATCGCATGTTCGTTCAACATCCACGAAGCCATGTATGTACAATATAGCATAGCATATTCATTGAACATACATTGAGTCTGCAGAGTATATACATTCTGTCCACAAGCCGTCATGGTACAATGTTCAATGTCTTGAACTCGTTTGTCAGATGGGGCCACTGCGCACGCGGATTGCAACAAAACGAAAGCAACAATGCATTGATTCTAATACAAGACAAGAGAGCAATACGAAAACGATACGAAAACGATATATGAGAGCAGCATGACAACGTTTGCGACCACCTAACAAAGCTCCTTCTGGATGAACACCTGCCACTCCGGGATAAGAGGCGAGGTGCCCGCCAGGCCATTGAGGGCGCTCTTGGCGTCACGAATGGAGCTGTCATCCGAGCCTTGGAATTCCATCATGTCAGCCTGCAGGACGAGCCCGAGCAGCCTGAAATCGGCAGAATAAGTGAATAGACATGGAGAATGAGCTGAGCTACTCACCTTTTGAGCTCGGTGTCCTTGGCCTGCACGAACGTTGTACCTGGAGGCAAGATTCGACGGGCTACATCGAGCTCAGCCTGCTGGTCGAAACGCTCAATAGAGTCATCCATATAGTCCCAGTACGAGCTAACTGTATAGCGCGGCCCGGCCTTTTTCCCCTTGGTCGCACCTGGCTTCTTCGGGGGCAAGAACCCCGACTCAGCCTCGTCCATGGCGGCGTCGGGCAATGCAGATTCGGCCGCGTCTTTGTGCGTAGAGTCGCTCAGCGAGCGCACGTCGCCACCGCCGTCATCGCAGCCGAAGGGAGCGTCATTAACGTCAACGACGACGTTGTCGCGATTGTCGTTGTCGCGATTGTCGTCATCGCGATTGTCGGCATCGTGCTCATCATCGTTGTGGTCACGTCCGGGGCCATTGAAGTCGCTGTCGCTGGCGAAGTTCTCCTGCTGAGGTTCTGACACCTCGAGAAGTGCACGCACACTGATGCCGGCTGTCTTGTCAACAATCGGGAAGAGATCGGTGTGGAGAAAGGGAGCCAGGCATCAGGAGAAAATGCAAGTGACAATTCGCCCCATGTCCTCCATTTATACCGAGTAGTCGATTATCATACCCCCCCCTTTATGAGTTATGATTACTTGGGTGTCCACACGATTATACATACTTTACAGCCGATTAGACGTACACTACATGTAATTGTACTAAGGTAACAGCAAGAGATAGCTTGTTTATGTATAAAGTTGCACTAGTTTTGATGGATAACAGACCATAGGCGACAGCAATCACACAATGATTCACGAAAAACAAAAATCAGACGTAATAATGAGGACAATAAGACATTGATATTTGAGATTGGTAAAAATACACGGTACAGAAGATACGATACTACCGATGATTTAATCCACATCACTCGCCGAGTCATCACCCCTGCCGATGTCCTGGTCACTCCCGTCCTGCTCGGATGCAGGAGCACTTGACGCGCTCGAGCTCGAGCGATAAACATTGATAGCGTTGATGAAGATGGAGTCGCAAAGGGTGAGGGATCCCGGCGCCTCGGCACTACTATCGCCCTCGTCCTCGTCATCGGATGCGTTCGCGTTCGTGCTGGAAAATTATATATATTAGCAAGTTACTACTAAGAAAGAAGCTAGCTTGGAGGATGCGTACCGAGCCTTGATGAGTATGTCATCCCGCCAACGCTCGAACATGTCCGAATGGGCGTCCTCCGCCACCTTCTGGAACTTCTCTAAGTTCGCAATGTGATCCTTGAGGTGCTTGAGGTACCTCGGCTTTGCGAAATCGATATTTTGATGCTTGCCATCAACAGCCCATTCGTCGAGGCAGTTGACAACCTAATAAAGACTATATCAGCGCTATTGTGACAGTGAGAAGCGATGTAAACGACTTACAGCTGTCCACAAGAGAGCGAGAGCGGGAATGGGTAGGGGCTTGAATTGCTTCGGGAAGCGGCGACCATACTGTCTCGGGCCCTTGAACCAGATGGCGTTGAGGGCGGCTTGCAGGATGGGGTGCTCGTACATCCCGCTTGCGGGAATGTTCTGGCGGGCGCTCCCGACGTTCTACAAGCAGTGGTTAGAAGCATATGATAAGAATAAAGGTGTAGACTAACCTTCCATGTCATGTTGAAGTCCTTCAAGAGAAATTTCGCGCGCTTCTTGTTGTGAGCGTGAGCCCGAGCGTCCGGGGTAAGGTTGAAACCGTAGAGGGTGGAGACAAGGGGGGCGATGAGCTCCTTGACCTTGCCAGTAGACGTCGATACACATTTTTTCATCTACATGGAGAAATTAGTACTCCTTTGACGGATGCGGGATAGACTCACCATCCCGATGATCGCATTATCATATGTGATACGTGAATTGTAATGCCTGCGAGCTAAGTCCCAGGCCTCCTTGGCCCATATCGTGAGTGTGAGATCATCAGCCCAGATGTTGTGCGTGATTGCGTAAGCAATGAAGTATGCAACAGCAAGGTTGTGAATCGTGCCCTCGGCGTTGTGGTAGTGGTTGATGTTGACACGTCCAGGCTGAAAGGTGTGCCGCTCGGGTGGGATGAGATGATCCTCATTGTCCTCAGGCTCAGTGCCATCCGACGGCAGTGGAGGGGGGCCTTGACCGGGTGCGCTGGCAGTGAGGGACTTGTCAGACATTGAGGTATAGTCCTCAGTATCGTCCGGCGTGTAACGCGTGCGCTTGGCAGCGTGCGCAGCCGTGAGCGATGTAGGCATGGAGACGTCATTGTCCTCGTCATCGGAAGTGGGAAGGCTGCGTGCGTTACAACGTTTCAGTCCTTAATAACCCATTTTAGTATTTCGTTAGCAGACGTCAAAGATAAAATTACGGACCTTGTGACGAAGACGAACGTGACATACGCTCGTCTTTGACGGTGTCATTGTTGTAGCATGCTCGGGAAAACCTAGAGCCTCGAGCCTTGACGCGATGGGCATGCTCGGCCTCCTCAGCATCGAGATCAGCCATCAAGACTGGGATGATGTCCTCGAGCGAATCATCCTCGGCCTCAGCTTGAACACGATAGGCTGTCATGCGAGGAGCTGGGCAAGGGGCCATGGTCTGGGGTGCTTGTACCTGGTGTCATGGTAAATGTTACGCAGATGATGAAGTATATGTTAAGCTCACCCGGTGCGTCGGTGCACGAGGGTGGAGGGATGCCCGGGCAACAACAGAGAAGTCGGACTGCTTGTTGTGAATAGGAGGCATTGCGGGCAGAGCCACGCTCTTGCTCGAGAACTAGAATCGCATGAGCAAAGAGAGTTAGGCATGCATATATGTTCAATGACTTACACTGCTCGCACGAACTTGTTGAGCTGATGGGGAAATAAAGGATGAGTTTAATCAGAGTCGGGTAGATTAGGAGTAGGTAAGAACACTTACTGAGTGTTCCCTTCATGCTGGTGCGCGACATGGCAACCGGTGGCTGGGTCTGCTTAGGAGTTGCTTTCTTGACACGTAGAGTCTCCTGCTCCTGACGCTCTTTGACTGCGCAATAGTATAGATGAGTAGGGAAGCAGGCATGTAATGACCAGCTAGACCGAACTCACTCTGTACCCGTGCCCTCTCCGACGGCCTGCGGCTGCAAGGGCCAGCCTGCTGCACATCAATGTTATTGTCAACTACGCACAGGATGTGTGAGCATGAGCACGACTCAAACAAGACTGAAAGTGATACTTACATAGAGAAGTCATCTTGAGGATTGGTATGTCTTTATTCGGCGGGGCTGAAGCGATGGATGTGGTTGGGTGGAAAGGGAAGGAGACGCGAGGAGAGGCTAAGAGACAAATGGGCGCCAAATAAACCACACCGTTAAACAAACGTCTGCGTGTCAAGTGTGTTAAGCAGGTGATTTGGGGCGCGTCGCGCGCAGCAGAGGGGGCTGACAAAGACCAGACCAATTCTTGATGACTGAGCCCGGCCGTCGAGTTACTGTGCTGCTCAGAACCGTTTGTCAGTACTTTGTCGCGGAAAGCATGCCTACTGCACCTCAAACCCATAGTCGTCAGCCAGCCACATCACGCAATGGACAGCGCTCAGTGACAGATACCCGACACTACTGCCCCTACTGCCTCCATGGACCAATCCCTACAGCGAAAGGGGTCAGCCTGCATATCTCGCACACACCATCATGTCGAAGAGCAAGAGCAGTAGCTCGTGACCATGCAACACCCACCCAGCCATCTGCTAGCACCAGCACAGCAGCACCCTCAGACGATGTGCCGGAGCCAACTATCACCTCATCCAGTGAGCCCTTACCTATCATTGACAACTTGGCGGGCTTGAGCTTTGAACGTCTGGGCGTACACGACAATGGCGAGCATCCGTACCAAGCAAGTGTAGAGGAGGTAGAGGATGAGGATCACATACGCGAACACTTTGTACGCTCGTATCCCGGCGTTGTTGCCTCAGGATTAGGTATCGCCAAAACTATGTTTGATGACTTACGAGATCAGCAAACGGCTCTCGGCCTTGAACCTTGGGCACCCTTTGAGAACGACCAGGAATGGGAGCTGGCCAAGTGGCTAGTCAATCGCGTTGGAAAGTCCGCAATTGACGAGTTCCTGAAATTGCCGATCGTAAGTGTTCTTCAATATGAGTCTGCAAAGCAACAGAAACTTACAGATACTATGTTAGGCACGTGCTCGCCTTGGTACCTCATACAGCAGTACTTACACACTATTCAAACGAGTGGACACGCTGCCCCATGGGACGGATTGGAACCTGGAAAAGGTCAAAGTCAACGGGAATGTGAAGGGAAAAGATGGCTCAACACTTACCGAGGAACTTGAGCTATGGTGGAGGAACCCGGTTGACTGCATCAAGGAACTACTCGGCAATCCGTTACTCGACGGATCCATTGTCTACGCACCAGAGCAGATTTTTGACGATGAAGACGCGAAAGTGAGACAATATGAGGAGATGTGGACGGGGGACTGGTGGTGGGAGATGCAGGTAAGGCGGATATATATTGAGTGACTGTGTGCGCTCACCTGATGAATGAATTCTCAGGGACGCCTGCCCGATGGCGCAGTTGTAGCACCGGTCATTCTTGCCTCGGATAAGACAGCACTTTCCCAGTTCTCAGGTAACAAATCAGCATGGCCGGTTTACATGACTCTGGGCAACATCTCGAAAGAAGTCCGTCATCAGCCGTCGAAATGCGCAACTGTCCTTATTGGCTACATACCTGTTACAAAATTAGAGTGCTTCTCTGAGACCACAAGATCGTTGGAAGGGCAGCGCCTCTTCCATTACTGCATGGACCTTATCGTCAACTCTCTCAAGGAAGCCGGCGAGAATGGTGTACCGATGACCTGCCCTGACACCGTTGTTCGCCAAATATATCCCATACTTGCCGCATACATCGCTGATCACCCTGAACAATGTCTCATTGCATGCTGCAAGGAGAATCACTGTCCCAAGTGCTTGGTGGGACGTGACGAACGTGGGGATCTAGCACGTTCTCCAATGCGAACACCTCGCACGCATCTATCGAAGGCACAGAAGTTCGAAGCTGGCGAGATAGGATCAGAGGAATTTGAAAACGAACTCGGACTTCGCGCGGTCTTTGACCCATTCTGGGGAAAACTCCCTCATGCCGACATCTTCACATGTCTGACGCCAGACATCCTCCACCAGTTGCACAAGGGCATGTTCAAGGATCATCTCATGACATGGTGCCTTGACGTGCTCGGAAAGGATGGTCTTGACGTGCATTATCGAACAATGCCCCCCTTCAGTGATCTTCGGCACTTCAAGAAAGGTGTCTCGGCAGTCTCTCAGTGGACAGGTACCGAGCATAAAGAGATGGAGCGTACATTCCTAGGTGGTCTATCTGGTCTCATTGAGAACGATATTGTAACCGCTGCTCAGTCCCTCCTCGATTTCATCACACTCGCTCAGTACGAATCTCACACGTCCGACACACTGGCATCCATGACAAAGGCACTTCAGGAATTCCACAAACGTAAGAGCATCTTTACGCAGCTTGGTATTCGAGACCATTTCAACATCCCAAAACTCCACTCCATGGCCCATTACGTCGACGCTATCAAGCTTTTCGGCAGCGCAACAGGGTTCAGCACCGAATCACCGGAACACCTTCACATTGATTTTGCGAAACGAGCTTACCGAGCTAGTAACAAACGCGATTATCTAATCCAAATGACGACCTGGCTTCGACGTCAGGAGGCTCTCCTACTCCGTACAGCTTATCTAGAGTGGCTTGGTCATCCAACATCGTGTTCAAATGGCAGGAACAACAACACCAACTCGGCAGAGGCTGACAGCGACCCCGAGGACCCAGACGCACCACTGGTACCCAATTTGGGCCAAATTAACTGGCACAATCCACAAAGACTTTGCCAAACTCTATGGATCTTTGTTGGCCCTGTCCTCGACTCACATGGGTCAAATGGCTGGTTCTCATTGTCCCTGCCGTCTCGTCCACTTTGGTCAAACTGCTGGAATTTTGGTCACCCTCTCATTTCAACCCCTTTGGCCAAAATTCCGGATTGCTGCAAATGGACGTCCATCACGCTGATGCACTGCAGTGCATTCTAGATTAGGAAACCTATTATTGCCGTCATTCCGCGGCTGATATACCCGCATTCTTATGTTCCCTTCCAAGTTCCCCTATCATGCTCAGAACATATGACTAAGCAACCAATTAGGTAATCATGTCTGTATCCTCGCGCTTGGCGTCATCCGCATCGGCGTCCCCCGCTGGCCCGCTCTCCCCCTCACTCAGCTCGCCAGCATCCACGTCCGAATCAATGTCGGGGTGCTCGTTTAGAGCGAGTGAAAGCATCGCTTCCTCTGCCGACCACTTCTTCTCCCACAAACGAGTAAACTTGTCCCGTAAACGTCGTTGCTGGTCAGCCTGCTGGAGGGCGTGCGCTCGGACTCCTTCGGTCAAAGCTTGCCGCGCGAGTATGGCGGATGTGATAAACGTTTCCGGTGCGTTTCCGTCCTCTTCTGCCGTCTGATGCCCTCTCGATGGCGGTTCACTGACGGGCAGCGGCTCTATCACCGCGCGCGCTTCCCACCATTGCGCCCGGTGCTCGAGGAACACGCGCACCCTCCTCATCTCCTCCTTCAGCAACTCCACTTCCTCTTCCCATCGCTTGGTGCGCGCGCAGGCTTTTAACCACTCGATTTGAATGCCTGGAGCATTGGTGAGCCACGATGTTCTCGTTTGACTGTTTATATCGTACCTTCGCGAGACTCTTTCCCGCTTTCCCAGTTTGTTGAATCTGACGTAGTCCATATCCACGATACGGTCCGCTGGCCCTCCCCCAATCCTCGTTGTATCTCATCCGCTCTCTTCTTCGACATCCCTTCCTCACCTTCGGGCTCCTGAAGCGCACGCAGGTCTTTTTTCAGGAGCGGCTTCAGACTCTGCTGCCAGAGGCCTGGTCCTTTGAGCGAGACGAGGGCGTCGTACGATTCTTCATACTTGGTGCGTTCCGCCTGGAGTTTTCGTTCGTAATCTTGAACTAGTTTTACCGCTCGCGTGGTTGCCCTTTGTCCTCTAATATTCAGAGATCGGTGAATGGTAAAATGATACCTCGTCTGCAGCAGTGATCGAACTCTGTCGAGACTGGTGTAGCACTGGGCATTGCGCAGCTCGCACTCGACCTCGTCGATACTATGGGTACAAATCTTCCGCTTCTCCTGATCCAGTGCCGAGGGGAGCGTGAGCTTAATGTCTTCGGCGGACGATTGACGATCACCATCGCTGGCCGCCATGAGAGCGCTGATACCGGGCATGTACACGTTCTGGACTTCACGCAGCTTCTCGATCTCCCGGTAAAGGTTGGTCCGGCGCAACTCGACCTGCGTGCGTTCTTCGGCGGTAAGCTCTCTCAAGCGTTGCAGATCAGCGCGGATGCGACGTCTGTGTGTGCGGTCAGCGCTATCAATGCACCAGACGAGTGAGACAACATACTGCTTATCCTCAATGGACATCGCCATGCGTATGAAGACGCTAGGCGATATGTCGTGTGGGAGGACGAGAAGCTCTTTCTCTTTTTGCACCAATCTCGCTCTGACATCGGCCTCAGATATAGCTACAAGGTACCCTCGTCAAATATATGGTTCACGGAGATGAAGAGCAGACGCACATGGTCGAGAGGGAAGGTATGGATTCAGTTTTTTGTGGTCCTTCTCCCAAACATCCCTCATGTTCGACCAGGCTTCGCGATCCTTGGAATCGATAGAATCATTGAATAGATCAAGCGCGTCTCGCTGGATGCTTCGCATGTCCAATGCCACGAGAAGTCGACGCCGAAGAATGGTACCGAGGGTGTAGTATTTGTGTAAATTATGCCATGTGAAGAGAAGATCAAGCGTATCATGCCGGAATCCAAGTGTCATCTCCTTAGTGCTGTTACTCGCAAGGTTGATCTCAGACCAACCATGTTCAATCCCTTCGCCATCGGTGCGGCCTGCACCCAGCATCAGATTGAGTGAGTGCAGTACTGCGCAGATCTCTCCGTGACCGGGAGCATGAAACTTAGGCACACAGAAGACGAGCGCGTTTACGAGCGCCACCAGCGAAACCTGCATTTCTGGAGGCAGGTTGTCCATCCGAGTGAAAAGGTTAACCTTCCACTGACATGCAATGTCGTAGGAAATGACCACCATGAGTAACAGGAGTGGGGCAAGAACCAAGAAGAACAAATAATCCATATTGCAATTTCTATATCACGTTAGTAGGTGCACATATTATATTACTGAACACTTACCGCTCTCCGTTCTGCAGATCGCCCACCCCGAGGGCTCGAATAAATTCGTGTCGAGCGCACATGACCATACCTACGCCAGTAGCGCGTAGTCCATTTGTGAACTTGCTGTTGACGGTCTCCATTGCTCGAAAACCGCTACAAGTAGAAATCTACGACGGAGCAACGTGAGTACAAACGTACAGACAGGAGATTTTCAATTGGGATTGCTCACATCTTTCTGCGACGCATACTGACGCACATGTTTCAGATATGGTTCTGTCTTCACAAAATATGCGAGGCCATTGTGGAGCTCAATATCCTCGGACTGTTTTCCTTGTCCACGGTCGCGGTTTTTCAGTCTGAAATTTGCGTCCATGGCTAGGAAAAGGCAGTAAAGGAATCTTACGTCTATCAGCATCACTGTATGGCTCCGTGTGTCGCTTTTACTCACTTGCAGGAATCATCAGCGTCCTCCCATCCCGAAGGTAAATTGATGCCCGGTTGTGGGCACGCAGGACAGGACACGGCTAACTCTCCAGGCCTTGTAGTCTCCAGTCCGTTGGCGACATTGCCGCGGCCGGCTTCTTTCATGAGGCGAATATGCCCATGCTGTCGTACCGTACGAAGGAACACTTTATATCGGCTCTTTGATGCATCGTGAGTCACCGATCAACAATCAAACAACGGACTTACCGGTGGTACGTCAAGTCCAAGCAGATCAGTCAAAAGCTCGAGCGACTGATAAAACCCATGGCCAGATATCTCGGTTTTTGAGGTAAGAGCCGAATATTGACATAAGACCTCTTCCGTACACGCTGTGTGAGGTATATCTACTGTAGAGGGATACCAGCCGTAGCGAAGAAGCTGCTGACGGTGAGGTGCCTTCTGCAGACAGTCGCAGTACTCGATATTGACGCGATGAATACCATTTGTATGAATGACGGCAAACTTTGCATGGCCTGACTTTCGAAGACCGCAACTCGTCCCGTCTTCGTGCCCCAGGCGAACTGTGAGCCCCATGTTCCTCAATGAGACACGTGAAAAGAATTGGCCATTCCATTTCTAAACAGGTATTTGGATCGAACTCTGTGCACAAGGATAGCAGTCGGAAAACGTACTTGAATGAAATGCAGAGGCAAATTTCGGTGCGCATCTAAACAACACTCCTCGCAGAACATGTAATGTCCGCTGCAGCTCTCGCAGCGGTATTCCCTTGTCCTTCCGCTTTTACATGCACACTGATATGTTGCCGCATTGCCCCGACCCTCACGTCGTAAGTCCTCGTCAAGATATTCGGCTCTATACCCATCGCGTGCACTGTCACCCAGCCAGATTTGGAGTGGATCATCCTAACAGCTCTGTAAGTAACTCACATAGTCAATGATCACTAAGGAACTTACTGATGATCGCTGTTTCCTTGGTAGAGAAGTGACAATAACATGCTCACTGGCCATAGGCTCGTGATCAATGTCGCTGTCGGGGTTGTTGTCTGTGTCCATTGCTGGATCTAGTGTGGGTTCCCAGTGACTGGGGAACTCTTCTTCTTCGCGACTTGACGCCCCCGCTGGTTGGACTTCACTAGGCGTCTGTGGCCTGTCCATTGCCTCTTGTACCGTCCGAACCCTTCTTTTGTCTTGAGATACGTTCAACACTTGTGAGTAACTCTTTGTCATCCCTGGGTCATCGTCATTGTCGTCTGAGATAACATCATATGTCTGGACGCGTTTTTTCCCTGGCATTGTGCCGAGCGCAAGAGTGTCGGTGGACGCAGCAAGATTCCCGTCCTCGCATGAAGTCCCCGTTCCTCGCTATACCCGCTTGCGCCGTTACGACATACACGCGGCCATTTCGGATAACTCGGTTAGCAGGCGCTACACCCAAGGTTTCCAGATCGGCGGATCACTGACATTGTGGAACTATTTTCTGACACATCAAATCAGAATCCACATACTTTTCTGCGCAGCAGCGTGGTGCGCATCTTTCCCAAGTTAGCTTCGGAATATGCCACTCTGTGGTCAACGCCGCTCAGTCAATTTTTGGTAAGTTCATGGCTCCAGCGAGGTGCCCAATTCAGCGATCAAGCGCCCAACCCGCTTGCATATATAAACGAGGAAGTCTCCTTTATCCCCCGTCTTCGTCCTTATATTTTACCATGACTTTCCCTCTCCGGCAAGGCGCGGTCCCCCCCGATCTCACCGACATTGTTTCTTCTTCAGAGCCGCCGTTCGAAAATGGGCTCTCGTCTCCATATGTTCGACCTCCTACACCATTGCCGCCGCCGCCGCCGTCACCGCACTCGACGCCAAACAAGCTCCCTTTCAGAGGGTCTGCTTTCCTCGGCAATGACTACGGCGTACACTTCTCCTGTGGACATGTCGATGTTTCCATGGCCGGTCGCGGAACACGGAATGAGACCATCGCTGGTTGCATCGGCAAGTGCTGCCGTAAGTTGCTGTTTTCATTCATTTGTTCATACTAACAGTGCACGTCTTATAGTCACCGTTGTTGCGGAGACCGTCGCCGACGTCTTGCTGAACCAGTTCAAGTTGGAGTTTCAAGAGATGATCCACTGCGCTATCCGGCACGAGCTCCTCAGGCTTTACAGAAACGATACATTCAATAGGTAACCATCTTATCACATCTCGTCGATGTTCACTGACAATTTCTCAGATTTTTCCACCGTTGCGCAGCAGAGGAGATCAGCAGGCACTTCGAGGCTGCAAAGGCCAGGTTTTCGGCCATGGATCGCGAGTTCTCTCCGAGTCATTATGTTGTGCCCCCTGTGCCTGCCTCTTTGTTGGCTCCCCGACCTAACGTACGTCCACACACACCCCTACAGCAGTCAGCTAGCTTTAACATATCCTGTAGCCGGAAACCCATAGGTCAACCTTCACGCCTCGTCGCGCGTCGTCGTCCCCCGGTGACAAGATCGAAACTATCCGTGTCCGCAAGGTGGACAACGATCGAGTTGCCCTTGGTATCATCCCCGTGGATGGCATCATCAACCGGGATCTTGACGCTACCATGCGAGACCTCGTCGACCGTCTCCCTACCAGGAGGGTCCCACTCACGGAGAACATTGAGGTCACTTACTACATGCCCCACGCGGGCTCTGACGGTCCCTTCTACTGGGTCCCGTATGGCTATGCCATTGGGGTATTCTCGGAGCCGTGAGTCTTTACGTCCACTTTGGAAACGCATGACTGACTGGTCTATCAGTGACCATTTCTATACGCTGTGGGCCGGGAGTAACGGCGCTGAGGGCTACCGAGTCGACACAATCAACGAAGGTTGCAAGTGTTTGGAGCGAGCCTTGCTTGAGGGCCGTTTTGGCCTCCTTCGTTAGATTATACGCGTAGTCTTCGACGACTGTACTATAGTAGCGAGTTTGCTGTTGCCGCTAGTCCTTATTTGTCCGAAAATGCACACGTCTTTCTTCTGTTTATCTTGCCCGAGCATAAGAGAGCCGCATGCATCAAATAAAAAAAGACGAGAACATCATCTGTCTTACTGTCCTATCGATATGTACGGATGTAAGCTCAAACCTACGAAACAACTTCAGCATTGAGCCAAACACATAAGCGGGCCTTGTCACCTTCGTTTTCAATCTTAACCAGCCATTGATGACTGCAAGGTGACTGAATCTTCCTCGTGTTCCCACCAACTCATTTTCCAGCCTCCTCCCACCATAGCGCGTCAGCTGTCAAGACATCACCTATGCATCCAGCACTCGGGCTTTCTGAGGTCATTGAGAGAATCTTCTCTCGTATAGGAGACGAGTCAGACGACGACTATAGTCCCTCCCCTTTGAGCCTATCATTAGATGTTCTGTCAATAAAGTATCGAGGAAGTGGCATGAATGGATATAAGTAAACTGTAAATGACAGATCATGCTTACTCGGTTTCGAGTCATGTAGAAACTTATAGGTAAGGTATAAAGGATCCAATGTAGTGAGAGTTAGGCACTTCTCATTAAAGAAGAGAAATTCACGTACTTATTGAAAGGTCTTACGCTCCTGTTGAAGTCCCACAGTAGACAAGGCGAGGTGATATAGAGCCATAACCGATGTTGGGTCATCACGATGTTAGGCTTTCATGGTTCACATATTCAAGTTGTGACCGTTGTGGATGGTAGCAAGCTTTGTCAATATTCGCGATCTTTCTGGAGCAATAAGTACACGGAACATAGATAACACTCTAATTTCAATCCTGAAAATGTATCTCTCAGACTGTGCTTTATTCACAAACCTTCACAGATGTGACGCACAAGTTTAGCTTGTTCATATCCTTTAATACTTCACTTTTGGAACGATTCACTTTCAACATAGGTAAGGAAATAGAACCACTATATTTCTCTGACTAAATGACTTCAAGATGTTGCATAAAGCATGACACTCTTGAAGCATAATGTGCAGCAGTGATAGCATTTTTAGTATTTTGTGTGTCGCACTTGAACATACACGCCGGCGTGCAGTAAGGCCGCTGCTTATTCCAATTTGCTTAGCATATATTGTAAAGAGATTATTAGGCCAATTAAACCGCTACGTTCTATCAGCAAGCAGTTACATTGCGAGTATATGACTTCGTGACAGCTGCATAGAAGACTTCAGCTACAAACTACCAGTGAGGCCGTCATTCATTCAGCTATCAGTGTTGCATGGCCGTCCCCTCTCCGAGTCTTATGTAGGCAGTTGGTTATTCAAACTGTATATGACCTTGATCATCAATGATCGCCTCTCGAATAACTCTAGACAACTTTGCCTCGCGTTCCCTTCGTTAGTCTACTATCTATGTGTCTTGGTTCTTGGATTGAACAGTATGTATACATTGTCCTCTCGGTTGATCTGATCTTTTCCGCTGTAGACCTCCATTGAGATTCGGCACTTGTTAAACTTGAAGTGTCTGATAGCTGAATCCTGGGACGCCGCGCGTATCTCGTTCCCTTGTTCCCCACCTCTATGTGATGCTCACCCGAGAGCCTTACCAAGGAAGATCCAAAAAAGTTGGACTTGCATTTGATGTGGGGGCTACCTACAGCATTGTCTCGCGCTGTGCCCTCGACCCCGGAGAAGCTGCTCAAATTCATAGCATGACTGTGTGAGTAATGTTCTTACTTCATGCATGTGAATCCCTCTGTTTGACAAATTTGCTAGTACCGGCTAGGTGTCCATTCAGGATCATGTGGGAGGCGATTTCAAGATCCCCCAAATGAAGTGTAAGTCATATCGTCAGCTTGCCACCACTTTCAGGGAATAAATAGCTCTTTGTTTTAAATGAGGCCGTGCAAAGGCAAACCCCAGCCTGATATTAAAATGAGCTTCGCCAGCTCAGTGTATGTATAAGACGTCCACCGAGTCTCTGCTTACAGCAGATTCTGTGATCACCCCATAGTGACATCACTACCAAGAATATTGAACAAGCTTAAGATGTCCGTGCTTTGGCCGGGGCTCTCCAGTGCGTCTCACTTTACGAAACTCTCCAGGCCGGCCTTGTCACCCTCCTCAATGGGCGCCGTCTTTGAAAAATAATTCGGTGTCCCTCAATCCCGAGTCCCGTCTCTCTCCGAGAAGTTATCGACAAAAGGCTTGCCAAACCTCAAACCATTCCCTTCCAGCACTTTCCACGAGCCATCTATAATCAGGCATGTCACTTCAGTGTTCTCGTCTTCACAGCGGCGCTCCGAGTCGTGCCTCATGGCCTCTGCCGTAATTTAGCGCTCACAAAATCTCAGATCTACCAGAGCCCAGAAGAGGAGCTGTCATGCGACACACGGAAATGGACTTAGGCGACATATATAAACTCGACGGTCTACGCGCAGAACTCACTTTCTGTACCCACCACCACCATGGCTCCTCGCTATGTCGAAATCGACTCCGAAACTAGCTCTATCCTCGCCGATAGCCTCGGCACCCAACGCCGCCATGTGAGACCTGAGTTCGCCGCGCACCAGCTTGCGAAGCTGAAGGAGCGTGTTTTAACATACACCGAGTACGTTGTATCCCCCGTCTCAGGTCTGACACAGCGCTCACCTATTTCTCAGAGAACAGGATCAAGTTCTCAAGAAGCAGCACCGCACCGACGAGAGGCGTCGTTCAGAGCTTCCAGACTACCCAGTAATTGGTGCAGGCCCGTAAGTAGAATTGTTCACCCTCCTCCGAGTCAAAGCATTGTGTATGTTGACGCCTTGTGTAGCTTTACCATCGCAGACTGCGTCGACGCTGTGCTCGACATTCAAGACCTCGCTGTCGCCTTCATCGATGGCACTCCGGACAAGTTCGGTATGCTTCTTCTCTGCCGATACGATCTATCGAAGGAGAACGACGTGCACTACGACGTCGGCGACAAGCGCATCCTCACGGATGCTGTCCAATACCTTATGTCACTCCACGTGCGCCTTCACGGCATTCAGTATTTGATTTGGCAGTTGTCGCAGGACTGCCCCGAATATCGCGAGGCAGACGAAGTTGGGTGCTACATTACGAAGCATATCGCTATCGTCGACGACTTACTCAATCACGTTAATGGTGGTGCGGTGGACATGTTCGAGTCAATGTTGATGAGTCTGTTCTTGTTTCAGTCAGTCAAAGAGTAGATACCTTCAGGACTTATCCGTGTAGAATAATTCGAAATAATCATGTGCGATTTGCTTCACTTCCCTAAGTTCAACGCCATCCAGACCAATCAATTCTTACAAAACTATGTTTCACGGCCTTTGACGACATCGCTGTAACCACTGGAACAATCAATTCGAAGAATGCTTTGGAGCAACGTAAATGTCACTAAGGTTTATCGGGTCGGCGAAAGCCCCGATTTTCCCAAGATATTATACGCTGGCGTCAAGTCAAAGAGTTCTATTGGCGAATGTGTACCTGGTTTGGTGCCACGCGGATCTTTCCAGGGACAGGAGTTGATTCCCACATACTCATTCTACGAATATTTGCTAGCAGGCAGTACGCCACCGATGGTGATCCCGTATCATGTTTCCACCTAATCATTCCCATGTCACGGAGCTCATTATATATTAGTTTTTTGTTTTCGAACATGCGCTTTGGGCACACTAGTGTAAACCGGATCGAAGCTAACAGCTGCATCCGTACTTTCTGGGGTGTTGATCACACAAGGTAACATCAAGAAGGCTGGTAATCTCAAGCACAATTTCACAAAGTATTCTATGCTAATGTAACTTCTGTCTACCGACGTCGGGGACGCTTTTTGGCTTTGGGCTTGTCAGTTTCCAGGGAATCATCACTTCTAAGTACATCATCAGAATAGAACAAGCCAGTCGGAACGGTAACACTTACTGAGATCGGGATTTAGCGATAGAGTTCATGACCCAGCACACATCGTCCACAGCGGCGGTCCATCGAGGGTCCGTGTATGCGTCGGATGTCTCCGCAGCCCACCATTTGAGTGAGACGACGACGGATACGAAGCCGTTTATTCCTGGCTTGTCAAGCCCAGACCAAACACCGTCCTCACGCGGGAGCTGGATAGCCGTCGTCCCTGACGGTGTGTCGATGTTACGCCATTCCGGCTGGAGGCGAGCCCACCAACCCCACCAGGTGCTTGCATACCTGTCAAGGTCCGCAATGGAAGGACGATACAACGGGTTACGTCCACGATTGATCCACAAACCGAGTTGTTCGGGCCTGCCGGAAGCATCCAGCGCCTTACCGCCTTTCATAGGCTGGAACTTCGACGAGCTCTCAAGAGCGAGGCATGCTTCAACGAGGTTCGTATACGTGTTGGGGAGCTTCCAGCCCTGGCGGCCAGTGACAAGATTTCCCTTACCGTCCTTGAGTTTCTGGCGATCGTCCATGCTCAGGAGGTCGGGGGCACTGAGATAATCAAACACGTCGCGGGCCCACTGAGGGGCATCATCGAGGAGAGTGACGTTTGACAGCTCAATACGTCGATGGCCGCCCGCACCGCCCCGTTCGCCTGAAAGCATGAATGAGGACATGTCGTTTACACGCGTATTGAGGGGGACATACCTGGCGCCTCGGGTGGCCCTTCTATTTGAGGGTCACTTCTGCTTAGGGAATAATAAATACGCTCAGGTCAGAAAATGCTGCAACTCACGGATGAGGGGTAGTCTGTGGTGCATCACCGCCAGATTGAGTGCTATACGGCATGGTAAGGTTTCATGGAGCGCAGAAAGACCGTCAGAACTTACGTTGTTGCTGACGTGGCTGGCTCTATGGCGGCGGCGGCGGAGGAGTCAGTCGATTGCGAATGCTTTCGCTTACGCCTTGTATCGGCCTTGCCCAGCAAGCATGACGCCGCTCGGGTAACCGCCTTGGGTGGGGCTCGGATCGATGCGGGAGGAGGGTCGAGCCGTGCAGGAGTGGTACCAGCGAAGCTAGAGGCAGGAGTACTCTTGACAGGGCCCGCTGATTCTTCGGCACCGCCCTTGTCATCTGGCTGGCTGGTGAGATCATCCATGACAATGAGACCCGCGAATGGATCGACGGGCTCGTCGGTGTTCTCGACAACCTTGTCCGCGTTTTTGTCGGTGTTCTCAACGACCTCGTCCGCGTTTTCGATGGTCTTGTCCGCGTTCTCCGTCGTCTTAAGAGCTGAGGCGGCCCTGGTTTCGGGTGCTGAGATTACATCGTGTCAATATAGTCATGTAACATACAACAGGGAAAATACTCACTATAGGCTGATTCCAGATATTTTGTATAATGCTTTGTGACGAGCTTGTAACCCGCAGGGTCCGATGCCTGCCAGTTTTGAGGAGCGGGCGCGGTGTTGGTGCCTTTGTGCATACTTAGAAACACATGTCAGTAATGGAAGCATGCCGCTAGACAACACGCACGATATAACATTGATATGCCCCCCCCTGCGAGGTTCGGGACCGCCAACGATGACGCTACACTGCATACCGGTAAGCTCGTGGATGCCGTCGAGCAGCGGGCCAACGAACGATGGCAGCGTATCGATGGCGCTGCATATAACAACATCAGTAGTGTGTAGACAATATAGAGAAGAAATACCTTTGTCTAGCTTGTGGGGATGTATCGACTGGCGCGTTGAGCGCGGCTGTCCACTCAGTAACGTCCTTGTCGTGCTGCTCCTTTGCGCGCTCCGCCCAAAGCCGTTGCTCTTCGGCGTTGAGTTCGCCGAAGTGTTCCGCCGTAACCGTCTCGCGAAACTGGGCGAGATGATTAGAACCGAGTCGTTCCTTTTCAATCTCCCAGCGCACCTCAAAGTCGGCCTTGACGACGTCATTGTAGTGCTCTTTGGACCAGCACTGAGAGGGAGAGAGCTTCTTTGGCTTCGTCTTCGCGACGCCCGTGAGTTGCTTGAGGAGTCGAGTCCAGAGATCGTTCTCCTTGTTACCTGGTCGTCCAGCTATCGTATTGCTCTCGACGCGATTGTCGAGCCAGGTCCTAATCGACTAGAAAACGCGTTTTTAGCGAAGTGGAGCGGGAAATACAATTTTAAAAAATCGAACAACAGGGCACGGAATGAGAATTGAATTAAAACGTACACGTTTCATTGCGTCAACTTTCTTTGCGAACTGGACAACCTCTATCTCGTTACATGCCTTGAACATGTCGGGCTTCCGAGACGTCTTATCCGGGAGAGGGTCCGAGGCCTTGTTTCGCCAAGGTACGAGCTCAAAGTACTCGTTTGTGACCACATCGATGTAATCGCGAGCGCGCGTGAGCCCGTGGTTTCGAGCGACGCGGTATTGCTCCAAGTGGCCCTTCAAGAACACGAAGACTTCACCTTTTGCCCAGTGGCGTCTGAACGTCTCCACGTAGAACATAGGGTCGTTCGGGTCGCGTTGAGAGGAATCGGCAACCGCCTCTTGTGCTTCCTCTTCCTGTGCGGGCGGTGAAGCGTCGACGCGATCAGTCGCGTTTGAGTCACTAATACTTATGTTAGCAACACCACACGTAGTGCGAGTGAAAAAATAAAGAAGAAGAAAGTACTCACTTCATCATGTTGCGCGGGGAGCAAGCGAGCGAGCGAGCAACTTGAAAGCTGGAGCAGAGAAAAAGTCGCGTAAGCGCTAGACTTCAACAGCGAACGGCCAAGGCAATTTATACCTGCATATACGCCACCGTCAGCTGGCTTTCAAGCGTGTTGCGCCGTTTTGGTCAGCGTTCCATAACATAGCCGCTATGTCGTATTAATTTTGGCGCTCACTCTTGGATTCAAAGTTGATTGACGTTTGTGAGAAAGCCGAGAAGCCCACGCAGGTATCGCCGCCGCGCGTGCATTCCCGATCCGCCGCGAAAGGGCCAACCGGTGCCATTGCTTGACTGCATTTCAAATCCCAAATTAGGTTTTGCCGAGCTGCCGCGCACCAAATCGTGCATCCCCTGATTTGACCAAATGTGGCTGGTCGCTGATCCGCCCCTGTTGCCTAAGGGCCAAATTTGAATCCATTCATTTCGCCCAAACAGAGCTAATCCATTACATTAGGCAAACCTTCTCTGGTAAAATCCACCTCAATTTGACCAAATTTTACTGCCAGGCCTGCCAGACGATGACAAAAACCTTGCAGACAAGCCCATGGGTGCAGATGCTGTTCCCTCAATTGATGCAGAGCTCAATGCGGCAAGCGGGGAACTCAGAAAACGTTTATTACGATTCACGCTACTCGATTACACGTTGTCGCGCGGCTATTATGTTCCCCGCAAGTGTCACCGCCCTCACGTTCGCCTTTCCCTCGTACAGGATACCCACAGTGCCCCTTCCATTGTGGAGGCAATAAATGCCCATCTCGCTGCTCTTCATTCATCTTCTGCCCTTGGCCGTGTCCCTCAAGTCTCTCCTACCGCATGCGTTGACCTTTACCACTACATCTCAATTCTTGCACCTGCTTTCCTTCATTTCCGTCCGATGAAACGGTTTCACAAAATCCGTGCCAGCCCGTCTTACACGCACAAAGACCCACGGAAGCCCGCTGTGCCAGCTCAGTACGACACAGCACTGCTCATAGAAGATGGTGTCGCTCATGCAAGTGACCTGAACTCGCTTGCAGGTACGCCCTTGTCTAGACATTTTCTCCTTCAGTTAACTAAGATGTTTGACCCATTCAATAGGCCTGCGTGCTGGTCGCATCCGCGCGATCTTTCGTCTACCTGGTTACTATAGCGAGACTCGCCCTCTTGTATATATCCACTAGTATCGACCATTGCAAGCGCTCGACAAGCCCACCCGTATGTTCAAACTCGATGCCTCTACTTGCAATCGCCAGCCGAACGCCTCTGTTGTTCCCGCCGACGATGTATTCAGGTCGTGCCATCTTATACCTCGTTGCACAGGCGCAGAAACAATCACCTGGACAAGAGAATCCGCACTCGACGACGCGAGCAAGTTTTTGTTCAATCATTACATTGATCTTGATATGTTTGAGTGCGTGCGAAAGGAGCAGTTGCGAATATGAGTTATTCCTAGTACGATGTGTATCATGTAGTCTTTAATCCGACATTTGCCATTGTGTGGCGAACACACGCATAGTACAAGCAAATGAAGACACACCAAAGTCCGTCCAACCAGGCGTCCCGGCCGGCACATTCCCGCACCACAGCTGGTTCTCCATGTCCGTCAGAGGGGTGGTGGCATTTTGACCGCTGTCGCGCTGGTTGATAGTGATTTGCGCGGACGCGGCCATGATGGAATCATCGCCCACAGAGGACGACAAGGTCGTGCAGTGCCACGACAGAACGCGAGGGGATGCCAGACATGGGTGAGAGGAATGCAGCGCGAGCGGCGGGGCGTGCGCAGCCCGGCGCGCCGACGAGGAAATTTGGGGGAGGGAGGGAGGTTGCAGCGCACGCGGAGACAAGGTCGTCAGCGGCGTTGCTCGGCTAATTTGAGGTCTGGCTGCGCGCTTGTGGCTAACTCACCACACCCCAGCAACCGTCAGCAATTGTCCTGCTGAGGTTGCCCGCGCCGACTCCACTGCGCAAAGCCACCTCGCAGAGCTACGGGCTTCATGGCCGGCGGGCCCGGGGCATGGGCCCACTGTCAGCACCATGAAGCCCGTGCTGCTACTACGAGGTTGTTTGTGCTGCTCGTACGGGCGTGTGGGTGCGGCTACTGTGTTAGAAATGAGCGCAGCCCCGCGGCAGCGGTGGGTTTCGCGCTGCTGCGGCATGCTCGAGGGTCTGGGAGGTCGTGCAGTCCGTCAGGTGTCTTTTTATAACAGAGCGCGGCTCGTTGTATGTAATGAGCAGTTTACGCGTAACAGGGGAGTTGCCGCATTTGGGATCGGAGTTTGAATCCGCAGTCGCGGACGTCGCGTCCTCTCCGCTTTTCTGGTTCCTTGCAACATCCATATGCACTGTCACACATACAGGAAGTCGCTCTTGGGCACAACACTTGTCCTGGGCGCTTCCCTCTGACAGTACATGATGGATAAACCTCACCAGTCACGCAATACAACAAAAACACATAGCACATTATGATAACGAGTTAGCGCAAAAAAATGAGTCGCTAACCCTAACCCTAGAGCCAGGCTCTGTCGCGTTTTCTATGCCACCACCAATGTATATAACAGTAGCTATCAGAACTTGAGGATAGATATATACTGTCCCAAATACATACGAGCTTTCTATCATAAATCAAAAGAATATCATAATGCAGTGGTCACACATTCTCGTCGAGGTGTCTTCTGTGAGGGCCTCAAGGAGCACTGTCTCGTATCATTTACAGCACTATTTACACATTCACGCTATTGTTCTTACTGCGTACCCTTAGAACTATTGAAAAATCCTGAAGGTGCACCGTAAATCCTGTCTTCCTCTGCCCGACTCGGACCCGATCTGCGAGAGGAAGCACCACTGGCAGCAATAGCTTGGGTTTGAGGTAGAGTTAGTGTTGTGCAGGGCCGGGCTTGGCCTGAAAGCCCTGGCTTTGGCCTGGCTTTTGAGGGCTCGGGCTTTGAAAAACCCTAGGCCAGGCCCTGACATAGGGCCAGGGCTTGGCTTGGGCCTGGCTTGGGCCTAGGCCAGGGCTTTCACTATAAAATCATGTATTTTGCTTCCTTTGTGCATAAAAAATTAGAGTGGTCCATTTTCAACTCAATGAAGCTATCAGGATAAATCAGACAGTAAAAACAGTGAAGACATTGACTTTTGATTGTGTCACAATAATCACTGTAGTAAAAGACACTTATTCATCCAAGTCTCAATGGTTCTCATTGTCTGAAATACCTAAAATTAAGTCTCCAAGCTCATCATCATGCTTCTCAACAGTCATTTCATCAATAACATTGCTCTCAGTCATCTCAAAGGATAACTCAGTTGCTGAGGATGGCTCTAGCTCATGGAGAATTAATTCCTGGCAGCAGAGTGTTCTCAACACCTGAATAGCTTCAACAACATCTCCACCAATGTGATTGCACCTTTTTGTGATTATTTCAGCAGCTGCATGAAAGTGATCCCAAATAGGGTACAAAAGAGAATTCAACTGTAGCACTGATTAGAACCATAAAATGTGATACAACAAGATAACTTACACCCCACCAATTGACAATAGATATATCTTCTGGAAGAGGCATCTCAGAGCCAAGATAAGCATGAAATCCTTGAGCCTGAGGTGCTGAGGTGTTTTCAGCTTCATTGTTTGCACCATAACTGTCTTTGGGACATTAGTAACCTACTGGGTCGAAATCACCTTATTTACTGACATAACTCTCAAGGCTATATTCTAATTGAAGGGCAAGTGAGTCAGATAATGCCATAGCTAGATCAGGACACAGCACACCTTGATTAGAATTTCCCACAATCAATAAAAACATCGTACACTAGCTAATGCTTAATTTCAAGTTATAGAACCTTTTGTTACTAGAGTAGTTGTACAATCATACTAACATTTTTTTCAAAATTTTAGCTACAGGCCCTGGCTTAGGCCCTGGGCTCGGGCTTTGCAACAACCCAGGCCAGGCCCTAGGCCCTCAAATGCCCTAGCCAGGGCTCGGGCAGGGCTTGGCCTATACAGGGCTTGGCCCGAGGGCTTTAGGGCTTCAGGCCTGGCCCTGCACAACACTAGGTAGAGTTGACGCTGTTGGCTGAGACTCCTGAGACTCCTGAGTCTCCAGTGGCTGAGAGACATATTGAGCCTGCTGGTGAGATTGAGTACCGCCAAAGGTTGGTTCACTCCCATCGCGTGTAACAACTGCTGTGCGCCGCACAGCAAAGGTAATGTTATCTTCATCGTCTTCCATCAATGCTATCTCCTATACTCAAGAATCAGTTGTAGCCCCTGTCTTCAACACAACTGCAAACCAATAAACTCACCACACGGCCTGGACGATAGGCGGTGAAGTTCAGAGCTGTCGTGACTTGGCCTCGGCTCATACGGAGGTAAATGACGTTCAAGTCATTGTTGTGATCAGCGGGCGTGGCCATACTGAGCGGTGAGAGATACAAAGAAAGGAGCTGAATATTAATAAGCTGAGTTGTGCGCCATTTTGTGAGCTCTGAATATGGCAATATATCGGAGTTTTGATCTTCACCGAACATTACATTCAACGTTCAAATCGCACTGACGTGTTTTTCGGGCACGGCAGGTCCAACAATCATTAACAGTCTGTAGCCCCATTTTCCCTCTTTACTGACTAGTGCTTGATGCCATATAATTACATTGTAACATGGCAGTGTCCATCCATTACCACCGATTACTGAGTACCGCCCCGAGTACCGCCAGTGAGACCGAATATACACCATTACTAGAGTACAGAAGGTAATTAGTGAAGGCCTTTTTCCTGATGGGTGTTCGGACCAGACACTGTCAAAATTGGGCTGGTTGTGACCGTTAAAACTCTGCGTACCAATGATGAATTGTCGAGTGAGATTACGCTGGATTATTGTTAGTATCATAAATATACAAATAAATAAGACTCACCATCAACGCAATTCAGCGCCAGTTGTCTGGTCCCAATTCTAGCCCTGTATTAACTGCGAGCTGCCTACATAGCTTGACAATACTCCAACATTCCTCAAGCAACTTGATAATCTACAAATAGGTTAGAAATACTGTAGATAGATGAGAATACAAATACCTTGGTTTTGATCTTGCTGCGACTCTGTGATGTCGCATTCATAACAAGTCCTTGAACGATCTCGACGAGCTCGAGGTTATTGAAAGCTTCATCCGTCAACTTGACGAGTTGCGGCCATTTCTTGAACACAACCTAGTATATTCAGTAATAAAACACGTCAAAATTATGTCTGCTTACCATAATTGCCGGCACGATAGAATCCTTGTAAGATGGAAGGTTCGGGGATAGCATGCATGCGGTGGTTCGCACACCAATCACAGACTAATGTTCATATTAGATAGATTACAGAATGAAAATAAAAGAAACTTACTTTAACGTCCTTGCCATTGAGCCGGTCCTTCTCGCGCAGGCAACGGAGCTCCTTGTCAAGACGTTGAATGGTCTTGTGGTCTTCCTCGCGCTCGAGAAGCTTTGTACTCAAAGCAAGAAACGCGCCAAACTGGCCGCTGCATTCGCCAGCCTAAAAAGGTTAATTATACAAAAATGAATACAAAAAGAACAAAACTTACATCGATGAGGTCGTAGAGGTCCTTACGCTCGATGCCGGGCGCGTTGCTTGCGAGTGTGTCTGCGAACGCCTTGTACCGTTTGCTCTCGCGTGCGGAGAGCTTGTCGGTGAGGTCGTTTGGGTGTGAGTCGGACCTGGCACGGCGGGTGCCAGCAGTTGAGGTCATTTCAGGTAAGTCTTCATTGTTGTTGTTGTTGTTGTTGTGGCCGGCGCCGGGTGCAGGCGCACCTGCATCCATTCTGAGTGTGTGGGTGCGAGAGGGAATGGAGGAGTGGCTGCTGCCGACAGATGGTGAGCGCGACGAAACGGACAGGGTTGCCAGCCCAGATGCCCTCCGTGGCCCGGAGGGCAGACGAAGGGGAGCTCCTCACAGGTTGGGGAACATGACCTGCGAGCGAGCGAGAGGAATGCGAGGGAGTGAGGAAAAAGGTGCAACATGGTGTTGCAACGTTTGAACCTGCACGTGATGCTGTGCAGGCTCGAATGCCGCGCGAGCCCTTTGCCCCTTTCCAGTGCTCACCTCGCTCGCTCGCTCACTCGCTCGACTGCAATCCCATCAACACCAACACACCCACCAAATCTCACCTATGGATCCGTGTAGCTACGTAGATGGAGAAAGTAAGTAATTTTTTTTTATTCCTACAAAAGCTGACATTGAGCTTGTGACTTTATGTACTAGTTATTGAATATATCACTTCGGTATCAAGGCGAAAACCTCAAGCCCGATGCACTGTTTGCTCCAATGCAAAAGCGACTGGAATGGACCTCAAGCACCTCCAGCAACACTGCGAGTCACGCACGCACCAACGTGCAGCCCACAAATTCCGTGCAAAACAGACAATGGGCAGCTCAACTGCCCCTATCTTCGAATCAAGATCAACATTATCTTGGCCACCACATGCAGCACCACGGTCCCCTTCACCTTCTACACCAATTATTACTAGTCCTAAAAGTCCTATGAGTGTAGACGAGCCTGTTAATTATGTTGAGGAAGCTGCTGATCCAGAGGAACTTGAGTCTCTTGCCCCTCTTGCTTCATTATTTAGAAATGCTGTCCATGGCCATTCTCGACAGTCGAACGAGGGATTTGCTCAGGATTTGTGGCAGCAGGTTTTAGCCAAGGCCTCAGCTGAGCAAGCTGAGAGAGCAGATCTCGTCTCAGTCGAGGATAGTTTCGAGGAGGATTTCCTTGTTTCTGAGTTTGGGAAGAGAATCTTTGGTATGTGATTCACCATTATATATTCCAGTTCACTGACACAATTGACAGCGCCACTTCCTGGTGATAAGAGCAAGGCCTCAACTGAGCCTCTGCCTGATAGCTCGACATATCCCTTCCGTAGCAAAGAAGTGGGTTTATACCTCATCACGACTGCAAGGGTCATTAATCAAGTTTTGTTTATCCAGGACTTCATCACGTCTCTTTTGTTCAGCTCACCTCGCATGCCCTTCTCTGCTGCCCAGAAGTCGGCTGTGCTGAGCTGGGCAAAGGAGTTAGGTGCACCTCATGTCCCTTCATTATACTCCATCAACAAGTTGCAGGATTTTCTTGCGGAGTTGGTTGGGAACCCCACACAATGGAAGACCACAAAGTCTGGTGATATTTTCTATCTCAATAATGTTGCGGAGGCCATTGCAAAGGCAACTCCTCAACAGCTTGCTGTAATTTTGTGCTTATTGGCAATAGGATTACGCAAATCCGCTTACACAATTTGCGATGCAGGATTATCCTGAGGACACCGGAGAACGTACATCTGGTGTATTCAATGGTGAAAAGCTCCTCCTCGAAGCACCATCACCTCCTGCCGTACAAGTCCTCGGGACCGTCTTCTTCATCAATGAACTCTTGCGTGACAGCATGGATAGCTACTTTATTCCTGAAAGGTTCTTTTACGCCTTGTATCCACTTGATGATCAGGACGATAAACCAGAGAGGCAACTGTGGGCGTTGGGGAGACCAGTTGAAGCCACTGAGGCAAGTAATAAAATTCTCATTCATGATACTGTACTTTTACGACCCGAGGTTCATGGTGGCGTGAGAAAGTCGCGCGTCGGCGATATTTCCATAACCGGATGTCTCCCCTTCTAAGTTCATCGGCTCTGACCGAGGGGGGACATGAAGTTCAGAGGGGGACATGCCGCCGGGCCTGTTCACCCGGCCGAAGCAAAGCCGCCTCGAGGCGATCACACAAAGTCCGCGTTTCTGGCCGCCGCCCAGGTACGGCTTCAGCTTCTTTCATTTCGGTTAACTCTAAATGGCAGATTCTGCTTAGCCGCCCGGTATCACCTCTCATGGACTTCACGCTCGGTTGGACGACGTCTGTCTCATGGTACGTTTCTCGCTCCTATCCGGTCCGTTTATTCACTTTTGCTTGACGTTCTGCAGGGCATCTTCACGTTTTTGAAGTCGTGCTGGTCTCGAGGCCGCTGACTCGCACTGGAATTCTGCTCAGTCTGTCTGGTAAGCCCTTTCTTGCCTCTTTTCGCCCCTCCTCGCCTCTCCTCACCCATCGATGGCCTTTTCTCGTGAACATATAAATACAGGTGAGTCTCTGAGCAGTTTCTTTAGCTCGCTCAGCCTGTCGCTCACCTCTCCGTAGACTTGCTATTCTATTGCTCTGGCCCTCGCGCTCACTTCATCTGCACTCACTCTGCACCCCCCACTTTCTATCTTCCTGTCATTTTCGACTTAATCAGACCTATCCTAATTCATCCTCAATAATGGCTGCCCTCCGAGGTTTTTTATCTAGCTTCAACATCTTAGAACCCTACGACCGCTTGATCCCAAAGCGCTCGCTCCCCATCCTCGAATTTCTCGACTGGCCCTTCCCAGCTGCTCACTATGCTCAGGACTACGACGACGACGATCTATCACCCTTCTTTTCGACGTCTCCACCCGAGCTCGGCCCGTACGTGCTTGAGACCATTCCTATCCCCGACTTCGGCCATCTTCTCGATCGCGCTGCCCTTGCCAAGTTCTGGCTGCGCGGCATGCGGTCCATCATGATTGATGTTGATGGCACCACCCGCTTCCTCCCCTTTTGGCACGGGCACTATTGGAGCGTCATCTACCCCATGATCGCTGCCCAGGTCGAGTGGTCTCGTGCTCGTACCTGGGCCCACAAGAAGCTGCATGCATGCCCCGCTCCCACCGCGTTTGCCCAAGTTCCCAGCGCCGCCGACGCGTTCTTCAAGATCGTCGGCTGGGACTGCGAGATCGGGGATTCCCTCCGCTCCCTCCAGCTGTCAATTTTCTTCTCTGATAGGTACATGCCTGGCGACATCATCGATCATTGCGCGAGGATGATCCGTGACTGGACGGCCACCTCACCGACACGTCGCAAGGTCCTTGTCGACACCCTCGATTTCCAGGTTCCCTTCACTGATCCCATCTGTCATTCGCTACAGTGGGATCAGTTCGATTCCTCTGATCCCGGCCAGCTCACTCATCTCCGCGACATCGCTAATCAGTTACGTTCGGGCGACTTCGCTGGCGTGGTGCACCCATTCCACGACCATCGTCTTGATCACTACGTGGCCGTTTTTGTTGACGTGCGCACTGGTCAGCTCCATGTCGGTGACTCGCTGACCAGCGGAGCATTGGGCCGAGATGCCCTCCCTCGCTACGACTTATCCGGTTATAAAGACTTCACCCGCAAGCTCGGACTCTCTCCCCCTCGCTCGATTGCCACCCTTCCTCACTCTATCCAGGACGATGGCGTCTCATGCGGCCTAGTCACCCTCAATTCCATTGAACGCTTTATTTTCTCCGCCGTCCGCGCATGGTCCCCCCGCACCAAGTTCTTAGAGCGCGTCGAGTGGGCTCTTCTACTTGCTACTCACACAGGGAGTCGCTACAGACTGGTGAGCCCTTTATTTTTATAATTACCCCTCCAATATGCTAATGAATCGCTCAGAGTGATCTACGTCTGTGCGATGATACCATCGTGCAGCGGCACAATGGATGCCGCCTCCATCTCTCCCTTCCTCCTCTCCCAGATAGCTCTGGCCCAGACAGCAGCAGCGATGGTGATCGCTCGGACAACAGCCCTCCATGCCCCAAACCTGATCACAACACCGATGACAGCAACCACGATCGCCCAAGGAATGCCACCACGGATGCTTCGGACGACAGTGACGCTAACTCCAATGTTGACACACCTCCACCACGACCCACACCTCCTTCTCGACTCTCTCACTCTCGTCAGACGCTCTCGCAGCCCCGTCTCGAGGCCTTCTTCTCCCCAACAACACGTGAAGAGCTCGAGGTTGAGCGGACGCGCACCAAGTCCGACAGGGAATCTGAGCAGCGCGATGAGGCTGAGAAGGTCAAGCTCGACATGTCTCTGCAGGAGATCAGTCGTAACGAACTCAAGAAGACCAGGGCACGCGAGAAGAAGAGGCGCAACCGGGCAAACAGAAAGATCAGAGAGGTAAGCATTCAAAGTTTCTTTTGTTCTACATCTACACATTAACAACATTGTCCACAGGTTTCTGAAGGATCGGACAGCACCACTGCTACTGCCCCCCTCTTGGCTCCCACCACCTCTTCTACCATCCCCATCTCTGAGCTCCTCGCCATCACCCTCCCACATCCCGCCTCCGATCCCTCTGCGCACACATCGGCCCTGCCGCTCGCATCTGCCGAGCTATCGCGCCCATATCGGCAGCTCAACGAGTTGGCCCGATTGGGGCGAGACTCCCGTGGCCGGAAACGCAAGCACAACGCCATCAACGCGCAGCGGTTCAACTGGGTAAGCCCGCCGATCTTTGCTCAGATCGATCGGGCTATTCACATCGTTGGATGGTCGCCTTGTGCGATCGTTCATTACCTTCGCCTTATCAACCCTCAGCAATTCAAGCCCCTCAATTCTCAAGTCATCGGCCGATGGATCGAGCGGCCTGCAGATGGTCTACCTCGCTGGAGGGACTCTGTCCTCGAGCGTGTAGCCATCGGTCACAAGCCTTTCGGCGTCGTGACTCGATCTGGTATCCTGGTATGTCAATTTCATTCAATTTCCTTTATCTTACCAAGCTAACTCAAATCTACATCAATTAGGATCTGTACCCCGAACTCGTCACGGGAATTGTCGAGCAGCTTCGCCATCTTCGAGCTGCTGGCATTCCAATGACGATCTCGTCAATCCGGGCTCTCCTCCTCGCTCGAATTTCACACCACGCCCCACAGCTTCTCCGCGCGATCACACCCGACAGACGACCATTCCTGTGCTCAGAACCGTTCGTACGAAAGTTTGTATATGAACATCTCAAGTGGGTTTCTCGATCTTCAACACGCGCTGCTCAGAAGACTCCGCAAGATGCGGAGGAACAGATCTACGAGCTCTTCCTCCGACTCGCTCTCTGGTTCCGCGACTCTGGTGCTCGATATCCCTCCCTCCTCGTCAACTTCGATCAAACTCAAGTCGTTATGGCCGACAGCGCTGCCAACACGTTCGACGTCGAAGGATCGAAACAGGTCTCTGTCCTCGGGAAGGAGGAGAAGCGAGCATTCACCGCCGTGGTCGGCATCTCTGCGTCGGGCGATGCTCTCCCGACGCAATTCATCTTCAAGGGAGCCACTGAGCGCTCCACCCCATCCTCGACAGCACCAGACCGAGGCGAAGCCAGCCGCCTCGGTTTCATCTATGCCTGGAATCCGGACAACTACTGGTCTACCCACACCACGATGGAGCAATACCTCGCCGACATCGTGGTCCCTTATTTCACCCGACAGAAGGAACTCTTAGGCTGCGACGAGGACCAGGAGTGCGCTATCCTCCTCGACTGCTGGTCGGTTCATCGCAGCCTGAGCTTCCGCTCAATGGTACAACGTCGATGGCCTTGGATCCGGCTTCGCTACGTTCCTGGTGGCACTACGGGCACGTCTCAGCCTTGCGACGTCGGCATTCAACGCGCGTACAAGCTTGTGATCAAAAAATGTCAGTTGCAAGACACTGTGGACGAGGCCCTTGCTCATCTCTCCTCCTCCAACAACCCTTCGACATTCACGCTCGACACCCGCATCAAAACCCTCAGGGATCGGTCGGTCGCTTGGGGCGTGCATGCATTTAATGCCATCAATCGCTCTGACTTCGTCAAACAGGTATTCCCCCCCTTTTTTTTTTGCCCCGCTTGTTTGTATGCTAACAAAGTGGTTTTATTACAGGCGTTCGCTCGCTGCGAAGTTCGAGGAGGGTTCAACCTCTCCTTTGACTCCCTGACGAGCCCAGCCGCCCTCAAGCTCATTCGCGAGCTCCCCCGCACGGATCCCATCCTCTTCGCCCGCATCTCGAAGTCCTTTGGGGACGACGATGTTGTTCCCGAGGACGACCCAGCTCCCGACAACCCCATCGACGTCAATGCGCACATTGACCCGTTCGAGGGTGATCAGCAGTACGACGACGACACGTGGGTGGAGCCTGGGGATCTCATGGCGCGGATCCTACACCCCGGTGACGCTGACGCCGTCGACGCCTCGCTCTCGGTGCCCGGAATGGCAGACGATCTCGACGTCGATCTCGACGTCATCGAGATCCCCGGCACAGATGAAACGGGCAGGGGTAAGCGTCGCCGTGTTTCTACCAAGCGATACACTGGGTACTTAGGTCATTAGGATACCTATTTGCACTTCTATTACGAGTTTCTAGCTAATATACACTGTCTTTTGTGTTTCTACCGAATGTCCCCCATCTTAAGTTCAACATGTGTGATACAGGGGGGACTGTCCCCCCACCTTAGGTTCAGTTCAAGGGGGGGGGGGGACAGGGGGACTGAACCTCGGGTCGTAAAAGTACAGTATCCTATAAAGCCTCAGAGGTAGTCCTGCTTGCTGAGCGACCCAAAGTTGGCTCTCACACATGGTGATGCTACCGCACATTCGACTGTTCCGAGTCACTTCCATTCATCCCGCACCTGCTCGCTCGCGAGCAATCACTGGCAACTGTGATGATCACAGTCAAACCGGAGAACATTCACCGTGATGGGCTCTTTACCAGCAGTACCCGGGGACGTCGCGCAAGAGCCTACATGGGCACATACGATGCATAGAATCTCGAGTGTCAACTATTACTATCTACATCTCCTTTCCTTACTCGAAGCAATCATCAATCCAGCGACTTTTTCGCGACCGAAACTCCGCATTCGAAGTTACGCCACGAATAGCGCTGCGTGCTGTTTTCGTATACCGCAGGACCCCGAGCACTGGCTTTATCTCCGATTCTATATAGTATGACGATTTCTTCAAGAACAGTCAATGAAGAAGTTTCAGCCATTAGATCGTCATCTAATTGTGGCGTCTTCTTGGTGAGTGGCACTCTCACTCGACTTGATCACGATAGGAGGAGCCTGTCGCATCTTGTATCCCCCACAGAACATCGACGCGATGGCGGTGATGCAGTACTTCGCCCTCTTGGTCGATCATCTTGCTGCAGAGTTTCAGGTCCATTCAATGGGTATATGCCATGTACTGTCCAACAATATGCATCTGCTTCACAGCAAAAAAAAAGCAGCTCTCCACATATTCCAAATTCCAGATTCACGTAAAACGCACGGCTACAAGAACAAATGCGGCATCCAACACACATGAATCCCAAGGTCCCTAAGACACCCCACCTCGTGCGCAACAAGCTCGCAGTTGCTGCCACATACGATCCTCCTAATCTGACACGATCCTTGCCCTTGCGCGCGCCGTGCGACAATGCAGTCCCTCAGTGCCTCCAAACTCGGACACTCCCGGTCGTTCCACGACCCGCCTACCGCGATCTTGCGCAGCATCGGCGCGGGGAGCGTCCCGTCATCGCGGGGCCACAAAGAAGCGAAGACGGCGCGGCTGCCCTCGCGGCTCGTGTTGATCAGCTTGAACTTCTGCAGCGCGGGGAGGTGGCGAAAGACGTCGTGCAGCGTCTTGGGCCAGTTCGCGGCGCGCGCGCAGCCGCCGACGGCGAGGGAGGTGGCTGAGGCGACGGGGAGGACGGCGGCGAAGGAGGCGAAGAGGGCGCCGGCTTGGTCCATTAGGGCCCAGCAGTTGAGCTCCAGTGACGGTCTATTGTCGGAAGCAGGGATGTATTTGAAGCACAGACAGACGGCGTCGTAGTCTGACTCGATGGAGAAGGAGCAGTCGCCCCCGTCCAGATTGAAAAACGGGCCGTGGGGGGAAGCGCGCGGCTGGGTGTCATCCGGGTCGTCTTCGGCTTGGCATAGGGCAACAAGCCTGCGAAGGACGTCCGTCGTGAGGTCTTCTTCGTCATCTAAAACATTGAGAGACAGATTTACCCGGGTGCGGTCGAAGCGAAGACAGGAAAGAAGGCCCAGACACACGTCAGCGTTGGCTGACAGGAAGAAGCGCTTGAGGCTGGGGAGGCTCGCACAGAAGTTTCGCTCGCACCGCGGATCGAATCCCGGTACCTCAAGCTGAAGGTCCAGGTTTTCGAGCGCACGCATTCCGTCAATCGCGCGGACGACACCGGGAAAACCGTGGGCAAAGTCGTCGATGGTGTCGTGGATCTCTAACGTGCGCAGCTGCGAAAAGTGATATAGACTGCCCCAGTCAAAGTTTTCAACGCGCGCACGCAGGCGAAGTTCGTTGAGTCGAGGGCATTGTCGATGAAAGGGAAACGTGGATATCTCGGTGGTGTGGTGTCCGATGCAGACTTTCTCCAACGCAGGTGCCGATGCTGCGGAGGCCATCAGCCCCTCGAGATAGCTATTGGAGCCTCCTTGGAGATGAAGCGCACGCGTGCGGCCCATGTTCTTGACCATGGCGCTGTACGCTGCTGTTTCAACTCTGACTTGGGTAGGGTCCGCGTGGACGTATAAAGGGGCGGTCATACCAGAGCGAGCGAGAACCTCGGAGCCCCACCTGTAGCAGCGACAGCAGGCAAGATGACAGTACGAGAACATCACCCACAGTGATGCGGTGGACAGCGCTGTAGTGCGCCAGTGCTGGCAGACATATGTCAGCGATATCCATGGGGGAGGCCCGCATCGGCCGTGCTCTAGCCAGTACCCAGATGCGATGCGCCGACCGGAGGGTAAGCAGTTCTCGAATATCATGACAAGTATATCATGGGGTAAGGTGGCAGGTATAGACCGCGGAGTCGTCATTGGGCTCGTAGATCGGTGTGTTCCCTATATCTGGCAAAGTATTACATGCGTAAGGTTACAACTTGTCAATATGCGGTTATGCTCACTTACTATCCCGACTAGTGCACACGATGACAGACAATGACAGGTTGGATGGGACCTTGAGTTTGGCTCGTGAGGTTGGAGCGTTGTCGATGAGGCCGAGACGCTTAAACGTCAATGTCAGAAATTTGCAAATTTCACACGCGCGTCACTGCATCGCCAGAGTCTTTGTGTCGTTGTCCACGAGCCCCGTCCTTGGACACATTTATCGGCACAAATGGCAGAGACGAGGGGCTCATTCGGGTCTTGAGTTATCTTGCCATGATTTCTACAGGAGATGGCGACTTACCTTGGATGCGAAGAAAGGTGCTTGGTCGGAGATAGGGGCTTCGGCAACAACCGAGGGACGGCGCTTACCACGGAAATACAAGCGCTCGTGGTCCATGCTCTGACTCTCCACACTCCATGACGCCGCGACTCTGCCATCCTTGTTTTCCTCGACGCGACGTTCACGCGTCTTCAGATCTGGACGGCCGGAGATATAAACCATGACGCAGCCTCTGGTCGAGTTCACTGTTCACAACTTTTCCAATGCCAGCGAGGCCAGCTTGTCGCTTCCGTCCTCTTCCGCCCTCCGTGATGAGGCTCGCAAGCTTGTCGAGTGCGTTCAGGATACAGATGGGTGGAGGTCTGTCTTTATTGCTTCGCAGGATGAGAGTCCTCGTGAGTACTCGGTCATGTCCAAACCGGCTCTGAGGTTCACCAAACAAAGGGTTCGCGCTCAGAAACGCGTACCAGTACGTCTACGATCCACCCGCTATAAAATACGACAGCCAACGACTCGGTATTGAAAACCTAAAGTCCTGGGGAGAACCACCGGATGCCGACGAACTAGTCCCTATGGAGGATCTCGAGCCCTTCCACAGCACGGACCTACGAGATCCCGAACCGCCAGAGGCTTCCCAGCCCCAGATCCATGCTAGACCAACTCTGGAGCTGGAGGATACATCCGTCCTCGAGGAGCGTCCTCTAAAAAGACCTCGGCTAGACATTGAACCGCTATACGATCTCATACCCCAGGTACGCCCATTTGCACACGCACAATTCTCCCCGCCCCTCTTCTGACACCGCCTGTGCCCTCCCTCCCTCCACCGATCGCAGCCCCACTACCATTCGATACCATCCGGAAAATACGACCCCTTCAATCCAGAGCGTTGCCCGCCCTTTCCGAAGCGCCCGGCCGTCCCCGTCCCGCCGCAGACGCAGGAGGCCGTCGTGGCCGTGCTCGAGCAGCCATACGCACGCGTCGCGTGGGTCATTCCCGTACGCGGGGACGTGCCGTACGAGGGCGCGACAGAAGCTCGCCTCCTGCTCGCGCCCGGGGCGCCCGCATCCCATCCAAGTCTTCCAACTGATCATGGGGCTGAAGACGAGTATGACTCGGTTCTGCCCAGCGCGCCGGACACAGACCTGGGTAGAGACGCGCGCATAACGTGGACGCGCGCGGCCGTCCTCGACTTCTGGACGTTTCTCCTCCGCATGCAGCAGGCCAAATACACAGGGCCGACCGCCGTATCGTTTCACCCCGCCTCGCCCGACCCGATGCGCTCCCTCTCCCTCCCTCCCTCGGCGAGCGCGTTTCGCAGCCAGAGCAGATGGGACGATACCTCAGCCACGATCTCCCAAGTGCCGTCGACCGAGGAGTCGGAGTCGAGAGCGCACGATCTCACAGAGGCGTGGCGCAAGACGCGCCTGCAGTCTGCGGACTACGTCAAGGTGTTCCACGACGCTGCGTACACGCGATATCTCAGGAATATCCTCGACGCGTACTGGTTCGGTGCGGGGCACGAGGGGGAGCCGAAGCCCGACGACGCGATGGACGTGGATCGGCCGGGCCCCAAGATCAAGCCTCTGAGGGGAGCCAGGCTCGCGCTGCTTGATGATCGAGGTCGGGGGCTGCTCGTTTGGTAGGATTGGGCGAGGAGAGTGTAGTCTAGCGTATTTATACCCCACGGCAACGCTGTAATATTACTGGTTTACTCATCTAATATCTACCTGGTCTCCAAATTCCTCCGCCGCGCCTCCTCGACGTACCCGTGCATACTCGCAACCACCCTCCTGAGGTTCTGCGAAAACTTGGCCGACACCGGCACAACCTCCAGCGCCGTCCGCTCCCCCGTCCTCTCATCCACCACCCCCATCTCCCTTTCCACAAACTCCTGCAGCCGCGCGAGCTTCGCCCGCGCCTCCACCGCACCGGGATCGTCTGCCGCGCCCGCGAGCAGGTCTGCCTTGTTCGCGACGACCATGCGCGCCTTGCCGCTCATCCCGCTCTGGTACTTGTCGAGCTCGTCGCGGAGCACCGCGAGCTCCGCCCACGGCTCCGGCGCGGACAGGTCGACGACGTACACGAGCGCGAGCGAGCGCTCCATCGAGCGCAGGAACGAGTGCCCGAGCCCGATGTCCTCTGATGCCTGCGAGATCAGTCCGGGGTTGTCGGCGATGGTGAAGCGGAAGGATTCGAGGATGTCGAAGTTGCTGCCTGTGCGCGGGACTGTTTCGTCTTCTTCTGGGGTTGGTTCTTCGTGCTCCTGTTCGTGGTTTGCTTCGATGGCAGAGTCGGAGGCGGGCTCTACGAAGGACTCGGACGGCGCGGGGTCCGCGTAGATCGCCTCGCGGGCTTCCTGCTCGCGCTGTTCCTCCACGACCGTCTCGTCGAACACCTTGACGCCCTGCAGCTCGCCCTCGAAGCTGCCGTCGTCGCCGACGCGGATAACGCCCACAACCGGGTTTAGCGTCGTGAACGCATAGCTCGCGACCTCCGTCTTCGCGCGCCCGCCCGTCAGCGCGCGCAGCAACGTGCTCTTCCCCGCGTTCGGCACACCCACGAGCCCTATATCCGCCAGAATCTTGAGCTCAAGCGCCAGCGTCACGCGCTCGCCCTCGTACCCGCGCGTCGCGAATTTCGGCGAGCGGTTCAGCCCCGACACAAAGTGCGGGTTCCCGAGCCCGCCCATGCCGCCCGCGGCGACGCGGTGGCCGAGGTACTCGGGGCGGCTCAGGCCCAGCGGCGCGTCGTCCGGCACGACCGTCTCCTCGACCCTGTCCAGATCGAGGCTGACGGGAAACAGCATGCGCTGCCGCCGCGCGAACCGGCGCTCGCGCTCCTCGCGCCGCACGGCCGCCTCCGCCTGCTTGAACACGTCCCTCCCCAAATTATCGTCGCGGTGCTCGGGGTAGTGCACCCAGCGCATGTCGCGCAGCCGGCCGCGGCGCTCCGCCTCGTCCGTGATCCCCGCGAGCGCGTCTTCCACGGCCTCGTACTCGTCCTTGGCGCGCCGCGGGTCGCCGGGTGTGAGCTCGCGGACGATGGTGCCGAGCGGGACTTTGACGATCGTCGGCGTGCCGTTGCGCCCGTTTTGCCAGGTGCCCTGGCCGTGCCCGCCGGATGCGCCGCGCACGCGCTTGGGGACGGAGGAGAGGGAGGTGAGGTGGGGCGTGGGCATGATGTAGACGTCGCCGCCGCGGCCGCCACTGCCGCCCGAGGGTGGGCCGTTGGGGAGGAACTTTTCGCGGTGGAAGGCGACGCAGCCGTTTCCGCCGGTGCCTGAGTGCAAGGGTGAGCGAGTGCAGAGGTAGTTTGTGCAGAATACAAACCTCCTCTGACATGGATGATACTGTGGTCCAAGAATGATTGGCCCTATGGCTGAGGTAAATAAGTCGACCGGGATCATGGGCCGTGAGTGAGGCTCACTTTTTGCTGGCGCTTCCACTCTGTCCTCCGTTTGCGCCGAGCTTCTTCAAGGAGAGTGTCCTTGTCGCCAGTCTCCTTCAGCCGTATGCATGTCGAGGAGAATAATCGTTGAGATGGACCTGCGAACGCATGTCTGCATGGGTTGAGCAGCATCGTCCAAGAGAGTGACGGCAGCAGCCAAGGAGCGTTACCTCGCGTCACGCCAAACGCGACACCATTATCGTGACCAACCGCGTTCCGTGACACACGCGTATCGCATCTCATCCTCATCGTCCCTCCCATTCCTCACCCCACAATGGCCACCAACGGCTCCGTCCCCCGCCACGAAGAGTACCAATACCTTGACCTCGTCCGACGAGTCATCGACACCGGCGAGCCCCGCGCAGACCGCACCGGCACCGGCACCCTCGCCCTCTTCGCGCCCCCCAACCTCCGCTTCTCGCTCGCCGACGGCACGCTCCCCCTCCTCACCACGAAGCTCACGCGGCGCCGCGCCATCATCGAGGAGCTCCTCTGGTTCGTCAGCGGCTCGACCGACTCGTCCGTTCTCCGCGCCAAGGGCATCCCCATCTGGGACGGCAACGGCTCAAAGGCGTTCCTCGAGAGCCGCGGGCTTGGGCATAGGAGGGAGGGCGATCTCGGCCCGGTGTATGGGTTCCAGTGGCGTTTCTTTGGCGCGCGGTATGTCGACTGCGAGACGGACTACGCGGCGGTGCGCGCGCAGGCCGCGCGGGACGCCGAGGCACGGAACGTCGCGGCGGGGGCGGGTTCAGGTGAAGACGAGGGCGACGCGCGCGCACGCGCGATGCAGAACAACGCGGAGCGCATCGTCGACCAGCTCGCAGAGTGCATCCACAAGATCAAACACAGCCCGACCGACCGGCGCATCATCCTCTCCGCATGGAACCCCAAAGACATCCCCGACATGGCCCTCCCGCCGTGCCACATGATGTGCCAGTTCTACGTGCACACCCCCGCCCCCTCCTCGTCACCGAACACGAAACCAAAGCTATCATGCCTGATGTACCAGCGCTCCGCTGACCTCGGGCTCGGCGTCCCCTTCAACATCGCCTCCTACGCCCTCCTCACACACATGGTCGCGCACGTCACCGGCACAACCGCGCACGAGCTCGTCATCCAGCTCGGCGACGCGCACGTGTACAAGGACCACGTCGACGCGCTCGAGCGGCAGCTCGACCCCGCGCGCACGCCGCTGCCCTTCCCGAAGCTCGTGCTCAGCCCGAACGTGACGGACATCGACGGGTTCAGGTACGAGGACTTTAAGGTTGTGGGGTATGAGCATCGCGGGGAGATCAAGATGAAGATGAGCGTGTAGGTGGCTTCCATGGAGGGGGACTTGTGGGGGTTGATTGTACTGTACGTTGCCTACGGACCGTGTATCCCCATACTTTGTATAGACATCGAGTAATAGTAATACCAGCAGCAGCACAGAATGATACCGCCTGCTTCATCTTGTATTCTGCACGACCAGAGTAACCCGACAGCCCGCCTTGTGCCGAAGCATCATACAAATATCGTTGTTCAAAACACGATCATACATCTATGCAGGTAATATACACAATATTTCTCCTTATACACGAAGAGCAAAACACAAAGACAAAACACCATTCTAACAAACCAGATCACCCAACCCTCAACTTCAAAGATTACTCTTCCTCTCACTCTCAAGCCTCTTCGCCTCCATCTCCTCCCTCGACACCAGCCTCGCCCCGCCCTGCGCCTCCTCCCTAGCCTTCTGATTATCCCCGGCCCTCCCACTCCCGCTCACATTGGCATTGGCGTTGGCATTAGCACCATCCTTCTCCTCGCGCCACGTACACTGATCCCGCCCCTGCGCGCGCCACTGCGCATTGAGCGTGTCGATCAGCTCCTTCGCCACGCGCTCGAGCACCATACGGTCCTGGTGCGAGCCTATCAGCGAGATGTACACGCCCGACTGCAGCACGGGGTAGGAGCCTATCCGGATGGGCGCGTGCTGCTGCGACTGCGACTGTGAGGAGGGGGAGGGGGAGGAGAGGGAGGCGTGCAGGGATGTGAGGATGGGTGCGATTGTGGATTCGGGGAGGCTGTGCACAACGGGTTCGTTATGAAGATGACGTTACACGTGCGCTTCTTCGTGGAGGGATGCTTACGGTGTAAAGACCTGCACTCTATACGGCCGCTCTTCAGGCGGCGGAAGCGGGAGGAACTGGGGCAAGTTATCGAGCATCTTCTGGAAGAGCGACGGGATGCCGGGGAAGACGTGCAGCTTGCCCGCCAAACGCACAACAGGCTAATCAATCACCAGCGCTCAGTGAGCAACAATGAGATGAAGCAAGCGGAGGATGCTCACGACAAAGATATCGCTGCTCACGAAGAGCACCTCCGCGTTGGCAGGGAACAGCGCCATGCGCCTCCGCGCCGTCTTCTGTTCCTCCGACTGCTGCGAGACCCAGCGCCGGTGCTTCGACGTCTCGTCCATCCGTCGGAGCGTCTCGTCGTGGTACGCGAGGTCCTGGCCAAAGGCTTTGGCGAGCGAGGCGTAGGTTATATCTGTTCATACGGTCGAGGTGAGGGGTTTATTTGTGTGCACAGAGAAGGGTGTCAATGGGTGAGGAAGCCGGAGACACGCGGTGAGAAGTTGATTGTATCGTGCGTGCGGAGATAGATAGATAGTAGAGGGATAAGCAGAGCACCAGCGACAGTGGGCAGACTACGCACCATCGTGGGTCGGCCCTATGCCGCCGGACGTGATGACCAGGTCGTGATTTTGCACGAGCCTCTTGGCTGCTTCCGCACTGCGCGCCATTGCATCCGACGCATGATGTCACACGACCGCGGATACAAAACCACCACCCAAGACCACGGAGGTCAGCCAAAGGACGACACCAAAAGCAATAGCGGGCGGGACGTACATCTCAGCCTCGTCGTCCGCGATGACCTCTATGCGCTTCCTGGGTTGAACGCAGGGTCAGCCTCCCGCCGCTGTGGCATGCGAACCGGCATAGCTGCGATGATGGCGAGACACATACAGCTCCACGCCCCACTCAAAGCACCACCGCGCGAAGTAGTTCGAGTTCCTGTCGAGCGTCTTGCCGTTCAGGATCTCGTCGCTGTCGTGTCACGTTGTGTTGTGTTCATACAGCCCAGCAAGAGAAGAAAGCGGTCAACCTTCACAAAGCCGCCACAAAGGAAGGTCAGCATACCCAATAATGAGCGCCGCAGCAGTCTTGATGCACCTCCCGCCCAACAATGGATTAGGAGGCACAGGCGACAGCTCGAAATTGTACTCCCTAAACACGGGCGTCGGCGTCTTTGGCGGACTCGGTGGTACGGTGCTTCCAGAGGACATGTGTCTGAGACTTGAACGTTCTGAACCTATGACTATTCTGCGCGTTGAAGCTGCCCTAAGCAGCAGAGACTGTGATACAAGGGGTGTCCGGAGAGGAGGGGGGACGCGGGTGGGACTGTTGCAGAGGATGCGGGTGGCCGTGCGGGGGAGCATAGAGGGGACGTGAGAGTGCGCGATTGACAGGCACAACAACAACTCATGAGGTGGGCAATCGGTGGCTGTGCTGCTCTGGGGAAAAGTGATGTCGAGGGGCTAGAACGTTTCCGTCAGAATCACCGTAACTTCCACCAGCGCATCTGGACTTGTCAAACAACCTCGAGCCGGCGTCTGAGCCAGCTTACCACCCATGCCTATCGCGATGATTCGTATTACTGGCCCAAGTGCCGCTGCTAACACCACCCCCGCCCCTCGTGCCGCTGGTGCGCCTTTTGATGCTGATGACGCAGAAATCATTCTACGCACATCCGACGGCGTTGACTTTCGAGTCCACAAGTCCATCCTTTCCGTAGCTTCTTCCGTGTTCAGAGACATGCTATCTATTCCCCAACCGTCGTCTCCCTCCGACGATTCGCACTTGGTGCCCCTAACCGAGAGCAGCAAAACCCTGAACACTCTTCTCCTCTTCTGCTATCCCGTACCCGATCCAGAGATAGAAACGCTCTCGGATATGCGTCTTGTGCTGGAAGCAGCCAGGAAATACGATCTCTCGTTCATCTTCCAGTCGGCATTCAAACAGCTCTCAGCTCGCTTTTTAGATGAGAACCCGCTGGGCGTCTACTGTATTGCCTGTCACTACGGTTGGAAGTCGGAGGCAGTCAAAGCGGCGAGACGTACCCTCGATCTCGGCTCTCTTGCACAGTCCAACTCTGCCCACGCTGAAGAACTATCAATGATCACCGGGTTGCAATATCACAGCCTAGTCCTTTACCATACAGCTTGTGGCCTGGTTCCCAAAGAAATCGCCCGTCAAACGTATTGGCTACCATTCTTTCGAGAATTCACTCCGCGATGTAAGACTTGCGGAGAGAGGAGATCGGTTCCAGGTTACGATTACTTTCTTCCACTTTGGCTTACCGAAGCGCTCGACAACATCAGCGCCGAATTCGAGAAGGTTCCATCCATCAAAGCTATTAATAAGGACGATCATCTCGCGACGGCTTTACGAACCGTCGATAAGTGTAAAACATGTGGTGGCCGCACAGCAGACGAAACTATATGGACAACGATCAACGCGTTTATTGACAAGATAAATAAAGCAGTGGACGAGGTAACTTTTTATGCGGCCTATCGACTTTGGTTATTTTAGCTTAAAACGTACCCACTAGGTTGAACTCAACTTCAACTAGATCGTCTCTGAGGCCGAGGACTCGGAATCAGGAGGCTGGAAAGTAGACTCCATCAGAGCACTCAATTGCATTAGGGTTTTGATGTCTTGCAACTGGGGGCACTCAACGTACAACCTCGAGTACTTCTCCTTGTGATACGAGAATTATATGAATTGTACGATACTCAGCCTCCAGAATATTTGAGACTGGTGACTGTGTCTAAAGCACGGATCATTTTAACACCTGGCTTTGCTATGTACGAGGCTTCAGACAACGTCCGCCACGGGTCACTCATTCATGCAACAACAACGCCTCGCCGAGCGGGGATGGCGGGAGCTGTCAATGTCTCGGCTGGTATTTGCCGCCGTCACCTCGTAATATTGAGCTTTGATGGCCGTTCACACTGTCGCGCTCTCGGAAGTATCCAACCTTTCCCTTTCACCACCATTGTCTCCCGCGGTTGTACCTGTGGTACGTCCTCACAAGACCGCGTTCTAAGACCTTGATCGCGCAAGCGACAGTTCTGACCGCGCATGACAATCTAGTAGCAAACTATACCCGGTGGACCTCCGCTGTCAGTGCTCGACATGTTCTGGCCATTCCAAACAAGCGCTCCTCGCACCTATGGCAGCCCTGGCATCACCATTCGTACCTCTGATGGCCGTGTTATGTCATTCCCGGATCCCACATATCTGTTTGGCTCTGCCCCCTTCTTCAGTGACATGCTGTCCTCAGCCACCGATGGCTGGGTGGACGTAACCCTCACGGAGAACCAGCACGACTTCCTTCGATTCGTCTACCTCGCGAGGGCTCCGCAGCTTTTTGCAGAACACTACATAGACAAGACAGCAGAATTGTGCTTCTTCGCTGACTCAGCCAAGGAGTACAAAGTGCCGGGCGCGATCCAAGCGCTCTCAGACATGCTCACGTCGCCGCGTTTCCTGGAGAAGAACGCCTTCCGCGCTTACTGCATCGCGTGCCGCTACGGCTGGGAGCAGGTCGCGCGGAAGGCGGCACGGCACACCTTCCACTTTGGCCCGCTCGTCACACCCGGAATTGCCCAGCCCGAAGATCTCGCTCTCATCTCCGGAGTCTCGTACCACAGCCTGCTCCTTTATCATGAGGCGTGTCGCGCGACGACGAGAGAGATATCTAGCCACGATTTGTCTAACTGCGCAAAGTATGAGGTCCAGAAATTCCCTCGGTGCTCTAAATGCGGAGGGAGGAGGATATACCAGACACAGAACATGACTCTGCCTGCTTGGCTTACTGGGCTACTTATTGATGTCAGTCTCGAGGTCGAAGGAATCCCACCAGACGCACCTGTCTCCAAGCCGCAACACGTCAAGAATGCCCTACAGACTGCCGCAAGGTGTAGTATGTGCTCTAAAAAGGTGTTCAGTGTGACGGTGGAGCGCATGATAGACGCGTTTTTCTCGCAGCTTCAACGAGAGCTATCTGCGGTTTGTTCCTAACAGTCTGATCTGCGTACCGTTTATCTCATGATATTTTCAGGTTATGCTGGCGTTTGAGTAACCCATAGTACAACCTTTGACTTCACCTTTTAATAAGGCTGCGAACGCGTAATGATTTTCCAACTCGATTCAAGGCTACGAACGCACCTCGCGTTTAAGATATTCTAAATTCTGGCTGTCGCACTTGGTGCATGAAGAAGTCATATCGCAAAAAGACGCCAAAGCCGATATTTCGATTATGAGATGACCAAGTATTATGCGTCTAATGAACATGTTTGGAGACGGAGTTGCATAAGAACCACCTGTACAAATCCTCCAATCGCGGGAACAAAATAAATAGAACAGAATACTATCATCTTGACCACTGAACTGGTTTTAGCAAACCAGTGCGGAGAATCATGCATCCTATCTTGTAAGACGGCCAGTAGGATAGCATCGTTGGCGACCTGCCAAGCCATCATCCATCCTCGCTCAGACTTTGTGCTCGACTGCTCCGTGAAATTAGTTACGAAGTAGATAACAAGATACTGAATCGCGGCAACCAGAATCACAACAGAAAGAAGTCGAGTGTCCGTGGGATCATTCAATTCGGGTGTGTCTGCTTCATACCCTTCTTCGTCCTTCAAATGCACGTTACTTTCTGCGGGGAGGATGATATTGAGTGTTACGCCTCCCGGATCTGGCATGTTAGACTCAGTGCACAAGTTCAAGGCGAAGCTGCGATGAAGACAAATTGCGAGGAACCGCTGAAGTAGGCTGATTGGCCTGGCCTCTTTATCTGTCAGCGAGGGTAAGTGCCAGATGCCCATTGAACCTTTTTTGTTAAAACTTGGAACCCTTACCCCACCGGTATATATCTGTCAACCTTGGCCTATGTCGCGAGGTCACACTGTCTATCAGACCCACTTATCAACATTCAACACTGTCAGTGAACTCGAAGTTATTATCGCTCGCAGTAACTGTCCATACCTGAGATACTATTCCGCGCATCCATCGGGTCCGTGATGACTACGCGCTTGACGCCTTCTTCTCTGACTGCTTTCATCTTGACCATAAACGAATACTCTGCGAGTTCTGTATCTTTCGGCTCCTTCGGCGTGCCGACCTCGCCCGAAAACTTCTTTGCCTTCTCGGGTCCCATTCGACCAATAGCTTCTGCCAATATAGAAGTCTTGATGACAAACGCACACGGATACTCTCCAGTGAAGTACCCGGTAAAGAGGTTGACAACCGACTGCATCAAATAAGGTATGACGGATAGTCCGTATGCAGCATAGCCAAAAACATCTACTTGATTTTCAGCAGCTTGGTATAGGGTGAAAGACGCAAACATAATTTGTGCAATGGAGATGACAACCTTGATCCAGCTGGTCTTGTTACATGTTATGGTGGTGTCACCACTCAAGTCCAGGTGTCTTTGATCCCTAAGGTCGGCAAAAGCTAGCTCGTAGCCTGGAGGAAGATCGCGCACTGGCAAGCTACCATGAATGTCGAGGTGTTTTGTGTCTGGTTGAGTGTCAGCGTCTCCTCTATCTTTTAAGAAGTTAGCACAAGGATATCTCGCGAACGCAATGGGACATACACAAGGCTAATAGTGCGGGATGCCACATGCGACGCTCTTGATAATCGTATTTCCTATCCCTGATCTCGATGTGTGCATCTTGAATTATTTCACTTTCCTGGTCGAACTGGAAAAATTCTTCTTTCCTACGACATAAACATATAATAAAAATCAAGATGAAAAAGAGGATATACTACTTACGATAAGTATGACAGTCCCTTGTTGACCCTGATACAGACCTCTTCCTCTTTGTCAGCCTGAGGTTCCCAGCTCTGGCTTCTCTTTACAAAAAGTATAGCACCTCGAGCGAGGGTCTTCTCCAGATCCGTATCATGACACTTAGCGTAGCGGTACAGCAACAAAAGCGACTTCATCATTCCTGCAAAAGGCAATAAAGTGCACACGGAAATATAGAGAAATTGCGCCCGCCATTGGCCACCAGCGGTGGAGGGGACAGTCATGGCATGGCTGATATAGTTGGTAACAAAGAAGATGACGATATTGATGGGGGTGATGGTTTTGCAGGAAGCTTTCACCGACAGCGCATCGACAGGAGCGGCGGCGGCAATGGTGGCGAAAGAGAAAATAAAAAGAAGTGCGCGATGGAAGGACAATCTGTGCATTAGGGTGTGTGGTGCGTGGTAAAAGTAAGCAATGGTGAATTGATGCTTAACGTTGGACGCTGTCGAGCTAAAATACCCCAGGAATGTGAACACAGCATACTACTCACGCAAGGGCGCAGTGATCGGAACACTCGGTCAGATGACTCATCTGAGGAAATCTGTGCTCGGGCCCCTTTGCGCAAACACTTTGATTATCTTGTCCGAGTCTCCAAGTATAAACATGATAATAATATCTTTGCACGATACACACATTTAGACAATGAGCGCCGATTATGGGCATGGGAATCATCGTGCTCCAAAACCTTGGTGTAAGCTGGATTTTTTCCTGTTTGGCCTAGTATTGGACCGAATGAATGTGTAGTGTCAAGAAATTGAGGGGAAAGGCAGTCTAAGTGGGATCCCCCAGACTTGTCGGACGCTACGTCCCTCGAGTGCTCATCTGAGGCTATCCGGAGTATGCCGAACAGCGTTCTCACGACCGAGTGGAGCCAAACGCCGGTTTCTTCAACTTGTTTTCAACACGTTTCAACTTGAACTTGAGCACTTGAGAAGCTCTTCCTGTGGCCTCTGTCGCAATTAACGTAAAATCGATCGATGACACATTTTTTGACTCTAGACCTGGGCCAGGTGTCATCAGATGCCGTTCCGAGAACGAAGCTAACGCGGTAGTTGACACGCTCGCGCATACGTGTTCAACCGAGTCACCAACCCACCATGATGAACGTTTCTTTCGCGACGCGTCACGACGGATCCGACGTCTGTTCTTCCTCTTGCGTCGCGTTTTTGATCTCTTCTGCTCTTACGTCAATCCACGCTGTGGTACTTCTCACTGCCACGACGTTATGTCTCAGCGCACGCGCCTACGTCGCACATCCTACCTCTTGCTTATCGCTGTCACTTTGCTGACGCTCTTATGTTTATGTCCTCATGGAGCTTTTGCTACAGAAAGCCAAGAAGATCCGTATGGCCCCATCGTTGGCATAAGTACGTTCAAGGACTCTACTATCCGTAATGTAGGACTGACAAGCAACGCTTTTGTGCAGACTTGGGATCGGTGTAAGTTGGAATTGTTTGAACATATTTTCTCCTCTGACGACCACCATGTTTAGAAATTCGCGGATAGCGTAAGATGACTAATTTCACTCTTCTTAACTCAAAGCCTAAACCTTCTGACGTTGATTAGGGTGTTCCGTGATGGTGAAGTCGAAATGATCGACACAATCCCGTCACTCTCGCCAAACGCGTACCCACAACCTCTTGACGTACGCTGCAGCTGTTCATCAGCTTCTCTTTTCGTCTGATTCTTTCTCTCAGGTGATGCGCGAAGAAGCCATCTCCCAACTTTTCCAAAACCTGAAGGAACGCGCCGATGCTTACCTTGGGGACAATGTCACCCACACTGTCGTCACCATTCCCGAACGTACGTCCACAGACGCTCCGTCATGCTATCCCCGCTTACACAATACCAAGGCTACGGCAATGCTGAGCGCCAAGCCATCAAGTCAGCTGCCAAAATCGCGGGGCTAGAAGCTCTCCGGATCGTCAACGAGCCCGTAGCGGTGGTACATGCCCATGGGCTGAACGAAGTCTACGAAGACATGAAGGTTCTGATCTTTGACTTCGGAGGGGTGACGTGCGACGTCACTTTGCTCTCGATAGAGGACGGAGTCTCCGAGACCCTCGCTTCTGCTAGTGACAGCAGCATCGGAGGAGAGCGTATCACTGACAGACTCGTCGAGAGGTTGGTCTCGGCGTACGAGATAGAGATAGGCGCATTGGTGCCCACGGATGACTCGGAAGATATCTCGAAACTCAGGCGGTATGTTGAGCAAGCGAAGCGTTTCGTGTCGCAGAGGTTCGCGTGGCAGGAAATCCACGAGATTCCTACATTCGAAGGAGAAGACGGGTATATTACTCAGTGGCTGCTCGAGAGTTTAAGTGAAGATCTATTCGCGCATTCAATTGACCTCGTGGATCAAGTTCTCGAGGATGCGAACGTAACGAAGGAAGAGGTGGACAAGGTAAGCACGCCCCGTTATCAATACGGGCCATAAGAGGCCCTGATTTTACTCTACAGATCATTCTCGCCGGAGGGTCATCGCGTATTGCCAAAGTCCAGGATCTCCTCCAAGAACACTTCGCCAAAGAGCCAACCATTGATATCAATCCTGAGAAAGCCGCCGTCCGCGGTGCCGCTATCTACGGGAACAAACTACGATTTGTGCAACCAGACGCGTGCTGCTGCTGCGACTGGCCATTGTGGCCACATCAGCTGGGCATAGAGACTTGCGATGGGATTGTCAAGTACATCCCCGTCCTCCCTGTGGTGCCCTTTCGTAGGACATACAAGTACGTCTGATATCTACCTTTGCACGTTGCGCGCTAACTCGTGTCAGCTTTTCAACATTCAAGGATGATCAAACCTCGGTACGGATCGGGGTGTACTCCGGCGAGCGCCCATATGCGAAAGACAACCTTCTTATCGAGTCTTTCGAGCTGAAAGGAATAGCGCCCGCTCCGCGCGGTGTATCGCAAATAGAGGTGACATTCGAGATAGACAGCGATTTTTATCTTCAGGTGTCCGCACTCGATAGAGCGACGTGAGTCCAATTTCGCCGTGGATCTTCGTCCAGAAAATGACTTTGAAAAAAGCAATAGGTCAGCTTCTGTTGGTTTGTCAGTCAACGATAATGTTTGGTCCTCGGATGACCATAACCGCATCGTCAAACAGGCGGAATTTCTCACCAAAGAAGAAGCCGAGATTGTCATAAGCGGAGATTACTGTTTGCCATCTGGCGATGTCAGTAATGGTATGCACCGCCCATCGGCTCGTGATGAACTATGATACAGAACTCAAAATGTCTAGCTAGTGTGAAAGTGGGGCATTCTACAAGTCTACAGCATACATCTATCATTTCATAAGCGATACTCATTACAGCTTTGCGGACTGCTGAGCATCGATACTTGCTCCCGCCACGGATCGTGCCGTTAGTAAGGGTCGCCCGTATTCGTGCTGAAGGAAATCTACGACCAAGTTTGCTAGCAAGTCACGCAGTAAGCACTTCAAGTTGGACTTTAGATCTGAGAAAGCATACCCAACACATCTGGGGCTTCTTGGGGAACCTAGTCAAAGCTGCTATTAGCTAGGTGAACCATGTAATGGATATTGAATAAAACAAACCATATGGTCGATGCCTTCAAGCAGGACGTTTGAAGCGTTGACAGACCTCCGCCAGACCATTTCTGCCGCAACTTTGCGGCCTCCTGTGCGTGCGCTATCCGCGCTCATGATCCAGTGGAGCCTCACCGATGGCGGTATAGAGGCCATAAGTTCCCATGTCTCGAACTGGATCCTTCGTTCCATCAACGTAGCTGCTTCCTAGATTCCCGGAGCCGAATCAGCGAAGGAAGTGCGAAACCTATGACAAGGACGGACCTGGTAAGGGTGCATTTTGAGACGAACAGTGCCGTGAGTGGTCGGGCTGAGCGCATGCTCGATGTATTCGTCTACTGCCTGTTGACTCCAGCGCCGGTAGTACCGGCTAGACCTTATCGAGGACTCGGCTTCTTCCCTGTCCAACGTTAGTTCTGAGTGTACATAGATACATGGCTGAATGTCCCACCATGAGCTCCATTCGCACTGGCGCTTGATGCAGAGTGCCTCGGCTCGGCGGTGACCAAAGCCTTCTGGCATGTACTCAGGGATGGACACAGACTCAACGAGCACCAGTGAGGAGAACAGCTTCGGCATTTCGAGCGCGGGAAAGACCCTAGGTGTAGCAATGCGATGTCAGTTGAATCTCGATACAGAGGACGGGAGCAGCCCACACGCAGGATGCACCAAGAGAGTGGCCAACACAGACTAGGGTCCGGTTGCGGAAGCCGTATTCTCGCCGACGAGCCGCTTCCTTGTCCGATACCCGCGGCAGGTTCACCCCGCATTGCTCTTGACCAAATTCATCAGGTAAGTAGTTGAGCAGAAAGTTGGCTGTATCACGTCCGTAGTCAGCAGCGTCAACTAGTATGCGTTCGTTAGATCATGCACTCATGAGGTCAATGTAAGACGTACAAATTTCTCCTTGATTGTGCTCGTTGATAAGCCCAGCATCCCCATGCTGAACCATTTCTAGCGACCATATCTCGTCGATTGACACGGAAGATCCACGCTCAAGAGACCTGGATAGATCGGATAGGAAGGGTTCCCAAGACTTATAATGCCATTAAGCGCGTTCAAGTGCTTTCTATGTCCTACTCACCTCCTTGTGTAATCCAATTCCATGTAACAGGAGCAGTGTGACGGGTCGGCCAGAAGACCGCTGACAAGTTGGCCTGTAACATTTCACTGTGCTGAACAAGACTTCTTCGCGAGGTGGAATCGAGAGCGTCTCCTGTTCCTGGGCCTCCTTGAGTGCGACCAAACGTTGGAAATCTGCCTCTGCGCGTGCAGAGTGCGCTGCCTTGGTCTGGTGGAGAGGCGGCGGGACCCACTTTGAAGACGGTGCGCGAGGATACGCGGCAGGAAGAACGTGTGTGGACACAAAATATCCAGGAAGGGAGGAGAGGAATGATGATCTCAACGAATCGCTAAGCAGAGGCAACGGCGGATAGTCGCAAGCTGACACGGGAGGAGGAACCAGAGGCATCATCTCACGTCTTGGTGACACGGACTGCCATAGATGAGGAGTATCTGGGATCGGGATGGTGTTCCGCATGATGTGGGTGCAGAAAAAGGTATTGGCCTTGCTTATATCCGTCAGCGAATACAGCTCGCAAAGTTCTCATGTTTAGAACGGTTAGAATGCAGTACCTTCATTCCGCTAAGTGAAAATAACCGCTGTCATGACCACTCTGCGGCCGCTACCGGTCTCGTAACAGCTCCCGCTCAGTCTCTGAATCTCCTGAACCTTGTGAGAACGACCCCTTCGGCAGCTCGCAACGTGCAAAGAAGGTCCTGCGAGATGATAGGCTGGAAGCGCTACCTGCTGCATGTTGACATGAAGATACAGCAGCTAGTTCACGTTTAAAGTGTTAGATTCAACGCTTGTAGCAGTACTAAGTAGTGCTGTGTGAAAAACTCGTGTGCGTGAGAAACGGCTGCACATAGACTTGGGGGTGCTCGTTGCTCCCGTTAGCTGCATAGATCGCCTCCTCTTTCCGACCGTACAGGCTACATACGCCTAGATCCTTTGCCAAACCGCAGAAATGTCAACCAACAATAGACCCACCGTCTTGTCCTCGATTGCCAATCTCGTGAGTAATCGACTCGCTTGTGATTCGCGCCACCAATACCTGTATTCCAACGAATTAGCTCCCAAAGCTTGCTCTTGAAATCTCCGTGTGTTCATCTTCGAATTACCTCTTTCATGTACTCAAATTATAGTCTAGGCTACTACGAACACCCCTTTCACTCCATATGCTAAGATGAATCATAGCGTTGCTACAGCGCAAGAGGCATGTCAGGTTCAAACGATCCTAGCTGATCTCTCATCCACGATCAATATCGCAAAGGCGATCTTCTTAGAGTTATCGCGTGTCATCATAGTATTAGAGGAAGCATTGGTTGATCACTCTCGTTTGGTATCCTCCGCGCTTCGGATCCCCGTCGAGCTATTGTCAACCATCTTCATCCTCTCCCAGACATCCGTCTTGCCGCATCGGCGTACAGATCGTCTACCCCTTCTGCCCTCTTCTCTTGCCATTAACGCATTACCTGGCGGCTCTCTCAACGTTGCTCAGGTATGCCAAAAGTGGAGAGATGTTGCGCTCAGCAATCCCACGCTATGGAACACAGTGATTGGCGTCCGACCCGCACATGAGCGCGTCACTTCTAGCCCCATCCCTGCCCCTCTCGAACCGCTGGCAAGGGCTGGATCACTCCCTTCATTTGTTACCCTTGATATATCAGAAACATCTATCAGTCAGGTTATCGATTTCTATGAATCCAAGCAGTCCAACCCGGCGTACAATACCGTCAAGGGGTTAGACATCTTAGCGCGGCAAGCGGATGTTGTGCCGCTTTTTCAATGGATGTCTCGTTTCCAACGCGTCACACATCTTACACTGGATAATGTCGATCTCGAGCAACTCCATCACCTTGATGATGAAGACAATGTAATTGCCAGCTTTCTTGATTGCCTAACGCATCTCCACGTATGCACGGATTATAACGCCGATATGTCGGCGTTTTTACACTATCAGAGATGGGAAGCCTGTTAGATTTCCGGCAAGGTATCGCGCAGGACCGACGGGCGGGCAGGATGTAGGTCGAGGCACGAGCGGCATGGGCGGAACGCCGCCACGTCGAGATAGCGCTCGAGTCGCGACGACAACGCCGACGTCGGACATGTTGCGATGGCATATACCCTTTTTCGTTGTTCCCTCTGACATATATTGGTTATTCTGTGCACGCTCTTTTCGTTTATCTTTCGGTCGGGTTCGCCGACGTTCCATTCGTTGATATCATGTGTTTTATTTTGACATCCTCTACGTGTCGCGATCACTTTCGTACGATACCAGGAACATCTTGAGTTCCACTTATACCAGACGATTCGATTACGGCACCTCAGCGTTCGCATCCCCGCGTTACGACTGAGGTGAGGCTCTTTATTTATTCGCAGACCTAGCCACGTACTCACACTCATTCGTAGTCTAACTTACTGGTGTCTAGGTGAATATAGCGAGCGTTCGCATCCCCGCGTTACGACTGAGTCTAACTTACTGGTGTCTAGATCTGCGTTGTTGCTACCTCGTACCTCCGTGAAAGCCCTCACTTCCCTCACGCTTGACATGGCAAAATCAAGTGCCTTGGATAAAGACTATGTGCTGCCTCTCTTTCACAGTTTTCCAAACCTACTTGAACTCTTCGTCCAAACTCTGCATAGGGGCTTTGGACGCCTGAATGAACTGGTCACTTCGCCCAAAATACGATCATTTGCCCTCGTCGCTTTACCAGATAACGATTCTCCAGAAGATTCGGAAGAGTTTAGCTTAGAAGTTGGACCTTCCAATCTCTTTGATATCCTAACCCTTCCTGCACTTACCGATCTCGTTCTTACCGCGCCGCCTTCAGGGGAGCTGGATTTTCTTCGTCAATTCCTGGAACGGTCAGGTTGCCACTTATCCAGCATCGCTTTCATCAACTATGCGGAAGAAGAAATGGAAATATTCGAAGACAGTACAAATAGTCCGATTCACCAGGCTGCTAGGTTAGGGGAGGAGTTTGCCATTCCGTCAGTGGAGCACAGCCTGAGTCTGGGGGAAAGTCGTATGTATCGAGAAGCGAAGGAGAGATGGTATGAAGTTAACAGTCGCTCGACGTGAACTCGTGTTACGCGATTCAGTGTACTATCTCCATTGACACGCGTTGTATAACTAGGTAGAAAGACGCCTAAAACTTGTATGGTATTGGGGAAAAGAATGGAGATGAACGCTGTCTGCGCTTTGTAAGTCACAATAGGTCGAAAATTGGTGTGTGTGTGCATTTCTTTCAATGAGATCAAGTACCCTGATGATTTCATGTTAGATCAGACACCGTGATAGCGTTTTGGTCTCAAAAGGGCCATACAGTATATCGTTATGAAAGTTGATCTCTTGCTCTCAAGGAACGAAGTGCTTACAACTTGACATATTCGGACGCTGTAGACGGAGCACAAACAAATACGAATTGGCAGGATAGTCATGTAGATAGCAACCATAACTTGTGGTACGCTAACATAATGGTTATATAACTACGAAACTAAACTATGGTTTATGAGACATACGGCTGATCGAACATGAATGAGCGCAAAAGTATCAAATGCCGTTTTCTGTTCAGGAAGATGTTCAGAGAGCCTGGCAGTATTGGATAGAGAATCAGAACTAATGAATACGGCGCAAGTCATACCCCAAGCACTCACATTTACTCTTTGGAGCAGCCACAGCCCTTCGACTTGCAAGTCTTGGTATCCTCGGCCTCAGTGCAGCCGTATACACCGATGCCGCTGCACTTGCAGCCCTTGGTGCCGCCGCCATTGCAGCCCGCGGGGAGTTGGCCACCCACGGTGCCGCATCCATCGATCTTGTACGCGAGGGCGGCGTCCTCGAGAGGAGTGGCGATCGCCATGCCGCTGAAGACGGTAGCGACGAAGGCGAGGGCGAGAGCTGGAGTGAAGGCGCGCATTTTAGTGACAATGGGTGGAGTTTAGAATGGTGTAGTAGATGAGTTGGTTGGTTGAGTTGTTTGGTGATGACGAGTCTGGGCTGAAAGATTGCCACTTTTATATGTCGAGCACGAGGGCTGTGTCCTACCCTAAAACATCTTGTCTTCGTATCTTGCGACGACAGAGTGAAGACTCTTTCCTTACACAAAGTCGTGCGTTATCACCCTCAAGACCGCTCCCCGAGCGACTGAATGGACCTGAAACAGTGCAACGAGGTCAATCGGCGGTGTGGGGTAATTTGTGATCTCAGTTCCTCCCTGATGGAAACAAAAAGAAGGAGCCGAGGTCCGGAAAGCGCCAAGTACATCATCAGCGCGGTGGCATCGACAATGAAACCGGAGGTAACACCGTTGTAGTGAGCAAGAAATAAATCAGTCTCATCGTCATTTTGTGGGTTGTGAACATAGAAGAAAGCCACGCACATAATCTAGGAGCAAGTCGACAGAAGATCAGTATCGCTGAGTAGAGCAGCTGAAACGGCCTTTCGAACCAAGCGCGAGAGCAGCTCACAAAAACGACTCCTCACAGTCAGATCCGGACTCAGCGGAGAGATCCCTTCGTGCGCTAGACTAAAAAGTAAAGTCTTCGCGTCCGATGTGCGCAGAAGAGAAGATCGTCGGTGGTCCATAGACCATAGCATTCAATGATGGCCGTTATTGCTGATGAGAATCTCCGAGGAGAGAGGGTCGCTGTGCTAACTCGGTGGGGAACGATTATCGAGAGAGAGTTGACAACTCACAGCCAAACCGCTTACGGCAGTGAATTACGGAACTCGGAAGGCGCCTCGTTGCATTGAGAGTTTGGAGTGCGAAGAAGTGAAATGAGGCCCTGACGCACGAGGAGAAAGGAAGATGAGATGGGGCTCTGTACAGATGTCGAGCAGGTCCGTGAGGCGATGGGCGATGGAAGAAGCGAGCCAAGGGTAACCCGACTTCACCGGCGCTTAACACGAAACCGGAGTAATCGACGCGAGCAGAAGAAACATGAGCAGGAGGTCATCATTGCTTGGTGGAGTATCGTTTGGTTGTGTCGTAACGAGTTCTTATGATGCGATGGCGAGTTACTCGACTGATCAGCCCTAGCTTAGCGTCCCAGTGAAATGGTCAATTCGCTCACACTTGCTCAACTTGGATGAGGACGTCTTAGCGTTCCGGTAGCGCCGAGGTTATCAGACCTCACTTGTCTCCGATTTCCGGTCTACATCGTATTCTCTGCGTGTCCTGTTTGAGTCGTGAAGACCGCTTGCCTAGCACAAATTGTTCTAGTCGCCTAACACGTTCAAGAGTTGACCCACGGCAGCAGCCAAGACAATACCGACAGAAAACACGAGAAGTCAGTAATTTAGGGTGCATGCATAGATTGAAGCTTAAATGTACTATCTTTAGCCCGCAGTGTTGTTATCCAAGAGCAAAGGCGCCTCTTCTCGTCGGAGTCTACGACCGCTTGGCCCACCGGAGAAAAGGTGAAACATTGCGACGAGGTAAATCACAATGACTGTGGAGGTGTGGAGTAGTGGATGCGCAAGCGCTGAGCTACGAAGGCAGAGCAGCGTCAACGGAGTCGACGGAGGTAGAAAGGATTTACGTCACAGCAGCTGAAGATGAAACCAGTACATCCGACACAAAGGTTTGAGTTCGGAGCTTCGTCCGTGAGCCTGCGCCTCGGTTCCTTTGATCCGTGGTAAACATTTGCTAGTGCTCTGGTGAGCAGATCATATGCTTACATCTACCCCAGATCCACGAGAAGATCAATGATGTCTTGACATAAGACCGTCTTCTCATCTCCCGTACCGCTGAGGACACACACGAAACACCTGGACAAGAAATTTGACTGGGCGGTCTCACGTCGGCGATTGTCATAAGGAGAAAAAACCCAATCACATTTCGTCATTGAAACGCGTCTTTCAGAAACAGGATTCTCAACTGAGATAATCAGAGATTTGGGGACGTGGTGCTTACCATGAGACTGAACAGAACCTCAATCCGTGGTGAGCATTCCTGAAACAATGGGATCCACCACTGATTGTTCGTGGTGGAGAGTCACGATAGGACAGCCTACCGTCGCTAGACTGTGAAACAAACTTGGCGAGTACGGAGCGACCCTTGGCTGGTCGTCTCGGCGTTGAAAGTGCTAAGGTCGAATTGACTCTGAGTGCGCCTAATTCGGCGTTCATGTATAAAAACAATGCTGTCGGTGGTTCATTCGCTCAAAACACAAGCCTCCTACAAAACAACTAGACCAATCACCACTACCACCAACATGCAGTTCAAATCACTCACCTCTGCTATCGCGCTCACTCTCGCTGCCACCGCATTCAGCGGCGTCGCTGCCACTCCTCTCGAGGATGCCTCACTCGCCTACAAGATCGCCGGCTGCGGCTCGTCCGGCAGTCAGCTGCCTAGCTACTGCAACGGCGGTGGCACCCAGGGCTGCAAGTGCAGCGGCATCGGCGTGTACGGCTGCTCCGCGAAGGCGGACACCGACACCTGCAAGTCCAAGGGCTGCGGATGTCAGAAGGAGTGAGAGTAGGTAATATCCAGCTCACGTTCTCCTACAATGTATGCTGACTGTTGCGATCCAGGTTCACACTATTGTGCCATCGGTTGCATCTGGAGATGTTGATTAGCTATACTCGCGGACCGCAGGAGTGACTGGTAGACGTTACGTACTTAGCGCTTACCCAGATCCTTACTTGTTCTCGAACTGTTCTACAATGGGATGCACTTACCGAGCGGACGTCAACCGTTCAAGCTTCAACGTCTTTGCGGGAGCCGTTTGTCCCTGACATCTTCAGCACCTTGTAAACCGCTTTCATTTAGACAGATTCCTAGACAGACTAGGATCTTCGGAGAAATCACGAAAGCAGCTTACTACCCGGAGAGTACTGTGCACAGTCCGTGTTTAGCGCCTAGATCTTTAACACTTGACCGACGTGACTCATGAGTGAAAATCTAGATACAAGCCCATTAGGCTGTACAATGTCATTGAGCCATATTTCAGCCTGCTCCTTGTGCAGTTCTCAAGGTCTGCCGCGGGATCTGTGAAGAATAAAGCAAAGACATGTGCGGAATTCTTTCTAGCATGGCTAGGTCATGGTCGAGTCTTGATGCATGATGGTGGTTGGATTCAGGGCTCACGGAAGTGGCCGACGCGTCTGACGCGACCCGGCACTACCCGATGCAGCCTGTGCCATGCGACTTGTCCTCAACTTCAGCGCAGTGCTTGGCGCAGTGCGCACACGTCTCAGTTTCTCCCAAACAGACCAGTCCGAACAGCTACCGAATTATGTGACTTGGTCACTGGACAGATGGCTGGCAGCAACACATTCTCGACAGGACCTCCATATGGTAGGTTCTCTTAGAACCTCTATATCATTTACGGTGCGCAGGGTGTGAAATTTTACCTCCGTAAACGTCGACCTCAGCTTGAAACCTCATTTAGCTCACGACGCGGCTTAACAGGGCTTAACCGGGCTTTACAGTGGCTTAACCATAACTTGAAGCAACGATCTCATCGCTGATATGCTCTAGTATACTTGCAAGTACTTGCAGATCTAGAGGGATGACATGTCTAGCCTCAGTGAATCGTGGATGTCGACCCGAAGCGCTGCTTCCCGCTAGTCTGGCGCTCATACGCAAATTCAATGAGATGGCGTGTATTTTTATTTATAGTTAGCAGATCAGGAAACTGGACAAGCCCACCCCACCATGATATTCTTCGATTCAATTCCTCTCCTCGTGAGGGTTTGTTGGCCTCTCGGCTAGGCCAATCAGGGTCATTCGCTCAAGCCATGGCTTCATTCAGGCGCCTAAGCAAGGCTTCTCGTCTTCATCTCTTTGCCGTCAAAGACCGCCTGATCTCAAATCCATGTGCTCGTGGTACCTCTACAGCACCAACAGGATCACACGTACGTCTCACAGCATCACTTCGGTCGGCGATAGTAGCGGCCTGCTACTAATCCAGTAATTCAATACAATACCTCAGTGCAGTAAGTGATAATCAAGTACGCCAAGGCGTCTCTTCCGCTCTCACTCGTTCTCTCTCATCTCTATCGTCCCCATTTCCTTCTAACACAACCTTTCGTCATGCGTGCTGTTGTCTACCAAGGTCCATTCACCGTCGCTGTCCAAAATGTGGAGAGACCCAAATTGATTCATCCGGATGATGTCATAATCAAAGGTAACACCGAATTATATCTCCCACTACACCTCGTACCTGACATCCGTGCTCAGTAACGGTTAGTTGTATCTGCGGCAGGTGAGCGGGTGCGGTCCTTCACCCGTTACAGACTTATATGCCTATGCTTAGTGACTTACATATGTACGAGGGTCGTACTATAGCAGAGCCAGGACTTGTGTTTGGTCACGAAAAGTATGTAAACACGCTGTGACGTTTGGTGTACGCATCGACTAACACGACCTTGAAGCATGGGCATAGTTGATGTAATACTACTACGACTCATTCGTTCGTCCCTATTGACCGCATTATATGCTAGGAAACGGGAGAAGGTGTACAGGTATGGCATCCCGAGCTATCAGTCAGATACGATCTGAAATTATATCCTCGACAATAGCTTCTCAAGAAAGGTGATCGCGTTGTCGTGCCCTTCAACGTAGCCTGTGGTCGCTGCTTCAACTGCGAGGAAGGCAAGACTGGTTTTTGCACGCACATGAACCCTGGATCTGTGAGTTTATATAGTGCCTTTTCATGTTCTCATATCAATTCTTCCCTTTGCACGTTTACTCAGGCGGGATCGTGAGTTGTTTCGATAAAGCTTTGCAAATATATTATCGATGACTTAATCAACTTGAAACTTCCGATATCAAGGGCGTATGGGTACGCACTGAGTACATCTCTCTATCAGAATGGAAATGCTTAAGTCTCTCGAGTTATGCCGGTTATGGTCCGTACCAGGGAGGGCAGGCAGTACGTGTCTACGGTTCCCTCATATTTTCATGCTATTCAACTCGCGGTCCTCAGGAGTATGTGCGCATACCGTTTGCCGACTTCAACGCTCTTAAGCTGCCACCCGGTACGGAACACGAAGATGACTTCGCGATGCTAGCGGATATTTTTCCGACGGTGCGTCCACGTTAATGGGGTTTTTCGATTGTCTAGTCACCCATTAGCTGATGGTCGCAAGGGCTGGCACGGTATCGAGCTTTCCGTGCGTCACCTTTCTTCTATAATCGTGTTATTGCGTAGGTATCTGATTGAGTAAAGGGTTTCAAACCCGGCGAATCAGTCGCCGTCTTCGGCGCAGGTCCTGTTGGCCTCATGGCGGGTTACTCCGCCATCCTGCGCGGCGCGTCGGAGGTGTATGTTGTCGACTGTGTCCCCGCTCGACTCAAGAAGGCGCGCGAGATTGGATGTATTCCGATCGACTTCTCGGAGGGAAGTGCCGTACAGCAAATCTTGGACTTGCGTCACGGGTATGCCATTCCAAATCTGACATGAATGCCGATTGCTGACTATTACTGTGTTCAAGACGTGAGGTTGACCGTGGGGTCGATGGTAAGCACAGCTTGCTCTCGCAAAGTTGTAACAGCGGTCGCTCAAATCGCGACCCCAGCCGTTGGATACAAGGCTACAGGAGCAGACGGGAAGACAGAGCAAACAAACGCAGTGCTTGAGGCGCTCGTCAATATTGTCCGCCCCTCAGGCGGCCTAGGTATTCCAGGCCTTTACACCCACGCCGATCCTGGCGCGCCTGATTTGGCTGCATCGAAGTAAGCTTTTCATGGTATGAGCTTAACACGAGCAACGTGTCGACGTGCAATGTCCTAGGGGTTATATTTCCTTCCCGATTGGCAAAGTTTTTGAAAAAGGCCTCAGCATCCGCACTGGCATATGCAGTGCTAAGGTACGCCTGTATCCTTTCTGTTTTCAATAACTTGGGGCTCGGGCTCACAATTTTGGAAATAGTTATACAACCGCTACCTTCGCGACCTCATCATCGCAGGCAAAGCGAAGCCTTCCTTTGTCGTGTCACACAAGTTGCCTCTCAAAGACGCAGCGAGTGCATACGATAAATTCAGCAGGCGCGTGGAGGGATATACGAAGGTGCTGCTGAAGCCTTGAACTCATTAACCAAAAGGATGAGGATATACTGTAGCAACTTTCGGGGATGTCTGTACTCACCGACACTTTATGACCATACGTAATGACAATCATGTACCATAAGACGGTGAATGTTCCACAGGTCCTACCGTCCCTTCACAAGTGCCTGATCCAACATCCGCTCCGCTTTGAGCCAGTCCTCCACCGCAGAGCCCGGTGCCCCCTGATACTCGAGCCCGCGCTTCTTGATCATGTCTCCCCAGGCGTCGATGTTCTCACTTGTACGAGGAGCGTTGATTTGCTCCGGTGCCCGGAGATCGTACAAGAAGCCGTTAGCTAGACTGCCCGCGGCGACGTGCTGGGCATAATGTAGCCTGACGTCTTGGTAGATCCGAAGAGCCGTAGGGATGCTCTGCATGTCCACAGATGCGTGGGCGAGTATGCGGCCTAGCACATAGGCATCCTCGATGGCTTGGGCGGCACCTGCACCCATGTGCGGGGCCATAGCGTGGCACTGGAGAACTTGTCAAGGTGTGGGAGGTTGACAACCAGTAAGACGTACCGCGTCTCCGAGCAACGCCACATGACTATACGTCGATATAGGAAGCGCACTGGTGACATGTAGTGCCCAGAGACTGATGTCCTCGCAGCACTGCGGTATTGGTTAGCAGAGGCTGAGGAGCTAAACACGAGGTACTAGGAGTTCTCACCTCGGTGACGGCCCGAACCATGGGCTCAAAGTTACTGAAGGCCTCTACGATCTCGTTCTTGGGAACATTCTCAACCCATTTGTCCGGGATAGCGTTGGTCTCATTTGATGAATTCGTGGTATAAGCAACAACGTTGACAGACTTTCCGCTATCGACGGCATAGGCGACCATATGCTGGTAGTAGGTCAAGATGATGAAAGGATGATCAGGTGGCTACGGACCTTGTCCTGGCCGAACCACTACATCCATAATTCAGTTGCAGTGCAAGATATCGGCAATAAGAACTTACGAGCATCAAGTCTTTGGTCAAGGGATGGTCTGGATACTTCACGAGAAGATCTTGCATAGGGAACAAGCTACGGTAGACCATGTTGCCAGTGAAAACGGAATTTGTATACTCGAAAAGGCGCGCAGTGTCAAACAGCGGAGGCGTATGCTTAGCAGCAGCTTCAAACAACGACCTGCGCGTAGGCGACCGGATACCGTCCGCTCCAACGACAACATCAGCGGATGTTGTGGTTCCGTCAGTGAACATGAGAGTGAGGAGACCAGTCGAATCCTCTTGGTAGGACTCAAGCCGTTTCGACGTATGAACGGTGCACATAGGCGAAAGGTTCGCCTTGAGAATGTCCACTAACGCACGCCTGTGCATGGAAGAGGGAGCACCGTCTTGAGTACCTCCATATGTAAGTGAACATCTCCTTCAGCACGTTACGGACACCCACCACTGTAGGTCTGATGAAACCAATCTACTCCTCCGTCCCTGTTGTCCGCAATCCGATGGCGGAGCCCCGCTGTGGTTGAACGCGATTCAGCCGAGCCAGCTGGGATATAATATACCACGTACCACGTTCGGTGTTGTTAGCATATGTCACAAATTTGTTGAGCTCCTCTAGCAACCCCAGGTCTTCTATGATGTCCATTGTCCTCTTTCGCAGCATGACGCCCGCCCCGACAACGGAAATTTCTGACTGTGCCTCATATAGGTCGATAAGGATGTCTTTACAGTACTTTCCAATGGTCACGGCTAATAACAGTCCTCCAGGGCCTGCACCACTGGCGCCCAGTTAGCCCTTTGGTTAAGATAGATCAGAACGCGTTACTACGCACCAGATAGCCACTCGGAACGGTTTCCTCTCGTCTCTAGCCATATGTAATGGGTGCCGAGAGCAATATGGAGGTAAAGAAGAAAAACAAGTGAATTAAAAAACGTAAACGTGTTGCACACGACGTTGCCCATCTGTCAACGTTCATTGTCGCGAGCTGGACCAGACCGACAACCCAGCGACTCGGAGCTCGCGAACGGGAGGGCGACATCGGTCTCCCAAAGCATTCAGCAGAACGGAGAGACGTGAACGCTGGCGTACGCGTAGCTGTGTCATAGAACGAAGGTGATATATAGATGAAGGAGAACGCTGAGGTCGCTACATAAGAATTGCTTGCAGTGCTTCAAGTCAACCGCGGCAGACTCGCGACAACTTTCCATTTATATCGTTAGCCCCTTTCTCGGCGCTCAACATGGTTGGCACCATGGAGAGGATGTACTTGACTTTGTAAGAGCTAAGGCAGGCTAAGGCCCTATAAATATATTGTCAGGCATGTCATCAATTGATCTGCATGGTGGAGATAGACACAAAACATTCTAATCTAGTATGACAACAATCTAGTATGCAACAGTCCAGCAGCAAACAGTTCTAACTCGACGACAACATAACAGCACAAGAATAACAATTACACGGAACATTGACCGGCACCGACACACTCGTGACGTCCGACGTCGTCAACGACATCGCGGCAACCTTCTGCAGCAGCCTGTCCGCGTCCGACTCCGACTCGTTCATGACAATCGCGTCCCGCAGCTGCAGCTCCGCGTCGTACCAGTTCGCCGCCGTCCCGTTCGCGCCGATAAACTCGGCCATGCGCTTGCCGATGTCCATCCGCCACCGGTCGAGCGATTCTTTCGAACGCGGGGCGTGGCATTGCTCCTCGGACCGGAAGTCGTACATCAGCCCGTTCTTCGCGCTTTCGCGTACAACGCGCTGCGCAGCGGGGAGACAGATGGCCTGGTGAATGCGCAGGGCGCGGGGCACGTTCGACATGTTGACGTGTTTGCTCGCGAGGATGCGGCCGAGAATCCAGGCGTCTTCGATGGCTTGGCCTGCGCCTGCGCCGAGATGCGTCGTCATTGCGTGGCTCTGCGCGATGCGAGCTCAACAAGAGATAAGGCAGGCAATTACATATTAGCTTGCTTACCGCGTCACCGATGAGAGCCACACTTTCGAGGGATGAGAAAGGAAGCTCGTTCGTCACAAAGAGCGCCCATTGGCTGGGGTTTTCGCCGCACTGCACACGTTATCATCCTTTCATCCTGACGAAAGAAGATAGATACTTACCTCTGTCAAAGCACGCGCCATGGGCTCAAAGTCACTGAAGACCTCGGTGAACTCTTCGGGAGTTATATCCCTGTTCCATCGTCCTTCAAAATGCTTACCCTTATTTGCAGGGTCTGTAGCATACGCGACGATATTCAGCATTTCGCCTTGGTTAACTGGGAATGATAATATATGCTATCATACGCGCTCAGCGTTGCCGAAGAACGCCAAGAATATGGGCACTCCTCACCTTATTTTTGCCGCACATCTGAATATGGCTATGTCAACTCAAACTAAGGCCGCCAAACAACAGCACTCACAAACATCATATCCTTCGCCGCAGGATGATCTGGATACCGCTCGAGCACCTTCGACATGGGGATGAGCGACCGATAGATCATCGACCCCGTCCACGATGGCTCGCAATACTCCTCCATCCGCGAGACATCGAATGGTGGTGGGTCGTACTGTGCAGCGTTCTCATACATCGCGCGGCGCACCGGCGAGCGAATCCCGTCCGCGCCAATAAGCACGTTGGTCGTCGCCTCCGTGCCGTCAGTGAAGTGCATCGTGACCTCGGACGGGCCGGTCTGGGTGTAAGCTTTCAGGCGCTTGTTCAGATGTACCCTGGTCGATGGTGAGAGGTGCTTGACGAGAACGTCGACCATATCTGTTCTGTGCATCGAGGTGGGGCCTCCATCTGAACGTGCGTTAGACAAACACGAGTCTCATGGGAAAGATAGATGACGCACGGGGGTATACCTGATGAAACCAGTCATGCCCTCCATCCGAATTGTCAGATAGTCTGAAGTGGGGACCTGTCCGCCTAATGAACTGAAGAACATTTCAAAGACCCACAAAACATCGTACCGTTCGTCATGTTAGGCTTCGGCGTGCAGATCTTAATCAAGTCCCAATGCATCCCCAACACTTTGAGGATCTCGATCGTGCGCCGCCGGATAGAGATACCAGCTCCTTCAGGAATGAGGGTCGACTTGGCCTCGTACAGGTCGACCGGGATGTCCGAGAACTTGCCAATGGTCACAGCCAACGCCAAACCGCCGATGCCTGCACCACTGTCCAACGGCAAATAACACAGTGAGTGACACCCATCGGTGAGAGGGGAAGAGGGACTCGTACCATATCGCAACGCGAAACTTCGGTTCAGATGAAGGCATGTATTGTCAAAAGGAGGAAGGTTGTAGAGACAAAGAACGGGATGGGCGTGAGCGGAGTCGTGGGCGATGGTCTGTAGTCGCCTTTAAGAACGGTTGCAATGCCGTCTGGGCCCATCATTATGATCAGTGAGTTCAATTGGAGGCGGGTCTTCTGCAGCTTGACGCGAGGCTGAGCCCCTCGGTGAACAATTTCAAGGTTTGACGCGACGGTGGCGTGATCATCGCGGCAGGCGCTGGTCGCTTATCGCGCGGAGCCCTTTCCATAGACGGGTACGAGGAAAGCGACTGGATAGTATTTCAGCGCCGCTTTTCCTGTCCAAGGAGCCACATATATACAAGAACCCAAGGGACAGTATACAAAGCTGAGTCCAGGTGTATTGGAGAGCGACGAACGTGGAGGGCAAATTTGAAGAGTCAGGGGCTCGGCCCCATTAATATTTCGGCAAATAACGCCAAACATTCAAGTCGCGTCGTGAGTCTGTGGCGGTGCGATTCCACTTGGGTTCCGCACTTCATTTCACCTCCGTCTTCGTCGCGACGATTCAAACGTTGATAACACATCACTCTTCAATTTCATTCATCGGATTCAACATAATGGTATTAGATACAGTTAGCAGCCGTTGAACGACTGCCTTCATGCGCTCCCCGCCGTAAGTTCCTCCACTTCCACCACTGCCGTTCGTTTGTCTGGGCTTGAGTTCCTTGCAGCTGATTGTTTCTTGGATGCTCCACCCAAGATGTGTGCGGACAAGGGGCTAACGCGACTAAGAAGGAATGGATAACATGCACCGTGTACGGACGAGTATAAGCATATTTGAACTCGGAATGCGGAGGTCGGTTCTACGTAGTTCGCACCAGCCATTTGCCCAATATTTCAGGCGCCATCGCTTGAAATGCGTCCAAGACAACTTTGTCTACAAAACTCTGCAACACACCAACGATTCTTCGTGAGCTATCCCCCGTCCAATGGCACCCGTGACAAAAAACTGACAAACTATTCCTGAAGGGACCTCTTCTCGGTTGCGATCATGAGCTCGCAGCAAACCCCCTTGGTGGATCTGGTCCCGACGTAGAGCATCTCCATTACTGCATGTATAAGCGTCATGCAGGTTTATACGTATACACGCTAGCTAATCGTGGCGCTGCAGAATAACACAGTCCGATGTTCGCTCGGAGCAGCTTCGGTTTCTGTCGCCGTCAGGCCCGATCGGACCTACATGAGGTGTGGCTTCATCTGCCTCATCATTGTACCTATGGTCTGGCTTACTGGCCCGCAAAGGAGCCACAGTAGAGAAATGTTACACTGCTTATTGCTAGTAACTTGTAACGCATACAAGCGGATAACCGCAACAGTAAGAATCGAACGTGCACCTACATTGGTAAAGATACAGTTTGGAGATACAACAACCTGAAACACCAATGACCGATCCAACCCTGCGACTCGCCGCGTACACCGAGATCGCGCCCGAGATTTTCCACCGCCCTCCTGCTCACAACCCGCATTTACCTATCATAGCTGATGCCATCGCCCACGCTCAGCCCGAGCAGCTTACCCGGTGTGAGCGCCTGATGGTGCGGCTCGCGGAGCGCGGACGGGCGATCCTCCCGCCGCGCCAGGAGCTTTTTGAGCGTCGGCGGGGACGACGAGGTGCTCATCCGCAGCAGCTGCGATGCGGCGGTCTCGTCGTCCGGCGTGCGGACGGGCGAGAGCGAGGGCGAGGCCGATGAGCCCTTGTTCTCTTTTTCTCTGTGCTGGCTAGTACCCGAGTGGGCGCTGGAAGAGGGGGTGGCGCTCGGTGGGTAGGCCGATAAGCCCGAGTGCGGTGCTGTGGGCTGCGCTAGCGACGAACTGAAGCGAGCACCGCTGGTCGCAGTCGTGGAGAGGAAGGCAGCACGCGGGGATGGGAGAGTTAGAGCAGGTGGAGCGGGGAATCCTGAGGAAGTGCCCTTGAAGGTGCCGGAAACGGGTGGAGATGGGAGCTGCGCGTACTGTTCTCGGGGTGATGGTCGACGGTGGACATGCTTTTGGCCTGGCGTAATAAGGGGGCTAGGAAACGACTGAGCAGCAGAAGTGGGCTCGAGCATGGGCGAGAGCCATGAAGAGATGGAGGGAAGACGGGTCGGCGGCTCCTTGGTGGTCGAGCGGGAGACCATACGGCTCTCACCGCTCTCCCGCTCGTTGTCGGCTTCATCGTGGTCGCTCTCCTCTTCCTCTTCGCGTCTTTTCCGCTTTCCACTCCGCTTGTCGGCTTCAGCATCGACGCTGACAGCCATGGAGCCGTGGCATCGCGTGCACGTGCCCTGCTCAAGCACATTGACCCGCTCGGTGAGGTCCTGTAGATAAGCAACGGTCCGAACGAGGACCTCGAGCTTGAACTCCTTCTCCTGCTTCGGCTTGCCCTTCTTTTTCGGATTGTCATCATCGTAATCGCTCTCTTCCTCCTCGGGAGGCTCGTCTTGTCGCTTATACTTCGACGGCACGAGCTCGCGCAGCGTCTGAAGCGCGTCGTTGATTTTTGTGCGGCGGGCCTTCTCAATGAGCGAGTGATTGATCTTGCGCTGCGCCTCACGCACCGCGCGCGACTGCGTCCCGGGTTTGCGGCCGCGGCGCTTTGGCGCTGGCGGTGGAGGTGCTTCTACCTCTTCCGCTTCTTCGTCAGAGGACCCCGGGCTGTTGTCTCCCGGCGGGGGGGCATAGACATGGGCGGTCGTGGCAGAAGACGCAGCGGCAGAGGTAGCAGTAAGCGTAGAGTCGGACCGCAGACGTTTTGCCCGGCGCGGCGGGTTGCAGCTAGCTGCGTAGACATCGTTGTCGCCCATATCCAGGGTGATGTCAGCGCTCGAGTCAACAATGTTGTGGCTGGACTCCGCAAGCGAGAGCGACTGGTGCGCACCGAGGGGTGCGATGGAGCGATAGGAAGAAGACATGGAACGAGCAAAAGGAAGGCCCGAGCAGAGTCGGTTTATCTATCCACACGCCAGGGAGGAGCGGTAGGGTGCGTGCGATTGGCTGCGCTGAAACGGCGGTGTGGACTGGGTGAATTTCTGCTCGTGTGCCATGGAACGTGTCAGTATATATTGTCGGGGCGCTAGTTCGCCACTCGCACGACTTGAAAAGGGAGCAGTGATTGGCCAAGGAGCGAACGCACGTGTGTCGGCTCAACTGCCAGACCGCCGGCTTCATCAGACCGTGCAGGTCCTCACCAGCTTTGGCCATGTTTGACCCGCCCACTAGGTTTGGGTACGTCCGTCACACAAACATTCAGAGCCGATGAGTAGAGTCTATTATAGCAGCCATCACCAAACATTGTGCAAAGATCTATAGCATATGAGCCAGTTCCTTCCATTACGGCTGGCGAAGAGCGAAAGTACGTACTGAACACATCAAGGAAGGTTATAGGCACGGCAGACTGGAAGTGTACGCTCATTACATTGAAGATAGGCGTGCAGATAGTACTCCGGGAATACAGTAGGCATAAAAAACAAGAACGAAAAAGAAGAGACAGAGACAGAGAAAAGACTGTGAACTGAGTATCGTACAAACGTGTTTGGGTTTCAGGTCATGAGGGTGGTGAACGTGAATGTGGTATCCTGGGCGTGAGTATGAATCAAGCAGACCGACCGACACGAAGAGGAGAACGAAGAAGAAGAAGAAGCAAGCTAGAAACAATAAAAACGGAGCGTCCTAGATAAGAAACACCACGGCACGCGACACGGCGTCATACGCCTAATACGCGCCGTATTGCTGAGGATTCCAGTACCCATGAGCGGCGGCCTGCGGGGGATGAGGCGCGTGCGCCCATGTGGGAGTCGCCGGCACAGATTCAGGATACGCGGAACCGCGCGAGTCCTCTGGCGGCTGATGGTCGACATACGGAGTCCCCATGTCGTTCCCTCTCATCGCCATAGACGGGTCTATCCCGAGGCTCACGTGAGCCCCAGCTTCGTGCCCGTTGCGGTCCTCGTAATTGCCGCCGTACGAACCCACCATCTGCGAGCCGGGGTTTGTAGAAGGGTACGCAGAACCCCGTCGATCAACGTTGGCGTACTGCATCGGCGGCATGGGGCCAACGCCGTACGACTGGTTATTACTCTGCGAGAAGGTGTCGCCGTGCATAGGCTGATTGTAAGGCGCCGGGAGAGGAGTCTCCGAGAACTGGCCGCTTTGGTGGTGTTCGTACAGGGGCGAAGGCTGCGCCGACGTATCGGAGTAAGCCCGCATGGTCGCTGCAGCTGAATTATATGGATCGCTGTAGTCGACATGCTGAGACTCGGCCGAGCCGTGGTGCTGCGACGGCTCCGTGGGCACGGGATTGGGAGGGCCCATGGTGAACGACGCCTGATTAGGGGTTACTGACTGTACCGAGAAGCGATTGTCATCCACGGCGGGGCTTGCAGAATACGACGACGCTTGGCTAGAAGACAGCTCGGCCTGGGTTGGAATGACGGGGGTACTTCCCTTAGTCGAGGATGACGAAGGGCGAGTCCTCGTAAGAGGCGAGACCTCTTTGGTAGGTCTAGCACGAACTCCCCAGGCGGGATAAGTCACCTTCTTCGACTTATCCTTATCCTTGCCCTTCTCTTTCTCCTTCTTCTCCTTGTGCTTCTGCGGCTCTGCTGTAACAACGTTCGCTGGACGCTTGGCGGGAGGCGCCGCAAGCTCCGAAGGAGCTCGCTTGATCTCGGGAATCGGTACGGGGGGCTCGCTAACGAGTGACAAGTCGACTGCATGAACGGGTGCGGGCGTTTGGCGTTGAGAGTGACCGGGGTCGGACGCGACGGACGGACCCGCAGATACAACGCCAACGCCAACATATGGGAAATTGAAGCCCGTGAGCAGCGGGTCCGTATCGACGTCCCCGTCGTCGTGCTTCCTCTTCATACCAGTCGTGTACTCGGGGTTGCCCGACCGAGCAGCAAGCGCCTTCTGCCTCAACAGCTCCACGATCTTGACAGCCTCGTTCACGGTGTCCTCCACACCGCCTTGCATTGATCCGCGCCCGGTGGCCGCCAACGGATCACGCATGATCTCGAGCGCAACCGACACATCATCAAGCGTGACGTTCGCCCAGATCGCGGACGGCTGTGTGATGACAGCGTGGGAACAAACGACAGCAGCATCGAAGAGCGTGCGCCGGAACGCATAGAAGTCGAAGAGGGCAGGTGAGGGCCGACGACAGCGCGGATCAGAGCGCTGCTTCCATGTCGCGTAAAGTACGTGGGCAGAGTGTATGATGGCGTGGGCAGCGTTGATCGTGCCCAGTGCAGCCTGGTGGTGAGACCCAACAGAGCCGTACGGGTACGACGGCCGTAAGAACGGCAAATAGACCTTCAGTATCAACCGGTTGGCTGTGATCGCCAGCTCGCAGCGCTGTGCTACGAGCACGGGTGACAGCGTGGCCAGCTCGCTCGAAAGCGAGGAGCAGCCTGCCTTATCCCTGAGCCTCTCCATATCCAGGCGGAAAGCAGGAGGGAGATCGGCGAGCCACTGCTTGATGTCGTCTTCGCACGCCATTGCTTGATCTAGCAGGAGCTGATCCTCGCAGTCAGGGTCCCTGAACGATTGCTTCTTCACGTCTTTGACCAGCTGCGCAAGGCTAAAATGCTATTCATGAGCTCACATCAGGTGAAATAGGAACTTAGAAAACGTACCTGCACTTAAGTCGGAAATACTTGAAATCGGACGCGTTAGGCTCCAGAGCCGACTGCGATGTGCGAGGGAGGGGTAAAGCTCCACACGAGGGGTTGAACAACTCTTCGTCCACGTCCATGGGTAACCTAGTGCTACACTCATGGTCGTTGATAAGCGGAGCACGGCCCATGTAATCGGATATAAATCTGGAGAAGGTCGCTCAGGATACCACGCGCACGATCACTCATTGAATCGCACTCACAAGTCGTAGTAATAGATATCCCACCAGACGCGTCTGCGCAGTTCGGCCTCAAATAACGTGAACTTGCCTGGGAAGTCATCAGGATCTGAGTCCAGACCCATTGTTCGCGCGACGTTAACCATCTTGCCAACCTGCAGACGTAATAAGCCGAGCGTTCACTTACCTCAACGCATAGACACTTACATCTGGGAGTAGATTGTGCGCCAAGCGAGCTTTGCCCTCGTGTAAGACGTACAAGACTTGCAAGATCATAGCCACAAGATAGTCGAGGTCGTATGTATTTGAGTTCTCGAAGACCGTCAACGCTTGCTGCGAGAGCGCGAAGAGTACGGCCGGAGCACTGGCGGTGTCCTTCGAGATGATCTTGCCGTTCCTCTTGACAGTAGCAGTCGGCGCGGCTGTCTTCTTGCGCTGAGTAGGACGCCCCGTGAGCTCGTCAATCGGGTCACCGACAACAGGATCAGATCTGAGAGACTCGGCCTGTTCATCCGCCGACTTGTCGAGCAGACCACCCAAAGCAAACGCAGCCGATGCAGCGGCGAAGAATGAGATCGGGGGCCGCTGAGCTGCAGGTGCTCGCTGGGCACACGGACCAGATGAGGTGCCAAAGAAGATTGCCCTAGCAAGATCAGCCTTCGTGGTGGGAGTAGTGGCCACGCTGCCTGAGCGCCCTTCACCAAAAGAGGCGCCACCCACGTCGTCGGATTCACTCGCCCACTTGAACATGCTCTCTGAGCGGTCCTTGAAGTGCTTCCAGTTGAAGCAGGGGTGCATCTTCAGAAGTTCTTCCAGCGACTCATACATCTTCTGGCGCCGTCTAAGAGATAAGGGGATATGGGCAACGAGTGACGGTGTGACGGTAGGGTGGTCGGCGAACGAGGGGGAATGCGAGGAATAGTACACAGACATGGAAGGCAAGAGAATGGGTATAGGGACGTCTGCACCTGCAGAGTCGGGTGGCGGCAGGGATACGGGTACAGGCTCCAGTTTGATCTGGGCTGACGTCGGACTATGTGAGGAGGATTGTTGAGTGGGAATCATCTCCCTATTAATCTCTAGGTCACCAAGCCATATAGCAGCCGTGTCGTCGAGGGATATGACCAAGGAAGAACCAGATTGACTAGTGGCGAGCAAGGAACGGTCCGGGCGGGGCGCAAACCCAAAGCCGTGTTGAAAATTAGTCGGACGAGCGCCAGGTGCGCCCATCTGCGCAATCTGAGATTCGACTTGTATAAGGCGGTTATTGAGTGAATGCAAGTCGCTAATTAGGGATATGGGCTAAGAGTTCCACGGTGGACGAGTGGTGGCTACGTACACTTTTTCAGTGGCTGCAGCTGAGTAGACACATCGTGCCACAGTATCGCGCTTTGTGCACGATCCGCAAGGCGTACGGCGGTCACATTTGAGCTTGAGGCGTTTGCACTGCCAAGGCGACACGCGATACGACGCGGGGGGATGAAGTCAGTGGGAGCCGAAGGAAGGCAGGGTCGATAAAGGCGTACCTCGGCGCATACAACGGTTATACGAGAGCGGACTTGGCTTTGGTAGGAATAGAGATGTAAGTTCGCCATGCATGGTAGAAGGAACTGGGAACGTACGGTCCGCCGCTATTGTTACTCGACTGCTGGTCTCTGTGGTGCGAATGTTGGGGCTCGGCTGCTGGGGTCGCGTCCATAACCCCTGCTCCTGATCCTGACCCGTAAGCTTGCTAAAGGATATGCTGAACTATCTGCGGCCTGAAGAGCAAAGGGAGCCGGGAGGGGGAGGGCGCGGGAGGGCAGGAAGGGGATGTCGTCGAGGCTTTGGAAGGGAAGTATTAGCGGCGAGCGCGCACACTATTCAAGTAACCCGTCTGAGTCCCACGGAGACCCCCGGCCACCGCTAAATAAATTGCCCTTCTTTTAAACATTTATGTATACCTGTGCCTGACTACCGTAAATGGTTTTCTGAATTCTCGGCCCTCCTCGACTCGCTTAGCTTCTCATAGTCTTGCTCTCGTTACCAACAAGCACCTGAGCGAATCGAGTACCCGCTGGTCTGTCCCGCACAAAACCCCAGAAATTCATCCTTCCTCTTGAATGGTTTACAAAGTGCTCACTTGGTGAAATGCAGCTCCACCAGGGGCGTGCTGATCTCATGGATCGGTGTTCCACGTCCTCGACCACGCGACCTTCTCACAAAAATAATCTCGGCAAGAGCGGTGCCGGTGTTTTATCCTTGTGCCCCCCATCCCGCGAAGCTGTCGGGATCCTCGAGTCTATCTGTGATCGTTCTCCCTCGATCCAGTGTGCAACGCTATCATCCGCCACGTCGGTCTCACACAGGGGTCCTACCACTCGTCTTGGGTAGACACGGAGAGCTCGGAAGCATATTCACTAGCGTTGAGGCTGCTCGTTACCAATAAACCCAAATTGACACTCTTCGGGCCTAAAATTCACCATCAGTCCCCCTTGCGTCTCCATCTGTCTCCATCTGTCGCACTAGGACGTGCGGAGCCTTACGGAGCCCTCGCTTGAGTCGAATAATATTCTGCACCCCCCATCACCGCGGCATTCCCTGACAGTCAGCGACCCCACCCCAAGAATGACTAACAAGCGCAAAGTCTCCCTCGTCTCTTCGCCCCTACGCAGTCCACGGCTCAAATTAGCCGCTCGGGAGCCGCCCGTGGATAAAAGTCGCGGCTTTAGAACTCCGCGCATACCCCGGTGCGATAAGATGGATGCAAAGTCACAGAAGGGCGATACCTCTATGAATATACCTTGACTCACGCCCAATTACAAGCGCGGCGAATGGGTGCTACGTGTCGGGCCTCGCCGTGAAAATCCCTCCGTTACGTCGGCAGACGGAAGCAGATAGAGGCCAATACGACCCATGGCGCTGGAAGCAGTAGCCATGACCTCGCACACCCAGGTTAATAATATCCATCCACTTTGGCGTAGTCTCAACCGCGTTCATCCGAATGACCAGACACTTCTCTTTTACTACGGTGGCACCAATTCCACTCTTTCGTTCGGTGAATCGAAAGCGGCATGCTGTGTGCCACGCAAAGGCCACGTTCCTAGAGGCTTTAACGTAAAAGACAAAGCAGGGGCGCTGGGAATGCAGAGCGTTCCGTCACCCTCACGTCAAGAGTCGCCCTATGTTTAATTTACGCCCAAATGTAAGGATTAAAAAGGATAAGATTGTCACATAGCCATGCTCGATTAGTCTAGTGGATTACTCTCGTTGAATAAGTGCCAAAAGGCCAAGGACGCCCAACAAGGCATACTTGAGCTGGGGGAAGTCGTTCTGAAAGAATTTCAGCATGTGCTTGACACGTACTGTAGCACAAAAGGATAAACACTCTTACCATCGCAATCGTCACGTAACCAACGTACGGCAAGAACCTGGTCAGACAAAGAAGAAGCGAAGTCAGGAACCACTGTCACGAGAAGGGAAGGCAAAGGGGACAATGGGCATCGCGGTACGAATAACTCAGACATAAAGGCCGAGCACGCCGCGTCAAGGAATATCCTACGTGGAGAAACTCTAATCAACTCACCCTCTAACTTTGCCAACGATGTGCTTCCGCTCCAACCAGTCGAGCCCCTGATAAAGCTCGATATCGTCGACATAATTGTTGTCCCCCTTCGTCAGCAGCAGCTGGTCCGCCACCGGCGCCAGTGTCACCTCGCTTGAAACGAACAAAGCAAGCCCGTGATTAGCGCATGTGTCTCTCGGGCGGCAAAAGCGACAGCGTGCGCGCCGCAACATACCTAGAAGAATTTTTTACGATAGTATCGTGGGTCTCCAGCACGCGGTGGACGATGGGGATGTCGGCTCCGGGGATCTTGTACACAGTGATATCACCAGTGCTGTACCGCTGGTTTCCAAAGTTCGTCAGGAAGAGGAGGTCGCCGCGGTAGAACGCGGGTTCCATAGAGCCACTGGATACGGCAAGACAGGAGCGCGCAAGGGCGTGGTTGTTAAGTGAGGCCGAAGTCGCGAAGAGCTGGATGACATACCTGAGAACCACGACTATGGGGGACTCGGTGTTAAACATGAGGCCCATTCCCTTCCATATCATGAGACCGGAGGTTATGACAGATGCGAAGTTCAGGATTTGGAGAAGAACCTGTACGCGCACTAGGGATTAGCATTGTAGCATTACAGCACAACTCGCGCTACTGGGTGCACGTACATGTCGGAAGCCAAGCTTCCGCAGGGTCTTGAGCTCGTCTGAGAACATCGTAGAGGGAGCTCTAAGGCGGCGGAGAGGTTGTGGTGGACGAGAGGAAGCGCGCGTTCTGGCGCTGGTCTGGGGCAAGGATGCGTCGGTGACACGTATAACACGTGGTCCAGTCACTATCTTCGGGAGCAATAGTACCCCAAGACCGCCGCCTCTACAACAAGTACTCGGACGGACTCAGAGTCTCAGACCATATCCCTGCCAGACACCAAAGAGTCCTAGACAAGAGCAAGTACACTTGGTTTTCAAAACGCTGAAAACTGTAATTCTACGGCACATGAAAGGACGGAAATAGAGATTGCAACCCTCTACGCTAAGGAGCAGCGACCCAAGCAAAGACCTCGTCTCTTCCCTGCGCAATATCTCCTTTCTTTCCCGCACTCGAGTACGCAATCCTAAGCCGTTCCGTAGCGAGCTCGTCCAGCAGTGCAACGTTCTTCGGGGTATCTGTCTGGGACGCCGACACAGAAGCATGTTCAGGATCTCTGATGAGGCGTCGCGAGCACTACAACGAAGGCCACATTATTCTCAGATCACGGCCGGGCTGCAGCGAAGGAAAGGGTAACATACCAACTTGACGCCATACCAAGCGCGAACAGTGATTCCAAGCGGCGTTGACTCCGCCAGTGGCTCGTTGTCGTCGCCGTCCGACATGTCAACAACCATGAGGAACATCCGGATAGAGAGCGGAACGTCGCCCGCCGTGTATGCGGTTTCGGCAGCTTGCAGCAGATAAAAGGGGTTTTGGGGTGCGAGTACGATGACATGGGAGAGTGCTTGAAGGGAGTTCTCATACCTTGAACGCGTCAGCAAATCTGAGCAGAGAACATTGAGAGTGCACTCACCGGTTACACGTCGCGTAGATATCAGCCAACTCCAGCCAGCCCTCTACATCCGCGTAGAAAGTATCCAGAAACTGCGATAGCTCATTCACAGCCTTCTCAATCTTCCCCATGTGCCGAAGGACAGCTATCTGCCTCTTCCATATTGGCTACCGGAGACAACGAACGCTCAATAATCATTTTCAGTCGTAACCAACAACTACCACGTACCGCATTCGCCGAGTCCGCCTCCAACAGGTCGTTATAGTACTTGAGCGCAATCTCCGGTGACTCCGTTGCCTCCATGAGTATACCATGTAGACAATCTACGCGAGGCGACCCGGTGAACCTCTCCTCCAACACTTTCAGGCATTGCTAAGCACATACAAGTCAGTCGGACACGCAGTCGAAGAAGAGTGGGATAACACACACGTCTGCAATGTCGTACCGTCCCATGTCTATCGAGGCGAGAGCAAGCTGTTCTAGAAAGGACCATGCTATTGCGGTACGTCAGCTCAGCGCGCGTTGGCTTTCAAGTCTCTCTTGAGGTACTCTAAAGACGCACCGTCATCACCCATCTTCTTGTACGCATTCCGCTGAAAGAGCGGGAGACCCTTCTGGAAGGTCTCTTGAGATGCGCGAGAGTTGTGCGCCCGGTATGTCGCGAGTTGCTCGAGTGCGGCTGTGGTGGTCATGGCGGGCGATGGGGACAGACAAACGCACCCTCCAAGCGCCATCGGCACCAGAGCGCGGCCCGCGGTGTTCGGACACGGTTTTTCCTCCCAAAGCTACCAAATATGGATATTATAGGGAAACTATCGTACAGATTCACCCCTAAAATACCGGGGAAAGTGCTTGAACGAGTCGGCGGCGCCCTCTTGTGACATCTGTTCCTCTTGCTTTGCGATATCGACGAAGAGAAATTCAGGCAAGCCACTACAACAGTATATTCGAAAAAGAGAGACCTCCACGCGAAACGTACGAATAAAGCAGTTTCCGAGTGACGACCGACAACGGCGCGTTGCGGTATGACCCGGAACATCTTCACTCCCTCCATGTCCTTGCATTGACATCTCATCTCTATCATCTTTCTTGTGGCCGTAGCCCCACAAGCCTTTCTAACCATGTCAACTGACCACAGGTAAATCTTACTCCGGTTACTCATTGCTACTTTACCTGACGGCCCACCTCTAGCATCCCTTCTTCCACCCTTGACGCAATTCACGTCAAAGACATCCGCGTACCCGTCTACATCAGATCAGGATCCGCAAATGAGCAAGCTCCAGCAGAGGGGACTGCTCTCGTCACCATCACGCTTTTCCACGACGTCTCAATAGCAGCAGCTACCGATGAACTCTCCTACTCGATCAACTACGCCGAGATCTACGAGAGAGTACGTGCAAACTGCTCCGGAAAGCACTACGCAAACCTAGGCGAACTGGTCGCGCAGGCTCATGCGCAGGTCGCAGACTCTCTGGTTCAGCCTACCCACGTCAAAATCAGAGCAAAGCAAACGAAGATATCTGAGGCATCCTCTTTTACGTTCGAGCTGGAACGGGACTCATCGACGACCTTGACGGCCAAACATACGTTCAGGTTGGAAGGCATTACCTGCTCTACGATCATAGGGGTAAACGAGAGCGAGCGTCACACGAATCAACCAGTGACGTTCGACATCACAGTACGACGTCGACTGGCTGAATCCCCAATCGACTTTATAGACTTGAGCGTATTGACTCGTACCATCAAAGAGGTGAGCACTCTCCCATGACTAGAGGCACGCGTCGATTACTCATCCTGATCATCAGCATGCTCGTGGGACGTCGTTCTTGACGCTGGAAGCACTGGCATCGTCAGTCGCTTCACGCGCTTTACAAACCCTTCATGCCGACGACGAGATCACCGTCAAGGCATCAAAACCAGAAGCACTCAGCGAAGCTGAAGCACCTCAAGTCGAGATTTCACGCCGTCACCAAGATTTCCCAGCCATGTTCCCTCGGGGTCCTGAACCCACACCTGGGTTCGGCAAAATGACTACCCTTCTAGCATCCGTGTCCCCTATATCGAGCGCGAAGAAGAAGCTAGCCACCTCTGGGATCGCGCTAGGCTCAAATATAGGCGACCGGTTCGCGAACATCGAGACCGCGCTTCGGCTGCTCGAACGCCCGGCATCATTGCTCGACGATCTGAAATTAGAAGGAGAAGGAGAAGCCGAAGTCGCCATCGTGAACACGAGCTTTATGTATGAAACGATGCCGATGTATGTCACTGATCAACCTCGCTTCGCCAACTGTGCTTGCGTGGTGCGTAGAACCTCCCCGATGTTTGGTCATGTGGGGCATAACAATACTTATCGCGGTATAACTAGGTCGAGACCAACCTCCCACCGACAGAGCTTCTCAGGCTTCTCAAGAAGATAGAGGTTACCGTGGGCCGTGTCCCCTCCATCCGCAACGGACCGCGAGCAGTGGATCTTGATGTTATACTGTACAACTCGGATATCATCGATACGCGGCCATCAGACGCGAGACGCAATCTGGACAACCTCGAAGGACACCTCGTCGTCCCGCACCCACGGATTGCCGAGCGATGCTTCGTTCTCCAGCCCCTGGCCGAGTGAGTACAGCAACTCGCCATCTAAACTGTAACCTTAGCTACTTCCCCCGAGTTAACCGTACGACCTCCCTCCAGTATGATTCCCGACTTCGTGCACCCGGTGCTTCGCAAGCCTATCGGAACGTTGTTACGAACTCTCGAGTCGGCCCACCCCGAGGATGTCTCCGCAATGATCAAGGTCATGCCCTTCCCGCAATACCCACTCGCGGAAAACGGGTCCCCGTTGAATAGGGACTTGCCAGTTATCCCACCCACGGCGAGATACTGGACCTTCGGACACCCTTCCAGCAGGACGTACGTCATGGCCACGCTGAACGCTACCCCCGACTCCTTCTCCGATGGATCGGTGAACAATACGCTTGATGCGGCCATGGCATACGCCACGAAGGCGATTGCCTCGGGGGCGGATATTATCGACATTGGAGGGTACTCCACGCGGCCTGATGCAGCGTTTGTCTCGGACGAGGAGGAGATCAACCGTGTCGTGCCCATCGTCAAGGCCATTCGTGCTCAGAAAGACACGCCAGACGTAGCCAATGCTCTCATCAGCATTGATACCTTCCGCTACACCGTCGCTGAGGCTGCCGTGCTCGCTGGCGTTAACTGTATCAATGATGTGTACGCCTTTGGTGGTCCAGATTACCCCTTGAACCAGGCTTCTGTACGACACTTTGCTCAGTTTCGTCGGGTATCTCGTGATCTTGGTGTTCCAGTCATTCTTATGCACTCACGGGGCGATGCCGGTTCCAACAAAGACTACAGCACCTTCTCTGAAGGTGTTCTGGAGGGTGTTCGGCGCGAGCTAGGCGATAGGGTAGACGCCGCTGTGACAGGGCGAGGAGGCATCCGCCGCTGGCTCATAATGCTCGACCCTGGCATCGGGTTCAGCAAGACTATCGAGGGAAATTTAGCTCTGCTTAGGCATGCTTCATCTCTCACTTCGTCTGTGGAAGGCAGCACCCTATTGGGCTATCCCCAACTAATAGGCACGTCGAAGAAGTCATTCCTAGGCAAGATCTTGGAGCGCAAGGACGATGATGGCCCATACGCTGGGCGGGTGACGGAGGCCAGAGAGCGAGGGTGGGCTACTGCTGCTGCAGTGACGTGTGCCGTACAGCAAGGTGCTGCTGCCATACGTGTACACGACGTGCAGGAGATGAAGGATGTCGTCGTAGTCGCATCTGCAATATGGAGCTAAGTGCGCCGTATGGGCCGTCTTCATATCTGCCGTGGACTCCGCAATGCTCAGTTCAGCCTTTCTCAAAGTAGGAGAATGTCAATCATAAGTGGATTGGCATGAGTGCGAGTGCATATCGTAATGACATGTGGGTGGAGAGATAATATAGCGTGCAAAGAAACAATGCGGAATGATATGAATACACTCTGCCCGCAACCCCTGTGTAGCTGCTTGGTGCAGAAACCTCCCGCGACGGGACGCGGGGGTAACCCGTTCAAGCTTTTGTAGCTCTGCTTTACTTCTCCGGGTTGGGGTTCCTGAAAAGTATGAGTCAGTAAAGGGATCCGACGAGGATGGAGGGGACAGGTGGAGAGTAGAATGTCAGATAGGAGCGAAAGACAAAGATGTATGGTTGTCAACACTTTAGTTTCAGTGTGAACTATGCATGATTTCAAGTATCATCGTAGGAGAGAAGGGGCAGATTGATAGGGTAGGGGCGAAAGATTAGATGGGAAAACTCACATTCTCCGCTTGCCGCCAGGAAGGGTGGTGACATTGACGAATCTATAGGTTGGATGAGAAACGAGCTGAGCCTACACCGCCGACGACTACGCACCTGCGGTTGTAGAGAATCCGCTTCTTGGCACGACCCTTGGGGGTTTTCTTCTTCTCCTGCTTCTCAACCTTGGGGGTTTGCGATTTGACCTTGCCGGCACGGGCGAGAGAGCCGTGAACTAGGGAAATACGCAGCAATGTATTAGATCATTGCCTGCTCTATGGACGAGCAGAGATTCCTCACCTTTTCCCATATTGGCTTGACGTGGGGGGAGACGACGACGGGAACGGTGACTAAGGCGCTACGGTGCTGTATAGCTCCCCCAGTTTTAGGTTTCGGACATTCCCGGAATATCAATCTCTTCAACTCCGACTATGACCTGTTTGTCCGCCGCTTCTTTGGCGTCAGCCTTGGTGGGCACTGGCCCACAATCATAACCATAATGGCGTTTTTATCTATGTGGTTGATTGAAAGCCAACATCTGCGTTGTTAGCGAAGGTAACATGCTTCTTGCTGAAGTGCCTCAGACGTTCGGACACGACAGTTACGCATCTGGACAAATATTCGTGTCACACCATCCCACTCCGTGCTTTGGAAAACCCATTTGGTATAACGGAACAGCAGGCCTGGCACAGCTGATCAGACTGACCATCGGCATATTGGTAACGATTAGTGGGACCTCACCCCATTTCACCTTGTCTTCACCTCTTTCATCCTCTCCGCATGACCATCACTCATGACGAGCGAAGACCGTTCCGAGTGGCTATCTGGTACGTCGTAACCTTTTCTCGAAGTATCTTCACCGAAGGCCTGACTTGTCGCCAGCGGTGCAGGTCCCGGAGGATTACTGTTAGCTGTGACCATTGGAAAGTACTGTGAAGACACCCCGATCGACCTGTACGAGGCCCAGCCAGAGATATCAGTCGTTGGAGCGGGCATTACACTTCGAAAGCGGACGTTGGGCATAATCGAGGACTTAGGGTTGCTGGAGGAGCTTAACAAGTTCGTGACGAACATTAACAAGACTGACCGTGGTATGTTTCTGGCGCCCTCACACTCTAATGGGCCGGATCTTGCCTGACCACAGCAGGTCTCCGCCATCGCATTGCAGACAACAGAGACGGAGGGGAAGAATGGTTCCGTCTAACATATCGTAGTGAGTACTTCAGTGGTTATTAACGCGCCACCACGGGTGACGTAGCGATAAGATGGCGCACCTTCGTCCATGCATAGACGCGCGCTAGTCGACATCCTCAAAGCCAGCCTCCCGCCCACGTGTACCGTCCACACGTCTAAACGGCTTAAATCCTACCAAGAAGACTCGACGGGCACCCTCACCCTCGAGTTCACTGATGGAATCACCGCACTCGCTGACGTTCTCATTGGAGCAGACGGCATCCGTTCACCTACCCGCAGGTCTCTGTTTGAGACTGCCGCTCAGCACACGCCTCCACTATTCAACACTGCACATCTGTCTAACTATGTCAATCCTCTATTCTCCGGTATCATGGTTTACCGTAGCCTGTTCCCGATAAAAGATCTTCTTGAGAAGTATCCAGATCACCCTCTGACCAATGACCTTGTTCTCGTAAGTCTCGGCTCCTCGTGAACCATACTATGACTAATTCGCCAATGTAGTGGTTCGGTCAGGATAAGGTTTGGCTACCAATCGCTGTCCCTCGCACTATCTTAATCTACAATTAGCATCTTGTCGCGTATGGCGTCAATAACGGAAAGACTGTCAACGTCATTGCCTACACTACGAATTCCATCACTCAAACCAAAGCCAGCCCAGATAAATGGGTCGAAAATGTTCCAAGGAACGAGGTTGCAGATACATTTAGCAACTTTGAGCCCATGGCCCGAGCGGTCGCCGAGGTGAGAGGTCTACCATCATCAAGTGTTTGACTCTGCTAACCTATATTTCAGTGCTGCGAGGACATCAGTCTCTGGGCCTTACACATTACCAGTGAGCTTCCTATATCGACCTATGGTCATGTTGCGCTGCTTGGGGATGCGGTATGCTTCATCCGATCACCAACGTTCATCTACCCTGACGAACTGGCTAGTGTCACGCCATGACCCCGCACTTGGGTGCCGGTGCTGGCCAGGCCATGGAGGACGCATACGTTCTAGGCCGCTTACTCTCCCATGCAGCCGTGAACACGCAGAACATACCCAGAGCCCTTCGGATCTACCAAGACGTCAGACTGCACTACGCCCAGCACATCGCGGCGGACAGCTTGGCCAACGGCTTCTCGTATAGTTTCCAGGGACCCGAACAAATCAACGCTCCGCGTACAAAGGAGAATCTCGAGGCTTGGAGTAATATCATGAAGAAGCGGGGGCTCGAGTACATGGATGCGCCGGGCTCTGCTGTGGAGGACTGGCTCGAAGCAAAGCGGAGGCTAGACCAGACACTTGAGACAGGGCAGTAAGACTTTCGTAAGATGCAACATTTCAGGTCGCATTATCTTCATCGAGTAAATCTGCAGAACGCCAGTAGTCAACGAGCTTATCAAGTAAGTAGCTATTACGCTAGTGCTTTCTCTCCTTATCACAGCTCATTGACGCTTATCACAGATGATACATAGTGCATAATGAGGGAAATTATCGGCGTGCTAGCTCAGGACGCAGCTTAGTAAGGGGAAATGCGGGGCCACTTGAGAAGCGAGATAGCTTGTTTGGATGAAGGCATGCATCAAGATTTGTGCGCTCGATTTCTGATAACACTGCAAACAATTCATGATAGTTAGCCCGAAATACTTAAAAAATACGGTAAACATTAAGTTGAACCATTCTTGGTAATTAATCCTTTATTATTGTAAAAACTACTTTGAACAGAAACTCTGGCAATCATAATAAGGAGTAAGCAAATACTTGAAATGTTATTGAGAACATTATCATAAACCGCTTTTAAAGTAATGTTTATGATAATATGCTGAGGCTTACTTGAAATTTACTAAAGACAATGGTATTGATAACATACAAAGTAAGTTTATGATAATCCAGCTTGCATTATCATGACTCAAACCTACAATAAACGGAAGAAAATTACCTTAAAAAACCAATAAATGTTGTTGTGAATGGGAATTGGTTATATTGGGATTAATTAGCCCAAAATGGTAGCCGACAACAGCCGACAACAAGCCGACGACGGCGGACGACAACGGACAACCTTGCGGACAACAAATTTGACAGCATAAATACATTAATGACAATCAATAAATATTTGCCCGTTACCTTTAAGGTAACAGGGTCTTGGGGGGGAAGCTCGTCGCTTTCGTTATGCTATTGTCATGCACCGTTGTCTGCCATTGTCGTCCATTGTCGTCTGCAAGGTCGTCCGTTGTCGTCCGTCGTCGTCGGCTTGTTGTCGGCTGTTGTCGGCTACCATTTTGGGCTAATTAATCCCAATATAACCAATTCCCATTCACAACAACATTTATTGGTTTTTTAAGGTAATTTTCTTCCGTTTATTGTAGTTTTGAGTCATGATAATGCAAGCTGGATTATCATAAACTTACTTTGTATGTTATCAATACCATTGTCTTTAGTAAATTTCAAGTAAGCCTCAGCATATTATCATAAACATTACTTTAAAAGCGGTTTATGATAATGTTCTCAATAACATTTCAAGTATTTGCTTACTCCTTATTATGATTGCCAGAGTTTCTGTTCAAAGTAGTTTTTACAATAATAAAGGATTAATTACCAAGAATGGTTCAACTTAATGTTTACCGTATTTTTCAAGTATTTCGGGCTAACTATCATGAATTGTTTGCAGTGTAAGAGCGGAGATATGCGGATAGATGAATCACCTAGGTGAGATCGTTGTGTTCGCCTCTGGAGTAACTTTCGCTAGACTGAGCTTCTTTGGGGCGAAAAGAGCGCATCAAGATTTCAAAGCGAGAAAGAGCATCCATTCCGAGCATAAGTTCTCTGCGCAAGATGTACGTATCGGCAACTACATCGCGTGAAAGTCGACATTCAAGCCAGAACAAGTACTGAGTGCATAAATAGTACGAATCACTGACTGCTCCCCCGGCCCATAGCTGACTGACATCTACACAGATAAACGATGTATGATCCTGAAGTAAAACAATCAGAGCAGTGTACGAGAGCGCGACCCGAGTTTCACTTACGCTCACTCCTTCTGGCATCCACAACCCTTGGACTTGCAGGTGTCGGTGTCCGCCTTCGCGGAGCAGCCGTACACACCGATGCCGCTGCACTTGCAGCCCTGGGTGCCACCGCCGTTGCAGTAGCTAGGCAGCTGACTGCCGGACGAGCCGCAGCCGGCGATCTTGTAGGCGAGTGAGGCATCCTCGAGAGGAGTGGCAGCGGCGCCGCTGAATGCGGTGGCGGCAAGAGTGAGTGCGATGGCAGAGGTGAGTGATTTGAACTGCATGTTGGTGGTAGTGGTGATTGATCTGGTTGTTTTGTAGGAGGCTTGTGTTTTGAGCGAATGAACCACCGACAGCATTGTTTTTATACATGAACGCCGAATTAGGCGCCCTCAGAGTCAATTTGACCTTAGCACTTTCAACGACGAGACGACCAGCCAAGAATCGCTCCGTACTCGCCAAGTTTGTTTCACAGTCTAGCGACGGTAGGCTGTCCTATCGTGACTCTCCACCACGAACAATCAGTGGTGGATCCCATTGTTTCAGGAATGCTCACCACGGATTGAGGTTCTGTTCAGTCTCATGGTAAGCACCACGTCCCCAAATCTCTGATTATCTCAGTTGAGAATCCTGTTTCTGAAAGATGCGCTTCAATACCAAATGTGATTGAGCGTTTTCTCCTTATGACAATCGCCGACGTGAGACCGCGCAGTCAAATTTCTTGTCCAGGTGTTTCGTGTGCGTCCTCAGCGGTCCGGGAGATGAGAAGACGGTCTTATGTCAAGACATCATTGATCTTCTCGTGGATCTGGGGTAGATGTAAGCATATGATCTGCTCGCCAGAGCACTAGCAAATGTTTACCACGGATCGAAGGAACCGAGGCACAGGCTCACGGACGAAGCTCCAAACTCAAACCTTTGTGTCGGATGTACTGGTTTCATCTTCAGCTGCTGTGACGTAAATCCTTTCTACCTCCGTCGACTCCGTTGACGCTGCTCTGCCTTCGTAGCTCAGCGCTTGCGCATCCACTACTCCACACCTCCACAGTCATTGTGATTTACCTCGTCGCAATGTTTCACCTTTTCTCAGGTGGGCCGCGCGAGTGCAGACTTCGACGAGAAGATGCATATTTGCCCCCGGATAACAGCGCTGCGACCAAAGACAGCATAGTTGAGCCCAAATCCATACATACACCCTAAATTACTGACTTGTTTTCTATCGGTATTGTCTCAGCTGCTGTCGTGGGTCAATTCTTGATAGTGTTAATTGACTTGAATGGTTTTTGACAGGCAAGCGATCCACACACAACGAATGTGATGTAGACCGGTAATCGGAGACAAGTGACGTTGGACGATCTCGGCGCTACCGGGATACCAAGACGTCGTCATCCAATGACATTCCCTTGACCATTGAACGATTTGACCATGTCACTGGGATGCTAAGCTAAATTTGATGTTTCGCCATCACATCACGAAGAACTCGTTACGACAATACCAAATGATACTCCACCGAGAAATGATGGCCTCTTGCTTATGTTTCTTCCGCTCGCGCCGACTACTCCGGTTTCATGTAAAACGTCGGTGAGATCGGGTTACTCTTGGTTGTCTTCACTTCTTCCATCGCTCATCGCCCTGCGTATGTGCACGACATGTACGCAGAAGCCCATCTAATCGTTCTTTCTCATGCGCGACAGGTCACCATCTCGTCGCTCCGCACCTCGGATTCTCAATGCAATGAGGCGCTGCGAGTTCTGTGGTTTACGGTTGTATGCGGTTTGACTGTGAGCCGCCATCTCTCCGTCGCTGACCGTTCGTCAACGACAGGTCAACGATCTAGCACGGCAACCTTATGTCATTGGAGATCCACCAGCAACGGTGATGATCACTGAATACAAATTATGTAGATCGCAGACGATCTTCTCTTCTGCCCACATCGGACGCGAATACTTTACTTTCTAATCTAGTGGCATGGATCTCTCCGCTAAGTCCGGATCTGACAGCGACGTCATCTCGGTGACTTGCTCTCTTGCTTGGTTGGAAAGGTCTGTTTCAGCTACTCTACTCAATGATACTGATCCTCCTTCAAGTTCGACTCACGGATCATGTGCGACGCTTTGATTTATGTTTACTCCAACAAATGGTGATAAAACTAAATCATTTCTCTGTGAAGTGGTACCTCCGGTTACATTTTCGATGCTACAGCGCTGATGATGCACTTGGCAGTGTCCGTGTCTCTGTATCTCTCGGGTTTCCGTCAAAGAGGAACTGGGATCACGATTTACCCCACACCGCTGATCGGCCTCGTTGTGTTGTTTCAGGTTCATTCAGTCACTCACTCGGGGGGCGATGTTCAGGCCGCCAACGCGCGACTTTGTGTGAGGAAAGAGTCTTCGCTCTGCCGTTGCAAGATACGAACACAAGACGTTCTAGGGTAGGACACAGCCCTCGCGCTCGACATATAAAAGTGGTAAGCTTTCAGCCCAGATTCACCATCACCAAAGAACTCAACCAACCAACTCATCTACTACACCAATCTAAACTCCACCCATTGTCACTAAAATGCGCGCCTTCACTCCCGCTCTCGCCCTCGCCTTCGTCGCTACCGTCTTCAGCGGCATGGCGATCGCCACTCCTCTCGAGGACGCCGCCCTCGCGTACAAAATCGACGGATGCGGCACCGAAGGTGGCCAACTCCCCGCAGGCTGTAATGGCGGCGGCACCAAGGGCTGCAAGTGCAGCGGCATCGGTGTATACGGCTGCACCGAGGCCGAAGACACCAAGACTTGCAAGTCGAAGGGCTGCGGCTGCTCCAAAGAGTAAATGTGAGTGCTTGAGGTTTGACTTGCGCGGTATTCATTTGTTCTGATTATCTATCCATTGATCGTAGGCTCTCTGAACATCTTCCTGAACTGAAGACGCCATGTCATACTACTGCGATATTTCCTGTTCGATCAGCCACCAGTCTATCATAAATCATAGTTTAGTTTCGTAGTTGTATCACCCAAGTATCACCATTTACGTTAGTGTACCCAAAGTTATGGTAGCTATCTATATGGCGGTCTTGTCAATCCGTATTTATTTGCGTCCCATCTACAGAGTTCGAAAAAATGAGCTTCAGAACCTCGCATCTTGAGAACCAGGAATCGAATTCCAATGCGATACACTGTATGACCCGTTTAAGACATTAAGGCCAAAGCCCTATCACAATGCCCACTCTTACATGAAATCATCACGGGCCTTGATCTCATCGAAAGCTATGCGCACACCAATATTCTGTTCATTGTGACTTATGAAGCGCAGACAGCGTGCATCCCCATTTCCTTGCCCAATATCATACAAGTTAAAGGCGACTTGCTACCTTTCTACTAAACGTGTCCATCGACATAGTACACTGTGTCACGTAACACGAATTTACGAGCGGCCATTAACATCGTACCATCTCTCCTTTGCTTCTCGATACATACGACTTTCCCCCAGACTCAGGCTGTACTCCACTGACGGAATGGAACACTCCTCCCCTAACCTCTCGGCAGCCTGGTAAATTGGATTATTTGTACCGTCTTCAAATGTTTTCGTTTCTTCCGAATAGTTGACAAAAGTGAGGCTGGATAAGTGGCAACCAGACTCCTTCAGAAAACGACGAAGAAAGTCAAGTTCCCCTGAAGGCGGCGCGGTAAGAACGAGGTCGACAAGCGCAGGAAGGGTTAGGATATCTAGGAGTTTGAATGGTCCAACTTCCAAGTCAAAGTCTTCTGAATCTTCCGGATCATCGCTACCCGGTACGGCGACGAGGGCGAATGATCGCAGTTTGGGCGAAGTGACCATTGTATCCAGGCGTCCAAAGCGCTTATGCAGTGTTTGGATGAAGAGTTCAATTAAGTTCGGAAAGTTGTGAAAGAGGGGTATCACGTAGTCCTTATCTAAGCCATTTGATTTTTCCATGTCCAGCGTGAGAAAAGTGAGGTTCTCCCATGTGCGATACTCTAAAAATGCCGACATATCGGCGTTGTACACCGTGCATATGTGGAGATGCGTTAGGTGATCAAAGTAGCTGGCAATCGCGTTGTCTTCTTCCGGGTTATCTTCAAGAAGGTATGCGAGCTGTTCAAGGTCGACATTATCGAGTGTAAGATGTGTGACGCGTTGAAATTGAGACATCCACTGAAAAAGTGGCATGACACAAGCATGACATCCCCTTGCCGCGATAAGACGTCTAACCCCTTGACAGTATTGTACGCCGGGATGTTCTGCTGAGATCCATCAAAATCAGCTGCCCGCCTGACGGCTGTTTCTGATACATCAAGGGTGACAAATGTGGGGAGTAATCTAACCCTAGTCAGTGGCTTGAGAGGGGCAGGAATCATATCAGAAGTGATGCGCTCGCTTGTGGGTCGGATGCCAACCATGTTCCATAGCTTGGGAATGTTGAGCGTAACATCTCTCCACTTTCGGCATACCTGAGCGACATTGAGAGAGCCACTGGGTAATGCGTTGACGGTAAGAGAAGAGGAGAGTAGGGGTAGACGGTCTATCCGTCGATTCGACAAGACGGATGTCCGGGAGAGGATGAAGATGGTTGACAATAGCTCGACGGGGATCCGAAGCGAAGAAGATACCAAGCGAGTGTGATCAACCAAAGCTTCCTCTAATACCGTAACAGCGCGCGATAGCTCTGAGAAAATTCCCTTTGCAATATTGATTGTGGACGAGAGATCGGTCAGGATAGTTTGAACCTGACATGCCTCCTGCGCTGTAGCGACGCTATGATTCATCTTAGCATATGGAGTGAAAGGGGTGTTCGTAGCAGCCTATAATGTTACTTGAGTACTTGAAAGCGGTTAATCGAAAGATGAACACACGGAGATTTCGAGAGCAAGCTTTGGGAGCTAATTCGTTGGAACATAAGTATTGGCGGCGCGAATTGCAAGTGAGTTGATTACTCACGAGATTGGCAATCGAGGACAAGGCGGTGGGTCCATTGTTAGTTGACATTGTCGCGGTTTGTCAAGTGAATGTGGGTGTGTTTAGCCTATCCAGTCGGAAAGAGGAGGCAATCTATGCAGCTAACGGGAAGGACGAGCGTCACCCCATCACAGGTTGCCTATGGTGTACGCAGCGCGTACTGTACACCTACTTTCACACGGTACCACAAGTGTCCGAGTCAACAGTTGCCGCGCTGAGCTCTGCCTGACTTCCTCCTGACACAATAACAGGTCTCTGACGGACAAAGAGTCAAATTTGTCGAAATGATGCAGCACGCTCGTCTCTGGCTGGAGACAATGTTTAACCTCCCCCCCACCTCCCCCCCCCAAAAAAAGAAGAAGTTCATCTACTACGCTTGCAGTGCTCGAGGCGTAGGCTCAATGAGGTGACGTCACTGGGGTAAAGACATTTGTCAGGTCATGGCTCCCCAAAGTACTTAGCGGTAAGCGATCTAGAGCCTTCTTCGTTGCAGCTTGTGTTTGAACTGTGTATCTTCACCAGCATCTGATCATGGATATGGTCCATCTCCGCCTGGAAGAAGGGTTTCTTTTGATTCACATTCACTGGAGAAATCGGAAATGAGGTTCCCCGAAATTCGCCTCAGGGTCTATACCGAAGTGTGTGGTCTTATCGTCTCTACGCATCCAACAGCGTTACTCGGGTCCGTTATCAAGGAGGACGGGACGACGAGCTTTTTCTGGCAACTCATGTAACAAAATTGATTACCAGACATTCAAATTCGCTCCGAACCATGAGCGCTCGAGCTCTACGCGCGGCATTCATTAAAAGGGCAGTACCCTGGCATTGATGGAGACAAATTTCGTGCAGTCCCCCACAATGCGGAACACCATTCCGATCCCAGAGACTCCTCATCCATGGCGGACTGTGAGCCCGAGACGCACAATGGCACCTCTGGTGCCTCCCCCCATATCTACTAGCGACTACCCGCCATTGCCTCTGCTCGGTGCTCCGTCGAGTTCATTCTCCCCCCCTCCACTTCCTGGATATATCGTGTCAACACACGTTCTCCCCGCTGCATATCCTCGCACGGCGTCTTCAAAATGGGCCCCGCCGCCTGTAAACCAGACAAAGACCGAGCAACATGCCCGCGCAGAGTCAGATCTGCAACGCCTGATCACGCTCAAGGAATCCCAGGAACACGGAACGCTTTCAGTCCCACCTCGTGGAGAAGTCCTGTTCAACACTGTGAACTGTTACAGGCCGACTCGTCAACGGTCTTCTAGCCGGCCTATCACGTTGTTACTGTTACATGGGATTGGCTTACACAAAGAGGTGAGTAGCGCATAACTAAAAATTGAGCGCGTTTAACGGTAATGCTAGTCTTGGGAACCTTTCCTATCTGACCTATCCAAGTCTCTTGAGTGTGGATCATCCATTTTCATTGACGAGATATGGGCGCTGGAGTTAGTTCAGCACGGTGACGCTGGGCTTATCAATGAACGAGATCTCGGAGACATTTGTACGTCCTGCGTCGACGTTAGGACCATGAATTGACGAGTGCATTCTAGTTGATTCTTCCGACTACGGGCGTGATATAGCAAACTTTCTTCTGAGCTACCTACCTGACGAGCCTTCGCGAAAGCCAGTCGGAGTGAACCTATCACGGGTATCGGAAGAGGAAGCGGCACGTAGGCGAAAGTTCGGCTTCCGCAACCGAACCCTTGCCTGTGTCGCCCATTCCCTTGGTGCATGCTGCGTGTAGGGTGCTTTCGTTCTCAGCACAGCGATCCCATCTGATCACGGTTGCTCTCCCAAGTGTGTACCCCGCAGTCGAGATGCCAAAGTTGTTCTCCTCTCTCATTCTTGTTGAATCCGTATCTATTCCCGAGTACATGCCAGAAGCGTTGGGTAATCGCCGAGCCGAGGCACTTTGCCTCAAGCGTCAGAGTCAATGGAACTCATGGTAGGAAATACGACTTACCTTATGGCGCTCAGCACTCACAATCAAATTTTGACAGGGAAGAAGCATAGTCTTCGATAAGGTCCAATAAGTACTATCGGAAATGGAGTCCGCAAGCAATGGGAGTATACCTCAAGTACGCACTCAGTGCGACCGCTCACGGAACTATTTGTCTCAAAGCACATCCTTATCAAGTACGTTGTCGTTAATTACTCTGCAATCTGTCTCTGACTTAATTTATACTCGGACAACTAGGAAGCGATCATCATGGTGGAACGTAGAATGCCGTTTGAGACGTGGGAGCTCATTGCCTCTATATCGCCGTCTGTAAGGCTTCACTGGATCATGAGCGCAAACAGTGTACGTACAGGAGGTCGCAGAGTTGCGGCAGAAATGGTTTGGCGGAGGCCTGTCAACGCTTCAAATGTTCTACTTGAAGGCATTGGCCATATGGTTTGCCTTTTTGTATTATTCATCGCATGGCTCGGCTGGCTAATGGCAGCTTCGCCCAGGTTCCTCAAGAAGCCCCGACTGTGTTAGGTGCGCCGTTTCTTACCTCTGACAATCTTGGGTGCTTACTGTCCATATAATCAGCAAACTTGGTCGCAGACTTCCTTCGGCACGAATACAGACAATCTTCTGCAATGGGCCCTGTGGCGGGAACAAGCGCCTATGCGCAGTGGCAGGCTTCAAAGTTATAGAATATATTGCTCATGGGACGGCGAGCAGTACATGTTACCGTAGCCACACAACTCCTGTTTCTCACATTAACCTAATGTCTTTAGTCATATGTTATACTTCATTTTAGATTATGTATCCAAAATTTATCAAAACGCCTCGCGCAGGACGAGCTCAAAGAGTGGATACAGGTCTAGGAAAGTTATGTCCTATCCAGTGAACTGTCGTTGCCTTTTGTGGTGCTCGATGGGGTGTCAAAGGTTGAACTGGAGTTCGGGCGGCGACGGAACGGAAACGTCATAGCGGCCATTCACGCTCGGGTACTGAACTTAATACCACCCACGAGATTCAAAGCACCATTGCCGATGGAGAGCGCCTGCGTGCACAACTGAGAGAAGGGTAGCAGTCGGGGTGAAACAGCGGTGCATGAGGAGGAATACCACCCGTCTCGAGTGTAGGAATAGCTAGGACATATTGCGATCATAGGCCGTGGCCACATCGATATAATTTATAACGCGATGGAGCGGAAGATCACTGGCGAAGTCTAGTAATGAGGATCCAGTTGACATTGGCGAAGGCAGAGGAAATGCGTGACGGCAGGCTAGCGAGCAAGTCCCTTCCGCCGCATATAGGCCTGAACCACAAGCTGCTCGATTCTGTGCTCGCGACATGGTCAGCCCGCGACATCTGAAATGACAAATAGATCCAGCTGCTAACCGTTGCTTAACCATCAGTGCGACTCCCTGTGTGATGATCCCCTTCATGATCTGCGACTGCAGCCCTCGATACAGCGCCGCCACCCCACCCTCCTGATACGTCTTCACGAGAACGCCCCGGACCGTCGCCGATCGCTTCGCCTCTGCAGGGGACATGGTCCTGCCTTCGGAAGCCTCTGCTGCGCGTGCAGCCTGGATGAGCGTCTTGGTGAGAATGAGTGGGTAGAGGATGGACACGGCTGTGGTGACGTCATGCGATTAGCTCCGGCGTTAGTGCGACTGGGCAAGCAAGGATGCGGAGCCGCACCTATCGAGCTGGCGATGGCTCCTCCGACGAATGATTGCCCTGGGGTGGGCATGTCGCGGTCTCTACCCCGCAGTAAGACACGTCGGAATGTTTGAAATAGGAGAAGGGAGATCGCGGGGTTGAGAGAGAGGAGGAACGTCGTCTGGAAACCTAAAAGGCGGAGCTCTCAGGTGAACGAACGCCCACTAGCGTCGCAACGAGCGATGCGCACCTCTCTAGAAGCCAGAAAAACCACTCTCCTCATACATCTGCTTCACAGTGTCGGTAAACCCGCTCGTGCTCGAACCCTCATCCTTATCGCCGTCTCGCGCGGTTTGAAGTCGGACGGTGACGCAATTCAAAGGAGTCGTGATCGCCCTGCTGGCTATGCCAGCGAGGTATCCAATTGCCAGTTCTTGCGGGACAGACAACATTGCTCCTCTGGGTTTCCGGCGGGTATAAAGAGAGCGTAGGTACGAGTACGCATAGTAGTAGAGCCCACTGCCAGTGCAGCTACTGTCAGCAGCCTGCCCACCTCGTTGACCACGGTCGATGAGATGTACCTCGAGAGTAAAGTTGCCCATGAATCAGACCCTATTCCGTCATACAGCGATGCAAAGCCGTGCTTCGCCAGTACTTGCTGTAGTGACTTATATTGTCCAGTCTGAACGCGGGTCGTGATGACGTCGAGCGGATAAGAGAGGGTGTTGGCAGACGCCGCACCAAGCGCACCAGAGGAGGCTTGCACGAAAGGTGGGAGGGTGCTCGTCATTGAGACCTTGAGAGTCAAGGATGGGGGTCGTGTTGTTGGAGACGAGCGTGCAGCAGCGTAAAGAGGTCCATCATTCCAGACTTTCAAGGGGCAACGCGGGGCCGGCAAATTCGGGTGCAGTTCTGGGCCGAAGGGCGTGCGCATCTGTTTGTTTGCAGGCGCCACTCCGCTAACGCGCCACTCCGATTCACCCAAGTCCAAAATTGCCCTCGCGTCGCATCCGATACACAAGTTTGAATGTTCCTTGTTTCTTTGTGACTCAATGTCTGAATGAAAGGTCGTAGTGACCCAAATGTGCTGATGAACATCCTGTATATGTCTAGTGGGAAGAACAAGGTAACCATCCTATACAAGGGACGTATTCTCGCTTTTACGCTAATCTTCCTTGAGTAAAGATATCAAAAAGGCGGCATACACGCTGCCAAATTAAGTAACCGGAATTGGTAGCCCCTATTCTGTCCCATCGGCCAACAAAACATACATACAACTAGTTACAGAGCACCAGTGCTCACGAAACTTTATAGTGGCAGTCTTATAGATGTTAATGGCTCCCAAATAGAATTTTAGGAAAAAATATCAAGTAGAAATACATCAATTGCTGCGACAATTTCAAAGTATGCAGATATGGGTTGTATAACTTGCATCTGAGCTGTGGAATATTTGTGAGGATAAACTGTATTATTCAAGTGCACAAATTAGTTTAACTGATCATGTATAGTACATCTGTAAACTATCAGTCCATCAGAATATGTTCTTACAGTATTGATAGCATTGGAATTTTGCAGCATGTTCTTCAGCTACACTATGAGGATAAACATAAAGTGTCCACACATTTTATCGGGGTTAAGTAAGGCATCTTGGGAGTTCAGCTGAAGGGATTTATCATCTATACCATTGCTAGATGTATTAAGATGTGATTGAGACTGACACAAAAGTGAAAACAGGCTAATGTGTCATATAATGCATGCTATGATATTACTTGTCAAGTTTTCCATGCTAATCATTCCGTAAGAGCATATTCTGGTGGACTGATAGTTTACAGATGTACTATACATGATCAGTTAAACTAATTTGTGCACTTGAATAATACAGTTTATCCTCACAAATATTCCACAGCTCAGATGCAAGTTATACAACCCATATCTGCATACTTTGAAATTGTCGCAGCAATTGATGTATTTCTACTTGATATTTTTTCCTAAAATTCTATTTGGGAGCCATTAACATCTATAAGACTGCCACTATAAAGTTTCGTGAGCACTGGTGCTCTGTAACTAGTTGTATGTATGTTTTGTTGGCCGATGGGACAGAATAGGGGCTACCAATTCCGGTTACTTAATTTGGCAGCGTGTACTTGCTGTGAGTGGCTTATGTCGGTTCTCAATTTGCATTCCCAGTTCTCAAAACGGAGCCTGCCGATGGAGCCCAAGTATTATCAAAGGTTGCCCTGAACGTCATCTCCTTGTCTATACCGATCAAGAAAAATTCGATGCCAGCCGAGCAATACACAGCATTGAGGCTGAGCGCTGCCATATTGGATGTCCATCTCTGCCGCTTTATAAAGCTGTCTCAACTCGATTCTGAATGTCAGACCACGACCCTCCATAATGGCTTCGCCCCGCATTGCCACCGCTCCCTTCGACGCCTCTGACGCTGACATCGTCTTTCGCACTTCTGATGATGTCGACTTCAGACTCCACCGCATCATCCTCGCCTTGGCTTCCCCTATCTTTAAGGACATGCTAGGTCTTCCCCAGCCCCCTTCAGACGACGACGGCAAATCACTCCCCATCGTCCCAGTATCTGAGAGCAGCAGGGTTCTAGAGCCGTTGCTCCTGTTCTGCTACCCTGCACCACCACCGGTCATTGATACGCTAAACGACGCTTGCCTTATCCTTGATGCCGCCGCCAAGTACGACATAATCTGCGTGCAGAAAGCAATGGCCATCCATGTCAGCTCCCAGCGCTTTATGGATGAAAACACCGTGGGAGTGTATTGTCTAGCCTGTCGGTACGGGTGGGAGCAGGTGGCTAAGTCAGCTGCACTCTGCTGTCTCAAAATTCGCTCTTTAGGACGACCCAGCATGCTCGCCGAAGAGATGAGGCTTACCACGGCGATCGCTTACCACAGGCTCCTTGTCTACCACGCTGAATGCGGAAAAGTGGCCTGCGCTTTAGGGCGCGAGAATTTTCAGTGGCTTGCATATGACAGCCGTCAGCGTGGAGATAACTGTCATCGTTGTAACCAAGCCGCATACCCAGGGAGCACGGACATAATTTCGCTCCAAGCTTGGCTTAAAGACGCCCTACACGCCGTGGGCGGTGAACTCCTGGAAAGACCCGATAGCACTACAGTTATAACTTCCAGCCAGTTCGACGTCCAGACAAAAAACTATCATCAATGCAACGATTGCATACAATTGGCTTCAAGAGGCAGGTTTTCTGCTATGAAAGAAGTTTTCGCCCAACAAGTCAGGGAGGAAATTGGTAAGGTGGGTTCCATCCGGTGACTCTTATGACCTTTCATTATACTCAAGGGTCTATCAAAGGTCGAATTGGAGTTCGAGTAGTCTTTTAAAGGGAATATGGTAGTAGTCGTTCGGAAACAAGGACTGGCATTTAAAGTGGTTGTAACGTTCACTTACTTAGCAAAATGTAGTGCAAATGGAAGCGTGGCCGTGGTTCGATGCCAGGGCAAAGCTAAAACGCGATCGACTACCGCATGTTTCTGCATGACGCGTGTACATTCAAACCATACGTAGGCACGATGGAAGATGATGCCAATAGCGGTGAGAGTCAGTAAAGGCTAAAGGTGAACGTGCTGGCCGTCGTAAGAGTCAAAGTCCGAGAGAGTTGAGCGGAATAAAGCGCAACCACAGCACGATCAAGCCAAACAGTCAAGTGGAGCTGGAATATAAGTAGTGACATGTGATTCGTGATAACTTCCGGGCGGAGGAGAGAAGGTGTTGGCGGATGCCTCCGAGTCTCCCATCACTGCGCCAGAGGAAGCTTGGTTGAAAGGTGAGACTCGGAGGGTGTTCGTTGTGATGCTGAGACAGTGGTATATAGATTGTGGGTATGAGCGCGCAAACCTAGGTCATCTTCAAGCTTCAAGTTGGGGGCGTCCCAGGTTAAAAGTTTTTCGTGGACGACGCGAGGCCAGTAACCTCGGGTGCGATGGACGTCAAACCAAGGCGCGTATGCATGTGTTTGTTCGGAGGACGAAAGTTGGCCGCCCGCTGCAAGTCGTTCTTCGACCACCGACATTTCTGATATGGGTTTGTGACCTTTTTCTAGCTTCTAGCCGTTCATGATTGGGTATTAATAACTGCATATTCAGAATGCGTTATATCATTTTGATACTGCTTCTGTGACTCGGGTTTCCGTGCACAGAAGTAAGCAGTCAGCGGTTCAGCACTCAACGATCGCCATATGGTATCTCGTCTAGTATGAATTTATACACTTTCCAGACATTCTATTCATTCCGCTTCTTCGTGCAGCATTCCGCAGTCTCACACGTTCAGCTTCTTACCCGAAGTTAAACTTAACCCTATGTCCTCATCTCGCCGCCTGCCGTATCGTTTATCTCTACCGATCAACAGGGTTGTTCTGCCCATTATAGAAACGAACACTGTTATATTACTACGCCTTCAGCATTCATCTTGCTCAGATCCCGTATCCGCCAGAGATTGCTTATACAACACATCCATGTCTCCCACTCGCACCGCTAACGCCCCCTTCGACGCCTCTGATGCCGACGTTGTCTTTCGCACATCGGACGACGTCGACTTCAAATTATATCGCGTCATCTTGGCAATGGCATCTCCCGTGTTCAAAGATATGCTCGGTCTCCCGCAACCGCCTTCCTCCGATGTCGATGAATCTCTCCCTGTTATCCCAATCTCTGAAAGTGGCGCCGCCCTCGAGCCAGTCCTACTTTTCTGTTATCCAGCGACAACCCCAGTCATCAAAAACCTTAGTGAAGCGCGCCTTGCTCTTGACGTAGCCACCAAATACGACATCGCTTGTGTCGTTAACTCCGTGTCTCTCCAGATCAATTCCCCTCGCTTCATGGAGAGTCCCGTTGGGACGTACTTCCTAGCATGTCGCTATGGATGGAAAGAGGTCGCAAAGTCAGCAGCAAGGGCTTGCCTGACGATTCGTTCCTTGGGGCGTCCCAGCGTGTTTTCTCCAGAACTGGAGTTGGCAACCGCTGCCTCGTACCATAGGCTTTTGGTTTATCACCTGGCATGCGGCACAGCAGCTAGAGCTTTGGGACTTTCGATGGGCTGCCGTGGATCACAGATATCCTAGGGCCTTGTAGTCAATGCGGCGTGATGCCAGTCGCGAGAGCGGGCAGGAATATAAACGTGCCTCTGTGGTTTTTTAACAGTCTAACAAGCATTAGCGCGGAATTGGCCCAAAGGCCTGATCACAAAGCGGTTCTCACACCCAATCAGTTCGAGTTGCTCGTAGGGAAGAGCAACGACTGCAGTTGTCAAACCTATATTTCTCAAGGCAGGCTTACGAGCGTTAAGCTCGCCTTTGCCAAGAAAGTCAAAGACGAAATCGAAAGGGCGAGTACAATCTCAGTTCACAGCCAGGGTCCATTCTAGAATCTTACTCGTTCTTCCTCAGGTGGAGCTAGAATTCAAGTAGCGGCTGGATTTGCATTGAGTACGAGCACCTGAATCAGAAATTCGGCACAATCATGTAGCTTCAACAACGATAGCAATGATTAAGCAGCTTGGGTATCATGAGAACATGGAGGATAGTAACTAGAACAGCGTTCCACATTGGAATGGTGGTACTGTAAAATATGCATCGCGATGAAATCGAGTGGATATGTGAGGGTATTGACGGATGCCACTCTAAGTGCGTCAGACTAAGCTTGCACATATGACAGGAGGGCACTAGTAATTGATACCGTGGGTGAGGAATGTATGGCGTTGGATACCAACGCACGGAGGATGAAGAGGTTGTCCGGAATTTCAGAACTTCAGAGCTTCAGGGTAGAACATGGGGCGGGCAACCTCGGGTACAGGCGGCCGGCCCGGAAGGCGCGTGTGCATGTTCGGAGGTTGCCTGCCCGCTCCGCTGCAGATGTTACTACATATTCGACCGACCATCTTCGCTTGCCATCCCATCCACAAAGCTTGAAGATTCCAGCTTCTCTTGCGACGTAATACACATTCAACATCTTTGAAGGCTATATTCTGCCGAAAAGACATCGAGCTATCTGTATCCATCAAGGCAGGTTACACTGCATCAGAGGCATCGATCGGCGGCTTGCTTACCCAGAGCTCAAGCTCAAGCTTCAGCTTCATAAAGCTGCCTCGATCCAGTACTGAGAGTCAGAACACAACCCGCATGGATCTTCCTTGCATTGCTAATGCACCCTTTGATGCCTCTGACGCAGACATTGTCTTTCGTACATCTGACAATGTCGACTTCAAACTATACCGCGTCATCCTAGCAATGGCGTCCCCCGTGTTCAAGGACATGCTACTAGGTCTCCCGCAGCCGGCTTCCGAGAACGAGTCCCCTCCCGTCGTCTCGGTCTCTGAAACTAGCGCAGTATTAGAGCCAGTCCTCCTCTTCTGTTACCCAGCAGTAAACCCCGTTGTTAAGAATTTCGACGACGCACAGCACATTCTTGACGCTGCTACCAAATACGACATAGCTTGTGTTGTCGACTCCGTGTCTCTCCAGCTCACTTCCCCTCGCTTCATGGAGAACCCCATAGCGGTATATTTCCTAGCATGCCACTATGGACGGAAGGACGTCGCAAAGTCGGCAGCGAAGGCCTGCCTGAAAATCCGCGCTTTGGGGCACCCGAGCTTATTCACTCCGGAGCTGGAGCTGGCAACCGCTGCCTCCTACCACAGGCTTCTGGTTTATCACCAAGCATGCGGCAAAGCAGTCGGCTCTTTAGGGCTTGCCAGCAAAGGTTTGCAGTGGATCCCACATGTTCCCTTGAGCTGCGTCTACTGCAATAGAGACTTCATCAGGGAAGGGCTCTACAAAATAGGTGTGCCCAAGGTGGCTTCTTGATATCCTGGCTACGATCAGCGCAGAGTTGGTCGAGAGGCCTGATAGCACGACCATCCTTCAGTCCAGCCAGTTCGAGTTGCTCACTGGCAAGAACCCCAGCTGCAATCTTTGCAGCGAGTTCGTATCCCAAGGCAAACTTGGCAACGTGAAACTCGCTTTCGCTAACAAAGTCAAGGAGGAAATTGAGAAAGTAAGCTCAATCCTAACTCACACTCCGTCGGTCTTTGCTAACCCTTGTTCCCCCAGGTGGAGCTCGAATTCAAGTAGTGATGGTTGCATGTTGCATTGAGCACCTAAATCAATAATCGGCACAAAGCAAACAGTAGCAACGGCGGCTCCGATGAGGCAGCGATGAGTAAACAGAGAGTCATGACAGTATGGTAACTAGCACAAGGTATATGACAATAATATCACAGTAAATATGCAGGAGCGGGGAGATGCGAGGTGATAGATGACAGAACGAACAAAACAAAACAAAGGAGTGTGACACTGGTCTAGCCAGAAAAACGTGCAGGGACAGACAAAAGAACAAATATGAAGCGGAGTAGCGATAATAAATATGTATACCGTAAAATGATCCAGCCTTGACGCAGGTGCTGTATGGTAGAGTGTAACAAGAAATTCTACAAATGATTAATCCCGGTCAAGAAGGCCCAGCGTCGCCAGCAGGGCTTGTCGCTGTTAAACATACAGAGGTCAGCCTGCAACTCAAACAAGACAGAAAATACAGGAGACACGCACCTCTTCCTCATGTACACTACTATACGCGCTCCTACTGAGCCCCACCGAGCTCCTCGGCCGGTGCGCCGCCCAGCCCGTGCTGATTTCCGACAGCGGCCGCGTACCATGCACAGACGCCCCCCTGCTGCTCGTCGCCACGAAACCCGACGCACTCCGCGGGCGACCAGGCGAATCCTGCCCGGGGAAGAAGTCGGGGCTGGACAGGCCGAGCATATCGTACAGCTCGCGCTGCGCCTGCATGAGCGCGCGCGCGCCGGAGGCCGACGCCTGCGCGGACGACATGCCCGACGCGCGCGTCGCAGGGCCACCGTTCGTCCCACCGCCCATGCCCATACCGGACGCGCCAAAGGGGAGTGGGAGTGGCGGCACGGGCGGGATGTCCTCGATCGAGAAGTTGGACCGGATCCCGGACGAGGGCGCGACGAGGCTGTTGCGCGTGCCGACGCTGCTCACCGACGTGCGTTTCGAGCGCAAGCCGGCTTTGGACGCGCGCACGCTCGACTTGCGCACCGCCGAGATGCGCAGCGAGCGCCGATTCGACACCCGCGGCTTCACATCGGGCAACGCACCGGCGTCCCCGTTGTCATTGTTGCTGCTTCTGTTGCCACCGTTGTTGCTGCTGCCGGCGCCACCGTCCTCCGCCTTGACCCGCTCCTCGAGCGCGTCCAGATCCTGCGCCGCGTCCTCCGCATGCTTCCACGCCTCATCGCGCTCCGCCTCGAGCGTGCCGATACGCTCGTGCAGCCCCTGCGCCTCCGACACCTGCTTCAAGAAGCTCGCGTTCAGCTTGCGCAGCGCCATCGCGAGCGCGCTCGCCGCATGCACGTCCCTCAGGCTTTTCAGCTGCGCAAGTTGCTCCGACACGCGATGCAGCTCCTCCGCGAGATGATCTAACGCAGACGCCACCTCCGCGAGCTCCTCGAGCGCCCGCGCAGCCGTGACCGCATCGCACGTCTCCGCCCCGCCTTCAATGTGCGTCGCAAGCGTGCCCATCAGACTCCACCGCTTGCGCATCATCATCTTATACCGCGCCTTCACATCCGTGCGCTGCAGCTCAAGCCTATGCACGTCCTCCGGAATATCCACATCCAGATTCTCCAGCCTCAGCACGCGCACCGACGTCGCCTCCGCCGTCTGCTTGATCGCGCGCGACACGATCTCCTGCAGCTGCGCAGACGACAGCGTCCACTGCGCCGCCTCGTGCGTCAGCGTGCGGTACTTGAGCGGCGGCGCCTGGAACTTCGGCGGCGGCGCCGACGCGGACGCGTACAGCTTGCGCCACGACGTGCCCCCCGCCACGCCCGGGCCCGCGCGGCCGGGGCCCAGCGACGACACCGAGCCGGTGCGGTCGCGAGTGAGGGGCCCGAGGGGTTGAACGGGGCCGCTGGGCTTGCGAGGGCCGGCGGGCATGGCGGGTCGCGAGCGTATCCGCGCACGCGGACTGTTGTTCGAGTGCTCCGAGTGGTTCGAATGCGCCGATAGCGGGTGGAGATGGTCTGGCGCGTGCTCGTGGGGCGCCACGCCCTCGTGCTCGTTGATACGATCGTGTTGGTCCACATGCGCAGGCGGACTATCCGTGAAGAACTGCGGATGGTGATGCTGGTTGTGGTGATGATGTCCCTGCCCATCCTCCTCCGCCTCCAACGAAAGCCTCGGTGGACGATCCCGGTCATTCACAACATCGTGATATGCAGGCGGCGCAATAAACGACGGCGTGAACGACGGCGACGACGATGCGCCCGAGTGCCGCGAGACGCTGCTGCCCCGCCGCGAATCAACTTCCACGACTTGCGTGTGATCGTGGCTCGGGGATGGGGAGTGCATCGACGCTGGCTCTGACGGTGGCGGGGGAAGGTCCATATACTCGATCGGCGAGCTCTCGACCGACGACACGCCGAGGTTTGGCACAAAGCTCTCCGGCTGCGACTGGGAGGACAGAGCAGAATGGAGCGACGGGGATGCGGAGTAAGGAAGGGACGGAGTCGGCAGCGGCGACACGCTGCCCGTGCTTCTAATTGAGGGGGGAGGCAGGGGACTGGGGGTGGCGGAGTCGGGTAAAGGAATGGCAGCGGGAGATAGCTCCGAGTTCGAATGCGAAGAAGAGAGGACAAAGTTTCCGTTCGAGTTTTCCGCTACATAGTCGTCGTCGTCGTCGTCAGGGTCATGATGCGTGGTAATAATTGAGGGCGCAGAAGCAGGTGGCGTCGTTTCCTCTGCTGCGAGTTGTTGTTTAGCCGAGCTCTCCCCATCATACGTCGTCACATGCGACAACGGCGAAGGGCGAATCGACGTGGTCGGAGACGTCGCAGCCGACATTGCCCTCCTATGAACCCCAGGTGGCGACCTCGGAAACCCACCACCAGACGAGTCAGGCGACCCATTCTCGTTCTTGACCTCGTACGTCGACCGCCTCCGCGGGGACGTCGATGACCGCGTCGACGAGCCCACCAGAGGCGCCGCCGGCGAGCCAGGCTCGAAATTCAGCGTGATTGAGCGCGTAAGCCCATTTTCGCTGCTAGCACCGCCAGAACCAGGACCCGACAGCTCCTTCCCCTCATCCACAACAGGCGACAGCGTCGCCCCCCGCCCTCCCTTGCGCCGCATGGACACAGCAGGACCATGGCTGTGGCTGTGCGGCGCAAAATAATACTCGTCGGACGAATACAACGGCGTGAACACCTGCGGGGTTTCCGGGAACGTCGGATAATACTCGTGCCCGTGCTCGTGCCCGTGCTCATGCTCGTGCTGCGCCGAGCTCTGGTACCGCAACGACGACTCGGGCGACATCGTCAGATAGTCCGACAGATCGTCGTCCTCCCGCCCGACATGGATACGGCTCGGCACCGGTTTCCGCTGCCACTGCGACTGCGGCGCCGCCAGCGAGGCAGAAGGCGCGACGGGGATAGAGAACATGCTACTATCCAGCGTCGAGCTCCGCGACGCCGTCAGCGGCATCTCGAGCGTACCCGCCGGCACAGCGGATGTGGGCACCTGTTGGGTGAGCAGCATCGACGAACGCGATTGCGGGTGTAGCTGTTGACCGAGACCCGGCATGTTCAAGTTAAGCGACGCGACGCCGGGCGTGATGGGCGTCTGCGGCACGTGCATCAGCGAGCTGTGGCGGTCGCCGATGGGGAGCAGCGTGACTTGTTTCTTGTTGCGCGGGTGCACCTTCAGGTTCAGCCGCGGGTCGGATCCCATGCGCTCGACTGCCAAAAGGGAAGGGAAGGAGAGTGACGAGGTGGGACGCATTAATCAGCGATTCAATAGGACAGAATAAAGCAAAAACAGATCAGATCAGAATAGAACAAACGAGACAAAAATATAAACCACGCACTTCTCCCCCTATTCGTAGGCACCGACATCCCCACCGACCCCACAAACCTCGGCCTCGTCGTGCTCTCCGAGCGCCACGGGCGATGCGACATCGCATACGACGACGACGACATCTCCGACGCACCTGACGCCGACGACGCCGACATCATCATCTCCGACGCACTCGGCGGCACGAACTGATAATCGTCCAAACTATGGTCCGTCGGACTAGGCGACAGCATAGGGTCCGAGTGCGTTCGCCGGTGCGCCTCATCCTTTTTCGTCGAGAACTCCAATTCCAGACTCGGAGCCCCGGATGTAGGCGCTTCTGACGCGTCCGAAGACGGAAGCGGAACACGCGAAGCAGACGCGGGCGCAGATGACGTCTCCTCAGCGGACGGGGTATCAGCAGGCGCGGACTGAGCCTGGCGGAGCGGACTCGGCGGGGAAAAGGAGGAAGGGGACGAGGAGGAGGCGTCGTTGGCGGTCCTGGGCGGCTCGAGGTTCGCCATCGTCGGTACGGGCGAGGGCAGCTCCGGGATCTGCGCGAGATTCGTCGTCTCTACATACGTCGACGTCTCGCGCGTGCTGACAAACGCAAGATCGTGGCCATTCGACGGCGGCGGCGGCGTAAGCACCAACCTCTGCGCCTTCACCTGCGAATCCGAGTGCCGCTTGTCCGCCACGGATGCGCCGCGCTTCTGGTCCAGGAAGATCGCGCCTGCGCCTGGCGGAACAGGGGGAACGGGTGGGACGATGGGGCCCGTCTGCGACTCGTAGTCCAACACAATCTCCCCGCCACTGATCCGTCGATCTCTCCAGTATGGCGAGTTCGCCGTGGGCTGTTCGCCCCGAGGCAGTGTTGCAGAGTCCTGTCGCGTCATCGTCGCCTTGTAGCGCGAAGACCGCGTGTCGCCGGATGACAGCGTGAACGCGTTCGCGATGAGAGCTCGTGCGAGAGTCGTTCCTGACACAGCAGAGGCATCATCGCTGGAGGAAATGGGCGAGGGCTGGCGGGATGGGAGGGTGTTCCTTCGTGCGACGCCTTCTCGGGGTGGGTGTTCGGGGATAGTACTATTGCTGCGGGCAACGGGCAAGGCGGGAACGAGGCGATCCCTCTCTGGGATCTTGATTGGCGCTGGGATAGACTTCTTCCAAGTGGAACCAGCCTGGAAAACGATTGTCAGAAAAGGGCCACCCCAGCAACGGGGTGACGGCATCGCTTTACGGCACAATCTGGTTACAGTACTCACCGGTACAGACGAGACATCAGTACTGGTCATCCCAGCAGACGGCAGGTCCGGCGTACCATCAACAATGGGCTTTGAAACATGAGCACGGTTAACGCGGCGGTAAGAGGCAAGAACGCACCTCTGGCTCGATAACCTTGGGTGCCCTCGGGCCTCTCCTCAGACTCTCGCTAGACGCCACCTTCTCCACGCATCGTTCTGAACCTGATGCCGCACTGTCCGGTTTCGGTGATGGCGATCCACCATTCTGCCGCCGAAAGATGGCCTGGGACCAGTCGCTGCTGAGAGTTGGGGTGCCCCTGCCGCACTGAAGCAGCTCCTGGGTCCAGTCGGACTCATTTTCGGGGAGGTCAAGCTGGACCTGGGGCGAGTTGTCGAAACTGCGGCTGTGCAAGGAGTCGACGGTGGAGTTGCCGAGAGAGCCTTGTACGGAATAGGGATTGGCGTCGTGGTGGTAGTCATGAGCTTTCTCGTGAATGTCAAACACGTCTGGCGAGGCGAAGGAGTCGATGGATGACGGGGAGGGTTGCGGGTGCGCTTGGTGGGCCGAGGTCTTGCCGCCCTTGGCAGCTTTGTTTCGCTTACCGCCCTTGACGGTGTTGCGAACGAACGAGGAGAGCATGGCTTTCCTCTCTCCGAGCTCGCCGGTGAGAGACTTGCCAACAGCGTTGATTCTGGACGCCAGCGGTGGTACAAGAAAGGACAGGGATGGGGGAGTGGTGGGACAGGGAAAGGGACGCAGTGTAGTGGAACTAGCGAAATGGCAACGAGGTGTTGTTACGCATCAATGAATTATTTGCATATATTTTTATTTGAACAGCCATCTGCCTCCGGTGTTCTGGCGTCCGTCGTCGTGCCTGGCTCTCGCGCCCACCCATCCACCCCTGGACACCGACGCACCCTTCGAGGACCCTCGGAGTCGTTGTGGGGCCTGTCTATGACGAAAACATATCCCACTCCGACACCAGCCTCCTTGCTCACTTCTCACTGTATCATGATCAAACTCCCATGGTTGTAGAGTGGGTGTATGCGCACAACTCACCATCGTTTCAGGCGCTTGACGGGGCAAACCCTGACACTCTCCAAAAATTGAATCTGTCAATTCTGTCAAACAGCAGGCAGATCGCTCAAGAAAGGCCAAACCGTCTTTCCGTGCACCAAACCTGTGGTAAATCAACCGCATCTTTCTCCTCCGTTCAATGAGACCTAACGAGGCTGTACAACAACACGAACTGTGCATCTGGGATGGCGGGCGTTTCACGCACATAGCCTCCCCACCCCTAGCGCCATCTCTTATCACCTCCTTGACAGCTCCCCCGCCACAGAGCTCTGCAGATCATCCAGCCACCGCCTCAGCCACTTTCTGCAATCGCCACGCAAACCTTCGTTCAGACGCGCGGCATGTTTTCCCGGTGCCCCCAGCCTCCGGATCATCAGGAACCAGCTCCCGTGCTCTGATATGTCGAGCCTCGGAGCCTATGATCTACGCCCACTTACCTGATAAGTACGAATGAATAAGGCGCAGCCAGCTCAATCTCCGTCCACCGAACGTTAACCTTGCCCGCCACTGCGCGGCCACTTACATACTCTCCCTGATTAGCGCTCGTTGATGCAAGGCAAGGCGAGAATACGTCAAAACACCGGAATATGCAATCGCGCACAGATCACTAGAATATGCAATGAAGACGTACTGGGTTTCAGATGTTCACATTTGGAGACGGCGAATCTGGCAAAGAACGTGTGATTATGCGAAGAAGTACGACAAATGTGCGGTGAAAGAGTACAAAATGGGGTAACGAGTGAGGGTTCATGCATTCATGCGAGAAACACCAGAATAATAAGCCGAAAAGCGGGCATACGATAGATTAGGGAGAGATGAGGGCGGGCGCGCGAACTTGAATGAACAGGCGCCCTAAGGATGAGAAAACGGGAATAGTATACGGAAGGGAAAGGAAATTTGAAGGAATGTATGATCTGGTCTGTGCGGCGCGAGGGGTTCCAGTTATGCAAGAAGTCATATGCCCAGACGATCCTAGTGCAGACGCGGTGCACAGGTCGTGGTCAGGAGAGATAGGACAGGATGAGAGGCGCGTAAACAAGAAAGAGAGCTGTCCGGGGTATGGACAATATTAGCGAATCAATCGAGATTGTGTCACGAACCGAAAGAGAACGTCCGATGATAATAAATCAAGAATTGGTCATATGTGGGAAGAGAAGACTCTGGATTTAATGATCGTGAGGGTGGTGGGAGAAGGAGTGGCAGACGGGATGATGAACAGATAGACCTGTAGGGAATGATATCAGAACCGCTGCAACAACACACTTGACAAACCCAATCTCACCTCAACAGAAGAAAAACACAAGCAGCAACATCATCCGCCGACATGACGTTATACGTCGAACATTAGCGCCCTAGCAAAAGAACGGTCCAGGCCCGGGCAGACTACCCAAACAACCGCAGCTTCTGCAACGCGTCGTCCACGCTCTTACGCTTCATCTCCATGCGCTCATACGACGGCCGCTCCGGCTCCTCGTCCCCCTCCTCGCCCTGCAGCGACGCAGCAACCAGCGACTCACACCTCGCGCGCGACTCGCGCCTCTCCTCCTTCGCCCGCGCACGCTCCGCCCTCGTAATCTTCGACGACGACGACGGCGATGGCACCACCTCCGGAATCGAATCCAGGAGAGAAGACGTCGTCGTCGGCGTGAGCGTGAGCGCCGCCGTGCTCGATATCGGCGAGCGTGACGACGCGGACGCGCCGGACGACGGCGCAGCGTCCCGGTCCTGTGTGTAGTAGTGCGGCTGCAAGAGCGCAGGCTCCGTCTTGGCCAGGTACTCCATGTCCAGCCGGAGCCGCTCTGCGCTCACGCCCGTGTTCAGGTCCACGCGCTGGGGACTGCTGCCCCTGCTCCGCGTCCCGGGCTGCAGCCGCGTGGGTGAGGACGCCCTCCTCGTGCCCGCGACATAGTCAAACCTCGGGCCCCAAGTCGGCGAAGCCTCCCCCTCCATTCCTCTCTCCTTCTCATGCTGAGACTGACTGGACCGCACATGGGCATCAACCCCATCCGTCTCCTCCTCCTCCATACCACGGTCAGACCTGTCTCTGCCCTGACTCTGGTTCTGGTTAAACACAATCTCCCTCAACCCCTCGATCTCATGCGCCTGCCTCCTCAAGTCCTTCTGCAGCTCGTCGATCGTCTTCATCATCGCCCCCTTCTCGTCCGCGTGCCGCCGCGTGATGCGCACGATCGAGTCCTGCAGCTCATTGTGCCGCAGCCGCTGCCGATGGATCAGGTGCCGCATCTCGTCCACCGTCAGGCACGAGAGCGGGTCGAAGTCGACCGCGGGGCGGCCGGCGGGAGTGGTGCCAGCGCCATTGCCATTGTCTGGACGGCTGGATGCGCTCGGAGGGGAGGATGGGGAGGGGCCTGCAGACGTCGAGGCGTCTTTCGTGTTCTCCTTAACCGCATCGACCGGTGTTGAAATAGTGCTCGCCCGCGGACGAGCCCGTACCGCCGCACCCCGCGACGCACTCGGCCCTACCGACCCTCCAAGCGTCGACGCAGCCTGAGAAGCACCCGCGCTCCCCAGCGTCGGCGTCGGCGTCGGTGTCGCAGTACCGCCCACGGGCGGAGGCGACGGAAGCGGTCGAGACGGCGGCTTGGACGGCGCCACAGCGCTGTTCTGGAACGACGACGGCCGTCTGGAGATGAAAGGCTTCTTCAAGCTTGCCTTCGAAGAAGCAGACGCAGAATTCGACGGCGAAGCTCCGCCCACCGCCGCTGGGCTCGGACTGGGCGCTTTCTTGGCGGCGCCAGTGCGCTGCGCCTCCGGGCGATCGGTGTGCTGCGGCGGCGACCTGCTTCGATCGCGCGCACTCATACCATCATGGGATGATGATGGGCCGGCGCTGGGAGCGCCGGCAGTAGCAGTACCATGGGGGGTGGTGGGTATTGTGGGCGAAGGGAGAGCTCTGGGTATGCGCATGCTCCCGCTGGTGCGCTTCGAGAGCGACGCAGCGGTCTCCCCTCTGAACGCGGGCTCGCGCGATATGCGCGTGCTGCTCCTCTCCGCGGAGGACTGCGAGGTGCGGACGACCTGGGGTATGCCCGTCGGCGGCTTCGAAGCCGAGGCCGACGAGGGCCCCGCTGCGGCGGAGGGTATCGTCGGGGAAGGGGGTATCTGCGCAACCTTGGATGGTGGCTTGGTGGCTTGTGGTGGCTTGCCATGCAGCTCAGAAAACGGGACGACGAAGAGGTCCGTGTATTCCTCCATGGGGAACTCGCGCTGAACCACGGGGACGTTGCGTATGGGGTGGAGAGCGGAAGGACGCTCTTTGCTCGCGCGGCGAGACTCAAAAGACAGATTAGCTATGTGAGTGCTGGACGTGTTGTTCGTAGGGGGTGGGGTGCTCTGGCTGTTCTCGGCCGCGACGGTCGAGCGCAACCGTGACCTACGGGACTTTGTGTGGGTGAAGTGCGCCGCGAACTTGGACCCAAAAAATGCGGATGGCATCTGGGGTGACGGAGGTGGTGGCGACGAGGGGGTAGACAGAGCGGATGCGAGGGTGGGGGAGGGGGAAGAGGTGGACGCAGAAGACTTGCGGGCTGAGTCTTTCGAGCGAGGTGCCGCCTTTAGCAGGCCGTTTCTGTTGAACGAAGTGGATCAGCACGACCTGCGTTCCAGCATCCCAACGTGTCTAAAACCGACGCGAACGACGCGCACCGGACACGTGAAGAACGCGTCGATGTCACTCTGGGCAACTGAGACACTCACCCAACGCTCGCGGACCGCGAAATCGAGTCCGACGCGGTGGCTGGTATGGAAGACGCCTGCGGTGGCATCTTCGCGGAGAGCTGCGTCTGCGACGAAGCGGCCGAAGGAAGCCCCCCTATCTTCTTTCGTCCGATAAATGGCAGCATCGAGCGTCTGGTCTTGGGCAACGCGCTAGCTTTCGGCTTCTCGTGATGGTCAGTCGCGCCAGAAGAGGTGGCGTTGGGCGCGAGTTTCGTGTTCGGTGAGCGTGCTTCGTGAGGTCGAGGGGGTTCAGACGCGTCGGGTGTCTTGAGGCCGGACCGAGCCCGCATCTGAGGGATGCCCGTCATCGTACCCGAAACTAGGTCCTGTGGACAGGATCAAATCGACTCGGAGGGGAGAGGGGGGAAAGCAGAAACGGGGACGTGCAGGCTCCAACGATAAAACCTTTTCCGACCCTCTCTTCGTCACGTCGAGCCACGCTGAAGAGACGCTGGAGACGGAGCGCGCAAGGAAGGCAAGGAAGAGGAATAACCTCGTCTAAGGTAGAGCGGCGAATCGATCGACGAAAGAAGCTGCGGTGGAGGTTGGTGGGTTCTCGGGGCCCATTGAAAACTTGAAACCAGGAAGCAGACGCGGCCGTGGTTTTACGAGGGTTGGAGACGCCGACTGGATTTGTCTGGGACCATTTTTTCTTCTGTCAGGGCGAGGGTATGAATGACGATTCCGAGAGGCCGGCCCTTGTGTGCTGAGGCGGTTAGCTCTTATTCGCTTCATTCAGTTCTGACAGCTCCCCGGGTATCCAGATTTGTCCCCCAAAAAGGTATGGACAATAAGTGACCGCATGTCCCTGGGTAGATCAGCTGCGGATAGCGGGAAAGTGTAGCAGGGCGCTGAGGTCCGGTCTGGTCCGGAGAGCATATAAGTATAGTGAACGTCTGTGAAAGGAGTGAAGGAGAGAACTTATCGCAGTTTGCGCCTCTTGCAATGTCAAGTGGCCACATGCCCAACCCACAGCGGAGGGTCCCGGTCACCGTGATGAACGGCGGAAATTCAAGCGAATGCACATAAGAGGCAATACATAATAGACCGTGTGCCGTTAGATCTGCTCGCCGTCGAGGCTGATAAAAATGAATTCCGGCAATCCGGCGCCTTCATATGGTGCCCGGTTCAATCGTGTTCCCATAACATGTTGTGAAGTTCAGCGATTGGTGCAAAGGCGTATCCCCTTGTGATCTCCTCGGATCAATGCTCACTCATAACGAGAACTTACGGAATCGACTTTGCGGAGGTATCTTGAACCTTCAGCTACTGGCGATCGCATATAACTTGCCTCCGAAATGGTTCGTGGTTCAACGCATTGTTAGGCACATCTTTGGTCGAGAAACATCGGAGGCTTGAAGACGCTTTCTTGCAGGCGTGTTGCACGGCGCAAGTCAGGGAAGCGCGTACCCCGCAACTTCCCTGACAGCTTAGTATTGTCGATATGTTGTCAAGCAGGTTGGCGACAGCCGTCGACAAGGACAATCAATATACAGTCGACTCTCCAATAACCCATACACGTCGGGAGAAGCCCCAGAGCATGGGTTATTAGAGAGTATGGGATAATAGAATATCTCATAAAATAGGGGCTATAAAGTTAGCAATTTTTTATAGATCGTTTTAGTGTATACTACCACAGCACAAGTGTTTCCAATCCGCTGAGATTGATCAGAAGTGATTTAATTAATGGCAGTGTAAACATTAAGCTCAGCATGTGCAGTATGGCATTCTTCCCGAGGGTCACAGATCTTTCTGGAGTGAATCAGTCGTTGATCAGGAATATGCAGAAAATGGTTGGTAGCATTGCAAGCGGAGAACAAGGGATAACTTCAGCACCAGCCCTGGGTTATTGGAGGTGCAATGTCGGCCATGGCACTGGAGCCTGGAGGTGATTAATTGATTTTCGAACTTTGGGCCGAGAACGTGTTGCAAACATGCTATGAACATGTCAAAGTATTTGCCGCATTGGGCATGTAATACCATATATAGGATATTACCTCCGTTAGAATGACCAAAACCCAGCCAACTTACCCCTTATGGCTTACAAATATGATCTAAAAGCTCCGAAAGTATGGGTTTTGCCCCTCAAAAACGCATGGGGTATGGGATATCGGAAAAATATGGGTTTGAGTGACGATTTTGGTGGGGACCAACTCGGGAGATACCAAAACGCATGGGTTATTGGAGAGTATGGGTTTATAGAACCATGGGTTATTAGAGAGTCGACTGTACGTTGTCGATCGGTTAAATTGCTTCAGGCCGACACAGGCCGACGCCCACGTCCCCGCGTCGACGCGCCGCGACCACTGCTCGCTGCCCCAGTCGATCAACTTTGAGTGTCCGTTGTATCCAGGAGTCATTAGCCCAGCTTCAGCAGACGCACCCTCATGCTCGACGACCCATCGTTGTCCCCGTCAAATCCGACTCTAACTGTCCTGCATCATTGCGTAGCCTCTGAATTGCGTTTGGGGTAAAAGGGCGTCGCAGTAGGCTTTGGCGATGTCGAGGTGCTGCAGGCAACGCCAAGACCGCTTTCCGAGCCTTTGCCGGCGGCGATTCAAATATTCAGGGCCGGGCGCTGCGCGTGCAAAGGTATTGTTAGTCTCCCTTGGCAGACCCAATACCGCAATTTATGACTGTATTTTTCTGGATTCATCTCTCTCGACTGTACTCAAGGACGTTTTTTTTTTAAAAAAAATCAAAGGTTTATATGTCTTTCAGGGCCTCGCCCTATGGTAGACATGTGGAGTACTACTGACTAGGTGTTAGACTAGGGTTCCGGGCCTAGGAGGAGAAACGTGAAAACAATGGCCCTTTGGGGCATAAGCGGGAGTGTGTATGTATAGGAGGATCAAGGACGTTACTTGATGTTATCACTCATGTTCAATAATTGACCCTTCGATCCAGACGTTCAGTCTTCAAAAAACACAGTACCTAGACATGTTGCTAATGTCAAGCATATGAGTTCGTCGCCTTCATAGCTTAGACTACGCCTTTTCCTACCAATAACCTCTTCTTTTATGCCCCAAGTATTACGACAGCAAGCTAGGGAAAATTAAAAGCTGCACGGGTATATAGGGACACCGTAAAAATAAGTATTGAGTTTTGAAGTTGACGTTCTTCACAAAATCAAAATATGCTCAAAGTAATCCCGATCTTATCGGGCATATGGTGTAGCTGGTTATCACATCCGCTTAGCATGGTGTTGAATGCGGGGGGTCTCCGGTTCGAGTCCGGATTTGTCCACATTTTTGCAGTGTTACAGCTCACTTGCTCAGTAATGTTGAAAATATGGACGTTAGTGCTTGCTACCGTAGAATATGCAGCGCACAATCTACAGAGTTAGTGATCCAACCAGTGTGTGGTATTTTTATTGATTTCAAATCTCGCCCCAGCAACGCCGTGCAATTGTTTTCAAGCAGTGAGCCACATCAATGTGCCGTAAAGGGCCATGATTACGATAGATTGATAGGAATGATGAGCGCGCTGAAGATGCGCTGATCAGTGTGGCAATGCGTTCCCCCATATACAGTAGAGGGGAACTAGTTTCACAAGATTTGTCACGGCTAGACCTTGGCGGCGGCTTATAACTTTCGAGCTTATAATTATGTTTGTTTCGTAAGGAAGAGGCGCAAAAATGTGGACAAATCCGGACTCGAACCGGAGACCCCCCGCATTCAACACCATGCTAAGCGGATGTGATAACCAGCTACACCATATGCCCTATGAAAGTCTATAAATTCGGGCCCAATATGACGCCGCACGGGCCATGGGCGTCTATCGCTCCCAAGATCTTATATTTTCCTGTCTCTCTCTCCTGAATCTCACCGTACATGTTTCTTGGCGCCCCTCCCATCGTCACAAACCCATCAGCATGACCACATCAACGATCTCTATCAACGTCGAATTCAGCGGCGGCCTCGAGCTCCTCTTCTCCAACGTCCGCAAACACAAGGTCGCCGTCCCCGCAACCGTGCCGAAAGACAACTCGACCTCGGACGAATCGCTGTCATTGCTATCGGGCGCGTCGACGGAGAGCAAGCCGGCGGACGTCGCGTTCCTGATGCATTATCTGCGCGACAAGCTGCTCAAGGAGCGAGCGGATCTGTTCATGGAGAACGGGACTGTGTGCGTTTTTAGTTGTTTTAATGGCTCTTGATGATGCCCCTTCGCCGCGATCTAACTGTTTTGGTGCTTTTTAAATATGTAGGCGTCCAGGGATCTTGGTCCTTGTGAACGATACGGACTGGGAGCTCGAGGGAGAGGCGGAGTACGAGCTGAAGGACTCTGACGAGATCGTCTTTATCTCGACTTTGCACGGAGGTTGATGCATCGATGACGGGGCATGGGACGATGAAGACAAACCTGCGAACGCCAGGTGTTTGATAGCTCGTAGATGGGACACGCCGGACGTTCGACCTCTAGGAGAAGTTGACCGACATACACAGGTGGGATGATGCAGACGGCACTGGCGGTCTATGATGTCTTATGACGAGACTCTCAGGCATAACGCTATCCTCAATGATCTCCCCTTCTACCGAGCTCGACGATATGAGGTCAGAAAGAGTTCACTATGCTAGTACGCCTAGAGCGTGTTACTGTTACGCTGCTGGTATATTTCGTATAGTGGGTTTGTGCTACACCAAAAGAATACAAATCTCAAAGTCTTCTCCAGCGCGAGGACATGTCATTCGCGTATCTCCTCCATTGCCGTTTCTAGACCCGAGACGGGTTCACAGCCAGGTAACCTCCGTCAATGATCAGCTCCTGGCCATTCATGTATCCGGCAGCGGAGCTGGCGAGGTATACTGCTGTACCTGCCATCTCCTCGCCACTGCGATTTGTCGCCGTTGAGTAAGTAAACCTCCGGAACAATGAAAGGGTGACACATACGTTCCAGGGCGGCCCTCTGGGATGCTCTCAATACCCATACCGACAGCATCGGTGGCTGCGCGGCCAGCGATCGTGTCGTGTGTCATGCGAGACTCGTATACGCCAGGAGAGATAGCATTCACGCGCACGCGGATGCCCTTCACTGCGAATTCAGTTGAGAGCATCTTTGTGAGATGCGACGCGGCAGCTTTTGAAGAGTTGTAACCAAACTATGTTAAAGGGTCGAGGCACAAGGGTAAGCCATGGAATCCAACAATTCTGCCAGGACGTACGTGACGCTGAGCCAGCTTGATCTGCCCACTGATGCTGGTGATGTTGATCACGCTCGCGCTGTGCAGCTGGCCACGGGCCTCCAGGTCCTTCGTACCTTTATCCAATAGGTCTAGGAAGGCGACAGTGACGAAGTATAGGGAGAAAGTGTTGATCGAGTAAACATAGGACCATTCCTCGAAACTCTCAGCAGCAAACAGAGCGGGCCCCAGAAAAGAAGCAGAGTGCTGAGCGCGAGGTGTTGGCTGGTTGAGGAAGTCCGACTGAGGTCCCGACGCGCCGGCGCTATGAGTCGGGAGTTGGAACATCATACAGAGAACGAGAGGAATGAGACACGTACTTGTTGACGAGAATGTGTAGCTTCCCCTCGCGTCTCTCGAGCTCGTGCTTCACTTTCGTGATGCTATCTTTGTCGGTGACATCCATGCTTATACTGCGAGAACGATCAGCGGGCGCATACAGTAGAACAATCTCCAAGTACTCACGGAATGATCTGCCCTTTCCCCTTGTACTCATTCGTGGTTTCCTCCAGACGACCATCGGTATTCCGGCTAGTGATATACACGCGCGCACCAGCATCAGCAAGCCCGGTCGCGATCATCTTGCCAATGCCGCTACCGCCGCCCGTGACGAGTGCGACGTTATTGGAGAGGTCGAATGATGCTAGCGTGGTCATGGCTGAAGATAAACGAGACAAACGAACAATAGGAGAAAGGTGAGATAGGAGGAAGAGCGAAAGGGCGAGAAGGTGGGACGCTTACCTGGTTTTATGGCCTGGCCCATGATAGGACTCCGGGCCTATCCATGGGTCTGATGATGCCTCTGCACGTCGGACCGCACGGCCTCCTACGGTCATGGCCGGCGGTCCTGGCTCGTCTATCGATTTCCTCATCGCAGTCGACGGACGCCGTGGGGGAGCCGGAGCCGGGCCGATGTTAAGCGCTGGAACACGTGCACACGGATCGGGACAACGTCGGCGCGGCACTGCAGCAATAATGACTGTCCTATGTAGCAGTTTGAGTGCTTTGAAGAAATTGTCCACATCATCATAGAAGCTGTGAATGACTACGCGGATGTCGCCGCTTTTGCCCGAACATGACGTGTCATCTCCTATCCCACTGCCCTAGACTCGCTTTGGTCGGTGATCCCGAGCAATGTACCACTTCTCATACTAGCTCTTTCGGATGGTCTTGGAGTAAAGCTGCCCTCCCGAGACTCCGGATCCAAGGACCCTCCGTGAGTAAGTGCGAGGTTTCACACAATCTTGCCGTCGCGCTCATAAATACGAGTTGTCGCACGAATGGCCCTTCGAGCCGTATAACAACGTTTGTGGCTGGTTCTTCGCATCAGAGAACGTGTTAAATGAGCTAGCACTGGCACATCCACCCACCTCCGAAACAATCTTCCCTAGTCTCAACGTTCTCGAGTGGCCAAGCCCCGAGGCGTCCAGTTTTCCGATCTTGCGTGTTATCTTGTCCTTGGACACTAACAAACCTCATCAGCTCTCTCGAAAGTGTTATCGAAAGCTGACCCATCGAAGATATGTCCAAATTTGAAAGTTGTATACAGCCCTGGAATTTACTGATACTTCTAGGCACTTTTTGTCGAGCCTCGTGCAAGCCTCGTGGAGACTGTCATCAAGAACAATAAGTCCGATTAGCTTAGGGGTGTCCAGTCGGTCTGGGTGGCACCAGAGGATCGTGAGACGAAATTCCAAGCGTCGCTAAAATGAGCATTGTTCTGTCTAGGCTATAATCGCTTTTAGGCTTGAGCTGGCGCCTCGACCTTGTGCCACTCGTCCTCGTAGCCCACCCGCGGCCATGCACCGAGCCCTGCGCATCCAGGAAATTGCCAGTCTCATAGCGAACGAAGTGGAGGCGTACCCAGACCTTGCTTCTCTTGCCAGGACGTGTCGTATTCTCTCCGAGCCTGCGCTGGATGCGCTTTGGTCGATACTTCCAAGCTTGGTGCCGTTACTGACAGTCTTCCCCGCCGATCTCGTCAAACGCAAGTCCTACAGAGACTGCCAGCATCCGACATATGTACGTGCCACTGACTTTTATCTGCGAGTGGCATATGTCCCAAACATCTACTGACATAATGCACTCGATTAATTAGATATACGACTTCCGTCGGCCGCTGACCCTCGCTGACTGGACGATGCTGAAGAAATTCTCGCGCCGTGTAGTGGCCATTCAGCCAGATCTTTCGGCAGAGGAGCTACACTACGACGACGGAAATCGCACATGGCTCATTGTCTCTGAGAAAGCGCTGCGAGCACTGTCCAGCCCTCTCACCCCCGATCCAGTCTTCCCAAAGCTGCAGCACCTCGAGTGGCAGAGCCCAGAACCGCGCTCGTTCTCAATCCTTCGCACTCTGGCCGGACCGTCTCTGAAGGTCCTTGACTTGGGCTCCATGGAGAACGGATTTAATAACTTCGACGGCGTGTGGCCTCGTGCGCGAGTATGGAACGACCTGACATTACAAGAACGAGTCAAGTCCATCGAGGTCATCGGCGAGCTCGGCGAGCGCTCGCCGCTGATGAATGTCTTCAAATGGATGCACGACTGCGACCCTAACGAGCTGCGACCTTTGGTGTCCCGCTCGATCAAAGCTTGGAACTACCTCACACTTCTTGACGTCCCGCCACTCGATGCCGACGCTCTGGCTCATATTGCGCTAACACCCCATCTGGAAGAAATATGGTTGAACTTGCCGATTGGAAGCGCAGTGACTCCGGATATTGGTCTCCAGGGCGCTATCTTCCCAAATCTGTGGAACTTCTCCTTGAACGGCGTGTTCTCCGAAAGCGCGGACTTTCTCGATGCACTCGGCGGGACCATGTCTTCGACAAACATATACTTCTGCACGTACGAAGTGGGCGGAGCATCGGACCTCAGCAAACTGTTCGCAAGCGTATCCCGCCACTTCAGCCCGGACAAAGCCGACAGCCTCACCGTCGTAGAGGACTTCGGAGGCAGTCAAGTCAAAATGGACGCGCAGAGCGGCCCCGGCTTCGAGATGACCATCAGCAGCCTGCGCCCCGCACTCCGCTTACACCGCATCGAGAAGGTGTACATCGATCTGAACCGTACAGTGGTTCTTGGCGACAACGACATCATCGAGCTGGCAAACGCGTGGCCGAAGTTAGAGGAGCTGGTCTTCAACGTCAACCGAGGCTTCGTGGTGCCTTCCCAGATCACACTGAAAGGATTGTTTGAGTTGCTCAAGCGTCTGCCCGGGCTCAAAACGCTCGGACTCGAGATTGACGCGCGCAGTGGCACCGGGAGTGGCACCATCCCTGCTGAACCCCTTCGGCACTCTCTTAGGTCTTGGAACATGCTTGATTCGATCGTGGGAGATAATGTCGCCGAGGTGGCTGAACACGTTCGGAGACTTGTCTGGTACGGCGGGTTCCGCGTCAAGGCTAGAAAGTTTGGGAAGCAGTGGGGTCAGGTTTTCGGTATCTTGGGATACCAGCTCTCTGAAGGGCTGTTCTAGTTTGGCGAGTCCGCGGCTTGTTTACCATGACAAGATGCTTGTTGTTCCTGAGCATTGCGACTGCAGAGCAAACTCAGAGGTGTTCACCCTGACCGAAACTTATGCTCGCGTAGTGAAAAGCAGTGTTGTGACTCCTTGATTTGATGCTTACTGACGGAACCCAAACTTTTCAAGATGAATGAGACTCCGCCGCTAAGAACCATCGTGTTTCTATCTGATGATCCACTCTAGCAAGAAAAGATATCATTCAATCGCATTTCAAGTCATAACATCTAGTTGAGTTAGGCAATCCGACGCAGATTGTAAGAGCCATAAGCATGGCCTTGAACCTCAAAGTCTCGCATGATCCACCGCCGCAGGTGGAATCCCGCTCTGGTTGTACCTTAGCGCGCTGCGGTCGAGATCCTTGGCGGACTGGTACCCAGCCACGGTCATCGTGATGTCCAAATCCTGCCACATCATCAGCTTGACGGCTATATTGTGAATGAAAAGAATGCTCACCGCGAGCAACGACTTCATGACATGTCTGCACCCAGCCTCGCCCTCGTGGGCCATGCCCCAGACGAACAGCCGCCCGACCTCGACAACGTGCGCGCCGAGCGCGAGCGCCTTGAACACGTCCGAGCCCGTGCGAATGCCCGAGTCGAAGATGATGGTCATCTCTGGTTGCATTGCAACATCAGCATTAGCATTGGCGTCAAAAGAAAGTGAGCGGAAGGAAGCACTCACTATCCCCAACAGCGTCCGCGATCTCGGGCAGCATCTCAAGACTGCCTACAGCACCATCGACCTGGCGGCCCGCGTGGTTCGTCACCACGATGCCCTCGCAGCCGACCTCATAAGCCTTCAGCGCATCCTGGGCGTTCTGGATACCCTTGATGACGAACGGGCGGCCGCCCGAGATACGCTTCCACTGAACCACGCCAGACAACTGTGAGCATAGCGAATGACAAGAAAGGGAGAAAGGGGAACATACGGTCTGGATGAGCCATGGCATTTTCTCCCATGTATGCGCCTTGCCGTGCCAGACCGAGGAGTCAATCCACTTGCCAGAGTCTTGCTTGAGCTCTTCGCCGTGCTTCTTCATGAAGACGGGGTCGCTCGTGCCGAGCTCGTTTCCGACCTGACCCGGGTAGTAGAACCTGCAAATTTCACGGTCTGATGAGTGATACTGAGATCACAAGGAAGAAGGCCAACTTACGCGTAGTTGGCAATGTTGATGTCCGTCGGCCTCCATCCGAGCTGCCACGTGTCCACGGTGAGCATGCAGACGTCGAATCCGCTCTTCCAAGCGCGCTCAAGTAGGCTGATAGTCTGGGGTTGCGCTGGTTAATGATTGTATGAAGCAGAGACATCACGATTACGCACAATCTCATCATCGTGACCCATGTACAACTGGAAGAAGCGGGGCGACTGGGCGTTTCCCCCGTTCGGTCCGTCATAGGAGTGAACGGAGTTGCTCTCGTTCTTGACGGCAGCCCCTGCGTCGTTCGCCTCAGCGACAGCCTCGATGGGTTGAGAGGACGCTGTAGATAGGCAGTACTATTGAAAGTGTGAGCCACGTAAGGGAAGGTCAGAGACCGGCATGCTCACGGGCAGACCAAGTTCACCAGCAATCTTCGCGGGCACGAGTTCGCCGGTGGGGTAGTACAATTTGTTGATGCCGATAGGGGCAAACATGATGGGAGCCGGAATCTTATGGCCGAAGATGGAGGCTAGGTTTGATAAGGTTAGCTTACGTCCTTGGACGTCGCAAGGCAAAATAGCCTCAGAACGCACTGGTCAAGTCCCTGGTGTTCGTATCGACGAGCATGCGGGGGATGATTCTCCACCTATAAAACGCTTCCCTAAGGAGACATAAAGCCGCCTCAGTGCTTGGCTCAAAGGTTCAGATGTAAGTCGTACCTGTTTGCTCTGTCCGTCCATCCTAGCCCAGCATTCGAGTTCGCGTAGAAGTAGGAGCGGTCGTTCAACTTCTTCTTGGTCGACTCGGCCAGTTCCTCTGGGTGTACAGAGAAGTGTGGAACTAACGAAAGGAGAGAAGGGAATATCGTTGGAGATGTGAAACACGCGACTCATTGGTAGAACATACGTTTGCCATGCTCGCCACCCTCACGAAAGACCTCACGCTGGTAGAGCGAGTAGTGGGGAGAAAGTCCCTGGGGTTTGTTGGTGGGATCCATGCGTTCTCGTTAAGATCAGAGTGTGTTATCTAGCAGTGTAGCTGGTGCTGGTATGTTGCCTCTTCGCCAAATTTTCTGTCCTGCATAAATAGGTTCGTCGACCACTACGTCATGGAGTGTTCATGTTGGAATCATGGTCCCAAAAGTGGTGCACGGGACACCGTACAAGCAGAAAATCCAAAGAAATTTGTCGAAATTCATGTTGCGGTGACCCGCGTATAGGAGGTGTGCTGGTCCGTCGCGTAGTGTATCCCGTCTTGCCATATACTATTTCGTCCGACGGGGTCGCTGAAGGAGTGAGGGGAGTGGGGAACTCCGTCTGCTCGACGGCGAGCCGGCCGACACGGCGGGGTTGACTAAGCCATGGCAGGCTTTCCATATGGAGGACGCTTACATAAGCGGAAGCTTCGGCCGTGCCGTCTCCGCCGCGTCACCGAAACCTCCGTGTGTTCCTTGTGTGTTCCGTCCACCAACTCCATCCCCTCTTTGTCGACTACTCTCACAACAATGGCCACAGCACCAACTAAGCAGGCCATCAGACACCTCTACTCGAACACTCTCGCTGCCGCCAAGTCGTTCTCATCATACAACTTCCGCAATTACTTTGTGCAGAGAACAGAGGACACTTTCCGTACCCTCGAGGTGCGCACTCTACACCACACTGCTCAGCGGTCTACGAAGGCTTACGACGGACATATCTTAGCATGAACACGATTTTCTCAAACAGACATCACTCTTTACGCAAGCAGAGAAGGACCTTGCGGTCCTCAAACGCTGCGCTATCGTGAACCAGATTTACGGCGGTGGGAAGCTTGCGGTGGAAACTCAGAGCGAAGTGCGGGAGCGGGGAGATACTTAATGGATTGGCAGTTCGCCCCCTTCCTTCTTTCCTTTTAACATGACGGTAACTGGGAAAGTAGGGATGCCTTAATGATGGTTTCGGATCTGATACGCATGTCATACCATGCCTGAGATGTGCATATGTCATTTGTCGTAGATTGTGAACAGTCAATGTGCAATTTAGCATGAGTATGTTTCAATGGATGCCTGCAATACGTTGCTATAATGCGAAGCGTGTGAGGGGTGCTTTCGTCTTGTCCGCAAATACATATATGAGAAGAGTGCTTGAAACAAACGGGACGAACAGCAATGTCTACAATACCTTCAGACCGACAGCTAAACGCTCTACTTGCCCCATGACCACCAACTCGAGTTTGGCTTCCGCCCTTCCGTCCCAGCCGATGACGCATTGGGGTGCCCAACAGCAGGCGCGCTCGCGCGCTCGCTCTCGTACGCCTGCGTAGCCTCCTTTAGCCGCCCCTCGAACTCCGATCGCTCCCGCGCTATCCTCTCCTCCCGGTGTACAGCAATCTCATCCAGCTGGCGCGTCTTGGACGATTCCGGGTCACGCTCTTTCGAGAGCGACCACGCGCCGGCGCAGACGAAGGCGACGGTGAGGGCCTGTGCGGCGACACGAGCGCGCAGCCAGTGGTTGAACGAGCGTGAGTCACCCTTGCGCATCTTGACTGTGGCCATGATAAGTGCCCCGCATGTCGCTAATGCTCCTGTAGAGGGGGAAGGGTAGGAGAGGGTCAACGGTCAGCATGACGTAGTTGCAAATAGTGAAGGCGGACGACGGACCAACGGGCACGAGCGGGTTCTCCTTGAACTTGCGGTATGCCTTGTCTGAGTATGTTTCGCCGGTGTGCAAGTTAGGTTGGCTCATTTTGACGACGTCAGTGAATTTGGAAGGCGGAAGGGAAGTGTTGGTGTTGGTGCGTACTGGCACAAGATTTGAGGGAAGACTTCACAGATTGTCGGCCCGCGTCGCGTCGCTGAGTTTCAATCGCCTCTCCTCTCTCGCGCTCAAATCACCTTTCGCGTTTGCTCGCTCTGACAGTAATCTTATTCACAATACGCCCTGCTGCATGCATCGCCCCCAGCCAGTTTTGAAGCCGCGAATCGCAGGATTGAATGGTTGACGATTTGGGATGCGCGCTCATATGCACCAGAGCATGAAGCAGCCATGAGGTGTGGGCCGTAGCTTGAACGTTCTCCCGAGCCAAGTTAAGATGGTCAAGATGCCTTCACCTTCTGGTCCTGCGGTCATCTGGCCGATGCGTTTGGAGCCTTTTTATTGACGAACCCACGGACACTCGGACTTACGCGTTATTTGCGCGACATGAAGCATCCTCGACTCCAAATCTGCCCTGACCCTCGAGTAAGTCCTATTGATCTCTTGCCCTCCTGACCTTCCTCGCTCATCTGTGGGATGGCAGAGCTGTTTGTATCCAATCTGATATCACAAGTTGCATGCACGTGTTGAGCAGCTACTTCCACGACACGGTCCGCCATAGCCGCTCATCGATCGCTTCTCCTACAAGAGTGGAGACGCTCGACTCGCTCAGGCTCATAATTCCCGGCATCTGCACCTGCGGAAGATGCTGTCGGTTTTGGCAGCCCTGCTCACCTTGGCCACTGCGATCAGCGCGTGGCCGAGCACGTCCTCCAACTCTACTGGTATCAAACTGCAGAATGGCTTCGAGCGCGTCTACATCCAAGTAAGTACTGCATGTCTTTGCGAGGTTTGATCGACCGCCCTCACACGACAGTGGTAAGCCCTTCGGAAACAATGGCATCCGAGTACGCGCAAGTCTCATGCGCGACCCCTCGGGGAACGAACTTTCCGCCCTCCTCGACCCGCCGCTCGAAGGCCCCGGCGGGAACCAGGGGCTCGCGTACGACCAGCTCATTGGGTACCAGGGCAACGCCTCGTTCCAGAACGGCAACCTCATCGTGCAGGTCAACCTCGGCGTCATCTCGTTCTACCGCGCCGAGACGAACGGCTCGCTCTCGCTCCTGACGCAGGAGTTCACGGACGACAAGGCGCTGTACTCGCGGTACTACGTCCAGGAATACAAGTCGCCGAGCTTCCAGGCGCAGTTCTCCTTCACGAGCGATGCGGACGAGCAGTTTTATGGGATGGGGCAGCAGGCATGTTGCAAGGATACGTCTGTCAATAAGAAGGGGCAGAGTATTGACCTCATCAACTTTAACTCGTTTGTGCCTATTCCGGTGTACATGTCGAACAAGGCAGGTCCATCAAACAGTTGACCCAGTTTATCGCTAATGACTGTGTCGTGCAGGGGTATTTGCAGTTTTTCAATATGCCCAGTCAGGGTAGAATGGGTATGCGCATATATTCAGCTACTCTATCCTTGTTGGTTTGCTGACGTGACGCAGAATTCAGTCCCATTCGGACACGTTTCATCAGCAGCGAGGCGACAGCTGTCGACTACTGGATGTGGGTTGATTCGTTACAAACTGAACTCGACTGCATCATTGACGTTCGCAGTACGACGGCAGAGCCTGGCGACTATGACACCCTTCAGGAGCAGTATACTGCTGTCACGGGCGAGTCTGCGTTGTGCTCTTTGGATCACAACCTTTCTTACTCATTCTTCAGGACGTCAACCCACCCCACCGGACTTCATCCTTGGCTATCAGCAGTCAAAGCTCCGATACTGGAATCAGACTCAAGTCATGGACCTCGCCCAAGAGTTCCACGACAGGCAGGTGAACGTGTCCATGATCGTCGTCGGTCCGTCACGTGGTTTATTCGATGGTGACAACGCATGTCTGACGTTACTCCAGACTTTTTCAACTGGAAGTACCAGGGCGACTGGGCGTTCGACCCGGAGTACTGGTCCGATCCCGCAGAGATGGCCTCATTCGTGAAGAACATGACCGGAGCGGAGATGATGGTGTCACTATGGCCCAGCGTCGAAGATCTGTCTGACAACTACATCGCTCTCCAGGAGCAAGGCTTGCTGGCCACCACCCGCGATGGAACGGGTGTCACGGATTCGTTCGCGGGGGTCTACACGCGCCTTATTGACTCTACGAACCCGGCCTCTCGAGAGTTCCTCTGTGCGTTCGCGTGTTTCTTCGGTTTCATGAGTCCTGACGTTCCCTAGGGAAACAGCTGAACGAGAGCTATTTCTCGAAGGGCATCCATAACTTCTGGATTGATCAGGCTGATGGTAACGAGCGTTCATCGAGAATTTACGGCTCATTCTGATATGTCGACTTTCCAGGTGGTACTCTCGGTGAAGCCTGGGAAAACAGTACGCATATGCAAAAAAACTTCTTGTCCCCCGCGGGCTGCTTACGAGCATCTCCACTCCAGATGGTCAGACCATCAACCTCATTCCCTATGAAAGGGCCTCCGCCCAGTATTTCATCGGGACCCAAGAAGGCGCCGGGAAGATGTACCCCTGGCTCCACCAGGCGGCCATCAACGAGGGCTTGCACAATCTGACCGGCCAGCCCATTACGTCGGCGTCATGCGACTACATGTCGCTCACCAGGAGCACGTTCGCCGGCGGGCAGAGATACTGCTCGTACCTGTGGAGCGGCGATACGCTATCCGAGTTCCCTGTTCTCCTCCAGCAGATCACTAGCTCGGTATCGGTTGCCGCGTCTGGGATATCGTCGTGGACGCTTGATATTGGTGGGTTTACGGGGTTGGATATCGATACCGACTACGTAAGCTACTGATCCTACATGAAGTTAGTTCATTTGGCTGATTCTTTTTCCACAGGGTAAGGAATTATTCGTGAGATGGTTTGGCATGGGCGTTTTCCTTCCATATGTGAGTAAAGCGTGCTTTTAGGACATCTTATCACTGATATGTACATTCCGAGATAGACTCGAGTCCATGGGTAGGTCGTACATCAGAATCATTGGCGCCGACTTTGCTCATGGATGCCCATAGATCCCGTGTGTGTAACATTACGTCGCCTTCAACTCCATTCAGTGCCAACAACTGTCCGAATGAGGTATGCTCTATGTAATATTATGTGTCTCCTTTCTTCATCACGGTTCAGCCCTGGTCCTACGGCGAGGAAAACTTCGTCATTATCAAGAAGGTAAGCTGACTCCTGCATCGTGGCAAATCTACCCTTCTCACGATGACTGCAACAGTATATCGACCTGCGCTACCAGCTTGTCCCCTATGTGAGGGCGCTGTTCCAGCAGCTGCAGTACTCTGGAAGAACCATTATGCGCGCTCTCTATTATGACTTCTCTTTATCGGACCCCTTCGTTGTGCAAGCAACCTCTGTCAACAACCCACTCGTCACTCAGCAGTACATGTTTGGTGAGCTCCGCATTCGACCCATATTGGATATGACAACAGAACTAACGCTTGATAGGCCCGCGTCTATTGGTGTCGCCTGTCGGCATTCAGAACGCTACTACAAAGGAGGTATATCTACCTCGACTCACTGAGTCGATGATCTCTCAGAACTTCTCGTGGGTCCACTGGTGGGCTGACCTTACTCATTCGCATAATCGAGATGCTGACTCGGAATAGGTGGACCGACACGGACTATGGCCAGGGTGGTAACACAGTCACTGTCAACGCTCCGCTGGACGAAATACCAGTGTTCTATTTGGGTAGCAAATCCGATATCTTCTCAGGCAGCGTGTTTTAGTGCGTATCAATGACATCCATGGCAAAATGTATCCGTCCGGTATGTATAGACTTTGTATGCACCGATAAATAAAATATGTACAACGGCAGTGGAACTGATCACATCGTGAGTTTACTTCATGGAAAAGTCTGCGTGGGCACCAAGATATTCAGCAAACCAGCATCGGGGTTCCATTCGAAAATCTCTCACTTACCTTCACGCTTTCTCGCAGTGACAGCCCAGAGACTCACAGAACTGAATCTCTCCAATGTTGTTGCACGTGTAGGTACCCTCGTTGCTGCAGCTGCACCCTGCAATAGGACCGTCGGTGCAGTAGTCGGGAACCTTGATGTTGGAGTTGCTAGCACAGCCGGTCACTTTGTATGCAAGAGCCGCGTCCTCGAGGGGAGTAGGTGTTGCAGCAGCGAGGCCGCTGAACACAATGGAAGCGACTGCAATGGCGAGTGCGGGAGTAAACGTGCGCATAGTTATAGAAGGTATTTGTTGGCGATGTTGAGCAGGTTGTCTGGAGTTGCTAAGTTACATGCTACTCAGCGTGATGTTGTCTCTTTATAATCGAATGGGGAGGCTGTGTACACTGATGTCAGGGTGAGATTGGGGTGAGACGTCGCCTACCTCCGAGCTACAAAACCGAGGAGACTACCGTTCACCTTGCCGCATTGAGGAATTCGTCTCCACCCGCCGGTGTAATCATTCAATGGTGGTTTGTGGAAACCAAACCACCGCCTTGAGCCATCATTTCCGGAGGTAGTATGAAGACGGCGTGATTCTTACGCCTTGCAAGGTAGTGTAATATCGAAAAGATGACATGGTCTCGATACTAGATAGAATTTTCGATCCTAAACTTCTTGGATGAGCTGAGACTTTGTAAATTTCCTATGGGCGTAAAAAATAGAAGCAGGTGAGAAGGTGGAAGTGTTGAATACAAGCGTCGAAAGCCTTCCTGAACTTTAGAATGATTTTCGGAGATCTCGGTCACCCGTGGAAGACTCAACTCAAATTTGAGTTCGGTGGAGCGATTTGTCTGACCACCATAATTATTACGAGTGCGATGATGAGGGCTCGAGCATGAGTGGCTTTGACAGCTTCTGGAAAAGTGGGTGTCTCATCGTCCACCGTCGCGTTGGTCGTTCATTCAGCTGAGGGCACTTGACCGACTTAGGTTTCCAGACGACATCCATCCTCTCGTCCAGCTCCGTCATTTTTTCTCCCCTTCCAAATCTTCCGCTGTGTGGTGCCCCAAGGCAGAGCTGCGACATGCCCACCCCAGGACAGTGTCATTCATACGATGAGCATCGTATCCTGTCGAAAATATTGTGCTTTGGCATACGAAATTGTTACGAGAGAGCTTGGGAGGCAGTGTAGCGAGGGGACGATGGAGGAAATCTCGGGCCATGGTGCGTTTAACGCAGGCTCTGACAGAGTACGGCAAGTGCCCGCGAGAGTGGTGACCGATGAACAAACAAAGCGCGTCGCTGTGCAGTTGTGAATCCGGAGATAGCCGGGAGGTTCGTGACGCGTCCTTGCCTGCCCTTAATCTAAGCCCCTTGCTCGTTTTCCACGCTTTTATTGCTTTGTAAGTTGTGCCTTGCTTCATCGACACCCCCTCCTTGGCTAAGTCGCTGCAGCGATATCGATATATATCTTATCAGATTGTCTTCGTCAAGAACACATACAGGCTCTAGGCGCAAATTCCATAACCCCTCAAGAAAACGGCTCAGAAATACATCACGTCTACCATGACCTCCTGCTCCTTCGCCGTCGATCCTGATTTGTCGACCTTGTCGAGAAGCGGAACTTTCCGCGTTTTTTGAATCTCGACTCCTCTCGATCCAAAGTACCTCTGTCCCTCGTAGCTCCAAGCATGGTTGCCCCGCACCCAATACGCCATACCTTCTACATACTGTTTCACCTCATCATCCATCCGAGGCCCCCATGATGGTAAGCTCCCCATGCGAGAGTGAAAACGCTCCTGTATCTCAGCGTGATATCTTGCTGCCCAGACAAATGCGTCGTCTAGGCTACATCCGAGCTCGCGACGGACCACGGTGATGAGGTTGTGGTTCTCATCGCCAGTCGTCTGCTCACGGTTGTATGATACTATATCCTGTAAGTTCCCTAGATATCAGTCGCGATAACGAACGAAAGTGGATGGTCTTACATTGTCGATGATGACAAGCTCTATAACGCAATCTGACAACGCCTGAAGGGAAGGATGGAAGAATATGTCGTCGGGTATGCTCAATGGCGCCTCAGCTGGTGTGAAAGCTACGCGGACGCCAACAGTTTCCCGCCGTACAAGCAGGTACTCGTGAATATTTCTGCAGACATTGGCGTCTCTGTCTGCAGCCTGCGTGACAACGCTCTTGAGGTACTGCGTAACACTGTCCATGAAGTGGCGCTGCGCTTCAGGTGTTATAATCTTTATCGCTCGCGCCCAGAACCTACAATGAAATCATAGTCAGTCAGACCTTTTCTATATTTTCACGCGAAACACCGTGCTCACTGCCGCGACAGCTCTCCCAGAATAGACTCTCCCTCTGGCCTTGGCTCATGCGGATGTTCAAAAGCGTTCATCATAACATTCACAAGTTCTTGCACAACCGGTGCGCTTCCGACGTCTGTGTATTCGTCCACAACGAAGAAGAAAAAGATGAGATCGCATGCCGTCCGGAAATGAGATTCATCAAGCTGCGGGTACGATAGCGCCGCCAGAAGACCTATGAACTCGCCTGTGAGTTGAAGCAGAACATCTTATTACAATCGAGAGACGTACAAAAGTTGCACTTGTTGAATGCAGCCAGCGACTTGGGGTTAAAAGGCGCGAGGCTGTGGAGCCACTCTGTTGCTTCTTTTCCGACTTTCTCGAGATGCGGGCTGACCCGTCTAGGCCAAGGCCAGGCGGTCATAGTGTTGGGTATTGTAATTATCATCCCGGGTCGAGTCCGATGCTTCCGATAAACGGGATATGCTGCTTGAAGGGGATTTTGGGTGATGCATTTATAATCTCGCGCCCTTGCACACCTTTATACTATTCCGCCTTCCATTTCAGATGCGACTCCATCGTGGTCGACAATTGGGCTTGCTACTATTACGGTAGTCCCAACTCCTCAAAAATTCGGCAGCTAATTTGCTGTCCGCTCTTGCTGGAGAGCTGCATTTTCCGTGAGGTAATGTGAGCACGCAGGTTACACAACGTGAGTAGCCGATGCGTGAACATCCCCTCCTCGTCCCTCGTCCCTCTTTCTCATATATGACACATAATACACGTACGTGTCAACAGTCGATTTAACCTAGTGGGATTGTAGTACGTGTCTGTGAGATGCAGCATCCGAAACAAATTCTTCACAAACTAGGATGGCGCCAATCACCAACGTGATTGACGATACGCCGTGATGAGCGCACCATCATCCCTTCCAGTTCTTTGTGATACATTTGTTACAGTGGCTTTATCGCAAAGCCGCTTTAAATCGTCAATGATAACTGTTTCCGATCCGGTCTCTCTATTACTGTAGTAAATGACATAGCAGGAGTTACTTCGGGCCCTGGTAGTGAACGTTTGAACAAGCGAGGTAGAAGGTCCAGAGTATGATTTTTGCATTTAACCTCCTATGATATAATCAAGAGACTTTAAGCACATCTCATGATATTCCCAAACCAGTCTCCATACTGGGGTTCTATAGCCGATGTCGAATGAATGTTTCTTGTGAGACTGGTTAGGATGGAGTTTATCCCATCCTAGCTTCCTCCCCCGCCCAGTACAGATTAAAAGGAAAAGTCACCGTAGATTTGGGTACATCCTAGTAAGTACATCGGTTGATACTTGATCCTGAACGTTTGAACTCTCTGACCCTCAAAATATAAATTTGATACATCAGTGGCATGGATCCGGCCGATGCTTGCCACCCACTAGGGGAAGAACCCTTCTAATTGGGGAGGTGAGCCCTTGGTAATTACTTGGTAATGACCATTTCTTCCATAACGTCTTGCGCTCCGGCCCCATCATGCCGCAGCCTGCGGCCACATGAGTAATTGTTGTAAGGGGTACGAGAACCTACGACGGCTCACAGGGTCCCATCATCAAAAGTCGTGCAATATTTGACACGCGAGTACCAGACCCATCACCACCACGCACCAGGTGAAGATGAGCACACTCATGTATCTGAGGATGCACATTTTAGACCCATTTTAAGGATATTTCTCGGTCATAGCACTCACGGAGTGCGAAAAGCGTCCCACCTCTATGCTATTGCAACACCAACAGACTGGATCGGATGATATACCGCATCGACTGTCAGCAGTGTATACAAGATGACAAGCAAACTCGAGATTTACGGAACCCGTGAATATGCCTATCTTGTGTGCATAGTTACTCATTATGCCGATGTGCCACATAACGAATGTCTACCACATCGTGCCAAGCAGCCCATAGAATACCATTAGCCAGACGTGCGCCGGTTATTCATGGTCGTAGGTGACCATCTTCTGCGCATTGGCGCCAACGGACTCTCGGGTATATTTTCTGTAGTTCCTATAGTTATGGCGAGATAAGCCCATCGCTGAAAGTGGGGATTACGTCTGATGGAAATATGCCCAAGTATGCACCGCAAATGGCAATAACAGGATTACTCCCCAGCTCTGCAGATGCGCGAACACGCTTTCGCAGACGATGTCGGTCGAGCACGAAATAGCCGATGAGTAGGGACTCGATAATCTGCGAAAGTCAGTGCGCGCACGGGTGTTGAACGTTGAACAGGGCTGCATTGTAGTCGTTAAATTCTGCGAACGGTCGCGGTGGGAAACGGAGTGTCAGTACTAGTGCCGCACGCCGCCGTGCCAATAGAAGAGGACGAGAACGCACGCCACGTGTGAAAATAATTATTAGCAAATAATATCATGGGAAAGAGCAGCATGATCAACGGATCCGAGCGCAATAACGACCAGAGATTATAGAACTCAGTAGACCAACCTAGGGTCGCCTGTCTACAACGGCGCACGCGCCATCCGTACTGCACATGGACGCAGGTGATGCCATCATCAAGGGCACAAACACTCCAATGAGCGTCAGGATCATGAAGCCGATATATTCGAGTAGAACAAAGCTCAGCACTACCACTCTCTTACCGAGACAGATGTTAATTCATACGCACGTAGGTCCCATTCTCAACTATCAACGAGGGCAAGCATATCTCAGGAGATAGTGGTGCGAGCGATAACTAAGTTTGAGCTTACCTTGATTGTTCTGTAGAAAAAGAGCATGAGATCGGAAGACAGTACTCGAGCGAGTGTAGGAATATGAACTCTGTAACGCCAATCGAATTGCAAGCCAAGCGCTCACTTGCTTCCTCTCGTGCCACAACACAGGAATCCGAGCTACGACCTTGAATACTATATACTAAAAAGCGCACGGAGAACTACATGGAATAGCTAGAGATCATAACTGCCTATGACAGAAATAGGGATGGCCTCTAGATGCATCAACAGTATAAATCAAAACTTGAACTCGAGCGTAACCTTTCGAAAGAGAGAAAACAGTCACTGTGAGTCAACAGCAGAAGGAGACTCTAGGACCTACCGCGGATGTAACCCTCTTCACTTCTTCGGCAAAGACGGCAACTGTTTTCTGGAGCTCACCTCCTTTGATATGACCTTCGCACTCCAGGCAGCTGTACTGTCTGCGCAAAATAGCGAGGGAAAAATCATTGCTTGTTGTGACTGTAGTGAGAACCGGCCTCTGGGAGAGCTCCTTTCCAACAGAATTTATCGCGTCACTCCACCATATGCTAACTGAACCCAGGATTGGGGAACCATCGGTTGAATTCTTTATGACACGCCGGGTGGTCGATCCACAGCAGACTAGTGGAATCCAACATTTGGCCTCCGAAGCCCAGGTTAGGTGCCCCAATCCCACGTTTTTGGCCACTTCCCTGCACTTTGCATGATACACCAGGAGCCTCTGATACGCTGCTGCTGTTATGAGTTCCAGATCAGCCGGGTTATGCAAGACTGTAGGATCGCCAAACGAGGGGATGTTCAGGGTGCGAAGCGCAGCGATTTGTGCCAAGGACTCCCATCCGTTATGGCAGGCAAGACAATACAGTTTGAAATCCTCTTCTCCCGATAAGGGTGATGAAGTGATATGCGCCTCCACCGCCTCGGATACAAACGCGATGTCATACTTGTTGGCAGCTTTCATGAGGAGACATGCCTCCTCTACATGAGAGATAGGGGGATTCGGGCCGGGATAACAGAAAAGCAGCAGCTTCCTTGTGATGATGCTGTTCTCGGAGATGGAAACAACGTCAGATGAAGAGGGGGGTTGAGGGATGGTGAACATGTCTTTGAACACGGGAGAAGCCAGCGACAGAATTGCTTTGAACACATGGAAATCTACATTATCAGAGGTGCGAAGAACGATGTCAGCATCGGTTGCATCAAAGGGTGCGTTGTCGATATGCGGAGAGCTCATGATGGGAGGATTGAGCAGACAGTATAGGGGTAACTTGACCGAGTATGACGCTCTAGCATTTATTTCCAGCTCAAGATATCCGTGATTGGCCATACACCCCTCTCAGAGGAGGGTAGATGAATGGAATTGATGTAGGAACCCCTACTACTAGGTCGTAACGTTTCCTATCGAGACAAGTGATACACCAGTGCTGCAATAAGTAAAATGTACATTGCACACCACTCGCAGAATAAGCAGTAACCCGACCGTGAATGCGTTAAGTGGACGTGAACTCAAGCTTAACCTTCAAAAATACTTAGATTAGTCCATGCCGATCATACGTTTAACGAGAAAATATCACACCTTTTTCACCTCATCCTCGACTTTCTGACGAAACATGTCTTTGAGCTTGGCGATTTTACCTCCAGTAAAAAATGCGAGGCAGTATTGACAATTTGCCGTCGCTACCTGTTTCAACGCAACGTCGAACTGTCTCGAGTCGGTGATAGTCGACGTGGCGGGAGTTTCCTTCAGCTCGCCGGCGATCCTCTCCATCATGCTGAGAAGCCATGCATCAAACGCCTTATCCACCCCGCTTGCTTGTGTCCGATAGGCTCTCCCACAACAATGTCTTTGACAGTTATCAAACCCCTTCAGCCACCTCAAGTCTCCGTTCGCGACAGATGCAGCTGCTATCCCGCACGTGAGATGATAGCGCAGCAGGCTATCATATTCGCTCCCCCTGATTAAGCGCAACTCCCTGACTTCGAGGCTGGGACGCCCCAGTGAGATGATGCGAAGGCTGGAAGAAGCTGCTCCCCTAGCCAGTTCCTCGAGCCCGAAGTGGCACGCGAGGCAGTATAGCGCCACGGGTTCGTCGACCAGAAAGGGTCCGTCCAAGAGGCTGTGCATGACAAAGTGAGTGACACATGTCATGTCGTACTTCGTAGCTGCCTCCAGGATAAGATGGGCGTCGTTGAGAGTGTCAATGGAAGGTGAAGGAAGAGGGTAGCAGATGAGGAGCAAGGGCTTTAGAATGGCGCTACTCTCAGAAATAGTGACACTGGGAACGCCGTCCGGGGAACAGGGGGGCGAAGAAGGCTGCGGGAGTCCAAACGTGTCTTTGAAGACGGGAGAGGCGAGCGACATGATGTTCTTGTAAACAAAGAAGTCCACATCGTCGGAGGTGTGAATGACTACGTCTGCTTTGGTCGCATCGTTGAATGGAACGTTGGAAGTAAACGTTGTCGACATGACTGGGACGATTAGAGGGTCATGCATTCGTTTCGGAAACGTGCAGGAGAGGGGGGTGTAGATAGGGTTTCAAGTTGGCTCAGCAGAGGGGGATCACACTGCTCGACATGGTAGTCTGAAGATACGCAGAGCGATGAAGTCGAATGCCTTCTTATGGCTTTCAGAGCGAGTGTAGAGAGCGTCGGGATTGCTTGCCAGGGCGAGAGTAAAATACATGCGAGACCATGGTTGAAATTTGGGGAAGTGTCCGGAGAGCGCTAGAGTGCTTAGAGACTGTCACAAAAAGTACGAGGGAGGCAAGCTGGATCAAATCATCTCAGTGCAAAGGGGAAGTGGCGGGTGCTGCTTGGCATGATTCGGCGCTTGCCGACCCGTCTGTCTTCGGCCCGTCGCGCTCCACAACGCTTGCTCCGCGTTAGTGACGTTGCCTGTGCCCCATGTCTTCTGCTCACATAGCTAACACTCCCTTTGACGATCCTGGCGCTGATTTCATCCTCAGAACATCCGATGGCGTTGACTTCCGCGTCTTCAGGGCGGTCCTTTCACTTGCGTCCCCTGTGTTCAAGGACATGCTGAGTTTACCTCAACCTACCCTCCCTTCCACTCCCGAGACGCCTGTGGTAACGATTTCAGAAAACAGCGCGGTGCTTGAGCCGTTGCTCCTTTTCTTCTACCCTGCTGTTCCGCCCACCATCGAGAGTTTGGAAGACGTCCGCATTATGCTCCTAACGGCGACCAAATACGACTTTGAGGCTGCAATTCAAGAGGTCTCAACTCAGCTCGTCTCACCTCGCTTTTTGGAGACGAACCCCATTGGGGTTTATTGTGTGGCATGTCACTGCGGTTTGGAGGCAGAAGCTAAAGCTGCTGCCCTTCAAGCGCTAAACATCCCCTCTCTCGGGCGCCCTGTAGTTGAAGTTGACGAACTCGCGTTGATCAACATCCCAACGTACCATCGTCTGTTGAGGTACCACTTCAAATGTGGCGAGGTCGCCGCTGGTGTTTCCAACAAAGACAACTGGAGCCTAGTCGGAATGGCTGTCTGTCGGTTGCCGTTTTGTGACTGCGCCGATGTCATTGATGATGAAGGTGTTCCTTCACGTCTGTTACCGATATTCGATGTCCTTCCCAACATCGCGGATGAACTTAGGCGCAGACCGTCACCTGCAACAGCGGCGCAATCTGTTCATCTCAAAGATGCGGTTGAAAAGCTGCGCGGTTGCAATACATGCAGTCGCGAGATTGAGAACGGAACAACGCTGCGAGAGCTGGTGGACGGAATCGGTAGTCTGGTGCGGGATGAAGTTGAAAAGGTACGTTTTAGAACATGTCCTCTGTTCACTTTGGATGACTCAATATCGGGCTATCTTGCAAGGTTCCGCTTGAATTCAAAGATTGACTCTCACCGCGTTCGTGTTTGAACGAACGTGTAAAATGAGGCGACATGTTAGCATTTTCATAATCGTTTACATCCAGGCCTACTGTTAACCTGGTGATGCGCTGTCGCTGTTTTGATATGTACATTCTTAGCTATAAAACCTACTCGTTTGTAATGTCCGGTGTCATAACTCTGCATTCTGCTATATTGCAGTAAATGGTAGGGTCTCGCGTTCGGTGCGAGACATTTACAACTGTCACATTCGGGATTAATTATATGTAGACTTGACTGAAACTATCACCCACTGAGAATACACGTCCCACACACGCCTCTCCATACATAGAAAATAACCCAAAAGACGTGAGCATCCACCACTTTCGACAACGATCCGCTTCAGGAATGGAGATCGAGCTTCACCTGCCGGATTTAATTGAGTCCTGAACACGCTTTAAAGGAGTTATTGATCAAGTGTGCGTACCTGGCTAGTAACGTGTTTGACCTGTTTGGCAAAAGCGCATATGAACTCGGAAAGACCTCCATTCTTGACATAATCGTGGCATTTTTGACAAGGCGGGTGTCTGTCCTTGACATTCCACATGGAGAGTGCCGTATGTTTGCTACGAAGGACTGTGTTATCGGTGGGCACCATCCTCAGCTCTTCTCCGATTTCCCCGAATAGGGTGATCCACCAGTCAGGTGCCTCATCCTTCAAGGAATAGAAATAGAAATCAGCGCATGCGCCCGTACTCCTAGCTTGCCTCGGTTTCATACATGAACAGAAGGTGGGCGGACGATAGCCAAGTTTTTCGCACCAATCTAGTTGTTTGCCTAGATTTGCAGCTTCTTTTCCGCACCTGTCATGATAAACGAGCAATCTGTGATAGTCTGCCGTTGTCATCATGTTGAGGTCTTCAGCGCTGAGAGAAACGCCAGTATGGCCGGGAGTGATCAACTGAAGTGTACGGAAGGCCGCAGCCTGGGCTTCGGCTTGCCAATTGTGCTGACAAGCGAAGCCGTAGACACTGACAGCGTTGTTGTCGTCGAGCATGGAAATGATGTTGGTTTTCACTGAGGAAGATACAGCGGCGATGTCATACTTTCTCGCAGCCTCTAGGAGGTGACCGGCCTCCTCCAAGTCTTTGATTAAGGGGTTCACTACCGGATAGCAGAAAAGCAGTAGTATCTCGATGGTGGAGCTATCCTCTGAGATATGGACGACGTCAGAGTGAGACGATGGTTGAGGAATGGTAAACATGTCTTTGAACACGGGAGAAGCTAGAGACAGAATGATTTTGAAGACGTGGAAGTCGACATTGTCGGAAGTACGAAGAACAATATCGGTGTCGGTAGCATCAAAGGGTGCGTTGGCTGTGCGGGGGGAGTCCATGGTGGGCATAACAGAGGACGGAGTGTTGAGGCAGCCGTGACTTCAAGTCTTCACCTTCAACCCCTATGAACGTCAGCAGACCGATAACAGTATGATTGGGTGCACAGTGTGAGCGTCTAGGCTTACGTTCATCTTCACGATCCATTACACGAACTGTAGCTGATAAGAAGAGTGATCGAAAACGTGATACTTTGAAAGAGCAAAATTTCACATCACCGCATTCAAAGATGAACGTTGAGCCTCGCCACATTAAACGGCTGACCTGCTTTCCAGTCTAAGGGGAAGCCACCTCGTCGCAAAACGTGTTCTTGAACAATGTAATGAGCGCGACTAGGGTAATGCTCTCGCCTTGTTTGAATTTATGTGGCTCGGCCTTGCTGATATTCTTGACATTGCCTCTTTGAGGATCTATCGTGAAAAGTGTACAACGTACCGTAATAAATCCATTGCAGAGCCCATGTAGTATCGACGTGATGTCCACTCGGCGTAATAATGACTTAGTCACTCATGACGTGTTTGGTATCAGTACATACCCACGCCACCTTGCTCGCGCGGAAATTTCCCTCACCAGGTTGCTCTCCCCCCACTCACGCGCACGAGCGATGGCTTACCCACAAGTGGCCAACGCGCCCTTTGATGACCACGACGCCGATGTCATTTTTAGAACTTTCGACAACGTAGACTTCCGCGTCTTCAAAGCGGTCCTCTCCCTCGCGTCGCCTGTGTTCAAAGCTATGTTCACGCTGCCGCAACCTGTCTCAGCCGAACCACCCGCTGAGGCACCTGTTGTACCCATATCCGAGATGGCAGAGGCATTCGAGCCGTTGCTTCTCATTTGCTACCCTGCGACACCGCCGGTCGTCGAGGCCTTGCGGGACGTACGCGTGCTGCTGGAGGTGGCCCGCAAGTATGATATCGCGTGCGCCGTGCAGTTCGCTGCTAACCAGCTCATTTCCCCGCGTTTTTTGGAGACGAATCCTGTGGGGGTGTATTGCATCGCCGCTTGCTACGGATTGGAGTCGGTGGCCAGAGCAGCGGCGCTGCAGACTCTCAACATTCCCTCCTTTGGTCGTCCCAGTGCATACGTCGAGGAGATGGAACTCGTGCCCATGTCTACATATCATCGCTTGTTGGATTATCACTACCGATGCGGCCAGGCCGCCGCACGTGTGGCGGATGTAGAATATAAAGAATGGGTGTGGGAGCTGGACGGTATTTTCCCTTCTTGTCATTGCGCTATATATGATGAAGAAGGAGGCACACCGATACGGCTCTGGGGGTTCTTTGGGAAACTAGGTGGTGTTGCAGACAATTTGAAGGGGAAACCGTTGGGAATCACAGTTATACATTCAACGGGCTTTAGAGCTGCTACGAAGCAAATTATTGTATCGTGCGAAGAATGTATGCCGGAGTGGTCGGACAATGAGCGAAGGTGGCAGGCTGTGTCGCAGGCATTTGCGCGCAGGATCGAGGAGGAGGTTACTAAGGTATGTTTGACTTGAATTAGATTTTCGTGTTACCTGGTTCTCACGAGGGTTCCAGATCCAACTTGAATTCATGGCTTACTAGTCGCTTGATTGTCTTGATGCTTTGGTGTAACTGGGTTTGGTTAATGTCGTGTCCGTGGTGCTGTGCGGCAGGGTTTGACTGGTTCTCATGTAGGATAGGAAATGGCATGGCGGATAACTAAGAACTGTATTTTTATGTGGTATGCATCAATACAGATAATGGTGTAGCTCAGCAATGAAAGCAAACGAATGAAAGATGCAATGTGATCAATATGCTGAAGGTCTCCACCACAACCGGAGGATATGGCCAACGCGCCGCGTGAAACAAATCGGTGTTTGCCGTAGAGGCCATTGTCCATCGAAGCTTTTGTCTTCCTAAACCTTTCTAACAGCCACACGAACACAAATCTGTTTCTCATGTCTTCCCCTCGCATAGCCAACGCGCCCTTCGACGATCCTGATGCCGACTTCATCCTCAGGACATCCGATGGTGTAGACTTCCGCGTCTTCAGAGCCGTCCTCTCGCTTGCGTCCCCTGTGTTCAAGGACATGCTCAGTCTGCCCCAGCCTGCATCCACACCTCCCTCCTCTGAACCACCCACTATTACGCTCTCGGAGTCTAGCACGGTGCTTTCTCCGTTGCTCCTCTTCTGTTATCCCGCTGTTCCTCCTACTCTCAGCAGCCTAGGCGATGTTCGTGTTTTGCTTGAAGCGGCGAGCAAGTATGACCTTACATCTGTCGTGCAAGAGGTGGCAGCTCAGCTTGTTTCACCTCGTTTCTTGGAAACAAACCCCATTGGCGTGTACTGCGTTGCGTGCCACTGTGGCTTGGAGGCAGAAGCAAATATTGCGGCTCTCCAGGCCCTGAACATCCCTTCCCTCGGGCGCCCCGTGGTCGACGTCGACGAACTCAACCTTATCTCTATTCCGGCCTATCACCGCCTATTGAAGTACCATGTTCGCTGTGGAGAGATCGCCGCCAGCTTATTCACAACACGCAGCTGGTGTTTCTGGAATGAACTGGCGAGACACCTGCCGGAGTGCGAAGGCTGCGACGAGCCGCTTGACGGCGAATCGGCGCCGTCGAGTCGTCTATATCCTTTTGTGGACAAGGTGGACGGTATCGCGGAGGAGTTCAGGAGCAGGCCCTCGCCGACTACTGCGGCCATGTCTTCGGATCTCAAAGAGGCTGGCATGCAGCTACGCAAGTGCGCTGAATGTGACCCTGAGATTGAGAGTGGACGTCCATACGAAAATTTGGTGGAAGGGATGAGTCGTTTGGTTAGAGACGAAGTTGTAAAGGTGCGCGGTTTTTTTAGCCTGTTGAATTGGATGGCTGAGCATGAAGCCCGAGTTCCAAGGTTCCCCTTGAATTCAAGTCCTAACCCTCTTAAATCCCACGTTTGCGAGTGAATGATGGTTGAAATGAAGGTGGAACCTTGAAAATTTGTAATGTATCAGCGCACTTGAGAGGACTGACGCGATTGAGAAACAGATACTTAGGTTCTAAGGTACTCTTGTATGTAATTTGAATTTTGGCTTATGATACACCTGAGTTCGGCGTTCTCCGATGTACTGGCGACTGTCGCGACCATCCCAAAGACACCATCACTATCTAGGCTGCTCAAGCCACCACCCACTCACACTCCATGGACTCTCCACGCGTGGCCAATGCCCCTTTCGACGCCCCCGATGCTGATTTCATCCTCCGGACATCGGATGACGTCGACTTTCGTGTCTTTAAGGCAGTTTTATCGCTCGCGTCCCCGGTGTTCAAGGACATGCTAAGCCTTCCGCAGCCAACCTTGGCCTCTTCCCCCACCGAAACCCCCGTCGTACCCATATCAGAGACAAGCACTGTGCTGGAACCCCTCCTCCTCATTTGTTATCCGTCAATGCCGCCGGTCCTCGAGACGTTGCAGGGCGTACGCGCCCTACTGGAGATCGCCAGCAAGTACGACATCGCGTGCGCCGTGCAGTACGCTACTACGCACCTCACTCTGCCGCATTTTCTGGAGGCGAACCCTGTCAGCGTGTACTGCATCGCGGCCTGCTACGGCATAGAGTCGGTGGCCAGAGCCGCGGCGCGCCAAACCCTCAACATCGCGTCCCTCGGAAGACCCAGTGCATACGTCGAGGAGATGGAGCTGGTGCCGGCACCCACATACCACCGCCTCCTCGACTACCACTACCGGTGCGGCCAGGCTGCCGCGCGCGTCACGGACGATACGTGGCTGGACTGGGTGTGGGAGTTCAGCGATTACTACCCTCTTTGTTCGTGTGGCCAAAACGACGAAACCGGCATGCCGAGGAGGCTGAATTGGTTCTTTGCAAAGCTGCGCGGCGTCGCGGGCGAGCTGAGGGATAAGCCACTGGGCGTGACAATTGTGCAGTCGTCGGTTTTTAGAGAAGCAGAAAGGGAGATTACGTTTCAGTGCGTCGAGTGCATGCCAGAGTGGAATAGCAAGAGCAGCGAGCAGCGGTGGCAGGTTGCGTCCGAGGCGTTTGTGCGCAAGGTCGGCGAGGAGGTTGCAAGGGTATGTGTTTCGTGTCGCATTGAGACTGGTCTGTTATTCCATTTTGACGTTGGTGCCCCTTTTGAACAGGTTGAGCTTGAGTTCAGACTTTGATGTTTTTGTTGCTGCGGGGATGTTGTGGCCACACTGGTGTGGCTGCACCGGGGTGGATAGGTCGTATGGTGGGATTGCTTAGAAACTATATGTAATCTGTAATTTGAAGGCGTGTTGCGTGATAGAATTTGGCGTATATAAGACACTGAACAGGGCCGACTGAAAGTTGTTGGAAAGTTGAGTGAAAGAAGGCGGAGGTCTGGTTTCCGCTATTACCGGAGGCAACTATACTCCGCGGCCCGCTGCTCCTCCGACCGTGACCTTCACATCGGTCGACTCATTATTCTTGTTTTTTCTTTCTTTGTTTCTGGTGCCATCTCTCAGTTTACGACACAACGATCCCAAGTTCATGTCAAAATGCCTTGACCTCTCCAGACTCCCCAAGCTCCCCAGCACGAACCGCGTCAATCTCAAGGTCTGCCCACCTCATTCTCTAGCTTCGCCAACTCACCCACTAAACCTCCTGACCACCCATCTTCAGCGCATCCACCGCGCCCCAGGCGCGTTCGAGTCGCTCCTCTTCTCGGGCGCGCGGCACAACCGCGCGCTCACCCTCGACCCGGGGCACCCGGCGCAGGCGGTGCACCCCGGGCAGTTCAGAACGTTCCCGCGGTACGAGTGCGCGGCGTTCGCGGTGCGCGCGCTGCCGGATGCGCTGATGACGCGGCGCTCGGCGGAGCCGATGCGGGAGGAGGATAAGTTTTTGAGGGAGGTGGGTGTGCGGCGGAGGGAGAATTTCAAGAGGCAGGAGAGGGAGGCGAGGGAGGCGAGGGAGCGGAGGGCTGCTGTGTTGAAAGGGGAGGGCGAGAAAGAGGAGGGCGGGAAGGAGGGGGGGTTCAAGTTTGGGAGGGGGGTTGATGATGCTGGGAGCAGGGACGAGGGGAAGGGGAAGGGCGAGGAAGAGGGGAAGGAGCGCGCGTTCAGCATCTGCATCCAGTTCCTCACGGGCAAGAAGGCGACGCGCAAGAGTGCAGTTATTCGTGGCCGACTGCAGACCAAGTTCCGCACTGCGGTGTCGCTCGTCATCCAGCGGGGCGCGGTCGCTGTTGACGCACGCACGGGCGTCGTGCTCTCGGACGAGGCGGGGAAGGGAAAGAGGAGTGGTGGTGGAAAAGAAGAATCAGAAGGCGACGAGGCCGCCACTGTTACAACAACGAAGAAACCAGACAAACGAAAGCTCGCGCTCGCGTTTGACCCGTCGCAGGCGGGATACATGGCCCCGGACACGCCGTGGAACCTCGAAGGTGCGCCCTTCCATGTCCCCGACTCACACCTCTGGCTCACCACCCACTGTTCTCTACGCCTTGTCTATTCACATTTACATTCTCAATTTCACCTACACGACCACTACAGGCTGGACATACATCGTCTGGCCGCGCATCGAGATCTACCGCATGCCGCCCGCACAGCTCGTGCAGCACGTCCGCGTGGGCCTGCGCTCCATGCGCGCGCAGGCGTCCAAGTTCGAGCGCGCGTGGGTCGCGGGGCAGCGTCCAGAGCAGGAGCGGCTGATCAACGCGCTGCAGGAGATGGTGGAGAAACGGGCGGGCCAGGTGGGTGTTGTCTCGTTCGTTCGCGGCTTGCCTGCCCAGGGGGGTTTGCAGTCGCAGTGTCGTACTCTATGCGTGTTTGTGGGCTGTTGGCTGACTTGTTCTGTGCGTGTGCAGGAGGAGCGCGTTGCGAAAGCGGTCTCGAGGGCGCTGGGCTCGGACGGGCCGTCGAAGTACACGCCCAAGGCGCCGACCAAGCGGCTCTTTGAGAAGAAACCACTCATTCTTCGCAACGCCAACACGCCTGCATCCTCATCGTCAAAACCCAGAGAGCGATAGATATCCTCCCTCTCAGCTCTCAGCTCTCATGGTCATCAACGCATACACGCACTAAGTATATTACTACACTCGTATAATTTTTATTGTCTACACAATACCGCATAGAACCCTAATATCGCAGTTAACCCAACACAACCAATAGATGTCGCTCCTGCATGTCCACTCACCCCTACTCCTACATCGTCTGATGCGCCCGACTTCAAACGCTCCCCGTCGGCGGCTTCCCGCTCACGTCCTCCTTGACAGCGAACCGCTCTATGACAGCCTTTACGAGCTCGATCTGTGGTGCTGCGACCTCCTCGACGCGGCGCTCTTTGTCGAGAAGCCCGCGGAAGGCGGGTGGGAGGACCGCGTCGAAGTCGAATGGTTTCGTTCCGGCTGCTGCGGCGCTGCGCGAGGGGTCGTCGACGAGCGCTTGTGTGACTGCGCTAGAGAACTTGGCGGGGTGTGCGGTCGAGAGGACGATTTGGGTTGTGTTTTGGGGGCTGTGGTTTTCGATTAGCAAGTGCGATTCAGCGAGAACAAAGGCAAAGAGGATAAACAAGGAACGTACCGCTCGATCTCGGAAGCGACGTGCAGCGCGACTGCCGTGTGCGGGTCTGCGACGTAGTGCGCGGGCGGGGTGTCGTATGTGCGCTGGATCGTGCGCGTGATCTGCGCGTCGTCCGCGCGGCCCGCGACAAAGTCCGCGCGTGCGGCGTTGAGTATGGCAGTGGGCACCTCGACGCGGCCGTCGGACTTGACGCGCGCCATCCAGTCTGCGATGGTCGCGCTGGCTTTCTCTCTGCGCGCTGCGTCGTCGCTGTCGGGGGAGGCGGCGAAGGCGAGGTACCACAGGAGGCGCTCGAAGTTGGAGGAGACGAGAATGTCCATGGCTGGGCTGAGCGTCTCTTTGACGCCGCCGCCGGTGGAGGAGGCTTGTTTGCCGTCGGAGGCGCCGTCAGCGGGTGCGGTGGCGGTGCCGTTCTGAGGGGAGGAGGATGAGGAGTCGACTTTTTCGTACCGCCCTGATTTCCAGAAGCGGTAGAGGATGTCGTTTGCGTTGGTCGCGACGCCGAGCTTGGCCATGGGCAGGCCCATGCGCTGCGCGTAGAAGCCTGCGAGGACGTCGCCGAAGTTGCCCGTGGGGACGACGAACTGCACCTCGCGCTCGCCTTCGCTCGTGCCTAGCCCTTTCTTGCCTTGGGCACGCAGGGCCTCGTCGACGTGGAAGTAGGCGAGGAAGTAGTATACGGTTTGAGCGAGGATGCGCGCCCAGTTGATCGAGTTGACGGCGCCGAGGCGATGCGCGGCGTTGAAGGGGGTGTCGGCGAAGAGGGTTTTGACGAGGTCTTGGCAGTCGTCGAATGTGCCGTGGACGGCGAGGTTGTGCACGTTGGCGTCGAGGACGGTGGTCATTTGGGCTTCTTGGACGGGCGAGACGCGGCCGTGCGGGAAGAGGATGAAGATGGAGATGTCGGGTTTGTTGCGTACGCCGTAGATTGCTGCGCTGGATGTGTGCGATGTCGAGGGAGGCAGGGATCAGACGAGGTAGGAGAGAAGAAGGTGGTATTGCGTACCTGCCAGTGTCGCCGCTCGTCGCGCCGACAATCGTCAGCTTCTCGCGCGGTTCTCCAGGCTGCTTGCGCGCGTTCCGCCGGCTGAGGAAGAACTCGAAGAGGTTCCCGAGCAGCTGCAGCGCGACGTCCTTGAACGCGAACGTCGGGCCATGGAACAGCTCGAGCACGAATCGGTCGCCGCCGTCATCGAGCGGGACGATCGGCGTGACATCGGGGTGCGTGAAGGTGGCGTACGATTTTGAGACAAGGTCGTGCAGCTCTTGCGGGGAGATCTCGTCGGGCGAGATGTAGAGCGAGAGGACGGCGACGGAGAGCTGGACGAAGGAGTAGTCTTTCCAGGACTCTTTCCAGCCGTTGGGGAGCTGGGGAATGTGCTCGGGGATGTAGAGGCCGCCGTTGGGTGCGAGGCCGGTGAGGACAGCCTGACGGTGGGATGAGCGGGTGAGTCAGATGTGGGTGGAGGGGGAGATGGACCTCTTCAAAAGAAAGACGTTCAGAGCCTCCTCGTGTTGAGAAATACTTCATTTTTGTGTCCCAGATTTTAAAGAGAGTGGATTGTTTTGAAGAGACTTTTTGTTTTAAGGAGACGTGTTTTGGTCGAGTCAGTGGTCGAGGAGGGGATGGGAATTATTCCCACGGTCAGGCGGCGCGCGCTGTACCGCGACGCGTCCCAAAGCCTTTGCCCGTTGACGTCCACCACACAACAGGCCATGTCCGACGACGAGCCACCCCGCCGCTCACAGCGAGACAGGAAACAGGTAGACAGATACGTCGGCGGTGAGATCTTCTTCTCTCTCGCCATGCACACGCTCGCTGACCGCCACCGACACAGACGGGCCCTCCAAGAAACGGAAGCGCACGCAGGTAGACTCGGGCTCAGAGCTCACAGACCTTCCCTCGGAGCCAGAAGACGTTCCAGCCGGAGAAGAGGCTGATGACGCTGGCAGCGACAACGACCAGGAAGACGCGGATGACGAGGGCGACTTCGCCAACACTCCCAAGGCAAAGGGAAAGGCCCCAGCTGGCCCACGCAAGAGCAAGGCCGCTACCACCACCAAGGCGGCCAAAGGGCCCTCGGCCGTCAAGCGCCCGCGCACGGGAAAGGCTACTGGGGCACCCAAGGCCGTCAAGTTGCCCAAGGTCAAGGGGCGGAGGGTCAACAAGAATGCCGACGGCGAGTTCAACCTCGACAAGTTGACCAATGAGACCAAGATACGGGGAGATAACCCTCTCTTTAGTGCGTTTTGTCTTTGCTCGTGATGTGGACGCAGGCTAATGGCAGTGTGAAAGACGCGGTTTTGAACCCTTCCGCCGCGCTTCAGTCCACCGCCGAGGAATTCCTCGACTCCCTGAACGAGAATCCGGGACTCGCCCAGGCGGAACTAATAAATTGCGTCCTCCGCGCCTGCGGCAGCAATGACTCTGTCGATGCGGACGAGGTGGTTGACTATGACGGCGTCGTCGACTCGCTCGACACTTTCACCGAGGGACTCAAGCAGGTACGCCGCACGTCTTAGCCTCTTTTGCATCACTCAAGCCATCCTTTTTGCTTTACACGTCCCCGACCTCTTTCTCATCCCTCGCATGTACGCTACACGCAAATACCACTACACAGGAAAACTCGCCCGTCTACCCGCTCACCTCCAAACTCGCCGTCTTCAAAAAGTTCCGCTCCTCCCTCGCCGAGCTCATCGAGCGCATCGTCATCTCCGCCGCCGACACCGGCGCGCTCTACACCTCCGATCTCATCATGACCGTCCAGACGTGGGTCGTCGCCATGTCGTCCTCGCAGATCCGCTCCTTCCGGCACACTGCCACCTTTGTCGCGCTCGAGGTCGAGAGTGCGCTGTGCACTGTCGCTGCCGCCGTTGAGAAGGAGGCGGAGATCATTGGAAGGCAGAGGGAGGGCGAGCGGAAGAGGAAGGCGAGCAATAAGACGGGTGCGGGTGGCGCGGGAGGGGTGCGGGAGAAGGATCTGGAGAATAAGGCTGCGGAGGTAAGGAAGCGGAGGGAGGTGCTCGCGGAATTTTTGAAGGAGGTTGTGGACGGGTGCGTTGTCCTCCCCTTCCGTTTCATCCTTGTTCGAATTCACGACACTTGAACTGACCGAACACTCTCCCGCTACAGCGTCTTCGTGCACCGGTACCGCGACCTCGACCCGACCATCCGCGCCGAATGCGTGCGCGCGCTCGGCGCGTGGTTCGGCGCGTACCCCGCGCACTTCCTCGACGTCTCGTACCTGCGCTACGTCGGCTGGGTGCTCTCCGACACGCACACGCTCGTGCGCACCGAGGCCGTGCGCGCGCTGCAGGTCGTCTACGCCCAGTCCGACTACGTCGGCGCGCTCGCGCACTTCACGGAGCGCTTCAAGCCGCGTCTCGCGGAGATGGCCGCGCGCGATGCGGAGCTGGGCGTGCGCTGCGCGGTGCTTGGGGTGCTCGGTGCGTTGGACGGGCACGCGCTCCTCGAGGACGCGGACCGGGAGAGACTGTGTTTGTTGGTGTTTGACGAGGAGCCGCGTGTGCGTAGGGCGGTTGCGGGGTTCGTGAGGGGCGTGTGGGAGGATGCAGTTGAGGAGCGCTTGGTTGGGCGGCGAGGGAAGACGGACGAGAAAACGCGCGGGCGTGTGGGGACGAAGGCGCTTGCGGTGTTGTTGGTGAGGTGGGGTGTCGCGTTGGAGCGCGAGCGCAGTGCGGCGGCGGGGGAGGACGATGAGGGTGGGAGCGTGTATTCGGGCGAAGGGGGCACCAGCGCGCCGCATCGCTCTGCGCATGTGCCGCCGAGCGTCGCGGCGGACCAGGCTGGACGCACAGCGCTCGCAGTTGAGGCGCTGTGGGACGAGTGCGAGGCGGTGCGGGACTGGGAGGACACGCTTGATGTCCTGCTTCTTGATCACTCTGCTGGAGGCGACGGCGACGAGATGGACGTCGAGGAGTCGTTGGCGGGTGCTGCGAAGAAGAAGGGCGGGGTGGATGAGGTGTGGCGCCTTGAGGACGCGGAGGAGAGTGTGTTGCTCGAGGTGCTCGTCGCGAGTATTCGGAGGGCAAAGACGCTGTCGGCTACGGCTACGAAGAAGGTGCGTGCGCTGACCATGGGTTGGCACTCGGTGCTGATTATATGTGCACCTGCAGGGCGAAGAAGACAAGATCAACACAGACATCACGCGTGCGCTCATCAAGGGCCTCCCGCGCCTGTTCATCAAATACCAGACGGACGAAAGCCGCATCGCGGACATTCTTCTTATCCCGCCACTCATGAACCTCGATCTATACCTCGAGATGCGCATGATGAATGTACGTCCCCCTCACGTGCTAACATACCTACTTGATCCCCTCAACTCGCATCTATACTGCAGGCCTACGCAGCGCTCTGGGACGACGTGACGAAACAGTTCCTCTCGCACGCCTCCTCCAACGTGCTCGCGAAAGCCTGCGCCGCGCTTCGCCACCTCAGCGGCGCGACGTCGCTCGCGAACACGAACGGCGCGAAGCAGCTCGAGCTCGAGGACGAGCTCGCGAGCCAGCTGCGCGACGCCGTCGCCGGGCGGGAGGAGCTCGCGGTCGCGAGCTTCGGCGAGGACGAGGTGCTTGCGCTCACGGCCGTGTGTGCGCGAGCGGCGGCGCTCGCGGGTGCGCGGGACGTGGCGGGATGGATGGAGGAGGATGAAGGCGGGAAGCAGAGCTGTGTGTGGGATATTGTGTGTGCGCTTGTGGAGAGGGGAAGGTTGGGGTATAAGGAGGAGGAGCGGGTGTGTTTTTTCTCCACTCTCTCATTTGCATGATTGTGCGGGCAAGCTGACGAGGGTTCTGGGGATAGATGATCGAACAGGGTCTGCATCTCCTCGGGCTGCATATCATCTGGAAGACGCGCAAGCTCCCTGATGCGCCTGCGGGCGAGCTGAGCGCGGACGAGCTCAAGTTCCGTGAGGGCCTGAGAGAGCAGCGCGACGCGCTCGTGGAGAAGCTCGTCGAGTATGCGGTGGGCACCCAGTCCAATACCGCTGAAGGCGTCAAGCGCGCCGCGTTCCAGAACCTTATGCATATCCACATCCTCTTCAACCCCTCCAACCAAAACGCGGCTGCTGCACCGGGTGACGCTCGGCCGCTGCCGACGGCGGCGCTGGCGCTCGAGCTGGATGACGAGGTTCAGTATCGCTGTGCGGGCTTTATTCAGGCGACGATCGAGCAATTCGAGGAGCATTTTGAGGAGAGTGCGGTGTCTGAGCGGGATGAGGATAGTGCGAGTGGGAGCGGGGATGATTCGGACGAGGACGGTGCAGCTACCGCGGGCAAGGAGAAAGAGAAGGAGAAGGAGGGGGGTAAAGCCAAGGGCAAGACGAAAGCCAAAGGGAGGGAGAGAGAAAGGCTTGCGTCAATGCGTAAGTCCCGCAAGATTCGACTACCTGTTGGATATTTATCGCCCCACAGTGCAAACGCCTTCTCGTGCGCGCCTGCAGGCCGAATATGTCTTCATGTCCGTCATTTCCACCTTCCTGCGCGCGATCCGCGCCGGCGCGGTGCACATCAAGCACAGCGCGGTTCTGCTCGCGCACCATGGCCGCGTCAGCCCTTCGTTCGACCTCTGCACACGCGTCGTGGTGGACATCCTCCGCGAGGAGGGGATGTACAACGAGGGTGGGGACGTCGTCGTGCAGGTCATCGAGCAGGCGCTCAAGGAGGTGCGTTTTCTGTTGTGTCATGAAGGCCACGGGCGGGTTTTTGACACGCCAATGCAGAGCTTCAGCTTCGTCGCCGATAACATCGTCAGTACCGAAGAGTACACCGTCGGCCTCGCGAAGCAGCTCGCGGGCGCGTTCCTTATCCGCGGTGCGCAGCTCTCTGTCGTACGGCGGCTCGACGCGCGGTATGTCGTCCGCGTGCACACGGACCTGCTCACGTGGGCCATCAAGCGCATCGCGGCGCTCGAGGGCAGCGGCAACAAGAACAAGCGCGCGAAGGGCGTGGCGGTTTCGTTCTTTAGGGTGCTCGTGCCGCTGTTAAATTCGGTGGAGAGCCGGGATGCTCTGAAGATGTGCGTTTTGTGTTTTGTCTTCTGTTACGTATTTCATGGGAACTGACGTTTGTTTGAATTTTTCGTGTTTAGAAAAGCGCACATGGACCAGCTGCTCGCACAGAACAAGTTGGAAGTGCCTCCGTCTGCGAAGATGTGGGAACCTCAGCGAGCGTATGAGAAGCGACTGCAATCAGCCATGAACAAGGACAAAGGTATGCTTTCCGCGCTTGCCCCTCACAGACCCGTTGGCTTAAATTGGTTATTTGTTGGTGCAGCACGCAAGGGTAAGAAAGCCGGACGCGCCCAAGTCGGTGCCGGAACAACAACCGAGGAAGAGCTTACCGACGGCGAGGTCTTGTCTGCGCCTGAAGAAGCTCCAGCACGGCCCAAGCCCAAGCCCAAGCGAAGGCGCCCCCGCAGGCGGAACGACGATGACGAAGACGACGAGCCCGCAGAGGAAGAGGAGGAAGCACCTTCGAAACCTAAGTCAACACTTCGTGCACGGCGCTCCCTTCGCGGACGCGCTGCGGAAGAAGCTCAACCGGAACCGGAACTGGCTGAGCCAGCGACGCCCAGAGCGGGCAGCGCCGCCCCGTCCTCGAGGCTCTCTGAGTTGGAAGAACCCGAACCTACATCTACCATCGAGGAAGGTGTCGAGGAAGAAGAGGAGCAAGAGGAGATCGAAGACGCAGACGAATTGCCTACCACAAACGGCCATGCTACGCCCGAGTCATCGTCGCGGAAGCGTCCACGCGATGGGGAGGACGCTGATGAAGAGGAAGACATCGACGAGGACGATGCCTCGCAGACACGGACTCGCACGCCGGTACCGTTTGATCGGGAGCTCGTGATTAGGCGCAAACGCGCTAGACATTAAGACCCGTTATGATTCGTTGTTATTCTCCCGATGTTCCTCTGCTCTTTACCGCCTGTGTCTGATAATTCTTGACTGTCGTTGCTGCATGCGCTCAACTGCTGTTGTGCCTTCCTACTCTACTTCCTATTCTTTTTTACTTTCAAGTCTCTGCTTGCTCCCTTTTATTGTAGCGCCTCCGATGTTTCTTGGTGTTGTGTGTCGTATACCACATTATATGGTGACTGTCCAGGCTCCGGGCTAAGGAAACTGTCTTGACCATTACACACTTGCTGAGAGCTTCGACTGAAAGGTTCGAGAAAAACGTAGCCTAATCTGTTGGCATTGGTTTGTTTCGTCCTGCAATTCCTTCCTCGGCTTTCTTCCTGTTGGCCAATGGATTTGCGGTCACCGTCAGCTTAAAACGATGACATATGTCTCCACTGTCGCAATTTGTAGGGCGGGAATGAGGATACCAAGCCTCGTCCTAATTGAAGAAACTGTCAATACTCAAAATACTTGTTGGAGTAACAGCACCACTCATGATAACATCTCATACACTCATGTGCAGGGCGGATGGCAGCAGACACACCGTCATCGATACATAGACGACCTCCTTGGGCTTCCGAGTTCTGCGTAGTCTCCAACTGTCGCTTATCCCCCGTTACCTTTCTGGTAACTATATATACATCATGAATACTATACGTTCGAATGTCTACATATTGTCAGACTTGTCCAATAGCAGCGCAACTCTTTTTGATATTCGAACGCCCCGCTCACTAAATCTTGCTCCGCCAGCCGTTCATAATACGATAGACCGATAATCGCTCAGGTGGGACGATGGAATTTTTATTTATTGTTGTCTAGATATAGAGCGCGCCGAGGTTGACACGGACTCTTCAGATGATTTAATTTCACGAGCGCGTTCACGGTCGCGCACTTGTCGTAAGTTAGCCAGCAAGAGCCCATGGTAGCACTGATGTGTGGGATATTCCGCCTGCGCAATCCTTCTTAGTCCTTGTGTACCAGAATCTAGGGAATTTACTCTTCGACGTAGGCACCGTGGGGGGGAGAGTGTATAAGACTCCGAGTCGGAGCAGCTATTCTATCTGTTCACCGCTCATGAGAGTGCTGAAGAGGCCGGCCACTTGTGTGTATTTCGGCCTATAGTATTGTAACCAGCTGTCATGGTATTTCCGCACTGGCGCCGAATATTCAGCGATACGCTGTTGACAGCGTATCCGATTCGACAGGCACTTTCATTTAGGTGGGATCACAAAGTTTGTTTGTTTTTAGCGGGAGCGCTTCCGGAGCTACCATTGAGGCCGACCCAGGTTAATGGAGTAGCGAACCTCTGAGACGCCGACCCGGGCTAGACGAATTGCGTAAATTTGATCCCACTGGCACCTTTGAAACACCCTATCAGCCTGGGTTTTGCCCGTAAATCATTACGTTTTAGTAAATGGTGTATTTTTTTGTGAAAAAATCGAGCTACGAGTAGAGCATATGAAGATCGAAGTTAAGACATGAACATCTCAGCCCAATTGCAATACTCGAACATTTGACAACCTCCTGAATTCTCAAAACTCAAAGTATCCATTCTACATATCATTAGAGATCACTCCTAATGTTCCCACAAGACAAAACTGATATATGATTGTCTGTCCTCCCAGCCGCGTCTAGCATAGCTGGGTACAAATGACACGGGTAGCATAGTATCGGTGAATTGCGCGGTGCACAGGTGTCCTGGGGTAGGTTTTTTTTTTATTTTTAAAAAAAGTTGGTAGTTTACTGATAAGAGATGGGTAAACCCCTTCCCGTAACTCTTCGTCCCGTGGCTGCCCACGGGTCCTATACCTCTAGTGATTGCAAGAACCACATCTGAATTGGCAACCTATGCCCCAAGTGTAAGCAATGATTTCAGCTCCAAAAAGAATCGGCTTGTTAACGAGTTACCCGTTGGGAACATGTGCGCCGTAGTAGTGGAGGGGCAGCAGCATAAACGGATACTTCATACTTTACGAAGTATAAAAGGAAGAAGGGAAATATCCTGGCCTCAACGCACTACCCGCCATTTTGTGGGACAACGTGGCCAATTCCAATGCCCGAGACAACCTTCACACTTCCCGATACTATGACCTCCTGGCCATGGCCTAGGCGTGTCAACCCCCATCTCGAGAGCGTTGGCAAGGAAGCGACAGAGTGGTTCCACAGCTTCTCGCTATTCAACCCCAAGTCGTTAGCTGCATTTGATAGATGCGACCCGTGTATGTCCAGTGGTCATCAGATATCCAACCACAACTCACATGTGTCTGAGTAGGTCTGCTGGCAGCGCTCGCGGGTCCACAGCTTGACGAGGCTCACTTTCGGATGGAGTGTGATATTATGTTCTGGGCCTTCGCCGTGGACGAGTACACAGACGTCGAGAGCGCATCAATTGTCCGAGAAATGTCGTACATTATGATGGATGCCCTTGAGCATCCTCATGAGCCGAGGCCAGAGGGAGAGGTTCGTCTGGGAGAACTGACGCGACAGTGAGTTCCTACGTCTTCTCACAGCGAACAAGGCCCAAGTAAAACCGACTATCAATACAGGTTCTGGGCGCGAGCTATAAAAATCACAACACCCGAAGCGCAGCGACACTTCATTCACAATGTTGCACTGTTCTTTGAAAGCCTCGTCACGCAGGCAGCAGACAGAGACGCCGATGTCTGCAGGAGCATTTCCGATTACCTCATCGTGCGACGAAACAATGTCGGTATCCGCGGATCCTTCGCACCGGCTGAGGCATCGTTGAGCATACCCGATGACGTCTTCCTTCATCCGGCCCTTCAGACGTTGTCAGATTCCATTGTAGAGCTCGTACTCATTGACAATGTAAGAGCCCCCGTTGTCGTGCGTGAACGCGACTGATAGGTATGAAACGCACAGGATATGGTTTCGTACAACCGTGAGCAGGCGACTGGCGATGAGAACCACAACCTCATCACTGTCGTGCGTCGCGAGCTCGGATGCAGCCTTAACGACGCGTTTGCTTGGGCAGCAAGCTACCACGCTGAGGTACAGGAGCTTTTTCACGCTGGCATGGAGAGTTTACCATCATGGGGGCCTCGGATGGACAACCAGGTGAGACAGTACATAGAAGGAATGGCGTATTGGGTGCGGGGCAGCCACGCATGGAGCTACGAGAGCCCGAGATATTTTGGTTCGAGAGGACCCGAGATACAAAAGACGCGGAAGGTTCCGCTCCTCGATAAAGTCGAGAAGCCGGGAACCATGGGGAAGGAACAGGACGTCATCGTGGATGTGATAGATCTTTAAACTGCTGTATTCAAAGAAGATATGGTATAAAAGCTAGAGACTAAACTCAAAGCGCACCTCCGATATGGATTATCATTTATGACAGTTTCACTGTAACGGTGTGTCGTGATGTTTCTTAGGAAGCTGGCCCCATTCAACGGAAATATGATGAGCGACCTTTAATGGCCCCAACATCTGCAACTATGACGATCACAATGTAAAAGGTAAGACAATAGAGCTTCATAATTTACGATGGGAGGGAAACGTTTTCCGGTTTATTGAGCAAACGACCCTCCATTCCACCGTCGACGAAGAGGACCTGCCCAGACACGTGCCCAGAGACAGCAGTCGACGAAAGCACGACAACCTGTGTCGCGATGTCCGCCGGCTTCGCGATTTTCTTGAGAGGGATCCTAAGGTCCCATGGTCATCGCATGAGCATAAGAAAGGCGAATAAAGGAGGGAAAAGGGTAATGGCTTACGTGGCGAGGGCAGAGTAAACGACATCAGGGTTCTTGAGGGCTTCGGTCACCTTGGCCGCATTCGTCCATCTGGTGCGACGTAGTTGACGCGTCCGCGAGGTGCGATCTTAACGATCTCATTCTTGAGCGACATTGTCAGGCCATACATCAAGCCTAACCACACACAACATGGCAAGCAGAATCACGTTAGCGCCATTGGAACTTGACATTGACAGAGGGAAGGGGAGGATAAAGCGCACCGCTCTTCGTAACAGCATAATCCGCGTTGCCGGCCTCGCCAAATTTGCCCGCTGTACTCCCAATCAACACAATCGCTGCCTTCTCCTGCTTCTCCTCTGACAAGATCCGCAAGCCCTTCAGGTACTCGCGACAGACGAGAAAGCTCGAAGTAAGGTTCTTGTTGATGATTCTCTCCCACTGGGAAAGCTCCATGTCCGCGACGGCGATGTACTGGTTGATCCCCACGGCGTGGTTGACGACGATAATCTGCGGGAAGCCAAAAGAGGATGCCTGCATTGACGCGAAGAGGGATTGAACGGCGGTCTCGGAAGAGAGGTCGGCTTGCAGGGCTTGCAGGTGGCTTGGGGCGTCGGGGGAGTCCGCGAGCGCGGAGAGGGTGGTCGCATTGGTGTTGTAGTGCGCGGTTACGTAGGCACCGAGAGATAGATACTGATATGTGAGATACAGACCTCAAAAGCAAAGGTTTATATACAGAGGTAGGTTTTGACCGTCTCGAGACCAATTCCGCCGCTGCCACCTAGGGACGATGTCAGACTCGATGTTCTTGTATGCTCTGCATTATCACCGCTCACCTGTGATGAGAACGTGTACATCTTGAAGTTTGAGATCCATCGCGATTATGGGCTGCCTGGGTTGTTGATGCCAGAGCATTTGTTCTTGAAAATCTTTATACATCGGTGATGACATATCTTGACTCGTTAGCTTCTGACTCGACACGGATCTACGCGAGGCTGCTGTCAGCAAACGGTCGATGTCGGCTTCCCTTGTTCATATTGTGGTTCCGCTGTCATAGCCAAGATTCTGCCTCCGTGGTCTGGGTCCCTCCCGTAGTCATCTTGCCGTCCGGAGAATTAGGTCCATTTGCCTTCACCAGCATGGTCATTTGCCCCTGATTGAAAACGCAGCGGGGTAGTTTTGTCTTCGTCGTCAAGCTTCTGGTATCAGCAATCCAAACATATCCGGGTTGTGGCTTATAGGGAAGATTCATGGAATCATGAATTTGTCTGCGAAGGGGGACGCGATAGAGACGCGCTCCGGGACTTTCCAGACCGCGCTTTCCCTCGCTTAGGGCAGGTCCATTCGCGTCCCAGCTTTCCCACCGACTCATCAGTCAGACATCGCGAGGCAAGTGCAAGGGCAAAGCAACGTCCAGATGGCAGACTCGCATTTGCTCATCGACAAGCACGTACAGTACATACAGAACCTTGGAAATGTGCGTTCTCCTGAAATGAATCCACTTCACCCTCCTCCGGGCTTACACTCATTTGCAGAGCAAAGATGACCTGTCCTATCATATGACCGCCCACCTTCGTATGAACGCCATCTACTGGGGCCTCACCGCCCTCTGCATCATGGGCCACAAGGAAGCACTCGACAGAGAGGAGATGATAGAATACGTTATGAGCTGCTGGGACGACGAAGCAGGTGCGCTCTCCGTCTTCCTATGCCAGACGCGATTCGTGATCATGAACCCGTTCAGTCGATAGGGGCTTTTGGCGCGCACCCGGACCACGATGCCCACATCCTCTCGACACTTAGTGCCATCCAGATCCTGGTCACTCACGATGCGCTCGACAGAATCGACGTCGATCGAGTCACAAAGTGTAAGCTTGCATTACCCTGATTCAATGCCTGACCGACGCGTTGACCATGACGACCACACTAGTCATCCTGTCCCTGCAACAGCCTTCCGGCGTGTTCGCGGGTGACATGTGGGGCGAGATCGACACACGGTTTTCTTATATCGCCGTAAACGCACTGTCCCTCCTTGGCCGCCTCTCCGAGCTGGACGTCGAGAAGACTGTTTCCTATATCCGTCAATGTCGGAACTACGATGGCGGGTTTGGAAATACGGCTGGGGCGGAAAGTCATTCTGGACAAGGTAAATCCTCGCGCATGCATGTAAAATTTCGCTCTTTGACTCAAGGCGTATGCTCAGTCTTCGTATGCGTGGCTGCGCTCGCCATTTTGGACAGACTAGACGAGATCGACCAGCCCTCGCTTTGCTGGTGGCTGTCCGAGCGACAGCTTCCCAACGGAGGCTTGAACGGTCGCCCCGAGAAGCTTGAAGACGTAGGTTTTTCTCTCCCTCACTTCGAATCAAGCCCGTTGATAGCATCGTCTGCACCTTAGGTCTGCTATAGCTTCTGGGTGCTATCTGCGTTATCGACGTTGGGAAAGCTTTCATGGATCGATTCCGACAAGCTAACAAAGTTCATTCTCTCTGCGCAAGTGAGTGTTACATCGATAGAACTCACTTAACATCGGCAAAACATCTCCTCAGGATACGGATAGAGGTGGCATAGCCGATCGCCCTGGAGACGAGCCCGACGTATTCCACATTCATTTTGGCATCGCTGGTATGCTCCAGCGAAATTTGTATCGTAAAGTTCACATCCTAATCGACACCTTTAGGCCTGTCTCTTCTCGGCTATCCTGGCTTGGTCGACCTTGATCCCGTCTACTGCATGCCTGCTCCCATAATCGAGAAGATGGGTCTACGTAAAGGTTGGAAGGCACTTCCGCGAAGAACCCTCGGAGTGTAATAAAGGACGTCTAGTAGTATATGATAAACCTAGGATCAGTTAAGATACAACACAGACCTATGCTCGCATTTTCAATATATCGATACGTTGTGGTTTGCGATGCGCACCCGCAACCGCACAGTATTGTCCTCGCGACCATTGCCCAGAGTTACGAGCCACTGTGTGTATAACAGCATGTCCCTCGCGATGTATGCTGCGAGAGCGTGGCCTTATAATTAGGTTCGGAACAATTGTGCGTGACATGTGAGTAGCGCAGCTAACATCGGCAAAGAGAAGTTATCCACTGTTCTGATGATACATTGTGTAGTAGGGATGACTGGTATATCTCTACCATGCAATTTTCGCAATAAACGACTGTAAAGAATTTTTCCTGCGTTAGCTTTCACTCAGGTTCACAACGATGATGACGGAACACACCTTTGGATAAGTCCGTACCACGAGCTTCCTTGCCTCGTCGAAGATCACAATGCCCAGCGCGAATGCGAATGGCAGACCCCAGAATATGCCGGGGATAGGCGCGGTAGCAAAAACATGCTGAAGACCTGGCCCGTAGAAGTTGACGATGGCAATCAAGATGGTGGTGATCATGCTCGGAATAATGACGAGGTTCTTGCGAGGGCCCCATAGAGGGTTAGACGTGAGAATCGAAACGCGACGGTTCCGTGCGGCCATAAGGCCGCCCCACTGCATAATGACGAGCGTCACGTAGCTTCAAGAACCGCAGTTAGCAAGGGAGAAATAAAAGACAATATTGTTGTGGAACCAGGTCACGTACTAGCAACACTCGCCGACTGAGGCAAAGTGTGTGAGTTGGCTGGTGCTGTAGCCTTGCCATCCACTAGTCCACTTGTTGTATACGAGAAAGACATTGTAAAAGCCGAGTCCGTGCTGTGACATGTAGAGGAACCACATGGCCATCGCGCACACCCATTGCATCAAGCCGGTCACCTTTGAGCGAAAATAATTAAAGGATGATGCGAAAAGGAGGGTTGTGCTTTAACTTACAAAGTAAACCTGAAAGAAGACCTTCCAGTCCGCCAGGCGATCAGTGCGCACATTGCGGGGTTTGCGGAGCATGAGGTCTTTCATACCATCAGACAAACACTATCAGAAAGCCATCATAAATTGACCCTTACCAGCCTCGGCTTTCTCGTACATCAGGGACACCGCCATAACCACGTCGTTTGTGATACAGAAGCATACTTGGAGATACGAGCTCATGGGGATCTGCATCCCAAGAAAGACGTTCGAGAAAGTCGCCATGAACTCCCCGTAACTTCCAGCCTATGAAACGTCAGATACTTTCGCCAAGCACGAGAAACAAGTGCGAAACGCACTGTCATCAAGAACAATGTGACTTTGCGAAGATTATCAAAGACCAAGCGACCCATCTCAATTGCAACGGGGATGGAAGCAAAGTCGTTGTTGAGCAGAACAAGAGCCGCTATGAAACCGATCAGTAATGCTCATTAGATGCGTAATGTGCATGTACGCACCTGCTTCCTTTGCAACATCGCTTCCACTTCCCATCGCCACGCCGATATCAGCAGCCTTGAGCGCTGGCGCGTCGTTGACACCATCACCGGTGACAGCGACCGTATTGTCCCCGCGGGCCTTGATTTCCTCGACGATGCGCATCTTCTGGTCTGGCGTCATACGCGCAAACACAATCTCGGTGTACAAAGTTGTGATGACGTCCCAGTCCGAGGAGCTGAGACATGAGACTTCATCGCCGGTGAGAACGAGTGCACGGATAGGATCGTCGGGGTCGGGCTTGCGCAATGACTTGTTACGGGGGGCGAAGTGACCTTCTTTATGGAGTAGCTGAACGTCTGCGAGGCTGTCGATGTGCTTCTGGCTGACAATACCAACCTTTGAGCATACTAATGAGCGAACCGACGTCATTGCGAAACGTTTGGAGTTTACCTGACGTGCGATAGAAACTGCGGTAAGCTTGAAGTCACCGGTGACCATGAAGACCCTGACTCCAGCTCTGCGGATCACCTCGATAGCAGCAGGCACATCCGAGCGGGGCGGGTCGCGAATCCCAACAAGGCCAATGAGAGTGAGCTCCTGGAGTTCGGCGTACATGAGCTCTTCCATCTCGTTGGCATTGAGGCCAGGCTTGAGTCCGTCTAGGGAACGACGGCAGCTGCGAAATCCCCAATCAGAAAGGTCCAAATTACGAACAAGGCTACGGACACGTACAGAGCAAGCACACGCTGTCCCTCGCTCGACCACTCACTCTGGAGCGTCGTTAGCTCCTGCCGCGCACGAGCGTCCAGCGGTGTCTCGCTTCCATCAGCCAGCATAACCCTCGAGCACGCCCCGAAGAGCACATCCGGCCCACCCTTGACGAGCATAAACGTCTCGTCTGAGCCCTTCTTCCTGACGACCGTCATAGCCCATTTGTTCTTCGAGTTGAACGGGATCTCGAAGATCTTCTCCAATTTGCTAAGGAGCTGAGCCGAGTCGATGCCGAGGTCCGGGATAACGAGCCCGTCGGAGAAGCGGAGGAGCGCCGTGTCGGTCGGGTCTCCTTTGACGGCACGGTCTGCGATGGGAACGTCGGCTTTCGCGGATCCGTCGAACTTGGCTGCGTTACAGAGGCGGGCTACCTGGTGGAGCGCGGTCAGACCGGCTAGGGGCTTGTTGTTGGCAGCGATGGCGTTATCGAGGTCCTCATTGACGTTAACGGAGCGGTCGATGAACGCAAAGTTCTCAACAAACTAAAAGCAAAGTGAGTGGGTACATGAAGAGCAGACGAAGAGGGAGAGATCTCACCATTTTCCCGGCGGTCAGAGTACCGGTCTTGTCTGAACAGAGAACGGACATGCAACCAAGGGTTTCAATGGTGGCCAGGTTCTTGACAAGGACGTGGCGCTTGCTCATGCGACGTGCGATGACCGTGAGCGAGAGGGCAACGGAGACAGGGAGACCCTGAGAGACAGAAATCGTCAGTATTTTCAGTATATGAAGTGAAACACAAAGTATACCTGAGGGACGAAAGCAGTCAAACAGCCTATCGAGTTCACGATGGCCATGCTCGCAGTCGCGAACCCAGGATACGATGTGCGCAGCCAGACACCCCAAAGCAGAAGGGAGAGGGAGAAGAACGACAGCGCAACAACCGAGATGATCTTCGTGAAGTACCACACCTCCCGCTGGATCGTCGTCAGCTTGAACTTGGTGTCCCCCGACATGGACACGAGACGGCCCATCACCGTGCGGTCACCAGTGGCGAACGCAACGCCGGTGCAGCTGCCCTGCACGACGAACGTCGACGTCAGCGCGAGATTGCGCGTCTCGAGCGCGTTGTCTGACGTTGCGGTGAGTGAGCCGGGGATCATGTCACTGCGGTGGACACTGTTAGGCTCAAGCGGCGGCTGCAGAGATTGGTTATACACCTCTCGCCTGTCAGAAGGGACCGGTCGAAGCGCAGGTCTGAAGAGGCCTGGACGATGCGGAGGTCCGCGGGGACTCGGTCTCCGGAAGCGAGAGCGATAAGATCACCGACGACGATGTCGGCAGCGGGTATCATTTGTTGCTTGCCCTCGCGGATGACTGCAGCGTCCTCGGCGATCAGGGACTTGATAGACTTCATGATCCTCGACGCATTCCAGTCAACGAGGGCATAGAAGAGCGCGGACACGGCGATGACGATTATCTACCAGAGGCGGTGAAACCCAGAAACGTTGTTTGTGGTACCAAAACAACTTACCAAAAGCACCGCAACGCCTAGGTTGAAGGCAGCGGGTGTAGAGCCCCCGAGCGGCTCATAAGACAGCTATAAACAGTACTTCAGCCTTATCCCTGCGCATACATCGAGAGACTTACGAGAACGAGAATGAAAGCAAGCCACATCAGGAAGTTAAAGCCGCCAAAAACGTAGTTGAGACCCTTCTTCCAGTACTGGGTCGGTGGCGGGCTGATGAGGTTCTTCCCCTGAGCCGTGAGCTTGCGCTCGACAGAGGCTGGCTCGAGTCCCATATCTGGGTGGGTAGAGTATCGGGTGAAGACATCTTCGGTGCTGATGAGGTGGACGTCGATGTTTGCGATAGCGTCGACAGGATCGGCCGAAGTTGTCTTCTGTGGGAGATCACGCTCGTCCACACGAATGGAGAGTGTTCGATAACTTGATTGAGATAGATAATATTAGCGTGAAATGATAGAGAGAAAAGGAGGGAGACGTACTCTATGGGAATGCCATGACTTGAGCGGGCTCCAATCGTGCTGGTACGCTGCATAGGAAGAGGAGATCGGGATGGGAAGAACAGTCGAAGAGACATCCATAGGTAGTTGAGCAGCCGTTTTTATCTGCGCCTACCATAAGCCCAAGACGGAGCATAGCACTGAAATGAGCGTTTTCTGCCATTGCTGCGGGTGGCTCAGAGGGGTGCGCGACTTCTGCCATTCAGGACCGCCCAATCAAGACAGATGTTCCTGCGAGACGGTAACATCGGAATGTCGGGTGAGCGGGCCCGAGCTGATGGGAGTTGATGGCAACATTGCGAGGGTTCGCTTTACTTGTCGGTGGAGGTGGCGTTGAGATTAGGGCGTCACTGGCAAAATCAGCGCACTTGTCAGCGGTGAGGTGAAAAATGCAGAAAGAAAGTTGGTTTCCGAAACAGCGATGGACAGGCTGTTCAAGAATTTGAAAGTTTCTTCGAAACACACGACTAGGATTTATCGCAAAGCACGAAGGTCCAGTGGATCGAGGTTAGAACAAGTGGGTGTGCTTTCATACACCAAAGTCTTCAAAAAGCAAAGGGCAAAGCTGACGAGGTGCACAGCTTTACTCACAAGAGTCGAATGGGGAAATCCGGGCCGTTCTTGCGACCATACCCAGCTGTCGAGATGTTGTCATGACAGTGTAATGGGAACGTACGCCAGCGGTCCTTGTCTCCTTCCTTTATTGCGCTTCCTCAAGCACCTATCGCACAAGACCAACATCGCTTCGGCACTGCTTATGTTTTACAAGCTGAACGGGCTCATTCTATACAGCTCAAGGTCAGGCTACAACCGCGCTTCACTACTATCGTTTAGGCGGGGAACCATGATGCATGGCTTTTCTAGCCAAACAATCGTTAAGGTTGTGGAGAAGGTCATCGCGCTGGCGAGACTATATCTCGTTCCACGCTCTAAAGCTTAACACTTTGTCTATTTGCCTTTAGCGTGATGCTTTGACCCGACGCGATCCCAGACCAAGCAAACGCATAGGTAGCGAAAGAGACGCTTGGACTGGTGTTACCCATGAGATGCTCGGCGATCGCTTAAAAAACGCAGCACTTGGTTGTTTTGTTATTCACATTTGGAACGACTCCCCTGCTTAATCCAGCATCCGCACATCGCTTTCTTTCACATTGTACCGTACTTAAATACCCTAATCGACACCGACACTCCTGCTCTCAATTTCCCATCCCGCTGATGAGCCCCACCTTCGTTCCCATCCTGACTCTGTGCTCAGGCCCACCGGCATTCTCCAGTGCGACCTCGTTCAAAGAAGACATCTCTGTTTATCGTGCTGTACCATGTTATGATGGACCCCTTCCTCCGGAACGTACCATCGATATGCAGGCGATTTGCGACTTAGATCCTGACCATAAAAGGCTGTTCACGAGCTCCAATAACATCGAGGAAATTAGGCTCGCCCTCAAGCTTCGTACTGCTCGCAGGCAATATGACAGGTAAGTCCAACTTTGTTGTACTCCACGATTCGTTTTTCTGATTGTCGATGAAAGCTGGTTGTACAAGAGCAAGCGCTGTAATCACGCTCAACTCGAGTCCGCGGAGGTGCCACGGGAGATCTGGCTTTACCATGGCGAGCCTTTGAAGGTAATAAATGAGGCGAGTAGCTCTGTTGTCACCCCTGCTGAAACATCATCCGTTATTACTACTTCGACGTCTACTCCGAGACCACTCGAGTTCGGTGTCTCTAACCCTCAGCGGCTGAAGAGGCATAGACGCTCTCCGTCTACTGTAGCCTCGAGATTTCCTGGTATCGAGCAACTCTTATTTCCGACAAGCAAAAATCCCAGAGACCTATCACATTGCAACACATCAGATGCCCAGTCTCCCGTCTTCACGTCTCAATCGTCCACCCATTCTTTACCCCTAGAAGCACCTTTCAACCCAAGCACCTCCGAGACGACAACCTCCCGTCGCCCTATAGGGCCTACACACATTCTCGTACTCTTCGTCGCCGGCTCTCATGACTCTCGCCCTGCTCTTCTACAGCCAATAAACGACACGCTCTTCGCTCTTCACGTCCCAAATCTCACGGACCTCTCTGTCCTCCCGAAATACCGGCCTGACACGCTCCCGTTCGTTTTCATGCGCGTTTGCAAGCTCGACGGGTGGCACGACCTGCTTGTGTGGATTCACACGCGGAACCAGGCCAAGCTCATGCGCTCCGTCCTACCCGAGTGGATCCGTGACCTTCTTCATCCGCTTCCGCGTGACGCAGTTGTCGACGATGGATGCACCAAGAGGCGCAAGCGTAAACGTGCGATTCTCGATGCCGCTACTGGGTCTCTTCCGAAACTCAATATTCCACAGAGCGTCTTAAAGCTAAGCGGGACTTGTTCTCGAAGAATATTACGAAAGAAACTGATTCACGTCAACCCTTCAGGCTCCGTCAGAACCGTTGATACGATTGCTCGAGAGATTTCTGAGCTAGACGAGATGCACGAGGGGTCTACCTCCAGCCTCATTAATACTATGAAGCGCCTAAATACGCTCAAAGATAACTTAGAGGAGATAGGATATTATGGGCGAGAGCTTTGGGTCGAGGTTGGGACTGCCTGGGGAATCCTACTTAAGGCTTTGACATACCAAGCTGAGATGAAAAGCAATGGTTTATTCGAGCAATGATTCCTACATTATTTCGCATTAACCAGAATTTTTTAAATTATCAGAATGCTCCCCACTTTTGAGAAAGTAAACCGACAGTTCAACGTTCAGCTACCAGAAATGTGATCCATTTCTAAAAAAAAACAGTTCGAGCACAACATCGCATTCCACAGAAGAATACTAGCCCTTACCAACGAATATCCATTCAAAGCACTCTGCACAGAACTTGGCGGGTTTGTCTGTCTCGTATTTTTGATTGTGTACGTCACAATCGTCAATGGAAACAAATTCGTCTTTCTGGTTTGAGGATGCATATGGAACTGGACCACGACGCAGAGGTTTATAGTGGTGAATGCGCTTTCGGTGCCTTGTAAGTGCAGACGGGTCTGCCGTACAATGATTGCAGTCTGGACAATTGAGCCGCTTTTCTCTCAAGCTGAGGTAAAGGAACAAAGGAGGTATGAATCAAACAGAGAAAGCAGGGTCTTGTTAGAGAACTCACTGAATTGCTGCATGATGTATATCAGTGGCAGAGCGTTGATCAGAGCCGAACGTACACCTCGGATGAAAACACGGGAAGCGCTTTGAAGTGGGACCCATCTTGATTCCTCGACTCATGGAACCTTCGATTTATACTCTCAGGACCCTGGGGAAAGCTTCACTCTTGTCTTGGAGTGCCCACTCCTAACGTCCATTAATCTAACAGGACAAGTGCATGTGGTGGTTTTAATCGTTACGATGTTGCAGTGGTACCGCGTCTCTGAGAATCTTCATAAGTCATCAAGCTGATAACGTTGTCTTAAACTAATCTCGCGACTTTTAACGGTGATCCCGTCTACCAGAAATAGCCTCGGAGGTTATCAAGTTCATTTCGTCCCCTGATAGTTTTAGTAAACTATCCATGAGTTGTGGGGTCGGTCCCGTTGGCTGGTATTAACTAGTAGAAAGATGCAAAGCTCATTGTCCGCGCTTCACATGGTCCTCCAGCAATCAAAGCTCGCGCACAGAGAACTCGTGAGACTATTTCGGGCCCGACTACTTCGGTGGTTAATATTAATCCCTAGCTACTCGCCTTATATTAAACTGAGAATCCAATGAGAATCTACGCACAACTACCGGTGACACGCCTAAGATACGCCGCGCCGCACTCTGGTTCACGTCCGATCATAGCGATGTCGCGACATGCAATAACAAGCTCAACGCATGTCGGTCATGCATACAAACTATTTCCACTGGGGGATGCCGCAATGCGACCTAGAAAGTTGAATTCAACGATCCCGAAGAAATGCTAGGACACGGGCGCTGACTGGACACAACGTTAGTCATCACAATTCATACGCTATAATATCATGGAGCATCTTTTTGAAGTATCAAGTTATAAGGTCGTACCAGTCCGTAAACCATTCGAGCTCGCAAGGGGTTTTGAGTAGAGTATAATATGGAGACAATCACTAGGGCACGGCAACGAACAAATTCGTCGTTCGGAAGTCGGAGACTCATCCGAAGGCGCAGTTTTGCCCCCGAGATTCCCAGGTTACTGGGGAATTCGAATCGTCCGGCGCGCGCGCGAACGGCCCATCCGGCATGCACAGCCACAACCAAAATCAGCCACTTGTGACTGCCGCGCGTCTGCGCGTCAGCCACTCCGTAATAGTCGATTAGCCCCTGTACCGTATACATACCAATGAAATCAACCTACCTTCGTATCTCTCTGCCGTCGCACCACATCTCCCACATCTCCCATATCCTAATCTATGTCCGACAATGTATTCAAGCTCTATCGGCGGCTCACGAACTTTCCCGAGCTCGAGACCCTGACCATGGACCAGCTTCAAGACTTCATAGAGGCCTGCTGCGAGGTTCGACATGCCTTCATGATTGTCCAACGATCTTCGCAGAGCAGCTGCTCGCCGCCTTCATACATTCCCGAAGCATTCATTGGATGGCTCGCCGATGTCACTTACCTCGATTTATCACAGCTGGAGGCGCTCTGGAAAGCCCTCAAGGAGCATATCTGGACCAAGCCACGCATGAAGGAACGTTCTCAGCGATTGGTGGCGATATTTGAAAGGACAGGATGGAAGAGGGGAATTCGTGCGTCGCCTATGCTCACAGCTTTCTATGATCCTGACCTATTCACCCCAGCGCTAATCTCGCTACACCCACCAAATACAACATGTACGAACTCCCTCTGCGACAACAACAATGAGCTTCGCCGGCAAGACATACACGAAGCGGTCGTGTTCACCCTTGAACACGGCGTCCAGATGGCCAGTCTCGTTAACTTTACCTGCGGCAGTGTGTAGCCCATTTATCTGACGATGGGTTGTCATTCCTGATTGTCATTTCAGCCTGCCGACATCAATATCATCATAACTATTACATTCACGACGACAATCTCACTCGCACATTCTACGACGAGATTCCCGAGTACATCGAAGTCGACAATCATCACTACATCGACATCCGACTCATGGAGATGTTCACTACTGCAATGCGCGTATCTTCGTACGTCTTTCATTTCCACAGACATTTATTCAAGTTGTCTAGCACTAACAGTGCCACACTACACGACAGAACCTCTGCGACTGCATGCGCAAAGATATACGAGGACGCTTTTGCGCGGAACGGCCCCAGCTTTGACAGCTACTACAGCTACTCCCGCCTCGATCCCACCGACTTCGCTCTGCGCTTTAGTCCTCATATGACCCCAGAGCAGATCTGGGTAGGATTCACTGTCCTAGCGCTCTTACGCGACCGAAAGGCGATTGGAGAGGAGTACCCTCTCTCGGTACCTCACCAAGGTAGCCATCGGGACCGCTATGAAACGGCCATGCGAGAGCGGAATGAACGCATCGTGCGGCTTGGCCAGCCCGAGCTTCGTCACTACTGTGACGGTTGTATGCGCGTTTGGGAGGTGGAGACGGATGAGGGTATAAAACGCTGTGAGTAGCTTTCTATTCATCTCACTGCTTCAGATTGCTGATACCTTGCACAGGGAAGTGTCAAGTGGCCGTCTCTGACGGGATTACGATCGGACATTTTGTCTGTAAGATTTTCCGATGTCTCAACGCGCTCGACAAGAAGACAAATCACTTCTGCGACGACCACAAATACCTCGCCAACATATGCGCTGTCGAAAACTGCGAGCGCTCGATTTCTCCAACTGAGCGCACGAAGAGCACTTGCGATGACAAATCACACCGGGATATGGAGATCAAGAGTCGGAACCGCGGGCAGTCCATGTTCGCACTCAAGGAACGGCTCGCTCGCTGCAAGACTTCGCGCCCGGAAGCATCCATCGATGAGGAGACCGACACAGCACTGCTCGACGACAGCGAAGAGTGGTACGAGATCGATTCGGCCGGAAACATTCTTCAACACGTCAACAGTCGCCCTGTAAATGTTGGCGTCGCTGACGACGTCTCCGAGACCGTCACCACCGTCACCAGCATCGCAGATGCTTCATCCACCAGCACCAGCACTCAAGGCCAGACAAAGCCTGTGCATCAACCGAAGCAGCCAAAACGCTTCAAGATCCTCCTCGCCCGCCGTCGCTCCTGCTGCGAGGTCACTATCGTTTGGCCATGTGGAGTCATACTGGCTCGTGCAACCCTTGTCGGCGCCGAAGCCGTCTCTAATGTTCTGGTATGTTATTTCCCTTAGTTTCACGCTATCTAATGATACATGGCTTAATAGGACTTTGTTAAGCGGGTCTTCACGATCCCCGGTGCTCAGAAACCTGAGCACTGGATATACGACACTGCATGCGACGCCAAACGTCAGGCACAGAATGACCCGTGGTGGGATGATGTTGGCATGTGCGTCGACCCCTTCCACCTCCTCAACAAGCACAAGGAGACGCATGAGTATTGCCAGCTACATTGCAACCCGGCCGACTACCCGGAGCTCCTCTCAGACGACGGCAAGTCCTGGTGGTTCAACAGCAGCATCGCTGAGCAAGTCAACGTCTGGCTTGGGTCGTACCATGCTATGCTTCGGGAGATGACACCAACTCGGTATGACTTTTTCCTTGATGAGATGGTTCGCCTTCGAAATGCCGAGGTAGTTTCGTTGCTCAAGGCCAAGGGTAAATGTCCAAACCTCTCTCCTCTCGAAGATTAGAACGTCTGCATCTTTTCTCTATTTTTACCTTGTGTTTTATGTGTAGCTAGAGAATATTGATATGTTCCCCACTGTGTTTGACTGATAATGAACGGTTCATTAATTACAAAACTAAGTTATGTACATGAGGAGAAGGGGAATAGTGATGTAAGTACGATACATGAATAAGATGTCTACGTCTGCTATGAGAAATGAGAGGAGTCCATGTCCATGTCCTCTGCAGGTGGAAACAACGGCGACAGCTGCGACAACGGGTAATCGACGTCCCAGGTTAGCTGAATCTCAACCGGCTCGGTTTTGATGACCACAGGGGGGTCTGATGGATCAGGGATCAACGATCCGCTGGCATACGGCGCTGAGGCAAGGGCACGGTCGATGGCCTCAGCCAGTCGAGAGCTAGTCGTCTTCTTCCCGCGTTTTCTGAGCTTGACCTCCCCACTGACCTCTGTCCATTTGCCCTCGTCGGTGTTCCTAGCTGTGTAGAGCACGTCCCGAGGGTGAGGGTCGAGACCGCCAAACCTCTCCCAGCGCTTACACGCGTCGTATGCTGTGGACTTATGATAATCCTCACCGAAGACGTGCTCGAAGGCCTTCGCGACGCCCATGTGGCTCAGTGAGGGATTGCGCATCATGAGCAATCCCTCGATGACATCGCAGGCATGCCAGTCACGAGGCCACAGAAGTGGGCCGTCAGGATCAACAGCCGCAAGTGCAGGTCGTATAGGCGATGGTGGTAGTGGAGATGGCGGGGGAACAACTGTCTTGAGGGAGATAGGTAGCATGGGACGGGGGAAGCCAGCCAGAGATCTGGCCTTTGCTAGCAGAAGTGGCCGCTTGGAGGGTGTAGCTGTCGCTGTCGACGAGGGAGAAGGTGGATCATGGTTGATCCTGCGCCGTTTTGACTCGGGCCTGTCGCATTTGAACGGTGGGTCAGGCGAGAACGGCGGAGGTGACGAAGAGGAGCCAGATAACGAGGGCGAAGGCGGCGCACACTTGCGCATCAACACGACTGACTGGTCGTTGAGAAGGTGCGCCGGACGCTGCACCTGCGAGCTAGTGAACTCGTGGAGACGGGGGCAGTCCACATGCTCGATGTCGGCGAGCTTGAAGACTAGCGTGTCCCGGTCACGGACTGGGTAGCTGGTGTTGACGTCCCAAGATGCCCATGCCCTAAGCTCGCGGTCCCACTTGTCGACGCAGGTGTCGTTGTCGAGAAACCCTGCACGCAGCGGGAGTGCCTGTGCAAGGCCTATCAATGAGAAGTGGGGGAATGTTGGCAGGTGAGCTCGTCCGTGTAGATAGAATAGACGAGGTTCTGCTTTGGGCTAAGGCGAGATGAGCATAATAACATGAATACTGGAATACTGCACGTACCGTCTTATAAATGAACACTCGAAGCGTCTTGCCGTCATCCTTGATGCGAGCCTTCCGCTCGTGCTCGCCGCTGATGTTGCGAGCCATTGCATCCTTGTCAACTGCATACTGGCCATTCCACGCTGCCTTGAGGTGCCTTGTATGGCGTGTGCCTGGTAGTGGGGTCAGTGGGTTGGAGTTTGGAACAGCTGACGAAGATGCAATAGCAGACGGGGGCGGGGGAGCAGTTGACGAAGTCAGGAGCACTATGTCTGGGTTGACGGCCTTCTGCTTGCCTTTGTCGGAGGCTACATGCTGCGAGGAGTCGACGGTAAGAAGTGTGGGGTTGATTAGGTCGTTAGAGACGAGGGCCGGACCCAGACTGATGTGCTTGCGACAATCCGGGTGACGAGCCGTGTTGCACCCTCCTTCAGCACCGCAGTGCTTCGCGCACATATTCCGCTCGCATGTATACGCGGCGGTTGGTTGGCGAGAGCTGCATCCGGCCGGATGCGTGCACAGCACCTTGCTGCTGAGCTTCGGCACGAAGTCAGACGCGCGGGCGCGCCGGGACTTCTTTATGGGAGGAGCAGTTGCTGTCGGAAGAGGTGGCATCGACGAGGGGGGAGTAGCCAACATGGGAAAGGGAGCCAACGTCGCCGAGGTAGACAGCCGGAGAGTATCATCCGGCAGAGGAACAGCTGACTGAGATGGACTGGGAGATGTCGCCAAAGCTTGTGTGCTGGAGGAGGGAGAGGGAAACGGGGAGGTGGTCTTGGGGTTGGTAATAGCGCGTGCAAGTACCTCGGCAGGAGGAGCTACACCTGAAGGATAGTGACAAGTCGCCCGCGGTATCTTGTGCGGCTTATAGCACTAAGAGAACCCGAGGATATCAGCTTAGATCTTGTAGTACAAGGTTTGATATTTGAATGAAAACATACCTTGATCCCGACTCGACCTTCGTATTCACCATCAACGCAAAGAAAGGGCTTGAGGGGAGTTTGAACGGTGCAGAACGGACAGAGGAGGTCGCCCGTCGCCAGGACGTGCGGGGCCCACATGAATGCAGAAATGGGTAAGTAGTGATCGTTGAGCGAGACCACAGGTCTCGCGAGTAAAGGATGTGGGCGAAAGGAGAGAATGAACACACTCCCCTCGCGCCAGATGTCTTATCTGACCCCAGGTGAATGCCTTGGGGCGACGTATAAGGTATTGGCATACGAAGTGGCGACGCGCGCGCGTCACGTTAATTGATTTCGTGGGGATCTAGCCTGGTCTCACTTTTTTTCTCACGCTCAGCCACAACAGAGGCGCCGGACGCACCGGACGCGCCAAACTGACCGGATGCCGGAAAATCCGTGTTCCCCTCCATCCTCGAGATTCCCACTGTCATTACAAGGATTTTGACCGTTTGGCCTGTCCTGCCCCACGACGACGGTAACGAGCTCCTCAGCGACCACGATGGAAAACGCTCTGCCATCGTCTTCGGTGTCCTCCACTCTTGAGCCCGTGCTCGCCCTTCTCGCATACTCCCTCACCAAACTCGAAACAGGCTTCTACCAGATTCCTGGCTCGGCCGTCGTCGCCCGCTATGTCAAGTCTTCCCACCAGAACGACCCCGGGCGCACCATCCTCGAGGTCATTCTCATCATCTTCGCCATACGTACCCTTCTGCAGTCGCGCACGCGCTCTGACCGCGGTGGCAAACACTACATCCAATTTGGTGATAAGGTTAGTCTCCGTCACTCGGCACGTCGTCAACAACATCTTACCCGCGCAACCGAACTTCGCATTGCTGCGACTGCTCGTTTGACCTCTTCTCGTCGTGTAGGAAGTAGACGAGCTTGTCGATGAATGGACGCCCGAGCCCCTCGCACAACCCCTCACCGAGTGGGAGCAGAAGGAGCTCGCCAGCATCCCTGTTATCGCTGGTCCCAACGGCCCCAAGCCCAAGCTTGTTTCAACCGGCAAGACCGTCACTAACCTGGCCAGCTACAACTTCACCGGTCTCGCGGGCAACGAACACATCAAGGAGCGCGCTGTCGACACGCTGCGCAAGTACGGCTTGGGCAGCTGCGGACCGCCCGGTTTTTACGGTACCATTGGTGCGTCCCCTGTTCTATTCCCTTTTTGTTCTCTTTCGAGTATGAGTTTTGCTGACAAACCCCAGACGTGCATATGGACCTGGAGAAAGACATCGCCGAGTTCCTGGGCGCCGAGGCCGCCATCCTCTACTCGCAGGGCTACTCAACCGTCTCCTCCGTCATCCCCGCCTTCTGCAAGCGTGGTGACATCATCGTCGCCGACCGCGGCGTCAACTATGCTATCCAGAAGGGCATCCAGCTCTCGCGCTCGACTGTCCGCTGGTTCGACCACAATGACCTTCGCTCGCTCGAGGACGCACTCCAGGCTGTCGAGCGCGACCGCAAGAAGCGCAAGGGTCCATTGACGCGTCGGTTCATTATCACTGAGGGTATTTTCGAGAGGGATGGCGAAATGGTGGACCTGCCTAAGATTGTGAGTTCGCACTCTTCATGTATGCATGCCAAAGCTTAGCAGACCTTTTTCGTAGATTGAGCTGAAGAACAAGTACAAATACCGCCTTATTCTTGACGAGAGTATTTCCTTCGGTACTGTTGGTCGCACTGGTCGTGGTTTAACCGAACTCTACAACGTCCCGGTACGTTCTTGAACATATGTGACCTACATGGCCATTGACTATATGTGGCTTTAGGCCTCTCAAATCGACATGCTTGTTGGTTCTGTCGCAAACGGTCTCTGCTCCTCGGGTGGCTTCTGCGCAGGCTCTACCATCGTTGTCGAACATCAGGTATACTTCATCTTCAATGTGGCATGAATATTTGTTCACTTACATCACTTATCCAGCGCATTAATGGCACGTCCTTCGTTTTCTCCGCCTCGATGCCCGCTCTACTCGCAGTGTCCGGTTCGGAAGCCATTACTTACCTCCGGAACACTCCCTCGACGCTCTCCGCCCTCCAAGAGAACATTCGCGCCCTCCGTGCCGTGCTTGAGAAGACCGAAGGCATCGCCATCCTCGGGCACCGCGCCTCGCCTATCGTGCACTTCTCGCTGCGCTCTGTCGCACCGGCTTCGTTGTCTCCCGCGAGTGCAGCCACGCCCGCGGGCAAGGAGAGCTTTGATGTAGACGGGGAGGAGCGGATCTTGCAGGAGATCGTGGAGGATGCGCTCGCGAACGGGGTCATGCTCACGAGGGCCAAGTACCTTCGCAAGCAGGAGATGTTTGAGCCGCGCCCGACGATTCGGATCGCCATGACGAGTGCACTTACGCGCAAGGAGGTTGAGAAGGCCGCTGGCGTTGTCAAGGCGAGCATTGCGCGTGTGCTGAGCCGGCGGCGGTAGGTGCTTTGGACCTTGTCACTATTTGCTTTCATAGACTCGATGCTTAGGAGGATGTGTGGATTATACCGTATCTAACTCATAGAGGACTCTTGCTAATGGTATAACTTCAACGGACTCGTTTACCGCTACAGCCGCGTATTTTAGGGGGTAAATCTCCATAAATGAACATTCGCCCCTCCAAGTTAATTAACCTCCACGCGTGTCCGTTAAAAACGCGCTTTGTCTTGCACGTTTTTGAAGCACTTCCTCCAACATGCCTATGACAGCATCTCAAGAGGCGGCGGCAATGGAGGAGATGAGAGCAAGGATTCCTCCTGAGTTTTGGTCAGTCGGCTCGCCCTGCCTCATAACCTGCTGTTGCGCAATAGAAGATCCTCTCGTTCCGAAATCGCTGACTCTCGATGTCATTCGACAGGGGCCTCAAGCCCAAGTATGATGCACACGCCAACTTGGCAGGCCCGCCAAAGGCAAAGGAAGGCATCCGGGACCAGGTCAAAGTCCGCCTGGCACTCGCCCAGACGGGTACGATGATGGCCAAAATTGGGACGCTCATGGGCCGCGAGGAGTTCAAGTCGGCGCCGCTGCAGGATCCGCCGCTGAAGGATGGCATGGTGGCGACGATCAACAGGATTAAGGAGGTCTTGTTGAAGCATGGGGCGGTGGCTACTGCTGACCTCGCTGGAGTGCGTCCTCTTTCCCTGTTTTCTCTCTCCCCAGCCATCGCTGGGCGTATGATGTGCATGTATCTTATCAAGCGCTGGTGCCCATACACGCGTTGTGCGTGTGTGTATACGTACTGCAGCGCTAATTATATACACCCACCAGATGCCCTCGCGCTTCAGACGCGTGCGCCACCTCCTCCGCGTATACTACGACGCGAAGCTCACGAGGCGGCGGAGCGCCGAGTTCATGTACTGCGACATGCAGGACATCGCCGACGTCGGCCTCGCGCTGCACGAGGTCGGTGTCTACCTCCAGCTCAGCGCCCCGCGCTTCCGCGCGCTCCTCTCCGCCGCGCCGGAGATGGAGGCGTTCATCCTCGACGACCCGATCGACCTCGGCCGGTGGCGGCTCGAGGCCGCGCGCGCGCTGCAGGCGGTTGCGCGGGACGAGGAGGCGGACGACGACGATCGCGGGCGCGCGATGGAGCTTGAGGATAGAAGCGGGCAGGACTGCGCGGCGTATCAGCTTGCGTTCTTCCTTGGCGACGCGCTCGTTGCGTTCTTGCTGCAGCCGGCGAACACGGTGCAGGAGAAGGAGAGACAGGAAAGGGCGATGAGGAGGCTTGTGGAGATGAGCACGAAGCCGACGTTCAGGGACGCGTTTGGGGATCCGCTGACGGACGCGATGAGGCCTGTGTATTGGACGCCGAGGTTGCTGTTGAACTTTGTGCAGGTGGGTGGGATGCCTGCACTGATTGGCGACTGGGTGAGCTTCGATGTTCGTATCAAAGGAAAGGATATACTGAGACGTGTGCATGTATAGGCGGAAAGTACGTGCAAAGATGGTGTATGCAAGACTGCCGCGGAGAGCCTACCCGCCAAGGCATGGGACAACCAGACGCCCGAGTCTCTCGAGACTGTAATGCGCTACTTTGTCAAGAAGTTGGAGATGGACGGCCCCGAATTTGCTGTGAGTTTTCCCTATCCACCTCGCCGTCTTCTTCTTAAGCCATGTACTTCACACAACACAGACAACGCCCATCTTCGCCAAGATGATGCACGCCATCTACACGCGATACGGCCTCGCCCCGTTCGCAGCGGGCGCCAAACTGGACAATCACGAGATCATCTTCTACTTCCTGCACCGGCGCGTCTCCAAAAAGCCCAAGTCCTACACCACCGTCGAGGACTGGGTCGCACTGCTTCGCAAGTACGAGAACGTACCAGAGGCAACACGTCGTCGGCACGGGTGGATGATTCTCTCCGTCTCAGGGCGGTGGGACTGCCTCGACCTGTACGGGTGCGCGTTCGAGGCATGTCCTGAGAAGAGCGCGATGCAGAAGCTTAGGGCGAAGAGGGTCAGAGGGCGGAGGGACCCCGTGGTCGAGGAGAGGCTGTTCAAGTGGGGTGGAGCGAGTAAGGCGTGTTCAAGGTGCGTTTGTTTGTTTCCTTGGTAATTGGTTGTTTGAGGGACTGACGCCACGATGTGACTGGCGCCGGTAAATACAGATGCAGGTCTGTGTCGTACTGCAGCGTCGCCTGCCAAAAAGCACATTGGAAAGAACACAGGCCTAAATGTGATGTCGAAGCTGTCAAGGGGAAGAAAGAAGACATTGACATCTAGGAGGTGACTAAACGGTCGACTGAATACCACGATCCCGTTGAAGAGCTGGTGGGCCTTGGATAGACCTTGAGATATTTACTTTCATTTACTGTATCTTACTTTTTTGCTTACTGTATAACTCTAGCCTATCGGATGTCTTCGCCTATATCGTGCCTGACCCCGTACTTCAATATGGATCCCGCCTAGTAGCTGGTCAACCGATTGGACTCATTGAGACCTTTATGGTTGATATTGTAAGCGCTTGGCATGCAAATGCCCCGATGGTTGCTTGAATTTCGCTTTTCGTATTGCCACCAGTCTCTTCTCTAGCCGACATGAAGTTTGACTAAGACCGAGCCTATTTGTTTGTCATGCGCTTATGCGTTCCGTAAGCTAGGTAGGCGACCCTTGGGAACCGTGCACGATGGACGCGGACCTATGGTCAAACAGGTTACGAAGGTATAAATCCATGGAGCCAAATCTGGTCACACCGCTCGCTCCTTGTGCTGCATATATTGTAGATCAAGCTACTCCGCGTGTGTGGATACGCACGCCAACAGCAACATTTTCAGCACTCTAGGAATATCGGATGGGGGGCGAATATCGGTGGATCCAAGTCGCATTGCTGGAGTCACCGTGGTCTTATATGTACGAGGAGCTCTCACACCTCCGCACAGAATCTCATGCTGCCATGCAGAACCAAGCTCATCCGCAGACACTCTGATTGGCCATCAAATCCCCGTCGATGAGGCTGATGAGTGCTGATGATCATGAAGCACTGACAGGGTTCATCCGATGATTCCGATCCGGGCTCTAGCGATCGCCCGCTGCTACTAGCCTCAAGAGGTCTCGAGCTTCAGCCACCGACGCACACGGCTTGAGTACATATGAGGATACACACTATGCCATGTCAAGACTAAACCTAAAGGCTACGCCAGTTGAAAGGTTAAAACTCAAAACTCTTGTTCAGGTCCTCGTGCAGCAACTCGCGCATTCCCGGCGGGAGAATCGGTTGACCGTTGTCCGCGATGTAACCTGTTCATGACGCATATGATGATCCACGTAGGCATCGCGCGACGGGTATACAGCGCGAATTGAGGAGAGAGAGACCATAGCCAACATTGTGGTTCATTCCACAGCGGGCAGATTGAGGTTCCGACCCGAAATGTGCCCCGGGAATCAGACGGGCGGGTGCAACGATGCCGCAGGAATGGTGGATCAACACGTTGTGCGCGATTCAAAGAGAGCGGGAGTAGACGGCGCCCCCGAGAGTCGCGGACGACCGAATCGGTGTGGCATGATGTGAAGTACCGTAGCAGGGTTGCCACAAAAATGGGACAGCGTGAGCCACAGAACGGTTAATAATTAATGGGCAGGGGTAAGTATACGCGTCGAATCAGTGAGAGGGTCATCGAGATCGTGATAAAGCGGACTGACGGAACGGCATCTCGACGCTCTCCTTGGCGTTAAAGCGAATAGTTGGAAAATCCTGCCAGATTTGTGGTGCGCGCGTTTAGTCAAGTCATTCAACTAGTCCGGTGGCGTTAAACGCACGACGTAGGGTATCTGATCCAATGGTACTTTACACAATTTTAGTAAGTCCCAATCCGCAATGGCGTAGAAAGGACGGAGAAATCTGTTCGCACCTTTGTCATGCACGACTTTTTTTGTAACACCGAGTGCGGTATCTGTTGTCATCTGCACACTGCCTAGGTGGCGAGAGGGAAACCCGAGCGCGCGCAGCTCAGAGGTCCGGTCGCGCGGTGGGTCATCGCCTAGAGATCGCATGTAATTGTTTTAACGTGGTGTAGAAACGTATGATTTTGCGTACCTAATATCCCCTGCAGCGAATATCAGGAATCGGACCGGAAATCCAGCGGTCAGCGCTTACGAGAAAAATAAGTGACCGCAGCTTCTCACCCCAAAAAGAAAGTAGCCAAACGTTTGAGCATCCTCGGGACTCAGCTCTTTCTCCGCCTTTGGATCGAGAAGGCACACAGACTCGAGTGGTACTCCTTTATCCTGGAGAGTCGAGAGTATCGGCGCAGTGTGCACTTCTAATGTGGCTACGCCCTTCTGCTCTAGCGAAGCAGATAGAGTGGCGCGCAGCGCATCACCTGAGCCTTCGGAGAGGTGTGTGAAGAGCACGGTGGAAGTAGGGCCAGCGAGTGTGAGCATTTGCTAGAGGCGGGAGAAGCCGCAATGCAGACACACGAAAGGATCGGGGGAGAACATAGGAAGCCAATGAGTGCGAGCGAGAAGGACGGCCGGAGATGAAATAATGCTATGACGAAGACGGATTATTCCACCACTCACAGAGTATTCCAGCTCGACCCAAGGAGGCAGACGCTTCGGCGTGGCTTCGTCTTCCTCCATGTGCTCTGGATGGACAAGTTACGCGCGTTCAGATCGCGAGTATCGAAGGTAGGGTGGTGTGGCTGACCGATAACGTATGTAATCTTCATCGCCGGTTTCACGGTAAGAGGATGCGGTATGTCAGCTGGGCTGTAGTATATGATTCGAGAATCGGGAAGATTCAATTAGGCTACGCGAGGATGTGGGTGGATGTGGTCTCTCTTTTTCCTTGGGATGCGGCGCGGCTATTCGTAGTTTCTTATCTCCACCGATGTCAGATTGAAGGAGCGCTGTGATTGAGATGGGTCTTTTGGCAGATGCGGGTGGCAATGCCTAGGACGGTTGCCTGGCGAGTAAGACAGTGAGACGGTACGAGGATGAGCACGAGGAACAAGCAAGAAACGATGACAACTGTGTCTGACCTGCTCTACTTGAAGCTGAGCTACCTGGTAACTTTCGGCCCAGGAGGAAATTTTGGTGAGTAGCCCCTGAAAGATGTGGGATATTAGAGAGAGACCGGATCGGGTACGGAGCCACACAGGCCCGCGTGCCTCGCGCATCCCTTTTATGGCAGGTGAGTCTACCATCAACTCCTAGTGTAGTTCAAGCTTATTTTCTTGCGTCCACCGCTACTGACTTACTAACGTTTCTCTGTCCACCGCCGACGCGGAAACAGTTTATTCAATCCAAGCGTCGTCAGGATAATCACTTTTGATGCAGTCGTCAGGCAGATCTTTTCATCTCCGCGCATATATGGACTGTACATGCCACGCCTCGTCGAGGATTCAAACATTGCATGACATCAACGCCGAGTAGCACGATTGCATCGGCGTGCCCTCGACAGATCCCTGGCACGGTCTAACCGGACATTTCCTCGTAGAATATGTCGATCCCACACATGCTTACACATTCTACACTCTCCTGTCCGCCCTTCGCTCCTCCACAGTCTCACTCGTGCCCGTACTTAAGCTCAGTCATCAAGCCCTGGAAATCATCAACATCTGTCATCTCCCTCACCCACAGTCACCTACATCCAATTTCTCTTCCGTCATGCCCAGCCACAAGCTCAGAGTTGCCATCGTGTATGTTTGTATGTCTACCTCGTCTACCCTGTCGCTCATACATTTTGCAGTGGTGGAGGTGTCGGTGGAATGGTCTTTGCCGTTGCGCTATCACAACATCCGGACATCGCCGTCGACATATACGAACGCGCACAAGAATTTACCCAGGTCGGTGCCGGAGTAGGGATCTGGCCTAGAGCTTTCAGAGTAGGTCTGTTCTCGTCCTGACGTCTATGAGATCCTGACGAGTTATTGTAGGTCCTTCAGAAGCTGGGTCGTGGAGTCGAACAGGGGCTCTTGCGAGTGACGCTTAACGAATGGTCAGAAAAATATGGTACGTCACTTCACAATCTCAGTGCGCATACACAACTTATTCGACTTGGCTCAGAGCCTTCCATAATATTTCGACGAGGTGACCTATCCATGGGTCATGACCTCTTCCAGCTGGTTTCAAAGGGTATGTATACTCTTCTTGCTCGTTCTCCGAAGTGTACTTACCTTCTTTCAGGCAACCTCATGCGTTTCCACCGCGCTGACTTCCACGCCGTTCTTCTCGCTCACCTCGGCCCCTCCATCACCACCCATACCTCCAAGCGCCTCGCTTCTTACTCGCAACCTTCGGCTTCACAGCCTATCACACTTTCCTTCGCCGACGGCACGACGGCGACATGCGATCTCCTGATAGGAGCAGACGGCGTCAGGAGTTCCGTGCGCGCCGCGATGATGCGCGACCTCGCTACGGTGCAGCCGCCCCGCGCAGAGGAGTTCCTCTCGTGTGCGGACCCAGTCTGGAGCGGGATTGTGAGCTATAGAATGCTCATACCGGCGGAGAAGCTCCGTGCGCTGGATCCGAACCACAGGTCGCTGACGGAGACGGTGCAGTGGTGTGCCAAGGACGGGGTGCGTCCTTTTCTCTCTGCAAATACTGTCAGAGAACGTTCCTAATTTTCCAAAAACCGATTGTGAACAAAAAGTTCGTCTTATCCTACCCAATCTCCCTCGGGAAATACGTCAACTTTGTCGGCTTCACGGCGGATCCCGCTCTTATGGCCAGCGCATACTCGGACGACCCGTCGACGCGCCCCAAGTTCCAGGGCGAGTGGGTCCGCCAAGTCAGCGCCGCCGACTTCAAGCGCGTATTCCCCCAATTTGAACCCGAGGTCCAGACGCTGCTCGACGTCGGCGAGGGCGGCACGATCTGGTCTGTGCACGTCACGCGGCACCTCCCGACGATGTGCTGCGGACGCGTCGCGCTCATTGGCGACGCCGCGCACGCGATGATGCCGTTCCAAGGCTCTGGTGCTGGACAGGCGATTGAGGACGCGTATCTCCTCGCGTCGTTGCTCGGGCACCGCACGACCGACGGATCGCCGCAGGCTATTCAGAAGGCGCTGGCGGTGTACGACCACGTGAGGAGGCCGTATAGCGCAGACGTGGCGAGGAGGTCGCAGTACAATGGCCGGCTGTACACCTTCAATGCGGACTTCGGGCCGGAGGACCCGAGGAAGATGCAGGATGTGATGACGCGCGGGTGGGAGTGGGCCTGGGAGACTGAGCTGGATGGTGATATCAGGAGGGCGATCGATATGCTGGAAAGTGGGGCAAGGGCCACGGCATGAGGTGGGCGGTGCTTGTGGTCGTCGATGCCTGCCTCTTTTTATCCTGTTATGTTGTATGCCGCTGGTTTTTCTTGGTTTGTAGCTATCAAACACGATCAACCGGATGTACATTAATTCCGCCTATACCCATATCTACCATCCATCGTACTAATATTTAGTCGTCTTCATGGATCAATGAGTGGTTCTTGCTCCTGTACAGGTCAACCTTCCCCTAATCTCGAAACCAAGCTTTGCTATCGTGATCGCGAGCGTCGCGACTGTTCGCCAGAGGCAATGGATATCTTCCTTCCGAGACATCTGTCAATGGAAGACTAATCAAAAGACAATTCCCATCTCATGGCGTCCACACTGCCCGCTACTTCAACCTGGATCAAATTTGTGGTAATGACCGCTCGAGTTCCCTAACTCGATCGAACACCCCGTCCCACTCTCTTCGGAAACGTCTTTGTACGTCGCGTTCAACATAACCCCTGTCCATCATCCATGCTAGCAGGCGACAACGGCTGGGATTCGGGATAAGCTCGAAGAGACGGCGAGCGATGGCTTCCTTCCCTTCGTCTACTGGAGCTGTGTCCAGCAGATTGAGCTCTTTAAGCTTGGTTGGGCGACGCGTTGTGTATGAGTTAGCATCGAGATTTGTCCAAAGCTCGCTTATACCGAGTTGGCGAACATCGATCGCGATAGCCAGCTTCTCCAGGTTGGGCATATGTTGGAGTGCCGTGCGTAGCCCGCTGAACGTGACAGGGCTGATCGGATTCCACCCGAAGTCTTCGTTGATTTTCAAGACGACCAGGTGCGGCCAGCACCTTGCCATTTGGAGTAGATCGTCTTCCGAGAGCGATACTTTGCTGAGCGTGCTTATGGTGACGTGGGTTAGGCCATCAAAGCGGAATGCGGGTTGTAGAGATTGAATGGTAATGTCCTCCGCGAACACTTGCTCGACGACGTGAAGGTATTTTAGGGTGGGCTCAAGGCATGATTTGGAGAGGGCTTCCAGCAGATGATGTACTGAGGAGACGTTATAACCGTAATCCGGCATGAAGACGGAGAATGATTCAATCGAAAGCTGTCCTCGTAATGTTTTGAGGAACTGGATAGACGAGGAGAACCCATGAGTGTCGCGCATCATCTTGAGCTCTTTCAAGCTGGTATAGGCGGGGTGTGACCAGGCGCAAGGAATCTGCATGCTAGAACCGGCTTCTGTCTGAAGCTCAAACTGGAGGCTGCGCAACAATGGCATCCGTGACAGATGTTCCATTACCTCCAGGCTCAATACTCCGCCGTGAAACGTCTCGAGTTCGTTCCATATGCAGATGGATCTACTCAGGGCCACCTTCCCGCACTCCTCGTTGTAAAAGCGCGAGAACTCTGTCAGCCTAAATGACCTCAGTCTCGGACATATATCTCCGAGCTGGGATAGAAGATCGCATGCAGGCTTGGGGTCTGAGAACTTGTCCAATGTTCCCAGTCCCAGTGATGTGACCGACGAACACAACAGGGCGGGCAGAATGACTACGGATTCCGTCGAGAACCGTTGCCATGTTATCTTCCGCAGCTTTGGAAAGATGGGCTGAGCCCACAAAGGAGGTGAAGCAAGCGCAAGCAAGAGGCTGAGAGAGACGTGTCTGTGGAACTCAAAATAGCGTCGCACAGTTCTTGACATAAAGTCCACACCAGCGAGAGACCTGACTCGGTTCCTGTGTCTGTTGATATGTTCCCAGTCATCCGCGCTGAACGGCCTCAGAAGTTCGTACGTCTAGCTTACGAAAGCGATAAGTAGGTTCGATCAAACTCCATGCGAGATCACGTACATATGTCGTCGAGAACCCATCCTCAAAACACTTGATCGAAACAAGGTCCCCGGGGAAGCAGTGGATGAGTGGCGCGAGGGAAGGCAGCTCCGACCATAGAACATCCAATGCAGGGGCTGAAAATGCATGGCAAGTTCTTGCGAGAGCGACATGTCCTTTCTGATCTGATTCCTGAACAATCAAACGTACGATGTCGTCTATGAAGAGGGCTTTGTGCATTACGTTGATGCGGCCGAACGTTCTCCTAATACTTTGCGGCCTTTGCTTACGAGTGGTGATGATAGCACGGAAGAAGGTTGATAGGGATCCGATGGATTGTGATGTGCCGGAGTTTGCCGAACGGACACGCGCCGACGGCTCGGCATTCTTCTGCAGAAATGACAAACAATGTAATGAAAGCGGAAAACCTGATGTTCGCCTCAATCTCTAATTTATTGGTCTGCTTGTAACAACTAACGCTATTAAGTCCAGGTGGTGAGTACGAAGTATACTATCTTCTGTCCAATAGTTATATAGGTGTCCGAGCATGCTTAAACTTGCGATATCGTCGTCTCGTTTACAGGTACGACGACTTCGCATCCGGAAGTATGAATGGTCGTCCCAAATCCTTCGAGAGAAATTGCGGAAGTCAACTGCACCGGTTGAGACGGAGGTGAACCCTAAGAATCGATTTCTAGCCGGTTTGTCACCTATAGAGAATAAGAGGTGATAGAACTAACCTCGGCACTCCCGTTCGAGATGAAGCGAGTGCTTGAGTCCCTCAGCAAGAGCGAGTACAATAGTGTCTAAAAAGCTCATTTGTCGTGGTGGCAGGCATCAATAAGAAACACTCACTGCAGTGTACACCCTCCCTGTCGGGATAATGAACATCATGTCTAGGAACGTAGTCGGCCAGCACAGGAACCCTACCATGCTCCCCAAAGTAAAGACTCCAGGAAACACTCCTGCTTGAACCGCACCTCGAAAGATTCTGTAGATAATATTGTCGGCTCTTACTACGCCAGTGCGTGCTTGTAGAAGAGCTATGCTCAGTGAGCCTAAAAATATGAGAGGTTGGATTCGAACTGTGTGTCACTAATCGATCAGGCGCGCACCAGTGATGAAATAGTCCGCAAGCAACGTGGAGATCACCCACGCCAGCACTGGTGACTTGATCGCTGCAAAATATGACTCCTCTGGATGTCTGTGAAAGCATACATGTCCAATTGAGTACCGGAATTCACGGAACAACTCACATGTCGGTAGTCAAGGCCCGAATTCCGAACCAAAGAGCGAACACGAGACTAATCGTCGCTAGTGTGGCCGAAGCCATAGTCAGAACTCTGTTAGCGAGAAGTCGCCAGAGTCTGCAGGGAAGCTGCGTTAGAGAAATACAGCGAACGGAGAGTCAAGAATACCTCCTGGTCAGAAACATCTGCGTCACATATGCTGACCAAGCAGTGGGAATTGGGGCCAACTGTATTGCCCATTCGGAACCTCCTGTAATAATCATGTCATGGACCCGACGTTCGCATGAACAGGTCTTTATCCTCACGTTGGAGTAGTGTTGGGTCCTTTCGTTGAGCAATTCTGTTTCCAGATGAGTATAAGATATTTGTGTTTGAAGTGGAATAGGTTACAAAAACAACCATCCCGCATATATTGCCCTAGGAAATTTACCAATCGATCAGCTCGCTCGTACTCCCGAGGGTCCGGAATCACTCACAATGCACTATAAATTGTGTCCATGGCAAAAACGGACACCAGTAACAGCCTGGTTTACTCAAGGATGCATCAACATAGCAATGCTATCACGAACAACGCCAACAACCTTACCTTAACGGGCATCGGTCATTCGTATCTGCGACATATTACATATTACAACCACTTGCTCCTGCGCAGACAACAATGCTTACTCACTTGATCGGTAGTAGCGGGCGAACTGTGTTGTGGTGAGCCCATAGAGAAATGTGTTGACTGTAGATAATAGAAAGGAGTTAGCGGATATTGCAACTTTGGGAAAGTCACTGAAATCGACACACAAGCAATGCCGACGAAGAGCGTTCCTGATACAACGTCACAGAAGTTCAATGACGATGCTTGCAGCGCGAGAGGGAGACAGACAGACCAAGAGTATCATCGTATACACCCATGTCGGTAGCTCCTAACAGCTGCGGATGCTTCGTAGTGTCGACTGTACTTGTTGGCGCGAGGTGGTACGAGGCAGAAAGGGAAAAGAACAGATGACACAGGCCACTTATTTGAGTTTTCAAACTTTTTAAGAAGGAAGACTTCGTATCAGAAGCCGCCTTCGCAACAGTCTCCACTGATACCGAAGGCAACTTCTATTGAATATTCCTTCAGGGTCCGCGACTTGCGCAGCAATTCTCGGGCAAGGCAAATACAGTAGGGTTCTGTCAAGTGAGTCAGACGATTATCGCAGGGGAACGAAGCTGCTTGGAACCGGATCATGGATAGAATACCTGATAAAGTGTGTCGCCAGCGTCATTGGCAGGGAAATTGTTTGAAGCAATTGTAGTTGACGACACCAACATGTATGATGACCAAGGCAAACGAAATGTAGGGAGTGAGATGAGGGGTTAGCACTCCATGTCGTCGAGGAGACAACATATCCTCGGGTTCGTGCGCAAGTCTTTCTAAGAGACTTTTGATAGATTGCGGCGGTATGATCCCGGTTCATGCTCACACGGAAATCCGGTCAATCTCCGATTCGAGCTTCGGTAACCTTATCTCTTGAGCTTCGGGCTCGTAAGTACTACTAAGGAGTGCACTGGGAGTTCCGTGAGTTCGATTTATTTCACATTAAGCCAGAGCTACCAATACCATTTTCCCGCAGTTCTCGAGGAGATAGTACCCCATTACTAGTCGGACATGCGAGATGGAATTAGCAGAAGTAGCGTAACGATTCCGACTCACGGACAACTCACCAACAGCTCTTTCCCACGCGTTCCACGACGCAATGTATCGCGAGGAGTGTCATATCACGCCATGGCCTCGCTGTCCAATTGTACGAAGGATATCGCTGACCTATGTGTGAGCACCCCGTAGCCTGAAACAAGGCCCGAAAGGACGTGGGGATGTACACTGACACTCGAGGCTAACAGTCCGAGTATTTAGCATTAACCGGGCGTATAAGTAGAATCTTGTTTTATAATAACATCCGCAAGCGCTGATCATAACCCAGATCAGCAGCAGTGGCGAAAAAAGCAGATCACTCTCAAGCATTTGGTATCGTCGTATTCTCTCTTACTACCGTGGATTGCTTGAAGACCGCGCCCTGATCAATACTGATTACAGACGTAAGCTGCATTGCGCGAGACGTAGGTAATTCCTGAGAGTATGTTTTAAAAGTTCAGAAGTATATCAGTGTACTCAGTCTCTTCGAGATTATCAGAGGGAACGAACCATGCCACGGCCATCACCAGCGCGATGTTCAACTGACTCTCTCCTCAGGAGAACCGAATAAAAGAGAGTCCGCACGGCCATCAGGACCTAATTGAATCACTCCAGCGATAGACTCACGATGGTGTACACGTTTCCCGCAGGAATCGCAAAAGTTAGCTCCATAAATGAAGTAGGCCAAACGAACGTGAAGATTGTAGATCCCAAAGTGAAGATTCCAGCAAAAACTCCTGTCTGGACTGCACCTCTCAAGGTCCGATATATGATATGGTCGGTTCTCTCGATTCCAGTGCGAAGCCTCAAGAGTGCTACACCGAGAAAGCCTCATTTATGCTGAGAAAAGATGGTTGCATAGTTGTACGAAAACGCTCACCTGTGACGAAGCAATCCGTGATACATGTTAAGATGAGCCACGATGTTGCCTGTGGCGCGATTGATGGAACCTGCGACTGCTGCAGGTGCCTGTCAATGGTCAATGGGGATCGGTGAATACACTGGCGTCGTGAAACTTACAGCTGTGTTGTGAACGATCGGACTGTAAACCCGATTGAGAGACCAAGACAAGACGTTGCCAAAACGGCGAGCGCGATAGCCAGAAGTCTCTTCGAAGCTAGTCGATGAAACCTATACGGAGGACTTACATACGGGAATGGATCATGGCGTACGCGAGCACGTACCGTCGGATAAGATACATCTGCGTCACGAAAGCCGACCACCCTATCGACATGGGATTGATATGAAGAGGCCAGAACTTCGCTACATAATGTTTTTCTGAGAAGGAGTCCGGTTAATGGCATATGCAGGACTCACCGTAAATCGATTCGGTGATGGGTTGATTATACCCCTCGATGCTAGAAAAGACCCTCGGGTTTAGATTATTAAGAGGTGTGTGGCCAGGGGGCTGACGTACAGAAGAAACCAGGCCACATATATCATCCTAGCTTTGATGGTCAGCAACATGATTTGTCGAATCGCGTGATCCAGCAGAACACTTACATAGCGCTCGCAGCTGCATCCGTGATAAACACTGTGACCAGCAAAATACTACGGTAGCCAGTGGCTTAGCAATCAGGTCAACGGGATATTTTGATCGCGTGCTTTGCCCACCTGAAAACTCGTGTATCTTTCATGTCTGACCACTTTGAGTCCATCATTTAAGAAGCAGCGCGATGCATCACTTACTACTCGACCAGTAAGAGCAGAACTGGTATGTAACCAGCCCAAACAGCCAAGTGTTGACTGGCATCGCGTCAATGCTCTAGCGCTGCCCACGACTGCAGCAGGTTTACTCACATACGATGCCAATGAAGAGCGTCCCTAGCACGCGCAGATGTTAATCGACAAGGGGTATCAAATCAAGGAGGCTGAAATGTACGCACCCAAACTAGCGTCGTGTTCGCCCATGTTGACGACGGTCAGCTCGAAAGAAAGGAGGGACGTCGGACCTCCCGACGGCTTCGCTTGTTCAGTAGTCAGGAAAACAACGTTCAGAAGCAAGTTTACGAGAACTTTAGAATGTGCTCCATTGGGATGCTTCTGAATTGAACGGAGGCGTCCTTGGCCCCACGCGGCATCGCGGCTGCACAGGGAAATGCACGCTGTGAGCAACCCGTGAGATGGCTCAGCGGCTATGTTTGTCGTTGCCTCGAACGTGACCCGCTTGGAGACCATGTACGAAACATTCACTGACATTCAGCGTGTTTGACGAACATCCGGAGGCGTGCTGATCCTAAAACTGGCCTAAAACAATGGAGTCGACGACAGGCGGTGAAGGTTGGCAAGGGGCCCAAAGGGGCCTGAGATAGCCTTCAATACAAAAACGGTGTTTACATGTGATGAGCCGGCTGGAATGAGAGAGGCAATATTGAAAAACTGTAGAGGCTGTTTGAATCAAAGGAACATAGTATATACACGGCCAAGCGAGTCAGACATGAAAGCGACGTCTGACACCGAATTTATGTGCTAAATTTAGTTGATGTCGGTAACACATCGTGCCGAGTCCGTGGCGATTCTTCTATTCAGTATCGTGGGATGAGCGGGAGCGGCCAATCCGTGAAAAACCGATTTTGTCATATCCGCCAAGCTTCGAAGCCAAGTGCGGGTGATATCCCGCCGGGACAAGGAGGAAATGGCACCTGAGGCTGTCATACTATTGCAACACCCACTGATGATCAGCGTGTCACCGGTATTGCAGTAGATGTGAGCACGGGGAAACGTCGTAGATGTTCCTCCGCAATCACATCTACTGCAATACTGCACAGTCCCCCCTCCCGTTGGACCCAGCGCTCTGCTGCCACCAATTCTGCAATAGTGCGTTGTTCCGGCTCCCTGCCAACCAGTACCGCTTAACTGCCTCCGCCGTCAGTGCTTTTGCAATAGGCGTGATCCAGGCTCCCCCTCCCTCGACATGGCTTCATTGTCAGCAATACTGCAATACTACCGTACTCGATCCGTTCCGTTCCCGACCAATCCGCTGCCATCAGTGATACTGCAATAGCAGCTCACCCTGTTCCGCCCCCGATCATTTCCCGGCTATCAGTGGTTCTGCAATAGTCCTCGTCCCCTTCCGTTGCCGATCACTCCCCTGCTGTCAGCACTCTTGCAATAGCGCATGGCAATGCCTTGTCCCGTTTCCTCATCGATCAATCCTCCGCTATCGGTACTTCTGCAATAGTACCTTCCCTTGCCGATTGTGCCCGATCGCGCCGCTGTCAATTACCCTGCAATAGTGTGCGTCCCTCACCGATAGCTTCCGATCGATTGACCCAGTGATCGCCAAAGTCTGCTGTCAGTACTACTGCAAAAGTACCTTGGTAAATGCCCCCGGTCCTCCCGGGCCATCGGCTCCAGTGTTCGGTTTAAAGCGGAAGTTTTCAGTGCTTCTGCAATAGAGACCCTCCATCCACACACTATGCGATTTGATACGGTTTTGTTATTCCGTAATACCCTTTCCAGTCTCCGCGGATCGCGTTGAAGGCCCCTTCCAGCATTCCCTTAGTTTGATAATAATGACTGCTCGTTGTGCTGTATAATTTAGACTTTGTAGTACATTGTAGTGCATTCGAGAGGTTATTAACCTATCCTCAATCCTCTGTAGTCGGGCAGTCAGCCGTTTCTGTAGCAAAAACATACTTGTACTTATCATGCTATCGCCTCTGTGCGAGACGACAAGTCCAATTCGCCGAGTTATTTCCAGTATTGACGCAAGCCTGCAACAACCACGTACATCACTAAGTTCGGTTTGCTGAGATATTTCCGGTGTTTTCTCATGGTATGCTCTACTAGGCAAGTATTCACGTCGATCACTACTAAGATAGCGCATACGAAAACAATCATAGTGTATTGGGCATAAGTATCTAAGAGGACAAGACACATGCTAGTACATAAACTAACCCTAGGTTTCCTTACGGGCGCGACGCTTCCTATGACCGAGTAACTTGTAAGAATAGGATGTAAACTACCAAAAATAAAGTTCACTTACTTTGTAGATATAGCCGTTTCGTCAGACGTGGCTGGAGGCTTTGACGAGGCTCCAATGGCGTTCCTCAGTGCCTTAGACTTGGCCTCGGTGCGCTTGCGTTGGCCTCGACCGAGGACCTCGGCCTGATTGGTATCGCGGGCGGTGCTACTTCTCGTTCTCTTGCCCGGAGAAGCGCTGGTGTCGGTGTCGGCATCAGCGGAATTGTCACGCGGTCGTTTTGGGGCCGTCGGCTTCGGCTTCTCTTTCGGGGCCTTTGCGGGTGGAATCGCCGTCTGTGGAATCGCGGCCGTCGGCGGATCGGGAGCAGAGAGGACAGCTTGCATGTCCTCATCGGCGAGCTGTGGCCAGATTGGAGTCTCAGAAGGCAGCGCATTATCGGAGGGGTTGCCAGTGGAGGAGGCGACGGTGAGCAGCGTGGGGACGTCGGGCACTGAGGCGATGGCAGGCGTCAAGGGGACGGCAGTCACGGAGACATCAGGCGCGGAGACGGCGGGCGCGGAGTCTTTTCCAGTGGGTGTGGAGAGCTCAGGGAACGGAACGGCGGGCAGCGTGGGGACGTCAAGCGCTGAGGCGACGGCGGGCGTAAAGGCGACGGCAGCCGCGGAGACATTGGCAGGTGCAGAGACGGCAGGCATCGAGCGTTCGCCAGCGGGCGTAGAGAGCCCGGGGGAGGCGACGACGGGCAGCACGGGGACGGCGTGCGCTGAGGCACCGGTAGGCATGGGGACATCAGGCGAGGGGACAACGGGTGCTGAGTTTCCGCCAGTGGACGTTGGAACGTCGAGGGAGGCAACGACAGGCACCGAGACGACAGGGGAAGGGACAAGGGGTGCGGAGATGGCCGGGGAAGCAATCACCGGTACTTTTGCAACGGTGTCAAGGTCCGGTGATGTGGCTGCGGGCGACGAGACTGCCAGTGACGTGGTCACGCCAATCGCTGCCGGAGATTCCAAGAGATGGGCGCGCTGGACTGTGGATGACGTTGTGGGTAGGGTCGAGGGTTGGGGCAGAGCCGTGGTGTCGGGCGAAGTCGAAGGGGTGGGCAGAGTCAAGGGTACCGTCTGTGTCTCCGCCGACGGAGCAGACTGCTGTGACAACGCTTCAGCTGCCTGAGGCTGAGGTGTAGCTAATGAAGAGTAACATATTAGATAGCGCCATTGAAGGGTTACAAAAGCACTTACATTGAGGGTCTGAGACATTCGTCGGTGGCTCACTGCCAGCCTTGTGAATAGCCGGCAGGGTATGCAATGCTTTGTCGCTAAGAACGTCCGCCAGCTGGATAGCTTTGGCAGGCGGGTGATCCGGGTCGATAAGCTCATCGTGTTCATCGACTAATTCGCCCTCGGCATCAGCGTCGTCTCTGTCAGCCCCTACCAAAAATGTTAGTACATATTTTGGAAACGGCAACTTGAAAATAACATACCGTGCGCGGTCTTCGTAAACTCCACAAATTCCTTGTGAACCTCGCTCCATAGGGTCGATACTTTGCCGAAGTCGCAGCCGTCTGGTGACCAGCCCACGTGGACACTATTGTCAAGGGTAAATATCATCCACGCAAATAAGAGAATGGTGAGGACTCACGAGCCGACAACATGCACACCATTGAGGGCGTCCTGCCCACCCATGATAGCAGAGAAAGCCCATCCTTTAGACAAGCCACCATTTGTCTGACCCGAGCAGTAAGTCAAAATCTCCCGCACGGCGGTTGATATATTCATGATCGCACTATCAATAAGATCAAACCTAAGTAAGCACTAAGTAATGCAAGGAAAACGATGACTAACAGCCTCGCACACGCTGAGACCTCCTCTGCAGTGAGCGACAGGCCCTTCTTGCACTTCTTACGGGCTCCCATTGCCGCTTCTTGAGCCTGCTTGTAGGACGCGATCTCGGCGTGGACGGCTGGGTCTTTCTCCAGCCCCAGGAGCCTCTTCGCATGCTTCGCGACAATGTCGACCTTTCGAACGGTCTTGTCTGGCGGCAAGGAGGCGAGCTCCGCATCGACATCGTATGCGATCTTCTTGTCGTAGTAAAGCTTCGAGAAGATCTCCCAGTCCTTGTTGAGGCGCGTTCGCGGATGGAGCAGTCCATTGATGATAGACGAAGCGATATGGCCCATCGATCGCCCATTTGCAGTCGCCGCACGCGCGTGCCACCTGTACCAACGTTGGATCTGCTGTAGAGGCATCGTTAGCCGCCAGAAAAAAATATCAAAAATAAACAGACATACATCTTTACGTTTCTTGATCGCATCGCCCAGCTCCAAGTTCTCTTCCGCAGAGAGAGGACGGCCTGGCTCGCCGACCTGCTCGGGAAACTCGCGGAACCAGTCGCTGTTCGTAGTCACCCAGAACGACTCGTAGTTGCGCTTCGGGATGAGGGCCGTGTACTGCGGGAGGCGTGCTTTGAGCCAATCCTTCTGCTCGTCGGTAGGCCAGCCAGGAGCCCCACGTTTTCCCCCAGAGCCTTTCTGTGCTCACAGTAAGTATTAAGTCAAAGACAGACCCGCTGAGTGTTCGACTGACCTTCCTCGTGGCGGCCTTAGCGGCGCTATAGCCTTTGGATGAATTTGCCATCACGATGACCTTAAGACAAAATATGTTAGGAAGTATACATAGTGTAGAGCAGTCGGCGCATACCAGCTTTCACGTTGGATGGATGGCGTACGTTTTTGACAATCGTCGAGCCTCAGAGAAGTAGTAGTGGCGGAATGAGGAATGACAAAATGACGGAAAAGAAATCCTCACCTTAAATACAGCTGACGTTATTCCTTCGACGAACAATCCTGAATCTGAGCAAGTTCACAAATACTGCATGTGCAGTTCCTAAACCGTGCTGGCGCACATTCGCCACATGCTCCTCACATCACCTCAAGGGACATGCGAGGTCAATTGAGCCCAATCTGACATGTTCACGCAGTACAAGGCGATGATGCGAGCCCTTTCTGATGTGGTTGCTGCAAATCTGACATGTCTCAGCATCTGAAAAAGGGAATTTGAACGTTCAGCCGCTGGTGCATGTGGACCTACCTCGTCCAGAGGAACCCCCATGTCAAGTCAAAGGTGCCGCAACCGCATAGGCACACTTCGGACACAATGGTTCGAGTAGCTCATCTAGTGCAGACATGAGGCAATCACTATTCTACGTACCTTCATATTCACTCATCTCATGGCGGGCGGCGCTGAATCGTGCATTTCAAGCTGAAGGTAGAGGACGGTGTGTTGTGGAACAACCTCAACAATACAAGGGTCGATTTCAGTACAAAGTCTTATCGTTGATGTGGCGGTGTCAAGCTCGCCGGCCGCAATCCGACATACTGGCTTCGGTCAGGCAAAACAGTTAACCGTGATCCGACCATATAGAATAGCCGTGCTGTTGGACCTCGGCTATTGCAAAACGCTAATCACAAGTACTCAGCTGACATCACAACCAGCGCTTAAGGCCCACGCAACTACGAACATCACCGAGGATCCAACGGCGCACGATGGTTATTTGACCAAGAGCTACGTGACTCGTAAGTGAGATTAGCTAAGGGTATTGCTTTGGATTAGACGGTCCCTCCACTCCCTCCACGATTCGCGCGCTGGCAGGTAACGCCGAGGCGTGTTAGGTAGGCTCTTTGCCGGGTTGCGTGCTGCGGCAACGCGCTCCTCGCATTGACCAAAATCAATGCACCAAAGGCGCAAGTGCTGCAAATGAAAACCTAAGCGCCAGAAATACAGAATGAGAATGCTAACACTTACACGAGCAAGATACTGCATACAGCGGTCCTGATGCTCCTGAGTTGTCAACTTCGAGTTCTGAGGGCGTTTGAGATAGAAACGGCTACCCGGCGTGATTGGCCAGCGCTCCACCCAGTCGACACAGAATCGTTCCCAGTACTTGACCTCGTCGGACATCGCAAAGTCCTCAGGGATCTCGTCGCGGTCGTCAAACTCGGCGTAAATTGCCCAGATCATCCAATTTGTTTTGAGATGCATGTCTTGTTCTGGGGATGTCCACGCCCTGAATATCGACCTAGAATCCAAAACAAATGAAATGAGTAAACGAAGAACAGATCCGAACACTGGCATACTCAGTCAGATCATACTCCCCCATGGATGCTAGCGCTTCACCTGTGGTAGACGGAAAACACGATGCTAGCAGGGACGATCTGAGTCTGCGTACGCTTGACGAGACTCTGGCCCATTTCGCAAACTGTCTTTGTCATTTTCCGATGACATCGCATGCCGCACAAGCAATATGGTGATTCGGATCACCAGCAAATGCTCTGTCTCGCTATCTGTACGTCCTGGGCAAGCTCCCCAAAAATTCTGTCACTGAGACTTTCATTGGATCCGGGTGTGGTCGGTATCATTACAGCCGACTAAGTGCTAGAGTAGCGACGCTGAAAGTACTCGATTCCCTGCTCCCAGAATGTGAGCTGTATATCCTCCATTGTGCTTACAATTAATGAGCACCGTCCTCGCACTTGTTCCACCCGCTGATATTCAGGAGAATGAGGCGAACCCTTCCAAAGGACATCGGCCGAAAGCCTGGATAGCTCCGTTACAATGAGGGCCGCGCACTCCAGAGTCTCGTCGAGCTCAGATATTACGCGGTCACCCTCCTGCTTGTCCTTGCTGGCAGCGAGCTTGGATCGAATGTCTTTCATGTAGAGGGAAGGGTTTCCATTTAAGATTGATAGCATCTCTTCCTCGAGGTTTGTAAGGTCTTCGGATAAGCTAGCATAGTATACGTGAGCCTAATTTGAAAGCTGAGTCATAGTGAGCTCACCGCGAGCCACGCCGGGCTTCTCGACAAGGTCTGTGCCTCTTACTAAGGTCATGTCTATACATATTTTAGTGCGGGAGACTTATCGTCTAATGAAACTACCTTTTTACGGGCACCGAAGACTTTGTGACTGGTACCTGTTCGTTTCTCTGTACTTGGCAAGATGTAACGCTGGACACGATTCGTTTACGATTAGCAAGTAGTACACAACGAACAAAAGGGACTGCGTACGCAGCGGTATTGTCTCGATACTTTGCGCGCCTCTTCTCGCACTCTACAGCCTTGTTCCTGAGATAGAAGTATGAGGAATTGAACGACTGTGAGCAGAACAAATGAACACTCACTTTTGATAATACCTGGCTCGAGATGCGCGAGCGGCGTCTTGACGCTCTTCGTCAGTCGTGTATTGACGAGGCCGCCCAGCGGGCATTGTGACGGTATTAGTCAAGGGTGTATAGGATATAAATATCTACAAAGCGTTGAGTTAATCAGCCCCTATCCTGGATTGCTCACGGGCATTCTTGGGAGAGAAATTCAGAAAGTGACTTATATTTGGTGTTATGGAGAACGTGAGACGGTGAAGAGGGTGCAAATATATCCAGTAACCGCTTAGCTAGCAGTAGTGGACGAGAGCGCAAGTTAGCGTGGTGTTGTGGGACAGCTCAACGTGAAGGAAATAGACGAGCAATCAGAACGCTGATTCGCCTTAAGGTCATTTGGTGAGCCTTCCATAAGAGCCTTGGGAGATAAATTATAAACTCACGTTATGACGACTCCCGTGCATCTATGCGATTAAAAACACTTTGAGGCTCAAATAGTAGTCATGCTCAGATTTTACGACTCAGGCGCAGCATGAAAATCGTGCATAATGAGTGTTATGGATAGCAGAGACATTCTTGGGAGAGAAATTCGAGTGCGAACTTAGTACTTCAGTAACAAAAACCTAGGTGATTCGTACCCCAGTTAGTGACGACGCAACTAGTACATTACAGCTCAGCATTCACACTTCAGAGAATGGTCGACAACTTCGTATTCACGCTCAAGGACAGACAACACTGGTGTAATACGTCGGCTATACACCGACACTACAGTACCACTACAAGCTGCCCATCCTCAGCAGCGTCAAACAGCCGGGCCATGCCTCCCTCCAACTCCTTCACCCGATGGAAGATAGCGCCTGAAACGCCCGTGACAAAGGGAGATGTCTTCGACCTGAAGAACACTTGAATGTCAGCACATGGGTCACTATATACCGGAGGCGGGACACATACCAAGATGCAAAGATGCCTACGTGTTTTCCACGAGTGACCAGGTAGAAAGGGCCTTCAACGCCTTCATTGGGCAGCCAAAACGAAACACCAAGATATGTCATCTGGTGATGACCGCTGCCCGACGCCGTGGACGTCGAGACAGGAGGAGGCCCAGCAGAGGAGACATTGGTGCTGGAGGGAGAGGCTTGAGTGGTCGCAACAGCCGCCATCGCCTCGGGGGCTTCAGCGGGCGGAACGGAGAGGCGAGTGACAGAGGTTGTAGTCGTCCCCGCAGAGCTGGGCGAACTTCCCGCAGCATTGGACGGGACGTCCTTCGAAGAGGGATCTGCCTCAACGACGTCTAGTACGGTTAGAATGGTATGACAAAAATGGAGGCGAAGGCGGTTACGTACCATCGCCATCGTCAAAGCCGTCCTCTGTGTCCGAAATCTCCGTCGGAATCGTCATCACCTCCACTTCGCTCCAATTAGCTCTGGCCAGTTGGAATACGAGCTGCTGGCGCATGGCGTCTGAGATCGCCCATCCTTTGATCAAGGAGACAAGATCTAAAAACAGTGAGTCAGGGTTCACGTGGGGAGTAGATATATACTTACGGTCGACTTGCTCAGCTTCGAAAGCGCTAGCACTGAAGGTGGTGGGAGGGACAGCAGGGATATGCATGGGGGGCGAACGAGTTGTGGACAACCAGCGCGGCGCCTTTCATAGTCCCAACGATCAGGAGATTAAAGTTGAATCTCCGACCAACCTGACCCAGGCACGTCTCGGGGCCTGATGCAGGTTGACGTCGCACTTGTGCTTCGATGGTGCGTTGACGTCGCAGTAGCTGGCCGATGATGGATTGTTCACTTCGCTATGTGAGTTGGCTCTGCACGCGGTCACATCGTTGGCAAGATCGGCTGACTCAGTACGACAGTTCTCCAGCGTTTCGTGGGCGGGTCGGATAACGTCAACCGGCTGCCTACCATCCGGTCCGTGGATTGTTGATTTTTCACACGCGCCCGAGGCTCCCGAGACTCCCGCCAGAGGTGCTGCTTCGACAGCCACGAACCTACGAATCGACCAACGCGACTCGTGCGATGTCTGGGGGGAGCGTGTTCACAGTTTTCATTCAAGGCCTTCTGCGTACGACATGTCTGAGTGAGTCCCTTACTATTCTGTAGACATGTATGTTAACCATCAATGCAGCTGTAACACCACAGACTCGCGTTGATGATCTACTCGACGATCTCAGGACTAGGGGACACTTACCGGCCAATATGTCAAGTACTCCTTTTCTTTGCTATGCGGGGCGGGTTCTCGGCTCGAACTCTACGCTCAGAGAGCTCGACATTGAGCCTTCAGCGACACTTCAGCTCAGGGTGCGCCTACCTGGAGGCGGACGTATGTATTTTGTGCCATAGTATATCGGGTGTTGCTGAATTTGATAACAGCACGTACCTTTGAAGAAGTACAAGCTCAGAAAATGAAAAAGTCAATGAAACGCTCCGGTTTCTCCATCGTCGATACCAAACCTCAGACGTCTACCAGCTCTGGCCTAGTTTCCCTCCACAAATTCACTGCGGTAGCATTGCCCAACGGCGGCTCAAGCTTCTCGACTGTACGCGAGACAACGATGGGCCGTTCCTCGCAAGTGTTCAATTCGCCTCAGGTCAGCAGTCAGCCATCAACGTCGGCCGAGGCAGAGCGTCCCGCGGTGGACGAGGATGTAAATTTCCCCGCGTCAGAGTACCACACCTCCGTCAGCGAGAACGATGCGAGGGAAGAGGTTGATGATGGAGGAGAGGAGGAGGCGCAAGCGGGTTCAAAACGAAAACGTGGCGGAGCTGGGGTGAGTTAATGGTCTGATCGCCACTTTTCACTGCGTTGACTTTCGCTATAGGATAATCCGCTGCGTCGGTGGCTGAGTCACCGGTTTGAATACCTCAAAGAGCTCCTGAGAGGAGAAGGCCGAGGGGAGCAGGTCGAGCAGACGGTCTGCTCGAGTTGCCAAGCGTCTGAGCCCGAGTTTCGGTGCAAGGATTGCTTTGGCGGGCTTCTTTATTGCCAGGGGTGTATTGTCAAGAAACACGTCGAAAACCCTCTCCATCGCATCGAAGTGAGTATCAGTCATTGTCACATATGTTCATCCTACTCATAAGTCTGCACGAAGCGGTGGAACGGATCGTTTTTCGAGCGCGACACTCTGAAGCGCGCTGGGCTGGTCGTACAGCTCAACCACCCGATAGGAGAGCTTTGCCTGGCCCCAAAACAAGCATGGAACAACGATTTCACCGTCATTGACGTCTCTGGAGTTCACGAAGTATCGGTGATGTACTGCGAGTGTCCGAAGCGGATCAGACGCCATCAGCAACTCCTCCGTTCGTCTTGGTATCCTGCAACAACCGATGAGCCCAAGACGGCCGCAACTTTCCGAGTTTTAGAGCAATATCATCTATTATCCTTCGAGTCGAAAGCATCCGCGTATGAGTTCTACAGCTCCTTGTGTCGGAGAACAGACAACACAGGATTGCCGGTCCCTAAGGTGAGTCACTCGATGTCTTTGCTGCATAAATATCTAATCGTATATTTTAGGACCGATATGATCAGTTTCTGCGGATGATGCGCGAGTGGCGCCACTTGAAGATGTTGAAGCGCTCAGGAGTCGGACACGAAGAGACGATGCCGGAGGATCTTCCGGATGGAACCTGCGCTGTGATATGTCCTGCCTGCCCTCAGCCTGAACGTAACCTTCCCAGCGGATGGGAAAACGCAAAGGGGAATAGGTAATATTTCTCTCGATTGATTATCGGGCATAGCTGACGACGTCTAGATGGCTTTATTCCCTCTTTGTCGCTATAGATGCCAACTTTCGTCTCAAGCGTAAGAAGGTGTCGTCCGAGTCTGCGGACCCGTCTCTGGGGTGTGGGCTGAGCTACTTTGTTCGCGATGAACCATTCCGTGAACATGTCTCGTCTCACGCGAGAGATAGCCAGGACGTGAGTCGCGTCCCCATCTAACGTCATAATTGCTCAGTCAAAACCTGCAGAAAAGCTCGTGCGCGAGCCACAAGGCCGTTAACAAGCTCAACACTAAGTTCTCCGAAGGGCTTGCAACAACCGGCGTCGGCACAATCGACTGCGCCCGCCATAACATCAAGTTACCGTGTGGTGTAGGGAATCTGAATGGTGCAGAGCGGTGCGTTTGTCGGTTCGCGATCTTTACATCATACTAAACGCTTTTGTAGATACTCGATCATGGACTATATTATATTCTCGGGACTACGTTTCACGCGCGTCAAGGATATCAACTTCTCGTACGACATCGCTTGCCAGTGGTCCAAGAATCTATGGTCGCGAGTCTCGAAGCTGCCTTCCTACCTCTCTTTCGAACGGGCTTCCCGATTCATCCGCTTCTTTGTCCCAAAATTCCACCTTCCTGCCCACATCGCTCGGTGCCAAATGCGATTCTCCTTCAATTGGATGCCCGGTGTCGGACGAACTGACGGCGAGGCTGTGGAGCGCGGATGGGCCAACATCAACCCGGTCGCCACCAGCACCAAGGAAATGGGCCCAGGTCATCGTATCGATACGCTCGACGACTACTTTGGTGATTGGAACTGGAAGAAGGTTATTGGCCTCGGTGAGCTCCTTAAGCGCCGACTAGAGGAGGCGATACCCGCGAGCAAGACTCACACGGCGGACTTGAAAGAGTTCGAGGCAAGCCTACCCCCGGGAACACTGCAAACCTGGAGGAAAGAGATGGTGAATTGGGAGAGTGATCCGGACGGGAACCAGAACCCTTTCGAGTCGAGGTCAAACGGTGAGCCTTTGATCGTCAAAGAACATTTTCGAGGAGCTAACTCCAACTTACTTGTAGACCCCACGCTGGCCTCTATACGTCTTGAACTGGCTAAAGAAGAGGCGTTGATCCCATCTCCTGCTAGTGCCGCGAGCGACATGACTGCAAGCGCACTCATTTCATCTGGTCTCGACCTCATGGAGCAGCGACGCCGCCTACGATCGGATCGCGAAGGCCTGGGTCAGCATGCAACGGATATTCAGAAGACGGTGGTAGAGCAGCGCTCGACGATCCTCCGCAACAAACTCGACTCATGGATACGCGCTCAGCTACATTATATGCCAGGCGTCGCCCGCCTCCGCCCACTTGACGCTCCATCAGCCGCTCAAGAGGACCTTCCTGAGGACGCCAATCTGTTTCTGCCGTCTGACCTGCCCGTGGACTTCGAGTGCGACGACGCCCTGAAGAAAATGGAGTTCAAACTCCGGGTTGGTCAAGCTTACGATGCGCTTGCAGCGCTGCGCCAGTCGCTTCAGCTCCGTTCTTACCTACTCAACTACAAGGCTCAGAATATCTCAGGGCAAACACTTACGACGAAAGCTCAAGGCTTGGTCAACAAAGCTGGGAAAAAAATTACGTGGCATCGCGACTCGTACACGCTCGCGCGCACGGCACTTTTGGTACTCGCCGAGCGTCTGCCAGATCTGTCGATTCCGAAGGACCTGAAGATTTTGACGGACAACGACGTTCACGCCATGACAGATGTGATGGAAGCTCAGACTGAGGGCCGGCGGCGTCTGACTTGGATCTGGCGTTCTGGGGACGTATCTCAGGGTGACGATGGGTTACAGGACGGTAATGTGTTCGAGATCATATTCTACATCCGCTGGTTCTAATCAATAATGTAGGTATACGGACGGAGTGGTGTAAGGCCAGGGCGCGCGCATTACGATGGACTGAAGAGGTACATCTACTGAAGGAAGAGATGCGACGCACCTTGCAGTATATGCTCTGGCATGCGCGCTGGTGGGAGGTACGCGGGGATAAGGTCAATGACGAGGGGAGTAGAGCATATGCCGCAAGACAGGCAAGCATGCGGTATATGCTCGTGGATAGGTTTGATGGTTTATGGGCCACTTATAATATTCCAAAGCCGTCCTTACAAAACCACTGTAATCTAAGTACTTCCAGTACGTAGCATAATGGGGACTTAGTGAAATCTACGAGTGACTCGGCGTCTATACCAACAGACGGGCTGAATGACGTCGGCCTCTCGTCGGTGAATTGGACTTGGCAAGGATGGCTGCGTTTGCGTCTTCGGCACATCAGGAACCTTACAGCCGACTGGTCGGAGCTTGAACAAGCTTGTGCAAGCTTGTACAAGCCCCGAAAGTCCGGACAGGCCGAAAGCCGACCAGAAAGTAAGAAATTTGAAAAGTTTTCTCTCAAAACGTGATTAAATCCGTGACATGTCACATAAATAACGCATGTCACTGAGTAGCCGAGCCCACTCGAATCGACATTCCCGTGCAATTCCCTGGTTCAAAAATGCCTCGTTGCAGGAAGAACTAATGGTTAGTGTACACAGCCGCACTGTGGCTAAAAACTGACCTCAAAGTTACATAGAACATGATTTCGCGCATGGGTGTGACATTGTGTGACTGGGCAATCTTTTGCCAAGACTCACAAGTCGCCAAGACGCCGACGATGTTACTGATGCATGACGTCGCTGGTCTCGGCTTTATTACGGGTACCGTCTCATTTTGGCTCATTTGCTGGGGTTTCTGCAACGCCGTCTTCATTCCAAGAGGATTGCGAAGAGACTGACTTGAAGAACGCCTGTATACAATGTCGCAGGGTAAATATTAGCATTAGGAACTTATAATAAGCATGGCGCCTTCTCACCAGTTCGACGTATGCCAATTAATGTTCCATATGCAGAAAAATTGCGAGCAGGATTAAGTATTGCCCGTCGCTGTGCCGCCGGGAATGTTCTTGTGAGGTATTGCAGTAGTACTGGCAAGCGCGTGTGGGTTGGTACATAGACACCGAGCTCATATTGCATCAGCACTGACAGCCGGAGGTGCCGACCGGAAGCTATGGCGTCCGTACGGACAGGTACTAATGTTGATCGACACATAGCCACCGTGTCTGTATTGCAGTAGCGCTGACAATCGGTGACGTCTGCCGCCGACATTCTATCATTGCAGTAACACTGACACCCGTAGACGTCAGCCGGCGGAAGCAGCGGGGGCCTATTGCAACGCCACTGATAGTCGCTGACAGCTGTCAGATGGTCCCGCCCGACGTTTATTGCAGAACTTCTGACAGCCTGGAATTATAGGTACCGGGGTGTATTGCAGCACGACTGATAACGTTCTTATTCGCCTGTCGCCGGGGGCTATCCGAGTATTGCAGTACCACTGTCAGTGCCGCCGGCAGGTTAATTTCCCCCGTGACTCTTTTGCAGTACCACCGATGGTTCAGCCACGAACCTGTGATGATTGCCCCCGTTCATCTATTGCAGTAGATGTGATCGCGGGGAAACATCGCTCTCTTCTTACCTACATCACGCCTACTGCAATACCGGTGACACGCTGGTTGTCACTGGGTTTTGCAATACTTTGACAGCCACCCCTCGAAATGGAGAGAGAGAAAATCTGTACAAGGAGGAAATGGAGAATCGAAGTTGTCGTGATGTGCGCTGACCATATAACGGCTTCATTAATTGAGTCATATCACAAGGAGATGCGGGGCATGTCATAAGGATATCATGTCCTTTTCGTCAGTATATACAAAGGGTCGGTATCACTGGGATATACCAAAAGCTCAACTTGGCCCAGTCACCAACATATGACTTCTCCACCGCGCGAAATGACTGCCAGGTGTTCAGACAACAAGGACGACAGCAAATAAATTATTGAAGTGGGTACATAAGGCTTTGGTATACATGATATGAGTGTGCTTTCGAGAGTGTAATTAGAAATGCGAAGAGATGATAGAGCCGCCAACGAATGGTGATGCATATCTCAAAAACTCGGACCAGATCACATCCAACGTATCCTCCGCAGTCGACCGAGGCCCGCGAGAATACGCATCCGTGACCCAAGACTCGATGAACGAGCCCTCGAGTACAATGTCACCGTCCCACTTGGGCCAATCCCCGTGCGGGAAGTTAAGGTGAGCACCGACCCAAGAAATCCAAAAAATGTCTGTACCCCACGCCCTCAGCCCGCTGTCAGGCCGGAGCGTGACGACGAAGTCACGGATGCTGTCGGAAAGGCGAGCCCAGTGGTTCGGGTCAAAGCGGTTGAAGGTCGACGGGAGAGGGATAAATGTGATGTCACGGTCGAGGGACGGGTCGTAGTCATGAGCATCTGCCGGTAGCTCTCCTTCTGAGTGGGATGGAAACTGTTGAAGGTCGATTAGTGCAGAGTACTCAGATGAAAAATACAATTACTCACCGGTGAGCCATCAAGCCCAACCTCTTCCGCGCCTTCATCCTTCCGTGAGTGTGCGTGTAAAGACAGGTTCGTGAAGGGCCTGAGGTCTTCAGCTATAGACACTGAGATAGAGATAGGCTGTTGTTCAAGCAGCAGCGTGAGCGGGATGGGGCTCTTTGGATACTAGGAAGGCACTTACAAGGTTGCTGCGAATGAGGTGAGAAGGTATCTCGCCCGTGACCGCGATAGATACTTCAAAAGGATGTACGCTGACTCTCCCAGAGCTGTTGACCGTAAAGTCAGGGTATATAGTAGCGTTAATGGGCGAGGTGAGTTCCATGGAGCCTGCGTCAAAGACAAGAACAATGGGGAAGGAATGAGGAAAAGACGTGGAGTCGAGCTGTGCGAAGAGACAAGTGCACGTGATCTCCACGCTGATGCCTCGCGCCGGACTTCAGCTTCAGCTTCAGGCTTCAAGCTGCGTCACGGCTCTCGCGCCGACTCTCCTCAAACACCTCGAATACAACATCCTTTCCCCCGCAAACACACTCTATTAAGCATCATGCCAAAAGGCGATGAGTGCTTGATTGACGGAACCAGTAAGAATACGACACTCACTCTCATATCAGATCTTAACATGTCTTATTTCACTCTAGTCATCACTGAGGCGTTGATGACTGGACGCCATCAGATGGCTCGTTGCAGCATCTGTCAAGTAAATCTGAAAGTGAAAGGTAGTCTCGCCAAGCATCTCGGCTCGAGAAAACATCATTCTGCTCTACAGCAGAAAGCCTCGACGTCATTACCCCTGTATATGCAACCTCATGTTGCAAGTACCTCCAACGGCAGAAAGTCTCGAGGCCGGATACGTACGCCGAATCACGATTACCAAGAGCCATATGACGAGCCTAGTCATTTCGAACCCATGGACATCTGTCCACCTGACACCGTTCAAGATAATTACGACGCCAATCAGGACGCTAACTCCAACGAGCCGTTGGCCCAGAACGACGCGGAAGATGACCGTATTCCACTCTTCAAACTCGCACATAATATCTCGCATTATTACACCGATAACGAGCTCAAGACAGACGGGTTTCTCTGGGATAAGTTACGACAAGAACTTGCCTTTCGAGACGCGTCGAGAGTCCCAATCGACGACGAGCTCGATGGCATGTATGTTGAGCCAGATTATGGTATTCAATTGCCTGGTAAGTCCGGAAAGTTCACTTCGAGGCATTCTCTGACATCATTCATAGATACTCTCCCCACACGCCAAACTGAAGGTGTTCCCGAAACGTCACCAGACAATCCCTCGTATCCGTGGCCGTCGAAAGAGGTGAGCCAATTCGACCATGATCTTACCATGTGTACTAAGCTGGTATTAGCACTTCATAACTTCTGTTCTCTTCAGTTCACCCCGGATTCCTTACTCGACAGCCCAGAAAACCGCCGTCCTCAATTGGGCCAAGGAACTCGGTGCCCCAAACGTCCCTTCGCTCTACTCCCTCCGGAAAGCCCATGAACGTATCAAGGCAATGGTAGGAGATCCTACCGAGAGGAAGACCACACCCGCCGGCGATGTTCTCTATATTAACAGTGTCGCACGAGCGATTGCCATGGTGCGTACCGGTCCTGTAATGTTGTACCGTGCACTAACAGTGTTATATTGACGTTTTGAAGGACTATTCGAATCCGTTGACCCGTCATGCGATGCAAGATTACCCCGAAGACGATCCCGAGTCCATATCTGAGGTCTTTCACGGCTCGAAGATGCTGGCCGAGCGGCCATCACCTCCCGCCGTCCGTTGGAATACATCGATTTATTTTGTCGACGAGCTGCTACAGCTGAAAACCGGTAACTACTTCATTCCGACACGGTTTTTCTATGGATCCCCTCGGAATGCGGAAGGCGCCCGCGAGCGACAACTATTGGCATTTGGCCTTCCGGCCCGTTACACCGCCGTGAGTGTTTATACCTTCTTCTTTGAGTCTTGATCCTGATCGCATTGATGACCAGATGGGCTTTGACGTATCTTCTAATCCCGAGATTGTTCCTATATCGTCGTTCGCGTTCTCATTCCCCGAGCTAGAAAAAGAAGGGAAAACTCAGTGCGGGATTGCAGGTCTGTGCACGTTTCCCTCACATATGACAAAATGTTCACTCGACCACAGAACCATCACGCTCGAGAGCCAAACTCGAGCAACACCCTCTTCGCATCAAATACAAAGGCAAGATGGTATACTCAGTGCCTCTCATCGTCTTTATGGACGATGTGTCAGGTAATATCTCAAAGCAATGGAACAAGCATCACGCGGTCTATATGTCAAATGCTAATCTGCCTCGTCGCATGATCGAGAAGGAATTCTGTATACGATTCGTCTCCTCATCTCCAAACGCTGCACCAATGGAGTTGATGCGCGCGATGAAGGACTCCGTTAGGTGAGTAAAATGGTGACTCAAACATTCTCTTGCTAAAGGGACTTGAAGCGATGCTGCCGCCTCTGGAGTACGAGCCTGGGATTGCAAATACAACGAGGATGTCATTCTTGAGCCATACGGACTCTTCTTCGCTGGCGATAACCCAATGCAGGCCGAAGAATGTAGCCATGGAGGGGTGAATTGTAACTATTTCTGCAGGACATGTGATGTCGGGGGGCCCGGCGTATACAAGCAGAGCCTCGAGGGCTATAACGCAATCTTTTCGGTGAGTCTTTCATATTTCTGTTTCACTATTCCGAGCTCTAATACAGTTAAACGTTTTTTTAGTGTGGCAACGAGCGCAAGCCCGATGAGACACGGGAACAAATACTTGAGCAGTTCAAACTCGCTGTCAAGCCCGGCGCAACCTCAAAGCTATCAAAATTGCTGCAGAAAACCGGAGTTCGAGACACGGCAACATCATCAATCCTGAACACGATCGCTGACATGGGTAAGAAACTTAGGGCTAAAACTAACAATACTGGCGCCCCACAGTCTGAACGCGAAATCCAAAAGAAGCTCGAGGACGAGCTCGAAGAGCTTCTTCGAGGGCGAACCATCGAAGACACCATCAATCCCTTGCTTGGAATGGACGGTGAGTGTCATTGGTTTCGTATTCTACTGCATTTCTTTACTAACCTGATTGTCTATGCAAGGCGTTAACATACATATGGACACACCAACCGAGATCTTGCACACGATCTTGCTCGGTGTTGTCAAGTACATGTGGGGGCAAACAGTCTTCATCCTGGACAACAAGAAGCTACTCGACGCCTTCCAGACTCGGCTCGATTCCGTCAGCGTGAACGGACTCAACGTTGCGGATGTTGATGCAGAATACATGGTCCGGCATCGACGAAGTCTTATCGGGAAACATTTCAAAAGTCTCGCTCAGGTGATGCCATTTCTTATATATGACCTCGTGCCTAGCGATGTCCTGGATGCATGGACATGTCTTGGTGAGCTAGTAGTCCTTATCTGGCACACTGAGATCCACGACATGGAGCTTTACCTGGTGAGTCCCCGGCCGGAATTTTCATTTTAAACGTCATCTCAGACTCAATTTCGAGTCCAGGCCGACTTGTCACGCACTATCCAAGATTTTCTCAACATATCCTGCAAGTGCGCGCCCTCTATCATCATCAGCAAGTCAAAATACCATTTCCTTGTCCATCTCCCAGCCTATATACGTCGTTTCGGACCCGCAATAATTTTCTCAACAGAGCGTTATGAGTCATTTAATCATGTCTTTCGCCTCTCTTGTATCTTCAGCAATCGACAAGCCCCAAGCAGGGACAGCTGCACCGCCTTCGCACTTCAAGACGTCGTCAAACATCTGGCTACGGGCGGCTTCTTCTTCGACGAGCCCAACAAGCAATGGCTTCAAGCGGGTCGGTTTGTTCAGACTTATCTGAAAAAACATCCCGAGCAAGCCCGTCTGCTGGGTCTGGTAGACTGGAACCTTGAGTCTCATGGCCCAGAACCAGGTGCGTCGTCTTCACCAAATGGCTTTACAATGCTAATGTTGTCTCATAGGTACCGGAAAACCCAAACGCCCGACGAGCTTGATCGTTTATCATAAAACGAGATGCTCCAGTATTCAAGCTGGCGATCTTTCCGAGTCAGAGACAGCCTTCTACCATCAAGGCGCGAGTCTCATCACGCAAGAAGGCGACAACGTCGCTGTCGATCAGCACGTTATCCTTCGCCAGGATGACGGCCTCGCAATTGGGACTATTCGCGAGATCCTCATTCCCGCCGACGACGAAAAGACCGTGCGGCACGTCGCGCTACAACTCATGGTCTTTGAAGAGGAACTCCAGCCTGTGCTTCATGTCCCGTGCCTCCGCCAAACCCCTCGCGAGGTAGTAGTTAGCCCAACTGTGAGTACCGGTTACGTTCTCTCTATTATCATTGTCCTCAAACAGACGTCAGGACATCATCTGCGCTGTCAACATTCAACATAACTGCGTCGACTCAGGCTGCAACGGAATCACTTCAAAAACGGTGTACCAAGAACGAGAAGCTACCGAACGTAGCACGCTCGTCATCCAGCACGAGTCAAACAACATGTACGTGCTGAACACGTTCGCTCTGCACAACTACAGGTATGTTAAGGAGGTCACGCCTCCGAATCTACGTGATACTCCTCTACGTGTCCAAGTCGACAACGTGGATCGAGTTCGCGCTGAGGCAGTGGAGGACATCAAAAGAAAGAAGAAGAAATCACGAGACGTTGACCAACCACCGGATGCCTCGCAAGTTGAGCGAGGCCAGTCGGTGACGCCCAGCGTTGCCATGCAATCGCCACGTCCCCCATCGGCGCATGCGTTCGAGTCCACGGCAGCCCCGCAAAGGCCCAAACCTCGCCAAAAGAAGTCAGTCCACGCTCGCCAACCTTCTGCTCAGCGTTTCAGCATGGCACCAAGCCCTCCCGATGTCCAATCACCTCGCCTTTCCGATTTTCCACCTGTTCCTCCGCCCTCTGCTCCCCAGCCTCCGTTTACAGCTGAGCGATCACACCTCATTGCCCCACGCAGTTCTTTCATTACACCTGGCCCATCATCTCTGTCGCTCTTGTATGTCCCTGTACATCAGCCTGCATTCCTTCCCCTTCAATCGGGAGACATGGTAAGTCCTTGCACTCATTATAAACCTGTTCTCTGACTGTGGCCCAGGTGATGTCTCCTCCTCTTGGTTTTGCATCTCCACCGTTATCGGAACCCCATCATATGGCCACACAGCGCTTGGATAATTACCGGCACCAAGAGGTTCACGAGTCGTCAACTCATGGCCGCCAGTTTAATCAAGAACTCGGCTTTCTTCCTCCTGCTTTCTCTTGGCCGCACGTCGCTGCTCCTCAGCCCCGTGTGCCCCCAACAATTCCCCAACAGCCTCGCTTCTCCCCGCCTCGTTTCCACCACCAGCCCCCTTTTTTGCCTCATTTTTGGCAGCAGCCGCCCCTCATGCAAACTCATTCGAACCTGATGCGACCTCCGCTTCTGCAGCATCAACCACAGCCTTCCCCTGTGCATCCCCAGCGGCAATCACCACAGCCCATCCCTTCATCCTCATGCCCACCCTCACACCTTCCCAATGATCATTCCGACTTGCATGCCGCATCCATGCAGCGCCATGAACACCCTTATCATTCCCCATATTGACCTTTGCCACTGAAGCAAGCAGCTGCACTGTCACAGTGCTGCACGGCGTCTCGGCACGGCGACTTCGCTTCCAGTTCAATGAATTGGCCCTTGTCATGTGACCACACGCAAACGTGCGCCGTTCAGAGTTCACAGCCGCGTGTTTTTTTCTTTTTCTTCCGTCTCTCTCCTTCCTCTTTGTTTCTTCATCCCCTCGTCTCTCGTTTTTCCTCCCTTCCCTTCTCCCCCTCCCTTCCTCTTTCCCTTCCTTCGTGCCCCGCGCACGATGTTCGTCGGTCGTTACCCTTACCAGGCCCCTCCTTCGGCTGGCGGGTCTGCGAGGACCTCCCGAGCTCCCAGCTCCGGAGCAAGCACCCGTCCACCATCCAATTCCGGCGCGCCCCGTCCACCGTCCAGTGCAGGCACCCGTCCACCGTCCAGCGCAGGCACCCGTCCATCATCCAACGCGGGTACCCGTCCACCATCCAGTGCAGGCAACCGCCCACCGTCCAGTGCAGGTATCCGCCCACCGTCAAGCATGGGTTCTCGCCCACCATCAAGAACCGACTTGCGGTCGCGATCTCAGACTGCGGCTGTGCCTCAGGGGCCGGCGGGTCGCCCACTACCCACGACTTTTTCCCAACCTCGTCGTGTTCCCGATGACGATGAGCTCCTTGCATCCATCACTGCCGGCGTGCGCAGGGGCAGGGACGAGTTCGAGACCGAATTCGACACAAGTTCGCTCAAGCTCAGCGGCCAGGACATCAAGAGGTACAAGGTCATGGCTGACAACATCGCTGCGTCTGCAGACATCGACAAGAGTATCCTTTACAACTTCGTTGAGGTACGCCGCTCACCATACACGGTGCTCATCATACTTACTTCTTGTTTTAGCTCGGCGACATCGTCCCAATGCTCATGGACATCCGAGCCCACCAAGAGGTGGCGACAATGACCGAGCAGGACAAGATCAAGAACGTCTGGGAGAAAAAGCTCCTTTCGAAGGACTTCAGGGTATGTAACTTTGCCGCTTGCTATCATTTCTAACATACTATTCAGAGCATGGTCACTGAGCGCCTGATGGCTGCTTTCCTATCCCCGCAGCTGACAGCATATCGGGTTATGTTCACTAGTCAAGTAATGGTACGTCTTCATTGAATCAAACATAGGCTATTGACCACCAACATCCACAGATCTTTGCGAGCCGGCACCCGGACGTCTTCGGCATCGACCACACTGTCCTCGACGACCACCACTTGGAGAAGTCATTCCAGAGGTTCATCTCGAGCACCAGCGGATCGGTTCGAGGGACGTTCAAAGAACGGGTAAGGTTCTTCTGTCTGTAAACTTCCTTTCGGGCTAATGCTCTTTCCAAGGTGACTGACTCCCTCTTGAAAGAGTGGAGCCTTCTCGACCTCTCCAGTCAGCTCGCGGCGTCTGCTCATCGCATGCCAATGGATTCCTCTCATTGGAGGAAAATAGCTGCTGTCGTAAGTGTTGTGCTTATCTTTGCATTCAAGTGTCTGATCTTATTATTTTACTAGCGCGTCTTCACTCGTCAGTTCTACATTGGTGTTGGCCACTATGACAAGCCCCGGGCTCCCTCTTTGAATCGGCTTTATACTATGAACATCGCCCCTTTCCTCCACTACGACTTTTACCCCATCATTCAGCAGCATCTTGGCCTCGACGTCCGCGCGGACGTGGCTGATGCTGGCAGTGACGGGTCCCTTGCGTGCCTGGGTCAAAACCTCGACGACGATGGCATGCCTATCATCATCGACACCACGCCCGAGCAGGACGACAACCTGGAGCCCGAGTCCCAGCCCTTGCCCGAGTCCGTGTTCCAGAACCCGCCTGAGCTCGACTCTCAGACCGAGCCCGAGTCTCAGACCGAGCCCGAGTCCCAACCCGAGCCCGAGTCCCAAACCGAGCCCGAGTCTCAAATTGTGCCGGAGACCCAGTTCGACAGTTTCGACGACCGGTACCCGGTTAATGGTGACGACACCGACTCGTTTTGGGACACCCACGATGACAGCTCCATGCCCACTGTGCTTCTCCCACTCCCACAGGTCCCTCCATCTGGCTTTTTCCCCGTTCTTGGTCCTGACGGTAAACTGATTCCAGCCCGCTGGTCGATGAGGGAGTATTGGGAGTACATCGACCATTCCTTCAATAACCTTCGCAAGGTTGCTTTGGCCAATGCCCGCAACCACCCAACACCAGGCTTGACGCTTGAGCGCGCTCGCGACGCCGAGCTCAAGAGGTATATACTCTTATCTATTATTCTTCCACTTGCTTACTTCTTGTATTGTTAGGTTAATGGGTCTCCTCATGCAGGCCGACATGGCTGACTTCCGAGGCACCAATGATGACATCTCAATGCGTGATATTGCTATGGCTTCCGACGTCATGGAAGCCGGCAGGAGTGTCGCCGTCCCCCAGTGGATGAGCATCATCCAGCAAGACCTTCGTTGGGACTGAGTGGTAGTTGTCGCATTGCATACCCTTCTCAAGCATCATACTATCGCATTGCCGTCGTTACTTTATCTTTTTCACTAATAACAATCGTCGTGCTTTTGATTACACCCGGGCCCGGTGCCACTGTTAATATTGGTTTGGATGCAGTCGGATATTTGCATGAGTATATTGCCCGGTTGTATGCTGACTGATTTTGCTCCATAACGAATCTGACATATGGCCGGAAAATAGTCTTTCGGACATGCGGACTATATATTCGGCTCCATATGCGCGCTATAAACTGAGCCGCATCTCGTGGTTATGTAGCCAAGTTGGTATGATGGCTATATGTCAAACTATATCTCCTATGCATATCTGTATCTCGATATCGCGACTATATTAACAAGGCAATGACCCAGGATATCGGGATGTGAGATTTGGTACGATATCGCTGAGCCATTTCGGACGGGGATTGAAATCGTTTCGCTGGGTAATCGAAAGCATAAGGTGATGATATAGGAGTGATGATATGGTGAGCTAATGGTACTTCTATATCCTGCACCCCCTATGGTACAGGAAATGGTCACGAGCTACCTTCGATATCGATCCGATTTAGTTTCAAAACTATATCCTGGCGATCTCGACCTCGCATGGCCGTGTAGTCGACCAGAAAGTAGATGCGGCGCTGATAGGCGCTGGGACAACGCCGGGAGTTCCCGGATAGCACCCGCATCACCGAAACTCTCAAAACTGTGCGAAGCAAAAGAAAAGACACGGACGCATTAGCTGAGTATATAGGTTAGCTAGCATACAAAACATTGCCAGAGGTAGCGCTAGCACTGATAATGATACAGTTGATGGGTACAGGTTAATAACGAAGTTAGCCAAATTGACCAGATGCCATGAAAGTCCAGGTATATGTACAAATGAACCAGAAGAAAAAAGAAAAGTAGAGCGACGAAACATGAGTGAAAACATAACCAGGCATTCGTCGGCTATCGCCCACTCGGCAAAGCCGGCGCTTTCTTGCGCTGCAACCGCTCCATTTCGTCGATCGCCTGCAGGTCCCACGGTGGCGGGTACCGCGCATCGACGAGGTTCTGGTCCGCGAGTGCGTCGCGCATGCGCTCCTTGTCGGTCATGTTCATCCGCGCGCGACACCGAACCAGTCGGAGCTTCGTGCGCGTTATCCCTGGGAAAGCCGTTAGTATCGCTCAATTGATGCACTGGGAAGGGGGAAGACGTACAAGTAGCAATAGTCTTCCTATCCTCCTCCGCAAAGTCGTTCCCGCTCTGCAGCTCATCCTGAAGCGCATACAAGCACCAGAGAGACTCCTCGTAGAGTTTCTCGCACTCGTCGGGCTTGCTTGCCTGGTCGGTCAGCTCCTTGCGCGCAGCAGTGCGACTCTGGGACAAAGCGCTATCAGAACAGGCGCCCTGAAAACCCGAGACGGGTCGGGTAACAACTCACGAGCATTAAGGCACGGTCATACACAAGCTGATCGACCCACATTTTCGGCCCGTCATACTGCGCTGGAAGCCACGTCTTGACGAGCGTCGCGCGGTCATTGCACCTGATGAACTGTTCCTTGAACCATGTCAAGGCTAGGAGACGAACGATCCGTGAGCAACGTCGTCACAACGTACTGCACTATAAACGTAACATACCGTCTCGAAAACCATCGCTCACGTTGCCATCCCCGTCCGCAATAAGCTGCTGGCGGTACGCAACCAGCTTGTCGATGCCTCGCTGCACGAACGACATGAGCAGGATGTATATCGCAATGCACGTTACTGCGAGTTCGGCCTGCTTCATTGCGCGTGTACCGCCTGTCGCAGGATCAGGGAGCGGCTCTGCCAGATACATCAGCACAATCCCAATAAACGAAGACACCAAGGAAAAGGCTCACTCTGAGGCACAGCCTTAACGAACTCATACATCTCGTCCGCCCAATGTGCCAGCACGTCCGTCTTCTGCGCCAGGTTCTCCAGCCACGCAAGCAACGCCTCCTCCCCGCTCTCCTGTTCCTTCCCTTTCGCAGACCACAATGCTTCGTCGTCGTTGAGTGCTCCTCCAATCATCTCGTCCCCTTTCTCGCCACCGCTTCCACCTCCACTTCCTGATCCGTCGCCGTTGAGCTCGCTCTCCGAAGCCTCTGGCGGCGTCCTCACCAATATCGGTCTTCGTCTCGGCTCACCCGATGGTGTCCTATACATGCCCTCACCTGCTCCATCGTCTGAGACGCGGCCAGGTGCGGGATAACGAGGGGTGGTTGTGCCAACGAGCTTGCGATATGCGAGACTCAGAGCCCTACTCAGGGCGCTTGTGGGACTAGAGCTTGGGATCAAGTTTGGCGGCGATGTGCTGATAGGATTAGGCGCTGGCGGGAAGGTGGTTGGCGTGGAAGGTAGGGTCGTCGCATGCGTGAGAGGAGGGGCGGTGAGGGGCGAACTAGACATTGGGACATGTGCCACTGCTGCTGCTGTAGGTGAATTGGGAAACCCAGCGGAAACAGGGGATGCAATTGCAGGCAAGGTCACAACGCGCTGGTTGGGTGGACGATGTCGAGCATTGCCGAGGTCTGAAATGCCATAATTAGCCGATTCGTTAGAGTCAGCCATCTTAGACGATGCTCACCCTCACCAGCCCGATCAACCTCCAAAGCCCTCACGTCGCCCACAAGAACGTACTCCCGTCTAAGCAGCCCATCCTCCTCTGATTCGCCCGGAATGATCGAACCCTCACTCGAGAGCGGTTTCGGCTTCCTCTTGACTTCTGGCCTTGCAAGCTTCTCCTGGCGGTGGTGAGGCTGTCCGTTAGGCTCAGGGTCCATATCTCGATCGTGGGCTTGTCCGGGAGGAGATTGGCCTTCCATCCCCTTCTGTTCCGCTGACCGTTTCCGAAAGTGGAACTTGCTCGGCGGCATCAGGATTTTCGGGTCGAGGACCTCAGGAGGAATAATTCGGTGACCAGCAGGAATTCCACCTTCTTGCGCTTCAGACTCGTCTTCTGGCGGTGCTGACTTATTCGGCGTATTGGGGATCATGGGTGCCTGCGACGGGGATGCACCGGAGGTCGACGGCTGTTGGCTCACTGCGTCGGGACGGGGAAACTTGGACCGTGCAAGTGCTGTGCTCTTGAAAAACTCTTCATATGATGCACGTTCGGCTGGTTGCCGTTTGAGGAGCATACGAATGAGTTTCTTGACGTCACTTGGGACCACTTGAGCTTGGTTCGCAGCCGGCGTGTCATCCCGGACGGCACCATTGGTGGCAGCAGATTTCGAGGATGCCCTGCTTGAAATTGAGCATAATTTCGACAAAAATGCTGCAATGAACTCACTCCTCATCTGGAAATCGAACACCTCGACTAGCCTCGATCTTCCGAAGTAACTCGACATGGTTCGCCGCGCGGAACGGAGGTTTGCCAACCGACATCTCGTACAGGACTGCTCCGACTGACCACAGGTCAGCTTTCGCATCGTATTTTTCGTATCGAAGAATCTCCGGTGCCATGTATAGCCTAGCGCGTGAAGCTGAAGACGACGAATGAAAAACGTGACAACATGACGTACGGTGAACCACACAGTGTCTCTGCCATCATTGCATTTGGAAGTGAGCGAGCAAAACCGAAGTCGGCGACTTTCAGTATTGGTACACCGATGGGATGGCCTTTCGCGAGCTCTTCCGGAGATGCGGGGTTAAGCAAGAGATTCTGTGACGAGGGATGTGAGTAAGTAAGGAGCGTGTCATTCACACGTCCAGTGGCATCGTAACACCAGCCTGGGGGTGGAGTGAAGAGCTTACCTGTGGTTTTATATCTCTGTGTATGAGGTTACGATGTCGTAAGAACTTGAGAGCCCGAGCTGTGCCATGGTCAGATACGTCGCACCAAGGAGTAAGTAAACGCACCAAGCTGCCTCAGAAAACTCCGAACGACAATCTCGTCAAGTCCTCCTGTCTTGGGATGTGGGTAGTATTGAAGGGCTGCACCTGGACTTGGCGAGTATTCCAATCCCTCGACGCGGCCACGCTTCTTGATATAATTTGTGAGGTCACCGCCGGCGCAGTACTCCATGATGAGATATATGTTTCGTTCCGCTCGCTGATTAATCCAATAAGCATCGTATCCTGCGCATCACGCAGGATTAAACGTACAACAATGTCTAGGAGCTTCGTAATATGTCTATGTGAGAGTGACTTGAGGATTTCTATTTCCATCTGGAGGTTATCGAGGAGCTTCGGCTTGAGACCTTCGCTGCGGACGGCCTTAATGGCGACTTGATGGTGATTAAGCTGCGGAGGCCACCTTGAACATGAGGCCCTGAAGAGCACGCATAGAAGCTCACCTCATGGTACCCTTTGTAGACTGTCGCAAACGAGCCCTTGCCTATCTCGTTGACGATGACATAGGGGCGGGAATCATCGTCTTCTTGTAGCTTTCTAGATGTGCTGGACGCCGAAACCGTCCTCGACGATGGTTGATTAGGTGCTGGCATGGTGGCAGAGAGGAGAGAGGACGAGACAAAGGCAGTCGCCTGTCGCCAACCGACCCTGCTGCACCGGAACTCGCGGGGAAGGCGTAGAGGGACAGCTTACCATTTTCGGCAATTCGTCCATGGTCGGGATGACTAAGCCGATGTCATCAGCGCCCCTCCCGCTTTGCCCACTCTGATGTTTTGCCCCCAACAGCTCGCTTTACTGGGGTTGTTGTCTGTCATCCACTCGCCCTAGACCTTTCATCTATCCACTGAAGGCTGTGCTATACCCAATATCCCCGCTCAAGTGAGGCGCACACCCCCCGAACTTGATTAGGAACCTTGCCATTTGCTCTCGACGTCCACCATTGCCGTGAAGATGTGCGCATTACTGATAATTGCGTTGCTTCCCCTGTGACCGTCAGTTAAATATTTACACTTGCTAAAGCCATAACACCATCCGTCATCATCGCCACACACAAAAACCAGACCAGCTATTTACCCTCATACTCTGAAGGCATACAGATAACTTGCTCCGGTCTACCTCTCGCTCCCCCTGTTTTTCCGACCTCAGTTGATTGGATCATTTCAGCTTGGAGTAGATGCACGATATCTACTCCGCGATGTCAGTTTCCTGTGAACGCGCATATAGTCTGGTTCTTTCAAAACCATACAGTAACTCGAGATTGGTTACTGAATGACCGTGGGCCAGGCCAACGACTACAAGTCTTCGTAATGTTGAATCTGGTCTCCGGTCTTCTCTTTCGCTCTGCACTAGCTCAGAACAATCAGCTCCGGCAGCACCGAGAGTTCGTCTCAGTCGGTCATCTCAGAAGTGGCGATACCACCTCTCGTGACGATTGGCTCTGTCCTGGGATACTGGCATGAACCTTACAAGGTCTTGGATCGGCTGTGATGCGGCACCACTCTTATCTGTAAGTGCAATGATTGTTGGACATATCATATATATCCTCACTTTGAAGTATGTTTCCCAGCTCTGACAGGGCATACAATTACAATTTAGTCCAAAGCCTATCACGGTGAGATCAAAGGGCTACCTTTGGCCCACTGCAAAGGGTATCTCACTGGTAGGAACTGGAATATACGTCAATTCTTGATGTTGTGTCGAGCCCCGCTTGTTGGGTTGTTGCCAGCAGATCAAAGGATTGCTTGTTACGATTACTAGCAACGTCGGATTTTGTGTGGATGGATAAGGTTAACCAGGAACATGGTTGAGGTGTCGCTGCGAACATCTGACCAGTGGTGATACGACCGATTGTTGTGGGTCTTCGTTTCGTGTTCCGGAGGGCGGGCCGTGTGCGAGGCTAAGTCTCTTCATGGCCACCCTACAGGCTCCGAAAAGTCTCGCCTTCTCAGAGAGAAAGCACGGGTAACCTGAAGATTCCCGACATCCCGTCACCTGGTGTACTCCTATCACCACTTTGAATCCCGTCGAGCGGAACCCTTATAAAAGTCAGTGCGACTGCCCGGTGTCATCGTGACTTATCTCGTACTCCATTCACCCTTGTACATCGAGTCAACCAGGTTAAGCGATCTGTTATCATGCCTGGCGGAACATCATCAACCCCTCAGTATGAAGCTCTTTATAACGGCTTGGAGCCTCCGCCGTTCAAGATGCCCTTCATCGACAGTCCCGACGTTGTCACTTCCAACACGCTCAGGCTTGTCGGAGAGACTCCGGATGCACGCAAACGTCTCCTTTTCACGTCGCTTACACGCCACATCCATGAGTTCGTCACGGAGAACAAGTACGTGTTTGCCTTATCATTCGTGCATTTGATGTGAAGTGTCTTACCTTTGCTGAAAACACCAGGCTTACGGTACAAGAATGGCGTGATGCAGTCGCGTTTTTGAATCGCACTGGCAACATGAGCACACCGGATCGCCCTGAGATGGAACTTGTTCTCGACATCTTTGGCGTGGAGGCGCTCGTCGATGCGGTAAACAGTCCGCCTGGGGACAATGCTACGGAGAGCACCCTTCTTGGACCTTTCTATACGCACAACACTCAGGATGGTACGCCACAGTCACCATTCCCAATCGCGCCTTAAACATGAACGACCGAGCAGTCTCGCACGGAGACTCTATTGCGTCGGAGGGAAAGGGAGAGTATATGTACGTGGAGGGACGCGTCCTTGACACAGAAGGAAAGCCTATTTCAAACGCTCTTATTGACACTTGGGAGACGGACGACACTGGTGAGTCCCCATAGCGTTTTAACAGCCCTATGATTACACCTGCCTCGTCTTTTGGCATTGATATCGACCCACAGGACACTATGACCTCCAATATGCCGCTGAGGTTCCCGACTGCCGCGGACGTCTATTCACAGACAATGAAGGGAAGTTTAACTTCCGTGCCATCGTCCCCGTTGCATATCCTGTTTTAGCAGATGTAGGTAACCTGGATTCGCTTCTGATCGTCTCTATCTTTCGTTTAATTCGTGTTCTTTTATAAGGGACCCGTCGGTGACCTTCTTCTCGCGATGAATCGGCACAATATGCGCCCCGCACATTTGCACCTCATCGTAGACGCTCTAGGTTACGAAAAGGTCATGACTCAGTTCTATCCCTCCGGAGACAAATGGCTTGACAGCGATTCCGTGTTTGCTGTGAAGAAGAGCCTTATCGTGGTACGTGTCCCGTGTCTTGACTCAACGTGTCAGAAGTTAAGCACGTGCGAATCGTAGGACTTGGAGACTGTGAACGATTCCGAGCGCGCAAAAGCTCTCGGCTTCAAAAACCCTGACAAGGGTTTCAAGCTTCTTAAGCGCGACATTGTGCTCCGTCGGAAGTAAAATACCTGCCATTATTTCATATTGTTGAGAGTTCTTCTGCGATCAACCTATAAAGGTGTGTGAGACTGTGAGTAAGACCTCACAATCAAGATTGTATCGGGATTACTTACTCATACTTTTGCCTGGCTTCTGCTTGCTCATATATGGCAGGAATCTATCTGTGGATTAATGGTAGCGCTTTGTTATCGATCTTCAGTTTATGGGCCAGAGCGTAGCGGAGGCAGGCTCTTGTACATTTTTATACATACGCTGTGCAACGACAGGGCATTTTCTTGGAATAGCAGCCTCGGTGTTTGCCGAAGAGGCGTTCGGTCTCCGACACATTGCGCCCCCTACGCTCAGTATTTCAGTCTTGCTCCTGGTCGTTGCGGCTCTGCCTACTAGGCGTTCTCTCTCAACACAGGTGCCCTAGCTCAATGGAGAGCACCTCTAAACATAGAGATTGGAGCTCCATCGATGCTCACCATATGCATCATCAGACGTTGCAAGTGTTCAGTTCGCTATCAATGATCGCTACCCCAATTTTGCGTCAGATTCTCTTGTGTCGACTGTTGTGAACACCATCAGCCTCCAATCCACGAGCTGATACTTTTAAACAAAGGCTGTGTTCTGCTTGGGAGCCGCAATCCACTACAATAACCTGACCTTCACATTGTGTCACCCCACGTATGTGGGTTTGGGAGCGCTACGAACGTGCCAATAGATTGGCTCCCCCTCAGAGGTTCGAGGTGAGAAGATGGAGAACACAGCACTTCAATGGATGTGTGTCACTTTCACTTCCTAATGATAGTGTTAGGTTCTCACAGGCAGTTCTCATTCCCGCGGATAGACACGGAGCGCGGGCCGTGCACAGGATCGTTGATGGCTAAAGTTAGAGCTATGTCTCTTAAGTACCTTGAATCTTGAGGCCATGAGCTGTCGCGAGGCGAGCAATAAACGACGAACGCCTCAAAGCTGATCGACCTTCTAAGATGTCGTCAACCTGCACCATACCATCTGACATTCAAGATATGTAAGTCTTGATTTACTACCTTGCACCAAGCAATACTCTGCTGATATTCTACCAGCCTAGGTCCTTACGTTCGTCTGCTGTAATGATTGCACGATCCATAACATTCTAATCAGAGCTGCTTACTTATGTAGGTATTTGGGTATCAGTTCAACTGGGCCCTGTACGGCATATTGATCGTTCAAGTCTGTAAGGCATCTCATCATCGAAATCACGCGCTGACTTTTGACGCTAACTCTTTCCAAGACATATACCACGTCTCTTCGCTTCCAGATAGATGGCCGATTCAGGCCATTGTATATGGCACACTCATTATCGAAACCGTGCAAATCGCATTCGCAACACATGACTCATATTATCAATTTGCTGTCTCTTGGGGCCAGGTTGCGGAGCTCAACGTCTTACATTATACTTGGTTGACGTTGCCCGTTCTGATTGGTATCAGTTGAGTCTTCCTTTCCCACTCTGTTTGATAAGCTAACTGACGAGGATGATCAGTCAGCATGATTACACAAATATTCTATGCGTGGCGAATACATATATTGAGCAAAAGATATGTTGTGTCTGCTATAGTTACTGTGGTACGTTTTACGCTCTGATTTATGTGATTTCGCTTATTAACACTGCCCTTAGCTCGCGCTTCTTCAGGGCGCCTCGGCCCTAGCTACGGGTGCACGAGCCTATATCTTAGATGAAGATCATCGGACAGACGTCTCCTCAAATCTCCTCTCTTCCGATATCGTACGTTCCTTCATGACACGACACGCATCAGACCGAAATAACGCGGACTGACGATCCTATACAACAGGTTTGGCTTTCAAGCACCGCAGCATGCGATGTCCTGATCTTCCTCTGCATGGTTTACTACGCGAGTGACCTATCTGTGGTTTGAGAAGCCATCTCACTAACACTCACGTGTAGCTTTCCAAGATGCGTACGGGCATCAAAAGCACGGAGAAGATCATCAATCGTCTTATCACGCTTGTCATAGAAACAGGCCTTGTCACCAGTATGCCGTTTTCCTCTCGCGCTTCAGTCATTATCGCTAACCTTTACTCGGGATTAGCCATCGCTGCGATCATTGACCTCGGCTTCTTCATTGGGCTCCCGGACACCCCATGGTTTGTCGTGCTTTCGCTCATGCTCTCGAAACTGTACAGCAACTCGCTTCTCGTCATCCTCAACAACCGATCCTCAGTCGCGCGCTTTCAGTCCCGTGGGGATGCTGATAGCGATGAAGTATACTCCAAGCAACAGCGCAACCGCCACGGTACTGAGAGTTTCCGCGTTTACGCACCGCCGGATAGCATCGTACGCACGGAAAGGTTCGCTACTGTTGATTCTGCGATGGCCGAAGTAGCGTTGGATACCACGATGCGAAAGAGTGGTGACGAAGGGGTTCTAAACCCGGTCAATCTTCAATTTTCGGTCAGTTACTCTAACCAAGAGGCGAATCATTGTGTGCTGATCTCATGCTTGCCAACTATTCCAGAGGAATCCGGATTCAGAAGTTGGGCAGCGCTCGGAGCTTTCATTGCCTTAAGACAAGCCTGCACAACTTTATTGGAAGATCACAGGCTGTTCTCATCTATCGTCAGACTGTGAGCGCCCGATCTGTGACTTTGGGGCACCTTGTATGATATGTTCTTGCTTCTTATTATGTATTGAATGCGTGATTTGTGTCTAGTGTGAGGATAGAGGGATATGTACAATATATTATTTATGCTCCGGCTAACATTCCGACCTTAAGTGTTCCATAATTTTAACAGTGAGTGACGCCGGCTCCAGAAATAAGGGCAGTTGTTTGTCTCTTTGACATTCACTCCGGCTTATTTTTTCCTTTGGTTCATCTACCGGGGCGTAGCGAATGATAAAAATGCAAAATATCAGCTACTGGCATCCCTGTAAGTCATACACGCACGTAGCACAAGACTGTGTCATTCATGTATAATATACAGTGACAAACACTAACCACGTTCTACTGATCACTTAGAAACGACCGTCCGACGGCAAAACCTGTGTCCTGGCAAGTTGCTTCTGTGCATTTGTGGGAGCACATGAACCGCCAAAGTAAGTAGTGTCATGTCTTCCCTATGATACAACAGTTCGGTCAGGGTTTGCTGAGCTGTTTGTATTTGATGCGTTCGAAATCAAGGTACAGTGGTGTATATATGGGTGCGATGTAATTTGACGACAATCATCGAAATGTAATGTTGACTCACAGCTAGGAGTCACGGCTAAACACCGGTGTCATGTACGTATTCGCTTGCCGATGGACTTGTCACGTATACGGAGACACTATCCATAGTCATAATTGACATACCATAGATAATCTGATGTCTACGATATCATATTAAATTATTTCAAAGGGGTCTTATGTACCGGATTACTCTGTCATCAACGTCATGCGTGGCCCATGTGCAAAAGCAATGCCAGTTTGCTTGCCAAAGTCATTTGTCGCTGGTATATACTACGCATGTAACAGGTTGTCGTCTTTAGCAACGACTGTCTCATCTAACGGTATCGCCGAAGTAAGCTGTAAGCGTCGAGTATTCGTACACAGGTACTTTCAGCCGATATCAGCGAATCTACCACTTTGATTAGAGTCAGAAAAGCTCACCTCCCGATCAACTGACTCTCGTGTATATTCCGAGTCTACTCGGAGGAGGACTGAATATAATAGAGTCTAGACGACGCTAAGCTCCTCATGTAGAAATAGGAACAGAACGCACACACCAATGTGTACACTCGCCCCGTTGGGATGCCAAACAACAAGTCCAGTGATGTGTCGCGGGCACAAAAGAAGCACACTAAACCACCCAGGGTCGCAATTCCAGCGAAAAGGCCAGTCTGTATGGCACCACGCGTAAACCGGTAGATAAGGTAGTCGACTCTGATTATCCCGGTTCGAGCTCGTAAAAGCGCTATGGTCAGCGAGCCTGTACGCGTTGTGAGCATAGCGACGCTCTAAATTAGGTACAAACGCTTACCGGTGATAAAACAATCTGTAATGAAGAGAACAACCAGCGACGCTGCCATCAGGGAGGAGACGCTTGCGAATGACGCCCCAACTTATCTTCTCTGCTGGTGAGAAACCTTTTACGGTGGGAGATGTTCGGCTTACACGCTTGTTATAAAAAACCTAGCTGTAAGCATAGCGGCAAGCAGCAGGCTGCTTGTCGCCAGCACAGAAGAGAATATGACCAGAATTTTGCTTGGGATCAATCGCCACAGGCTACACGCTTCGTGTTGCCAACGTCTCATCGGGTAAAACTAAAGGACATGCTTACCGTCGGATGAAATATAGCTGAGTTACAAAAGCTGGCCAGGCTAACGATATTGGAATGATTTCCAAGGGCCACACTGGCACTACAAAGCCATATATGAGTGAAGTGGATGTTATAAGTGAACTAGGCTTACACGAGAGGACAGCGGGATCGCCGTAGTGTGAGATTCTGGAAACATAAATGAAGTTGATGAATACTTAAAGAAACGAGAACACTCACGCGAAAAACCAAACCAAATATATCGTGCTAATCTCATTCGCGAGCGAAGTAAGTCTGCACTGGACGACCGTGACCTTTTGTTTCGAACTCACACGACGGTATATGTCGTATCCACGAGGAACACGGAGATGAACAGGATCCTGCAGAGTATCAACACTACGATTCGACTCTTCGTCGTTGTTAGCGAAAGAGCCGCCCACCGAAACGTGAGACTCTCGTTTATCCCTGGTGCGCCGTGATGCTCGCAACAAGTTCACAATATGAGAGCAATCACGACTCACTGCGTAAGGCCCCAAAGTATCGGATAACCTGGCTCGTTACAATGCCGTAGAGGAACATGTTCACTGGCACCGGATAGAATTTCAGCTGCGAGGTTCTCCATATTCCTACTCGGATGAAGAAATGTGGACGCACGCATCGTGCCTAAGAACACAGGACCTGCCGTCTGTCAGAAAGAGAGGGGGAAAACGAGCGAGCGGATGGATACACCCTAGACGTACCAAGGGAAAGGTCGTATGCCCCCATGTTGGTGACCTTGTTTCTCCTTCCAGCTCTTCAGCTTGGAGAGCGACGAGACGGCGATGACCTAGATGCGCCAGCTGGGAGAAAGACGGGGGTAAGCGAGGTCGAGGGGAAACGTCGTATGCGCTCAGTCGCTTTCTTCATCATCCGAGTCGCTGGTTTTATACGAGCGTGATAAGCGACCCTGTCAAGGGTATACATCGGAGACAATCCCGAAACTGTCAGCCTGTCAGCGTACCTGACATCCGAGCTCGTTTTCTTTGCTCAGGGGTTCCATTGAAAGCGCTTCGGAGAAAACTCCAAAACTCACTTACCTTGCCACTACGTGGTGCTTGAATGGCAGCTATCCTTTGCACGTTCTCAAGGTTTCAGCTTTGTGTCCTACGGGGTTAAGCGCATACCGGAGGGATAGAAACATCACTGATGACCGCATTTTGTGGAGATAAGAGACAACGTCGGCGTTGGCTCAGTTCCAGTCTCCGTCGCTTGCTCCGGCATTTGCCGAACCCCACGTTTTGCGCCCCTCCAACCAGTACCGGCGGAGATCAATTTGCATTCAGTTTTTTGAAAGCTACAGTAGTCGGCAGATACAATACATCACCATGCCAAACTCGAGAAAGAACAACATTCATCAACAAGGTGCTACACGGGCGAAGGCACGGAGGCTGAACGCACTGGCACAGAGATGTCCCGGTTATTCTCCATATTTACGTCAACTTTGCAAATTGCAATGGATAATCCGGTACTGTGTGCTGAATGATGTTCGACGAGTGGGATTCGATATTCAGCACTGAGCGTACAGTCAACTGTGTTCATGTAGCAGAATAAGACCAGTTCGTACCCTTCAAGTTATTTATCTCTGACGTATGATATGAAGTTCGAGGCTTTCAGGATTGATATTCACATGGCTACAGGTACGACCGGTGTTCCAGTCCTTATCGATGACCGACTCATCCAGCGGTATTGCCGAAGTCAGCTGGAAGCGACGAGTGTTTTGCGTACACAGGTGTTTTTTAAAACCTATCAGTACAGATATGAAGCCGTATGATAAAAGGCGAAAGAACGTACCTCGCACTCATCGCATTCTCGGGCCCCCGAGTCAACCCGGAGGAGAAGCGAGTACAGCAGAGTCTGAACGGTACTCAGACCCACGCGTAAACAACGGTGAGTAAAACACTCACAGCTGTGTATACACGCCCCATTGGTATGCCAAAAAGCAGGTCCAGCGATGTCGTGGGTTTGCACAGGAAAGACACCAAGCCACCTAGAGTCGAGATCCCGGCGAAGACACCCACCTGGATGGCACCACGCGTAAAGCGGTAGATGATGTTATCGACCCTGTTGACCCCGGTTCGAGCCCGTAGGAGCACCACGCTCAGCGAACCTGAGGGGTCGATGAGTATAGTAACATTCACTGTTCAGATATGAACGCTTACCAGTGATAAAGCAATCCGTGGCGAACAGGGTAAGAAGTGAGCCCGTCATCAGGGAGTAGAGATTTGTGAATGATGATCCAACATGTCTGCTCTTCCTAGTGAGACGTTTTCTACGGACGATGGTAAAAGCGTCGAATTTACACTTTCTCAAGACAAAACCTAGCTGTCATGCTCACAGCCAGTAGCAAGCTACATGTCGCCAGTAAGGCGGAGATGATGACCAGGAGTTTGCTTTGGACCAACCGCCATAGACTACACACTTAGTGTTGCCATTGGCCCCCTGTACAATACAAAAGGGCGTGCTTACCGTCTGGTAAGATACAGCTGAGTCACGAATGCTGGCCATGCCAACGAGATCGGCGTAACTTGCAAAGGCCACAACGACACTACGAAGCCATATTAAAATTGGAGCGCCGACTACCAACGAGATGGGCCTACACAGGAAAGAGGCAGGGTCGCCTCGATGTTTGACTCTGAATCCAAATCAGAAGTTGATATAAACGCCAGGATAACGAGAAAACTCACGAGAAGAACCACAGCAGATACATCGTTCTTGTCCAACCATGGGCGAATTAAGTACGCGCCATACACCTCATGTCGTTTAGAACCGGACTCACATGACAGTATACGTTGTGTCCACGAACAATACGGAGATAAACAAGATTCTGCACCGTGAAGATCCATCTTTATACCTTGCCCAGACGATACCAAAAAAGTAAACACCATACCGAAACATGCGACTCTCGTCGATCCCTATGTCGTCCATCGTATGTTGGTCAGTACGCCCCAGCCTCGAAGAGAGCGACTCACTGCGGATGGCACGGACGTAGCGGATGGCCTGGCTCGTAACGATGCCATAGAGAAACACGTTGACTGCCAGGTGAAGCTTCAGCTGCATGCTCCTCTACAGACTTGTACCCCCTCGAGTAGGTGCACATTGGACTCACGCATGGCGCCCAAGAACACAGGCCCTGCCATTCGCCGTCGGTTAAAACACAAATGAGGGCGGATACAACCAGGACTCACCGAGAGTAAGGTCATATTTGCCCATAGAGCCGCCCACACCCTTCGTCAAGCTCTTCAGCCCAACCGACGCCGAGAACGCGGTGACGACCGTGGAGCAAACTCAGGCCGAACCTCGCAGTCGAGGAGAAAGGCGGGGAAAGGCGCCCGACTCCGCGCACGCTCGCAATATATATATACTCAAGTGCTGCATTCATCACCGCTGCTTATATACCAGCGTAAGCGAACATGTCACCTCTTGTCACGGACATCGTCGGGGACGACCCTGGAACCTGCCAGCTTGTCAGCCTGCCTGACATACCATCGGATGCACCTTCCCCGGAGGCTCGCCAAAAGAACTTCACGGTAAACTGCACAAGTTGCACTTAGTCCTTCTCATCTGCAAGAGTGCGGCTATATGCACTGCGGGGTACCCCGCCAGGACAACACAGTCCGATGAACAGAAATGAACAGAAACTTCCCTATCGACCAAGGGCCGTCGGGGCCTGAGAGAAGCTGATGGTCATGCGCATCATAACACCAGCAAAGACAAACAGTCTAATGAGGAGAACATAACGAAGCTTGATGATCGATGAAGTGCGATTCAGTTGTGGAGACACGACGAGAGAGAGCGGGAAAACTCCCGAACGCGGGTGCGAACCTTTGGGTCACACACAGAGACCCGGCATCTGCCGTAATTCACAAGGAGTCAAAGCACTTCCTCTTCATCTGTCGAAGGCTTCGGTCGGTTGGAACATGCATATGTATACACCCCCAAGTAAATTCGCCAAAACTACCTACATTCACCAACATTAGATCACCAATGTCCACAACCACCATCGCTATCGTAAACACCAAACACCACAACAAGACCACAACACCGCCGCCGCCAAAACACAGGTATCATCAAATAGGTAAGTATGCGAAGAGGTGAAGCTACGTATCAAGCATGCGAGGTACTCGAATGGGAGGGAATATGAAAAACGCACTGGTACTGGTGGTATGTGAGAACATATAGAGACAGCAGTTACCTAGCAAGCCAAAATATCAAAAATGACGAAGAAAAAAGGTACTCGTAAGTAGATGTCGTGCAAGATCGTGAGAGTGAGATGCAGAAGATATCGTGTCGTTAGATGGTATGCAGAGACCATGAGCCAGAAGCAGAAACAGAAGGGGGGAAGAATGCGAATGAAGCGTGCATGCAGGGTCGTGAAGCGGGTCGGGGGTCGTGACAGGCAGGGGGAGCAGCGTCCGGAAAGTAAGGATCGAGTGTGCGCAAGGAGCCAAGCCAGGAGGGAGAGCGAAAGCCAAGGAAGAAAGAGAAAGCCAACAACACCTCCACACCCCCCCTCACCGCCGATCCGAATCGAAAAACGCAACAAGCTGCCCAATAGGCACCTTCCTGCCCACCCCACCGCCCACCACCGGCTTCCCGCCGCCCTTCCCTCCCAAACCCAGCCCAACCCCTTTCCCACCACCCCCGCCCGCCTCCCTCTCCTGCTGGCGCCGCAGCACGAGCGGATCTACGAACCGCCCCTCGCCCGTGTCCAGCCGCAGATTATCCAACGACTGCGTCCTAAAATCGATACTCTGCGCACGCAGCTTCTGCTTGCTCCCGTTTCCGTTCGCGCCTACACCGGCACCAGCACCAACGTTCCCGGCCCCGACCTTCGACCCAGCACCACCACCAGAAGGAGCCTCGGTCTTGTAGTCCCCAATAGAACCATACACCGACTGCGCCCTCGCCTTCCTATTCGGCGGCGATCGCCGCGTCGGGCTCGTCGGGCTGCCCCCGGCGCGCCCGCCGTTGCTCGCGGTGCTGCTCACGCTCGTCGTCGATCCGTTATTGTAGATATGTGCACCGCCGCCCCCGTTCGAGCCCACTGAGCCCGCATTCGACGTCGTATTCGACCCGGTCCCACTCGCACTAGCGCTAATGCTGACACTAGAGCCGATGCCGGGATACGACATCTTCGACACGAGCGCAGCCCGCTTAGCCGCCGTACGGCCCAGCGTCGCCTGCCCGCCCGCGTCGTTGTCGGCGTCGCGGTCATCGTCGCGGTCACCATCACCATAACCATCGCCGTCGCCGCTATCATGGTCGTCGCTGCTGTCCGGCGCCGTAAGCGGCCCGCCGAGCGCAACAGTGTACCGCTTGCGCCCGCCCACCGGAGTCGGCGACACACTCGTGCGCGGGCGCCCCGCCTGGCGGGGCACAGGCAGCCCCGTCGGAGAAACAGCGCGGTCAACAGGCGCGCTCAGCGGCGACACCGCCGCAATCGACGTCGTCGACGACGCCTGACTAAACACCGACGGCTGCTGCTGCGGCGCCCCAGGCGTCCCAACCGGACTATGCCCGCTCCCAAAATCAAGCGGGCTCGTCGTGCTCGGCAAACCCGAGATCAGCGACACCGGCCGCGTCCTGCTCCGCGTCGACGGCGGCGGACTCCCCGGCGGGCTGCTCCCCAGCGGCGGCGACATGATCCCGCTGTTCTCGGGGCTCGCGTAGTCGCCCGTCGGGTATGGCAGACGCGTGCCCGTGCTGTGTCTGCCCAGTGCGGTGGGCGCGCCCATGCGCGCTGCGAGCGGCGGGGACGTCGACTCGCGCGCGGTGAGCGAGGGCGTGCGGCGCGGCGTGCTGTTGTTGTTGTGGAAGCCTCCGTTGCCTGTCGACGCGCCTGTGGCGAAGCCCATGCCAATCTCGGCGGCGGCGCTCTTCGGATGTGCAGCGACGTCCCCAGCGTTGGTGCTGTTAGCAGTGTTGGTGCTGACAGTGGTCGTGGCCCCGTGGCCGGTGGTGGCAGCAGTAGCCGAGAAGGAAGAGCCGTGGGAGGAGACAATATTGGAGTCTGTCTGTGGCGCGCTAGAAGCCACGGGCGTGGCACGCGCGGCGGATGTAGACGACAGATTGACGGGCGCAGTGGCCAGGCGGGCCATTTCGCGGCCCATCTCGCCCATGCGGGACTGCAGCTCGGTGATCTCCTCCCGCAGAGCCTTGAGCTGGGCAGAGTCGCGCGCAGGAGAGCGGGAGAGCGACCTGCCGCGGGAGACGATCTTGTCGGTGCCATTGGCCTCTCCTGTGGACTTTTCCTTCTCGCTCTCGCGCTCAACGAGCCATCGCTCGACGTCGCCCATGCGTTCCTCGAGCGCGCGGACGTGGCTAACGCTCCATCGCTCGAGCTTCTCGAATCGCTTCGCGATGAGAAGAACGGTTCCCGGAACATCAAGGGTGCCGCTGGACGTGAAGGAGGTGTAAAGAGGTGGAGCCTCCCGTGACGGAGAAGTTCCGGCACGGGCCGGGGAACGCCGAAGCGAGATAGGAGATCCGTTGGCGGTAGCTGGAGATGGCCGGGGCGATAGATTCACTGGCGTCATCATGCCCGTCCCAGCCACGTTCGGCCGCGATGGCGAGTGCGATGGGGTGACGGGGGAGCCTGCGCTAGACATCGATGTACGTGGTGAGGACGTCTGAGGAATGCTGAGGTTGAGGTGGCCGGGACTCCTGTCTCTCTCCCTTTCCTTGCCCTTCTTCTTCGCCTCCTTCTCTTTCACCTTGTCGCGTTGCTTGGTTTCCTTGATGAGCTGCTGGGCTGGGGTAACGTCCTTTTCTTTGGTAGGAGTCAAGCGAGATTTTGCGTTGGCCCACCAGCCGGGGCTGCCCTCTTTCTGGGAGTTGGCGGGCGAGGGAGGATTGGGAAGCGTCTGAGAACGGTCGGGCGGACGCATGAAGCTGTCGGAGTTCGGAGAATCGTGCATCATTGCGAACACGCGCTCTTCCATCATGCGCCTATGGTCGGCTTCACGTGTCAGAATCAGTTCTGCCTCGCGCCTGCTTCTCTCACGCTCTTTGAGCGCTTCTGCTTCCAACTCGGCGTCTGAAGGGAGACCGCGATTAGATGAGGTAGGGCTCATGAAGGAGCCAACGCGCTGGGCGATGTTCTGTGCGAATTGAGTAACAGCAGGGGAGGTAGCACCTCGAGCCCAGTTGGGGCGATTGTCGTAGAGTTCGTTATCAGAACCGTCAGGGTCTTCGGAACCCGAACGGCTTTCTTCAGAATTGCGCCTCGCGGCAGACGGAGGAGGGACCCTGTTTGGTCTGACCTCGTTGCGGAGGGGTGAGGATGAACGAGGAGAGCCAGGAGTGGGAGAGACATGGCCTGGGTGGCCGTAGACAGGCTCTGGCTAAATTGCCGAGATAAAGAGATGAGTATATCAGATCAAAGCATCATGGATAAGGACAAGACTGACCAAGCCGAGGGAGGACGGGGGAGGGAGAGCAGAGGTGGTCATGCGCCGCTGCTGACGGGCACCTGTGGGGGATGGGGAGCTCTTGAGACCATTGAGATGATTAAGGCTGTTGAGGGATGAAGAGGGCGAAGGCTGTGCATAGGAGTGAGTCGGGCGATGAGTGGGAGAGGCCATTTCGATAATAAGTTAGGTAGTGTTGGGGAACTGGCGGGTGCCAGCGATAGGCGTGGACGTCGTCCTGGGCGACGACAAGAGGCAGCTGGGGGCCGTGAAGAGAACACAAATGGGGTGCCGAGACACGGAATGAGAGGGATCTAGCGTGGGATACTATTACTATTTTGGATGAACCGATGACGCGTAGTCGGGGTTGCTGTCACCTGGAAATGGAATATGAATATAAAATTTATTAGGGACGCGGGTTAACATGCAGTGCTGTCTGTCCTGGAATTTGGTTGCCCTCTCCTGATCCCCCCACCACTTCCATGCCTTGCACTAGGGCACGCCCATGGACACCAGACGCGCCGACACGTACGCCCCTCTCTCCACACCACCCTGCACACAGACACTCATCCCTGACCACAGGCTCGAGGCGCTGTCAGTCTATCTCGACAGACAACGGTCCCTCCTCAGACGCACACAGGCTGACATCGATAGGCTGAACCAGCTCAAGCACGACGCTCTCGCAAACCCCGCCCATTTCGTCAAAAATGCCAAACAACAAGTCAGTCACACCTCCCTGTCTCTCTCTGCAAATGCAGCCGCGCATACATTTACCCCCTTTCTTGTATGCGCCAGGTCCAGGCACTTGACCTCAGAAACTCCGAGCTAGACGACTTCACCACAGGCCTCCCAGACACGTTCGATTGGTCTCCCTTCCACGCCAGTGGTGCGTCTCCCCCAAATTCATCCATCTTACATCAGTGCTTATGTAGCCGACCCAGACCCCACACCTCTCCGCTCATTCGCGCTTACCACCCGCCTCGCCCACACCCAGCGCAGCATCCCCTCCTGCAAACAACGCACTCCCCTCTCCGCCCTCCAGCAGCTCGTCAAGGATGCACGTCGCACCATCATCGAGCCCGCCTTTGCCATATTCGCCGACGACCCCGAACTGAACCTCAACGCTACCCTTAATGCTAATGCGCTCGCGCGCGCTACGAATACCGCTGCCTCTAATCAAGCTAATACAAACACCCACAAGTCCTCCTCTGCACGCACCAAGGCCTCCTCCGGCAATGGCAAGAACGGAGCCAACGCACAACGCCGCGAGTCCACCGCCGTCATGCGCAAGCGCGAGCGGGAGCGCGCACGCATACGCGAGCTCAAGAAACGCAAGGTCGGCGGCCCGGGCTCCGCAGCTACCGCTATCTCCACCGCCAAGGCAAACTCCGCCGTCTTCGTGCGCCACGATATAGGCGACGAGAGCGCCGAGGTCGACATTAGCATTGGCGCGGATAGGCACGGTAGTAGCGCGATGGACGTCGACCCGCCCGCTGCTGAGCCCCCACCCCGCCGCAAGCTGCCCATCGTTCGGCTCATTGTGCGCACGCCGCCCCCATCCCCGTCGGGGTCGTCCTCCGAGGAAGAAGACGCGTCGGATGGCTCGTCAAATTCTGACGTGTCGGAGGAGTCCACGCCGGTGCCCCCGAGCCCGCCGATCATCAGGCTCAACCCCAAAGCTATGACCATCACGAACGTCTCGCGGTCCAGATCCAAGACCGCGCACGCGCACGCACAAGCCCGCCAGTCGCCCCCGGCGCGAAAACGCAAACCCTCGCTCAAGCTCCAGTCCGCATCGCTTAACTTCATGCTCGACAAAACCTCGTCGCTCCCGCCGACGCCGCTCTCGCTCGCGGAGACGCCCACGCCCTCGCAGGAGTTCTCGTCGCCCATCGCGCACTCCGCCGCTAGCGAATACGACGGCATGGCTGCGTACCCCGCGTGGAACGCTTACGCCACCACCGCTGCCAACGGCACCGTCGATGGTAATGGCAACAGTAATGGTAACGGCAACGCCTCCGCCGCCCTTAATGGCAAGACCCCGATCCAGTCCCAAGCGCAGGGACAGGCGCGGCACGAGACGTACAAGGTCAAGTGGACAGACTCGGAGCAGCACCTGCTCGAGCGGCTCATGGAGGAGATCCCGGACGGGGAGAAGAACCGCTGGGCGAAGATATCGCAGGCGATGGGCGGGCGGCGGACTGCGCGCCAGGTCGCGAGCCGTGTGCAGAAGTACTTTGAGAAGCTGAAGCTGTATGGTGTCGGGATGGGTGCGGGGCAGGAGGGTGCTGGGTGATGTGCGCCGTGGTGGACGCGTGTGATGCGTATGATTGCTTGGCCAGGTGGACAGGTGCTTGCTTTTTTGGTTGTGGTTGTTTTGTTCATTGGTTATCATACTCAATCGGAGATATGGAAAGATTTGAAGTGTATAACGCAAGAGAAGCGAGCGAAGCTATGGACGTGATGTTGTATGGTAAGATCAAGAGACGTGAAACATGTGTAAAAGACACCATACTGCGCCGTGCATCAAACCTTTGAATGTCGCTCAACTTCTTCCAAATCCTTATCCGTGTTCTTCAGCGCCAGAAAAGTTGCGTCAGTCAAGTCCCATCGATTCATACGAAAATGCTCACCGCAAACTGCAGATGAATCAGATTCAGCGTCCTCTCATCGCCGCTGCTACGCTTCACCGGCGCCCGCTCCATGCCCTCGTCCATCATAACACCTGCCGTCCCATCCGTGCTGTCCAGCCTCGTATCCATCCCAACGGAGGGCGGCACGTACGCGCGGAACGTGCCCAGCCCGAGGCGGCGGTTGCGCTGGCACCGCGCGCACTGAGCGGAGTCGTCCGCCGCGCCTTCCTCCAGCTCGCTCATGCTCATGCCCATGCTCATGCCCATGCCCATGCCCATGCTCGGGTCGGAGGACGGGATGTCATCAGAGTTTGAGCGCTTGGACCGGCGGTAACGCAGGGAGGAGCGGTGGTTGAGCACGGCGAGGAGGGAGTTGCTGTAGAGCTTGGAGAGCGCGAGCGAGAGGATGACGAACCATGGGCTTGAGGGGAGGCCGATGAAGAGGCCGAGGTCGAGGGTTGCTGCGATGGCTGTGCGTTTTTGGGTTATTTGGCGTTCATGCGCGGGAGAGGAGAGGAGAGGGAGGGGAGGGGGAGAGGATGTGCGTACTGGTGAGGAGGCCCGTTTCGATGAAGAGCCGGATGAGGCGGTTGATGATCCGCTCTGTGCTGTTGATGCCTGTGCGCATCTTGGAGAGCTGTTTGTGGAGTGATGTGTGAGTAGATGGCTTGAATGCTACTGTGGTGTATTATAAGAGACTGACATAGTATATCATGCATGAGAAGATGAGCAAGTCGCACACGGCGGTGCTGGTGAGCCAGACCTGCAAACGATTAATAATAAGCTTGCTGGTTCTTTGAGCAGGGATGAGACGTTACTATGTCCGTCGTCAGAAGATTTGTCGAGACGTTCTTCAGGCTTTTGTCCAGAAGGTAAGCTCGTACACCTGTAGCGAGTGCAGATGCCCCCTGCAGAAGCGCAAGCTGGACAAAACAGCATTGAGCACCAGTCGAGCCACAGACGCGCAGAGACAGACGCGCAGAGTACCTACCAGGCTAATGACCCCGGACATAACCCACCCCCGACTAAGCACATGTATCCGCCACGCATAGAACAGCTGCGTGATCATGCTGACTGCAACCCGAGCACACCCATTAGCCCTCAGCCCCTAAATGGAACCTAGTGGACACTCAACTGATGCCAATCAACACCGGCAACGTCAGCCACGTCCAGTGCGCGACCATGAGCTGGTCTACATGCCCCCACGACACGGCGAGCTGGAAGAACGAGTCGTGCGTCGCGAACGCGACCTGCACGGTCTCGATCAGGACCGTGCCGTATACAACTGCCTGGATCGGCCATTGGTCGACGATCGGCGAGACGTAGTAGAAATCTGTGGACGAGACGACGGCGTCGGTTGAGTGTATGGTTTAAGAGTCCGTGGAACGGAGCTTACAGACTTGAACGACAAGCACGCCGTACAGCGCCCAGTTGAACTGGTACCCGAACACCTACAGGATAGAGGGAGAAAACGCGGCGGGGCGCGTCAGCCAATTCCATACGCACGCGTACTCATTACGTCAAACGCACATATGGCCCTAGACTAAATTGGGCTCGTCAGCTTTTTCCTGCTGAGGTCGACCTGGCGGGAGAACCAGTGCGGCTTACATGTCCGGAGCGTTGGAAGGTACCGTGCAGTTCGACATCGCGGCAGGCTGGGTGGTGATGGCAGTGGAGCACCTTCGAGGCGCTCCGAGCTTGCTCGTCTGTGCCTTCGCCCAAGCGCCGTCGTCTCGCGACCTGCAAATTTATGTAAGGGGCGAGACCAGGGTCACAGCATTATAATTAGCCGAAGAAGAATTCGAAGGGGTGCAGGGTCTCAGTCCAAGAGCTCCATGGATCTCCAGGGGTGCATGGGAGCGTGCTCTTCGAGACCAGGAGCGTTATCTGGCGCGCCGGCGCCGAAGGCTATATCCAGGGAATATATTCCCTGGTGACCAGATAGCAGCTGCAGCCTTGGAGCGCAGAGGGCGAGCTATGTTTATGACGAGAACATTTTCTTATACACGATCGACTTCCACATCTTCTCACTCCGAAGTTTTCGGAGAGAGCCGAATAGCGCGCGAAGACACCGTTCTGCCGCCAAGCATTGTCTTAGTTTGTGAATGAGACGATGAGCGAACCTGCAGCCGAAGAGGGGTAGTCAGTCTGCTGTCGGTGAGGGCATGAGCTGAAGCACTGCTGAAGCTGTGAGATCTAGTGAGAATCTTTGCATTTTGCTGAATCGCTCAGAGGATGGAACTTCTCGTAAAGTTGGGTTTCAATCGTATGTCAAATATACCACATAGCATCTTCCATCAGCACGAGTCCAACCGCTTTGCGCTCAACTGCTTTTAGAAGACGGGACTTGCAGGCAGCTTTCTGTAGCACTCATCAAGGTCAAAACGCCGTATGTGCTATACGACATTCACCGGACCTCTCGACATAGCTCCTGCTGTCAAGCGGAATCGCTCGACTCAACCTGCACCAACGCGATCAACTTACATCCTGCGTGAAGTATAATCGACTTACTGGTAGAAAGCGAACCTCAGTGGCTCCCGGACTCCCTCGGTTCGCTCTCCCTCTCGCCTGATTGCACCAGTGCTCCAAATGATCTATGCTTCGCATCCTGTATGATTCGGCGGAACCATAGTGCTGGGAGCGCTGGCATGATGGCCTGCTGTTCAGAACCACGAGAAGCGAATTGCTGTACAGCTTTGAGAGAACCAGAGATAAGACGGCAAACCATGGGTTGTTTGTCACGAATAAAACTAAGTCGACGATGGCGGCCGCAGCTGTGCATGGGATGAAATGGCAACATGGGTTTCAGTAAATGCCGACGAGATATTCACGCCGTAATGTACATACCAGTGACCATGCCGGTCTCAACAACCAGCCTGATGATATCGTTTATGATCTTGTCTGTCTTCGTGTTGGCAGTCCGCATTTGCGAGAGCTACGTCTGTAAGAGCAGAGCCTTGCAAGCAGCATAAACGAGACTTACATGATATGTCATGAAAGCGAAAATAAGAATGTCACATAGAGCAGTGCTACTTAGCCACAGCTGTGATCGGTGATATTATGAGAGCTTTGGGGGATAAAGACGGTTCGTAGTACTCACAACGTCTGAGACTAGAAGATTTGATGCGAGATTCGAGCGACTGTGACTATCAATGATCGCCGAGCGTATTGCTGTGTACAACGCCGAAATCCCTTGAAAGATGGAAAGCTTGACGTATCATTAGTGACAATATGATATTTAGATTTGGACGTAGCTCACAATGGCAATTACAGCGGGAACTACATGTCCGCCTCGTACACCAAGAATACGTAAACGCCAAGCGTAGAAGAGCTGGGTGATCATGCTAACTGAGGGGATGTTGATCAAAGGGGTGGGGATAGATGAATAGTTCGTACCGAGCGCGATGGTTACCGGCATTGTGATCCAGATGAAACCCAGATCGTCCAGATGAGACGTTTGGCCCCATGTCAAAGCAAATTGAAAGACAGAGTCGTGAGTTGCAAGAGCTATCTGGACGGTTTCGATGAACAAGGTGCCATACACAATGGCCTTCACTCTCCACCCATCGGCGAAGTCGGAAAGGTAGTACCAGTCTGATCCGCTCTCAGTCACGGTGCTGTTTGCCAGTCTCCGGGGGAGGACTCACATGCTTGCGTCACCAACACCCCGTAAAGCGCCCAGTTGAATTGGTACCCGATCACCTGCCCAACAGCTCACGAATGGATGCACGCGGGTGAGTGCAAGGACTCACAAAAGGCCCAAGGCTGAGCCATGTTAGCATCGAGCACCAAACCCAGGAATTGACGATACTGCACGCACATGTCATCGATATCCGGCGGAACGCACTGCGACATGGTGCATACAGCGACCCCCCAGTCTGACACCTGATGGAGGTAGTTAACTCGTCCACTTAGCACGAAGCCAATGCGTCGTTGGGCTCCTCATGAGAATCGAAGAGTCGAAATTGAGTTTCATGTGAAAGATGGCACCGTGGTGGGCGTCTGGTTGTGAAGAGTAAAGCGGGTACTAATTTTGGATACCTATTTCGGTATACTCACTTTATCCAACTTCAAGGATGGTCAAGAGCACGGAGATCAACATGGCAATTGCGACAGTTACTTATCGGAAGCAGTTTTTAAATTTGTGTCGGGTGAACAGAGGTGATCAATGCGCACCTATTCTGCGTCTGGGGCATGAAGTGAGATATCTTGGTTATAGTTGCGCCGTATCAGGTTAATCATACACTTTGGTGATCATTGACAACAGTGGCAATGGAGAGGAGCAGCCTGTGCAATTTGACTATGACAGTCGGCCAGGAGCCTCCCGCGAATGTCCAGGTCGACGGCCTTGTCATATCCGGCTGTTAGCGCATGTCAGCACCCAAAATGGCAAATCATCCCAGAGGTCCGACATGACACTGATGATCTTGCTCCTCGACTACTTCTTTCTCTTCCTTGCACCCTCGTTGAAACATTGAGGGTTTGTGCCATCATTAGCCTGCGCACCCGCCCGCTTTTGGGGCGGAGACGTGTGCACCAGTGTACACCACTCTAAGCGGCAGTCTCGGCGTAAATCGCATTTGTGCAAACCCCCACGCTACACCACATCAAGGCTCGGAAGAGGTATGTTCCTTACCAAGGAAGTTCTCCCAGACCGCACAACATCCGCTCGGACTACGCCCTCGGAGCACTGATTTTTTTTTTCCATTCAGTCACTTGGGACGCAGTTGTCCGAATCCAACTCCTCGACATCGACTTGCCTCGTGAATGATATGAATGCAACCGCGTGCGTTGATGATCTCGTGCGTTATATACTTCCGCGTTACAGGCCGGTATGAGCCCCGCTATCGACTATGGTCACCAAGAGAAGAAAAGAAGAAAGGATACACACAACAGCCGCGACCCTGTCCCTCATCATGAACAACTTCTGCAGTCATGAGGCCCGCATCAATACCTCTACCGGCGGTCTTTATATACCCCTGCGTGTCTTTCTACCACGTCGAGCATCGTTGAGCCCGTATTCGTCTGCAAGCACGGTTACGAAGACGCTTCCAACGAGTAGGCCACTATGGGGCAGTATGATACGACTCTGGGTGAGTCCCTTTTCTTCGCTAACTCCGTCCTTTGGTACTCAATGCACTGTACATGCTAGGGGCTATCCTCCTCGGCGTTGTCTGTGAGTGTTTTCTTGGTCGTGGACAGCGTACAGAGGAGCGAGTGTCTAAGCCTTATCATTCTACCCGGCGGCAGTTAACGCATATCTATACGGGGTTCTTACCGTCCAGTTCACTCAGTATTGCTTCGCTGGTGAGTGGCCCTTTGGCACGCGCACATACTATTGTACGCTAAAAGTCTCTTAGGAGTAAACGACTGGCGGGTTTTCAGGTAAGTAGAATCGCATGATGAGAGGTTCCCTTCGAACACCATAGCAGCAACTCCTGAGCATATCCCATCTTTAGGGTCTTGTTGATCTCTGTCTTTGTGGTGGACACGGCATATACTGCCTCGTGAGTGGGCTCTCAAATCCTAAAGGACGTCATTGAAGTTATGTGTGCGAAAGGGCAATCTACACAGTATGGTTCTTCGCGTACGGCCCCTCCACCCATCAAACTCTAGTCAACGCTGAACTCTCTTTGATAGGATAGCTCATTACGATGACCCCGCCGCAATGACCCGTGAGCACCATATAACACCCTCGATCGAGTCCTCTCCCTTAAATGTAATTTATAGAGCCTGTTTGGCTGCTCGAGATCAGTCCAATCCCAACAGCGTGGTCAGCCTTTGTTGCCCAGCTGTACTTCATTCTACGGTAAGAACAACCATTTGTCTGGTGCATCGCTATGCCTACAATCACGTACCATAGCCTTTGGCGGCTAGTGGGCAGCAAGGCGCTGGTCATCGTTTGCAATGTGCTAGGTGTGATCAGCCTCGCCCTGGCCGTGTGGACTGGAGTTGCCGCCCGCATCACGAAAATGTGAGTCCTCGCCTCGATCGTCACGATTCTCCCTAAATAGTCCGAAGTCATGGCGGAAATTCGATTTCAGTGGTGAATGAGCAGATGATAGTCTGGCTCGTCACGTTGGTAGTAACAGATTGCTTCATTACTGGCAAGTCTTTGACTGCATTTCCTTGATCCACCTTGCTGATCTCCAAGTAGGCTCGTTAAGTATAGCGCTATTACGTGCGCGTACCGGAGTTGGCAGGACCGACTATCTCGTTTATCAGGTCATCAGAGGGGCCGTTCAGACAGGGGTGTTCGCTGGCATCTTTTCTCTCGCAACTCTCGTTACCTATGTCTGCTTGCCCCTGACCGCCCTGTCCTTGCTGTTTGCTATCCCTACTGGGCGCATATATACCTCCGTGAGTGCCTCACAGCATCTGCGCCGTACACCATGTGCTCAAGAGCGTCGTGATACAGTCCCTGATGTACTCGCTGCTGCTGAGAGCTGACTCTGCTGAACGTTGCAGCCGCGGAGGCCGATCTAATGTAAGCATTTGCTTGGCTCTTTACGTGGGCACTTGGTGGTCTCGTTTGGCTAAATGACCTCCAGAGTCGAAGCGTGTCCGCAACCACTCGAGTGGTCCAGCTGACTTCAGCCATTACGGCTTGCGAGCTCGACGTCTACGATACGAGGCCCAGCGCGATGACGCATCCTTCTGAGAGCAAGTCTGAGAGAGTGGCGGCGGCTACGGTGCCTGAATAACCGTCCCCTTGGCGCTTGCGTCTCTCTTCTATCGCTAGGACAGAGTGACAGGTGTTATACATATCCTTTCTCACGGAACCCATGACTTCATTGAAGCAAGTGGATTTGATAGCAGAACACTTCTGGGCCCATTCTCATGAGATGCGCTCGCACGAACAAGCTTCGTGCCAGCCCCAACGCTTTGGGTTCCGCAGCCCAAACGTCGCAAATCTTCTGCGATCCTTAAAGTCAAGTCAGACTCAAACAGAGGAAATGGTAACCTTTGCTTTCGCGCATTGAATGCACTTCGGGCTCGCTCTCACGTTGCGGCAGCCCTCAGAAAAATAAATATCAGCGCTCGTTTCTGGAACTCCCAGGTGCCCGGCTAAGGCGTATTTCCGCCCGCAAATCTTATTGGTGCCCGCGTTTGTGGTTACGGATTCCTCGGAGCGAGCAAAATCCCTTTTATAAGATTTCCTTGGCTGAGCAGCGTCTTCTCGAGCTCCTCTCCGCACCCCACCTTTCCCTGCATCGCTGATATTGGCAGAATTGGGTCCTTGCTCTGTCCGCGAGCAATGAGCGGATATGAAGCATCTCTTGGTTCGTCGCGCATTCAGCTCTTTCGAAGCCTTGCATACTGACATGATGAATTGGCTACTCTTGTCCTCAAATAGGGACGGTTCTCATTGGTGCACTGGGTACGTGGTCCCTTAATGAGTGATTGTATGAGATAGTTCGACGAAGATGTTTTCGATAGTCAACACGTTTCTCTACGGAATAGTCACGAATCAGTATGCAGTATATTATCAACGTGAGTATCCCATTACACATATCTCTATCTGCTTACAATGCTTCTCAGGCTTCAATAGTCAACAGTGGTTAAGGTAGGTTGATACGAACGCACGCAACCATGTTTGAAAGGAACTACCCCCAGATTATTGTTGTTGTTCGCCTATCTCTTGGATACAGCATGCAGTGCTCTGTAGGTTATCGAATTCTTCAATTACTGTTGGCACGCTAATGGGAGTGATGTTAGGGCAATATATATTGCCTGGTTCTTTCTGTAGGTTCTTCACGTCGTGGTTCGACTCGAGGCTGGGTTAACATGCATACGTCGTCAGTATCACACTTTACGATGACCCAGACGGGCTCCATGGTAATGACTCTCCCTTACACATAGATGTCCGCCTCACCAAAACGCTTTCCAGTCCCATTACAACCATACGAGGTCTTCCCCGCCACCACAGCCTGTTCAGCATTTGTAACCCAAATATTCCTTACTTGGAGGTATGTACGATCCAAAATGCGATATTGGTTTGTTACAAGTCTAATATCCGCTCAGAATATGGAGACTCACCCAGCATAAACTCATCGTCACCATCTCCGCGTTTCTGGCGCTCGCTAGCCTCGGATTTGGCATAGCTTGCGGTATCAAGTCGACGGTTTCCCAAATGTAAGTCATACTCCTCCCATACACGAATGCTGCTACTGAGAAGCCGCAGCGCTGGCGGTCAGAGTTTGTATAAGGCTGTTATAACGAGAATGGCTTGGATGATATCACAAGTCGTCGCAGACCTGTTCATCACGAGTAAGTGGCTCCACACAATACTATGTACAATTACTCATGGAAAAAAGCTACTCTCTGCACGGTTTTGATGAAAGCACGAACTGGCATCAAGAGAACAGACAACATTATCTATCGTCTCATCCGTGGCGCCGTCCAAACCGGTGTCATCGCGGTGCTATTCGCTCTTGCTAGTTTGGTATCCTACCTTGCGTGGCCAGAAACCAACGTTAGCGGCATGTTTATCTTCCCGACCGGCCGTATATATACTATTGTAATGTAATCGTACTCGTTTAGAGCATCCCGATACTAACAGCCATCATGTCTCCAGACTTTATACAACTCGCTTTTATCTCGCGAGGATGCGAGAGAAGGACTAGGGCTACGTCGCGATGGTGTGACAACCATGGACAACAAGGTGAAACTACTTCTGGCCATAATTCACGCTTTATCTCATACACGGCCAGCAGGGTCTTTCGACTGCGCGACACGCACAGTTTACGACAGCAATCACGATCACTGTTCCTGACCTTGAGAACCACGACGCTGAGAATCCTGATAATACGGGGACGGATGACTCAGAAGTCACAGTCTCTGCACGAGAGGGAGTATGATATCCGTTACGTCTAAGGTTACAGGTTCAGAGGGCCTCACTGATGTCCCGTCGCCTCGCTCGGGAACTGAAATTCGGTTCTGATAATGCCATGATCGGTACAGGAAGCACCGCTTTGGTCCCTACCGAGACAAATGATTAGTGACACTTCCTACATATAATATCCTCGATGCGAGCCTATCATACTACAGCTCCTGTCGTTTGTCATGAACGCCTTCGTCGACGACGTAGAAGAAGAAGTGATTCTTTGTTTTAGGCCTTATGCAGAACATTTCAAACCGCGAAAGTCAGTGCTGTCGAACTTCGCATCTGTTATCAATCTGAATTACACCCCATCCCTCATTAATGATCCTTTGGGCTTGCGACTGTCATAGGAGTAGAATCGTGTTACCTCTGGTCGAGAGGCTTGTGGGGATGCTCGACAAACCAAAAAGGGGAAGGCCGGAACTTTCATTTCCAGTCGCGTCAACTCTCACGCGCACAGGCTGGTCCGTGCGCCCAGCTGCTCGGACGTATATAAGCCAGCGCCGGACACCGTGAATCCTTACCACTCTGGCCTTTTGGCTTAGATCAAGTGTAGTATCTGTTCTTAATAGTTTAACCACTATTACGATCGCATCGCGATCTAATCTGGTTATCAAATTTTTGCCGCCCTCGGCCTTCGAGCTCTGCTTGCAACTCGAGGGTCACGATGACCTTGCTATTGCAGTACCGGCTTGTGTCGTCGGGGGATTCTCTTCTCCACCCCAGCTCCCTTTTTCTCTCTGTTTGGTTTCCGCAGACCATGATTGCATGGTGCTCGGTACTTGGCAGATGGACATTGGGGGACGGTTGCTTTCGATTGCTTTACTTGTTCCTTGGCTTGTGTTCGAAGGTACTGCAGTTACTGACGGTGGTGGGTGTATATTATAGTACTACCTATCCATGTTTGCTTTAAGCATTCCCCTTACAACTATACTGAAACCACTGCATTTATACTGATGTTCGGTACGTAGTGGTGGCGGGTTGCCGAACGTTTGTTTTGGGTTACTGGGTGCATTTGGTAGCTTGGGATGTCGTCGACTGGCTGAGTTCTAGACGGCCTGGTAAACCACCGAAATTATCCGGATGTGACATTTAACAAGGTGCCGAGATCCCCCGCCTCGGCCTTTCGGTTCTTTTCCATTCCATACTAGCCAACCTAGCATCTGCACTAGCTCTCATCATAGCCACGTTCGCCGACTGCCGACTCAGACTTTTGATTGTATTTAGTGATAATGCAACTTCGCCCAACCAAAATTATTACATTTTCCACAAATATACGTCCGTTATACCCTCACCATTGGCAAGGTTTTATACACAACACGTAGCGGGGTATGGATCCCAGCGAGCGCCTCTTACCTTATAGCAAGAGGGCGCCTCCATATGACGGAGGATGTCATGACTTGCCGTTCTTCTTCTTGCCAGACTTGGCCTTCTCTTTCTCGGCCTTGATGCGCTCCTTCTCGGCCTCTTCCTTGGCGATCTCATGAGCCTTGTCGTTGAGCCCAAGGCGGTTTCGCGAGATCTGATCAAGCCAGGTCATGAAAATGCGGAGAAAAAAGGGACACGAGCAACGTACCTCAACGGCGTAGAACTGTATCCGGGTGACTGTAGGTTACATCAGAGACAAGGGACTCTTCCTGGATCACGATATTACGTACCGAAGATGGTGTTGGTCTCGCTGTACTCGTTACGGGCATCCGTGCGGATGAGCGAGCCAAAGTTGTAGTCCTTCACCTTCTTCTCGTACCTGAGCGGGGCGTATCCGGATCAATCATAGCAGTGATGATCGTCGTGGGGAAAGCGCGGGGAATCAAAGTTTCGCCAAGTCAGGACACATCATGTCAAACTCAAAACAACACATAATGAACGTACGACTGGATGAAGTCGCGCCACCGCTTCTTGCCGTCCTCGCTCTTGAGGAAGTCCTCGTCGAGCTTGATGAGCTTCGCGTGGTCGTTCTCGGCGAACTCTGGGAAGGTGCTCATCGTGTGCTCGTAGATCTCATCGTCGAGCCTGTGGGCCACATGATCAGTAAGGCATGCGGTCACGGGAGGGGTGCTCGGTAGTTTCGGAGTTGGACGTCGTGGGGAGCAACGTGTCCGGAACGAGGCGAGTGGCCAATAAGGGGTGAAGGCAGAAATACTCACTTGGTGAGCTTGAGGTCGCTTGGATGGACCTTCTCAAGGAGATGCCAGTACGTCTGTGGGACGGGCGTGTTAGGCGTGCGTTAGGTTTGGGATGAGACGACGACGGACCTGCGCCTGCTCGACGGCTTTGACGGCAAACCTTGGTAGATGTGTGAGGAGACGTTAGCGGACATAAGGTTTGGTCTCACTGTTTCTCGATCTAAATGCGAAACGAGTGGGTTACCAGATGAGTATCTTAGGAACATTAAACGGCTATGCCACGTACTTCGATGAGGTTCTGAGCGTTGTTGGGGTCAAAACGTTGCTGAGCCATGATAACAAAGGTCCTGGTCTGTGCTGAGAGGTGGCTAGGAGGAAGTGAGGGGGCAGGTGTGGATGTAAGAGAGGGGCGACGTGGAAGGCGGATGTGCTGGCAGAAAAGGTCGCGTCGGGAGTTTCGAAACGGGCGGGGGCCTGGATCACATGCCGAATAAAACCTGCACTGGGGTTAGGGTCAAGGCTGGAACGCGCGACGCGTCTGTGGCTGTGTTATTCCCCCTTCCCTCCACCGCGACGCGATGGACGATATCATTTCGGTACACGGCTCAGACTCAGAGGAACTCCAGGAGGAACAGGAGAACGTTAACTATGTCGACAGGAAGGAGCTCCTCGAACCAGTGGTCAGGCGCGTGGTCGATGCCCTCGGAGGACCGGAGAATGGAGTGTACAGACCAGGTGACGAGGCGCTTGGATGTCTGCGCGACCTCAAGCGCCTTTGGCGTACCGACGACAGCGATGACGATCGTACCGTCGCACGACTTCTATTTGCTACCCGCCTCCTTCCCAATGACCTCGTTCCTCTCCTTCTCCTCACCGCCGGCAAAGGCAACGTCGAAGACCCGCTCGCCATCGCGTGCGCCGACCTCGCAACAGCCATGACCTGGCCCATCGACATAGCCGAGGAGTTGAGGGAGGTAGAAGATGACGAAGATGTGTCGCGGGCAGACTACACCCAGCTCACCCTCGCCCATCTTGTGTACAAGTCCGCGCTCCTTACCCCCGGCGTCATCCAAGCGCTCTTCAACATCATCCTCTTGCCCATATCCAAGCCCTCGCGGCAGCGCACGGAACGCGAGTCCCAAGTTGTCAATGTCGTTTTCCACCTTTTCCGCAACCTTGCTTTCATCCGGGACTTGCCTGCGGACGCCCATCGCAGCGGCGATCAGACACAGTTCTCAACGCTCCAGTCGCGATACATCAAGGTCCTCAGCGAAACCCACGTCTTCGATCTGTTCCTCACCATTGCCGCCAATACGGGCAACGACCCACTCTTCAACTCGGTCAACACACTAGTGCTCGAGACGTTCTACCTTCTCTTCCGAAGTGTACGTCCATCCTCCCTCGCAGCGGACCAACAGGAGGTATGCTCCACATTTGACTCGAGTGCTATCCCCTGTTGATCCAGTCGTTTCTCAGCAACCGAAAGAAAACCTTCGCAAGCTTCTCGCTGCTGAGGACAAAGAACGGCGCGAACTTGCCCGCAACGCCTCCTCCCGCCATTCGCGCTTCGGCACCACAATCTCAGTAAAGCTCAACCCCAAGAAACAACAGAAACCTCCCGAAGTCGTCGATCTTACCGTAGACGGGGACACTAACTCGGCATCGACACAGCCTCAGGGTGACAAGTCCTCCAGGCCACTCGTGCTACACCGACAGGCTGCGCTGACTCAGGACTCGGGGGCCATGCTCGATGCGACGAAGCGCATTAAATGGCGAAAGGCGTTCACTGTAGATGAGCTCGCGCGCCAGGATACTCTTGACACGGGGGCCAAGAGCATTCTTCGAGGCTTTGCGGGAGAGTTCGTGAAAGGGTGCTTCAATCGTGCGTCTCGCTTCTATGCTTCTGTGCGATCCGAATTGAACACGTTAATGACCTCCACAAACCACAGCTTTCCTGGCGTCGTTGTTGAAGGACATCAAATCCGAGCGAGCCAAGATCACCGAGAAGGACCACCTCCGGCTGCTCTTCGTCACCAAATGGCTTCTCGATTTCTTCCTCTCCTCGCGCACACGCGCCCTGGCAAAAGGGACAAATCAAGCCAGCGTAGCGGATGACAAGGGCTGGCAACTCCCCTCCGTCGCCGAGGTGACGGACCGTGCATGGATCGTGTGGGTGCTCCGGCGCATGCGAGAATCGATGGAAGACAAGGTACGCCTATCCTCATCCGCCTACTCATCCACATACTACCCATACGCCTTGCTCACTCAACCTCCCAGCCAAAAGCATGGACCGAGCTGCAAGCTGGCATCGAGTGCCTCACCCAGCTCCTCCTGCTCGTCGACGCCATGCTCCTGCCGTCCCCGTCCGCCGCCTCGGACGCGAACGCGGACGTCGCGGCCGAGGACGAGCTGCGCGACGCGGCGGAGGCGCTCTTCCAGCAGCTCGTGTACAACGGCGAGGTGCTCGACATCGCGCTCGATGCGCTGCGCGCGTACAAGGGCGGCACGCAGTCGCTCGCGTACCTCGGCGCGAGCGTGCACCTCGCGCATCAGCTGCTGCGCATGCTGGAGAAGTGGGGGAAGAGTGGGGGGAACGGAGTGTATGTGCGCAAGAGGAAGGCGCGGAAACGAAAGGGGAAAGGTCAGGATTTCTGCTGTGGACACAATGGCGGCTGAATGTTTGTGGTATAGGGAATGGTACCGGCGTGACGGAGGAAGAGGGCGTGCCAGACGTCGAAGACGTTGAAGAAGGGGGGAACGAGTCGGAAGAAGCGATTACGGAGACCATGTTCACTTTCGAGGCGTTCGAGATGGTACGCTCTGATTCTAGTCTGCATCCTCAGTTTTTCTTACCACCACGTATCCTTAGAAATTCGCCTCCCCCGACATCGCGCGCACCCTCCTCGCCTACCTCGCCCGCTACCGCGAGCTAGACGCGTCCGAAGGCCTCCGCCGCGTCGTCGGCCTCATCCATCGCCAAGCAGTCAAAGCGAAAGCTGAAGGCCTCTTTTTCAACGTAAGCCCCTCTTCACATACGGAGTCAGACCGCCTTCCGCTCACGCAAAGGCAGGTGTCCACGCTAAGCCTGTTCAAGGCCATACACGACGACCAACGGTCACTCCCGAAGGACCAGACGTCGAAGGACCTCATCCAACTGATCAGCTTCATACTACGCCGGTTCTTCAAGGCGCTCGCGGAGGAGCCGATGCTCGCAGTCGAAGTGAGTTTGCAGTTCCCCCCTTGTTCTGCACCAGCTCTCAAGAACGCCGGGTACAATCACAACTATTTTCCATCATATCATTTTCATTCGACATTTCTGATCGCTCCTGTATTACTCCTTGCTGATGCACACTACTTTCAGGCCTTCTTCCCCATGAACCGAGGACACTGGAAGCAGTTCTCCAGCTGGGAACCCGAGAAGCGTCAGGCGCGCGCGCTCTCCGGCAGCGACAGCGACAACGGCGGTGGTGGCGCGGGCTTCCCCGCAGAAGTCAAGGTCAAGAAAGGCTACTCATGGAGTGAGCAGATCGGCATCGTGATCGCCGCGCTCGTCGAAGAGGGCAACAGGGGGCTCGTCGAGTGGATCAAGGATGTAAGTTTTGCCCGTTGCGTTGTGCTGCGCTGCGTTGCGATCGAAACCTTGGACGGCAAGGCTGCCACCGGCCGGCGAGACGCCGATTCGTTTTTGTTCTGGTTCTGTTCTGTTATGGGCGGCTAACGCTTTGGTGTTGGGCGTCTTGTAGGTGCTATTCCTGGTTATTCGCCAGCGACGCGCGATCGTCGAGGAGACGGATCTGCGGGACAAAGATAACTCGGACGGAGAAGGAGAAGGAGACGAGGAGAAGGGCGATGACGGTGACGCGGAGAAGGAGGCAACGAGGCTTGCGGGACCGTCGGCAGAGGCTGTCGCGAAGTTTGAGGATTATCGTGAGTTGCACCCCGCAATATTCCTCGGCCTCGATGCATGGTGCTGAACAAAAGCGATACGCAAATCTCCGTAGGAGTGCCGTACATCCACGATGAACAGGCGCAGGCGGCTACCAAAAACCCGCGGCTCAAGTTGATGTTGGAGTTGCTCGAGTTTACTTCGCAAGTGGAAGAAGGTTAGTTCAAGCCTCTTCGTCTCCGCATCAGCCCCTATCTCCGTGCTGGGGTTCTCCTTCTGTTGATGGAGATGAGAGACGTGCAAGATGTGATCTGACTTTTTCTTCTTCTGTTGTATCATAGGCACAGGCGAAGTGCAGTGGATCGTTCCCGCGAAGATTCTACCGGCAGAACTCCAGTCCAACTTCAACGTTATCGACCAATACCTGCGCGAGCCGCTCGATCTCGCTGGCAAAAAAGCCTCCGAGCTCCTCGCAAAGAAAGCACGTCGTCGGCGCCGGCGCCGGCGGGCTCTCGCCTCCGACGAGGAAGAGCTTCCAAGTGATGAGGAGGAACCACGTCGACGTAGGCGCGCGAAGAAGGAGAAGGAAGAGAAGCAGTACAAGTCGGCGCAGTTTATTGAGGATTCGGACGGTGAGGATGGCGAGATGGACGCGTTCCTCGAGCGCGAGAAAGCGCTCCGTGATCGCATGGAACGTGTCGCAGCGGACAGCGGCAAGGGCCTCGGGACGATGCGCGCCACAGGCACGAAGAAGCGGCGGCGGAGGAACAAAAACGGGCAGGGCGGCGACGACAAGAAGCGGGGCGGGAAGCGCGCGCGCACAGCGGACCCCGAGGACGGTGTCGTCGCTGATGGCGATGCAGATGCAGACGTGCTGGCGATCGAGAGCTCGGCATCTAATAGCGACGACGACGGTGCCGAGCCCGATGCGGCAGACGACGTGCTCGATGCGCTGCGACGATCCAAGAGCCCAGAACGGCCGACCGCTAGGGCCAAGGGCAAGGCCAAAGCAGCGTCACCTCCGCGTCCGAAGCCACGGCCACGCCCCCGGCTGCGTCTCTCGAAGAAGTCCGCGGCTCCTACATCGGACGAAGACATGACACTGGACGAAGCCGCACCAAATTCGTTCGTCAAACCAGCATCGAAGTCATCACAGCAAGATAACGATAGCCCTCCGGGCAGTCCGATTCCCGAACGGACAAGTCGACGTCGGGTAGTCGTCATCTCGGATGACGAGGAGTAGCCTAAATTATCATCCATGTTTGCTTGTTCGTTTGCAGTGTTTTTGTTTATAGGTCCATGAAGGCGTACGATATGTACGAGGCTCGCACAGACGCTCGAGGTCCAAAGTTAGCAGCGTTCGACCAATCAAACGCTATCGCCGCAGACTAACGCTCAGCGTTTCTGAGATGGATGATGCATTCGTACTAGTATGAATTTCCGGGTTATGGATGGAGAAGGAGCTCTTCCCGTTCCCGCGAGACGTCCTATACATCAAGGGATGGCGAGACAAAAACGCGTCTAAACCCCTTGTGCATCACCTGCCACCGCCATCGATATGCACTTCTTCTTGGACGGAAAATCAAACAAGGCAGAAATGAACGGTGATCACACGCTGTCTAGTGACGCCGCTGGAAGGGCAGCACTGCGGAATACAACAAGTCCCCCAGTGAGGCAACCGCGATCCTGACTTTAGCACGAATTCCGATGCTGGTCCCAACAGTGACAGCCATGAGGTTCTTCCTAGCCTGAACGCAAGAATGGATCAGGAAAGAGCGCGTCCATATCAATCCACCAGCTGTCTCGATGTCAAACCTTCATGGTTCCTGCAAGTCACCGTTTGCTATTCTTGGATGTGCGCGGATCTTTCGCTTCCACCAGAACGGGCAGACCTCCGCGACCCTACCGCCAAGTCCATCTCCTGATGAACGTTCAAACTGAGCAAGGAGGAATGGGGAACAGCGTTGACAACAAGAATGGTCAACCCGAGCACAACAAGGATGAAGCGACCATGCAAACGGATCCAAAACACGCTGGCACCCCATTCTCCAGTGCCTGCCTTCGAGGTGAGCACCACCGCTTCTCCCACACAACGTCGTACGATACTCTCCAATGCCGACCAGCCCGAAGCCACGAAAACTATATTTACGGCTCCTCAAACTTAGCCTCAAATCGACCTTCCAATGCGAGCGCTTTGCTAAACAAAGCACTCGGAGTCCCGGGGCCGCGCAACAATCCGAGAGGAAGTATCGACATGTGCAGGGCATTCCGAGCCCACGCCGGCGCCGCGGCTGGATGGGCGCCGCATCGCACACCCAAGCGCCCATACATCATATTATATTCCCCTTTATCCCTTATCCCGGAGTCGAGCTCTGCTGCACGGTGCTGATTACTGGAATGATCCTCCCGTGCAAAGCGGAAAGAGAAGAGGCGCCGTGCGCGAAAAAGCAAATTTTTTCATTGGACTCGAAGTTTTCTTCTCGGAGATCCCCAGCGCACCTATTCGCAAGCCCATTCGCTCATGTGCATGATCAATGGACGGTTGCAGGCAGCACGAGACTTGGGAATTTCTGATGCGGCAAGAAGTGGCTCACGACGTCGCAGAACTCGGACACGCTTACGCCGAGAACGGGATAATCTTTCATTCGGTATTATTGGCTCCACCGATCGCAGCCAAAACGCGGTACTGGTGGCTCGATCGTCGCGCCTCTGTTGTCAGTGTATTAATATTACAATTGGTTCGATTAAAATACTGTACGTACAAAATACGACTGCTCGAGGCCTATGAATAATAATTGGTGTCTTCGGGCAAGAGACGATCACAAACGTGCGTCCAAGCGAATGTTCATTCAAGCATTATTGCCTCAAGGACCAGGAACGAATCAGGGGGATCCAAACCTACACAGTGCACGCACCCACCTTGAATCATCAATCGTTTCGTGAATGCATGCACGAGCGCATGACGTGTCGAGTCCTCCAAGCTCGTCCGAAATCCACGGTGATAACATGTAATGTCCTCACAAAGCCCATGCCATCAACCTTGTTCAAGCAACCAAGCTTCACGGCTTCAGGCTTCACCCCAGCTCGTTGCTCGCCCGTGCGCCACGTAGATACGCCGTCTATGGGAACGCGGCAACAGATCGAGGGCCGCTAATCCATCGGGTTTCATTGCTTTTAGTCTGAGAACCTTCTGCAGTGTCCCGAGAGCGCAAGCGCAGTTCGAGTAGTTCCATGAGTCACGGGCCCGAGTCGCGCGTGGGTGCTTGCTCTCGATCGCCATGGCGCTTGCAGCCCAGGATGAGTGCCCGAGCAGGCCGACGTTATGTACTGAAATTTACCTCACATCCGCCAGCCGCGTGCGGAGGGATCTTGGAATTGCCCTAGCGATCATTACGACAGGAGGCCAGGTACCTTCGCCAAGCGGGACATGGGGGAGCAAGGCGCGATGCGCTCGTGCATCGCCACAAACTCAGAGTGGTCCCTGGGGCGTTCGGATGCGCACGATGCAAGACACCGATCCACAGAACGTGCCCGGACCTAGCGCAGGTTGTCAGTTTTGCACGGTTATAGATAAATTGTGATTGGCTCATATTACGACGACGACCGTCGCGCGCTTTCACTTCGAGGCCGCATCGCAATTCTGGAGCGGGCAACTCCAAAACCCTGACAGTTTCAAGCGGCCTTTGAGTGCGTGCACGCACGCAACGCACCGGTTTTGAGCGACACGTTGCGGCGTGTCCAGCAGCGGAGGAGTCCTCGTTGCATCGACGGAAAGAAAGAGGAGCACACAGCGTCCTCCTCCCCCTCCTTCCCATTCGTGAGAGGGCCACCAGGGCCGCGCACCAGCGTCTCGGCGCACGCCAAAACCCGCACAACGCTCGCGATCCTCGCTCGTGAGGCAAAAAACGATCAAAAGCAGCAAGCAGCAAAGAGTCGCTGAGTGGGATTGGCCTATCTGATTCAGCCGAAAAGGCAGGTCCGACCCCGCGATGAGTCCAATTGGCCCGCATCTCCATCCGCATTCAAATTTCATTCATCTCGGCTGCGAGATACTTAGCCGAGCGTGCTGGAGGCTGAGTTGACACCTGCGATCTGGGCCGCTCCTGCTCTTTCGAACGGTTTACTAGAGCAGCCGGGCGGAGGGGACGAGCACTGGGGTCCGAGCTTGAAGAGTCTGAGGAGCGGCAGGTATACATAGCACGCAGAGTCTGCCTGGGTAAGCGGGATACTATTCTGACGAGGCCGCCGGTCGAGTCCTGTGGTCTGCGAAGTCAGCCGAGTCAACCCGAGCCACGAGGTCTCCGCAAAGGGAATTCGTGGTGCGTCGAATCACCACAGGGTGCCACATGTTTTGAAGGCGGCGTGGCCTCTCTGAGAGAGATCTGAGACCGCGACTGAAACCCGACGACCGCTCGTGTGAGCGTGCTGCGATCAAGGATGACTGGCACATGCCGGGCAGATAAGGGAAAGCGCGCAATTTATCAGAGTAGCTGTGACGTCAACTGCGAAGCAAGGCAGCAAGCTAACTTGAAGATGCGCTGCTGCTAGCGCATTTTGTTATTCTGCGCAGAGAAATCGTTGCAGCGCAGAGGGTAGATAAGGGCTGATATGAAAGGCATGATGGATCGCAGAAGAGGGTAGACGGGGATCTCGAGCGTGACCCTGAGTAGTTATTTAGATCTGCATGCATGCAGTCCAGCTGACCGTGCCTGCGAGTCAACGAACGGAACTTCGGGAAGCAAACCAAGGACAAGGAGACTCGGGCCTTGTAGTAAGCTTATGTTGCTCAGTCGCTACGTGTCTATGGTACTTGTGGCGCGCTCTGCTACGGCATCGTTGGGCAGATGATCAGGCGCGGGCGGAACGGCTGAGGGCGGAGCAGAAAGAGGATGCGGGTGGGGCTCGGAATCGGGGGTTCGCTGAGTTTCCCGGAGCTTGAATCTCGATTTCCGAAAGAGAATTACGCATGCTTTAGACGGAAGCAAAAACTCTGATATTACGTTGATCGGGGATCAACGAACCCAAGGCACGAATGGGATTACAACCGCGATTTGCCGAAGATTGCCACCGCCTTGAAGCTGACAGCCTCCACCGGGATGGCGAGCTGTCCGTGTCAAATTGGCTTGCCCCACGGTTGCGCAGGTTGCGCGTGCGTGTCAATGCTTCAGCGGCGATTATCCGAGGTCGGACTGCTCGGATTTGAGAAAGATTGGGCATCCCGTCTTCCATGGAGAACAGCCTCAGGCTGAGCGGAGGCTGAACCAGAGCAGCACAGAGGGAAGCTGATGCGCGTGTTGTGCGTCACGCACATCGATTCCTATGGATGCACGGTATGCCTTTTAGATTAGAGGGTGGCAGAAAGTTTTAAATTTCGATTCTAGATTTGGGGAAGGACGTATGCAGGGTCGAAAATGAAGGACCCTATCGGCTGACGTCCTGGCGTTTGGGAAAGCGAATAAATCGGCATCCGAGGCACCCGTTCGTTTTGGGAATAGCACCTGGGGCGAGGAATCGTGCTTGAGCGTCAGTTATCAGGAGGCTTATACAAACTATAATAAGCGTCCGTCTTTTTGCAACCCCGACATTCTTTCCTCTCTCGAGACTTACGTTACTCAACGACGTACATGTCCTCGATGGCCCAGGCCACACACCGTACAACATCATCATCATCAATGGCAGTTCCAACTGCGGAACGCGGCTCGTCAGAGCGCAGCCGTAATGCGCGCGCACAAGCTCGCCACCGCGCGAAGCGAAAGGCATACATTGAGCAGGTCCGTATCCACGCGTTCTTGATCGTCCGACGCGACGCGTTACTAACCTTTATTACGTTCTCTTCCCCAGCTCGAGGAAACAGTCACCAAACTCCAGACAGCCTTCGGCCTCAACCCAGACCAGGTCGCCGCCCTCCCCCCTCCGTTTGTTAAGATACGCGAGCTCCAGCAAGAGAACGAGCGGCTGCAAAAGGAGAACGACGACATGAGACGGCTGCTCGGCGACGCCAACGTGAACCATCGGATACACGATCCCGTCCCGGAGTATCGGCGGCAGTCTGTTGGCCATTACATTGAGCGGCCTGACTACAACAAGAAGCGAAAGGTCAGCCTCGACGACGAGCTGTATATCCCGGTGGTGAGTCGTTCAACCCTTCTCTCCTGCCATGCCACTCACATTGTGCGCTAGCTACCGGACCCCTCGCACGTCACGCATGATTCCCGCCCTCCGCCATTGACGATCCCTTCCAATAACGGACTTCCCCAATCCTATCACACCGTTCCCTCCCAGAACTCGGCTCATGGGCTCTCAAACAACTCTTCGCTGTTCAACCTGAACGCGCAGACCGCCGCCTCCTTCCACCACGCGCTGCAACACCAACAGCCACAGACGCCCCTTTCGGGATCGAGCTCAACCTCAAGCCCACCATTCTCGGCGAGTATTATTCCCTATTCCCCTCTTCACATCCGGCTATGAGCCCTCGCGTGAGCTTTTGGGATCCTAGTAACGTCCCTGTTGCTTCTCCCCCACCAGCAGCCGGCCAACGTTAATGCCACCCATGCCACTGGGGAGGCCCATCATAATTATCCACCGCCCGCTTACTCTCCCGTCAACAGCCGCCCGCATACTACGCACATGCACACAATTACGTCGAGCAGCAACTACACTGCTAGCGGCTACATCAAATCAGAGGACGACTATCACCATGTGGGTATTTCTCTTCGTTATCGCGCGTTTCCGTTTCGTGTTCCCGCAAACTCTGAGCTAAAGTTTTGCTCGTCCTTATCAGCCGCTGCAATACTACCAAGGGCAGCAAAACCACGCGTCTCACCCCTCACTCTCGCACGCTGCACCGTCCTCTTCTTCGCAGCATCAGGTGCACCAATGGCACCCGGCGTACGCACAGCAAACGCGTGGACCCATACAACGTTAATCCCACCCGCCAACCGCGGAAGTTAATACCCCTCGATTATTTCTCTGTGCACTTCTTGCATTGCTTCTGGACCCGCTATGATACCCCACCGTGTTTGATCGACTCGACTCGCTCTCATCGTAATGCTGCATATCCGTATCTTGACCCTGCTTCCCACTTTCTTGTTATCTTGGCTCCGCTTTGCCATATACATACATAGAGCATTGGGTGTCGCATGTCTCGTAATCTCCTTACCACGCTCCTTGACGTTTTCTATGACGCTATCTACTTTCTGCACTGTACAAACTTGGCATCGCATATCTCTTTCCCGTTCTTTTGCTTTTTGCTCTGCATACTATTTCTCGCTGTTTACGTCTGACTTTCTTGCATTCGCATATTGCGCGCATATACCTGTGCATACTGTACTAGTATCATAAATCACATAGTGGATACCATCTTCTGTCGCTAGGAAGTCACCACCGCTGTCGACGACGACGGCCCCGGAAGGCTTGAATGATGACGCGAGACTTCGGAGAAGCCTCGAGGGTATCTCGAGGTGCATCAAACGGTGACGTGAGCACTTACGTTGCACCGGCGGCTCGTGGTGGATCGTATGCAGTTGCATGTCGTAACACCATTGCGTCACCCTTGCTCGAGGTTCGAGGTCGGTCGGGTCGAGAGGCGAGTTTGGTAAGAGCGTGCAGTGTCTTCGGCGCCCGTTTGATGTGTTGGGCAGATCTTACGTACGGCTCACGTACACCGCCGTTTAATCCAGCTCAGTTGATCAATGAACGTTTGAACGTTCGCTAGTGTTCCTTGCTGCGCGCGCGGCGCGCCCCTCCCTCGAGAAGCGGGAGTGCGGCGGGTCGGACTGCGCGGTCGCGTGCGCCAGAGCGTTCGGGCGCATGCGACGGCAGTTTTATCAGCCGTTTTCTATGAATCTTACAATTGTTATAAGAGTCTTGCATTTGGTCCTTCACAGAGCCCGACCAACACGTTCCCCCATTTATGTTTGCACATATCCACGGTCTCCCCGACGAAAGTGGTGTTTGACCATTTTTAGGTACACTAGTCGGCTTCCATGGCCAAGTTGACAAGATCAAATGGAAGTCCGCTTTCGTCGAATTTTGAGGCTCCGACTGGCTCCGAAAGCTCATCAGCTCCGATAAGCCTCAGGCCATCGAAAGCGGAGGCAATAGGCGGATCCATATGTTTTGTTTCGGAAGCGTCCATCGTACAACCTCAATCGAGATTAAGGTGCTACCTTGAAGATTATCCAAGATCTATCAACGTGTCGGCTGGACCGAGTAAGCCTGTCACTTCCGACCAGTTCTGCATTCCTTGCGCTTCGCAAATTTGATTGAAGTGGGGCCTGCAAGATGCGGTACATGTTCCCCGTGTACCCTCCTTCTCTACTCCTTTGATTATTCACAGTTCCACGTAGTGACGTGAATGGCGGGCTGGTAAATCGGAACGTGGTCACAAACGCTTTGAAACGCATCTACTATCATCCCCATCTCCGTCCAGATGTCATTTGCTCCAGGGCACCCACTGAACTTCCGTTGCATCATCAGGTGCTGCGGATGGCTTCATATGTACCTGAATGACCGATGCAATACTTGACGCGTTCGTTTCCGTTAAGATTTGATGACAGCTTAGGCCAGGACCGAGGATCAACCAAAGTGAGAACATATCTCTGCTCCCCGATGATGATCTTTTGTTTGAAGTCTATTTGAGGGCTTTGGAGCATCTGGTAGGACCAGATCTCCGGTCAGGTCGGGGTCCTATATGTTGTTCCAGCGCTCCGAGAGACAAAACATGACACGCAGTCATGTAAGGCAGGCTTGTGTTGATCCCGGTCTCTTGCTTATTTGTCGTTCACGGATATCTGCGTTCAGTGTGTATCATGCATCTATATTGCCTGGTTGATGTCTTACCTCCTAACAATATCGACGCTGAAGGTTTTTTTACCTTTGACTGCGGTTCCGCAATATAGCTTCTCCTCAATCACCTTTATTGTAGGAGTGACAGGGTGTTGCAAGCTGTCCCACTCAACAGGATGGGATTTGATTTCCGGTCGCGGAATGGCCAAATATCGTTTTGTGGTGGCTGTAGTCTTTCCGCGAGGTGGGTGATGCGTCAAACAATAGCCTCTTCCGACGCAGTTGCGCGGATTTGGCAGCTACATTGTAAGGACAGAGCCATGGAAGCTCATCAAACGAAGAAAATTGGCATCAAATAATACTGAATGCACCGGAGCCTTGCGACCTCAAGAAGGATGGAAGACTTCTGAATAACACCAACTAGTGGAACAGATTACTCATCATCATCCTCACTGCAGTCTGGCAACTCGTACCATTGCAGATTTGTACCGTCCGAGTGCCTCGCACGATGCACAACAGCCCTCATGGAACGGGATGACCTGCCGCCTTAGTCGCCACCTCACATGTTAAAATTAACAAGCAGGATACAGGCGTTCAGAACTCCCGACCGACTCTCAGCGGGTTATTTCGAGAAAGAAAGTTGTTTCCGCATTTTTCGTGCGGAGTGCGGCGTTTCAGCTTGCGCGTGCAGACGGCAATGGTACCCTACCCCGGCACGAACGCCTCCACGAAAAAGCGTGCATCAAAAGGTGAAAAGGTGTGCCGCGTCCGTGGAGTACGCAAATCAATGGTCGCCGACTTACGGAGATTTGAGGGGAAAATCACCTATGTATACCGTGACGGCGGTAGCCAAATGGGTATGCGGGGCTGAGAGCATCCCTTCACGGTGTGAATCGCGTCATATGGCTCACAGCTTACCTGAGGCCTGAGATGTGGCTTCTTATACATTACCCAGTACACTAATTCAAAAACTAGGGAAAGCACCGTTTCCGCGCTCAAGATGATCCCCCCTTGACCGGTATATTGACAACGCGCTCAGTCTAGTAGCTTTCCCGTTTTCCAGTGCACCTCTTTCTCAGCCGAGCACTTTAGCATCATTTATTGAACTAGCATGAAAGCTAGAGTGGTTATCAACAGCCTGGCAGTAAAAATTTCGGGAATTTGAACGGGAGGATACGGACATGCGAATCACCAGTCGAGGCCGCTCCATGACCGATGTTTATGAAGTGTCGGTGTTCCCCGTTCTAGTGTTTAGGTTCACCTTCTTTTGTCAGACTTCACAACGCTCGCCCACAAACTGTCAGATAAGGCGTAATATTCTACGACCCCTGTTCAGATCTTCATACATCATGAAAACCATGACACAAAAGATCTATGGCAACCATTCAATGCTGTAGTCCGAAGTGGCGGGTAAGAAATACGCTAGTCATATCAAGATACTGGCTTTCAGGTCTTTTATATACACCCCTGCCCGACCCTGATATACACCACGACGGGGGCGCGGAAAGTCCCGACAATTGACGAGGCTTGAGTCCTTGGCCCTTGGAAATCGGATATCTTTAAGGACCAAGCGCTTATAGAGTATCCCATAACCGCCGCCAAGGTACACGTCTGGGACGCTATATTTTTCGTCCGACGTCCTCGTCTACTTTGGAGGCTGCGGTGGCGCGATCGGCATTGACTTCGGCGTCGCGTTCTCGGGTTGGAGTACGGTATGGGGCTGTGGTTCCCGAGACAACGTCCGCGCTAATCGCCGGGATGCGAGAGGTACGGTAGAAAATCTTGTACCCGGCCCACAGGAAGGCAAAAAGCGGGATCCCAATGTAGGACCTGAAGCGCAGGAATAACCCGATGCGTCAGCGCGTCAGCAGTGACAGCTAGGGCGGTGCAGCGCAACTAGAAGGGAAGCAATATGGCGCACGTTGTGAAAGTGCCAAGCGCAAAGGGTAAAAAGGCGCTGAAGCCTGATCGGTGGGAAATAAAATCGTTTTATTTCTTGTGAGATACGCTAGTATTGAAGGAGCAAGGAAAGAACACGGACCGTTGAAAATAAGAACAATCGACGTAGAAACCAGCGCAAACCACGAGCCGTATGGCTGCAGCGGCGCTTTGTATGGCAGACTCTCACGAGGGACGCCCTGCGCTTTCAACGCTCTCATGAATGCTCTGGTCGCCGTGAGCACGAGGCATAAGCGAGCCCGAACGCGGACCTACATGTGTGTATATGAGATACAGATCCATGTGATCGCCCCGAGGCATGCGACTAAGTTGGCGAACCAGCCAAACGCTAATGTGCGTTTGCGTTTTTGGGTTTGAGCTATAATTGCGTGGAAAGAGAGGGACGGACGCGCATACCGACGGAACTTGAGGAGCTCGCGTTTAGGAATGTGAGGAAGCAGACTGCGGTACAGAGCACGAGCGCGGGCCATGGCACGCCACGCTTATCGACTCGAGTGAAAACAGCGGGGGCTTTCTTTTCTACTGCCAGAGCGTACAATGTCCGCGAGCCAATGTACAGGTCCGAATTTGATGCACTGAGCACGAAGATAAGGACGATGGCGTTAATGATATTGTCGAGATGACGGATACCGGCGAGCGAGGCCGCTAGCTCAATCATGAGTCGACGGCTCAGAATCCTACTGGTTGATCTCACCAACGACAAATGGTGAAGCCGCTGCTCCCGCCTTCGAGCTATTTGCCACAAAAAGAGACTGACAGTTGAATCAGCATGCGTAAATTTGCTCGAGAAGATAGCAAACACTACTTGATTGGTACTTGGAACACTTAGACTCATAGAGAAAGAGCCTCCGATGTAAAAGACCAAGATCCGGAGAAATGTGGTTCTGATAGCCCTAGGCATCGTTTTCTGTGGGTTCTGTGCCTCCCCCGCGGTGATACCTATGAGCTCTATTCCGATGTAAGAGAATAGCGCAGTAATGAGGGTGCTCCAGAAGCCGAGAAACCTTGCTAGGGTTGCACTGTGTACTTCGCTTATCAGGTATTCCCCAAGAGGGCCGTATGGGGGTCTCCAGTAACGGAAACCGTAGCGGTCGTGCTGGGGATTACCACCGAGATCGATGACAAAACCCATGAGTATGAGACCGACAAGAGCTGTGACCTTGATGCTAGAGAAGACGAACTCGAGCTCTCCAAAGAAGCGAATACCAAGAAGGTTGACAAAGAATACTGTGGAAAACTCGGATCAGGTGCTGTTCCGCGTGCAGCGTAGGTATTCACTTACTTGCACTGATGAATGAGACTGAATCTTAGTCAGCGTCGATATCCAATTTAGAACAGCTGGCTCTACGCACTCATCCATACTTCAATGGGAACAGACAACGTCCAGTACTGCATTACAACACCAGCAGCGTTGATGTTGTTTGCGGTCTGGAAGAAGTACTTGAAGAGGTAGTTCCACCCAAGAGCAAAGCCAAAGGCTGGATCGACGAAGCGAGTCGAGTACCCACCCAGCCCTTTTCTGTGGGGTATGTATGCGCTCATCTCGGCGAGGGCTACCATGACGAAGTAGCAAACGATGCCCATGAATGTGTAGCCTACCACGAGACCGAGGGGTCCACCGCGGGTGAGGGCCGTGCCAGACGCAATGATAAGACCTGTTCCCAGTGAACCACCTAGCTGCCCGTCCGGGAGTATAAGAACCCCTTTGCGATAGATGTTGTTAGGGCCATGCTCACCGTGATCATGATTATTTGTCGAGATTTGAGGCCTCTATGGAGAGTCCCTGCGTCTTCGGAGCACTCCTGAAGCCCATCTTCGTCAAGTTCTACCGCCCGTTTCTCTTGAGTCGACATTGAAGCGATGGGGTCATCGACGGTCATCAACACCAAGCTGATTTTGTGGATGACAAGTTATAACAATCGTTGTGAGATAAGCGAGCTTTCAGAGCTGAAAAGAGCTTCGGCCGGTCACGAAGCACGACGCCGATGCAAAATTAGCAAGTTTGGCAGGAACTCTAAGTCTCCAAAGTGAAGGAAAGCTCGAAGCCTTGAGCTTGAGATAATTCTTCGATCCATGGCAATAACTAGGCACGAGGACAGCGAGCTGTAGGATGTTCGGATTCTAGTAGAATAGTTTGAGTCAACGCACACCACGACAGGGGGCTAAGAGTGACTCGCAGACTCGGACGCCGGATGCTCGGCCCGAGGATATCGGGGCTGCCGCGGTCGGAGACGGCGAGCAGGTGAAGGCTCCGTTTTGAGTGCTACCGTCTGATTACACGCCGTATCTTTCCTCATCCCAACCATCTCCGGCTCTCCACGATGGCAGCTCGACTTTCCTCTGCTCAGGACTATGAGTCTCTGGTCGACCAATATGACACCTGGATGTTCGACTGCGATGGTGTCCTCTGGCAAGGCTCCAACCCTGTCGATGGCGCGATGGATGTCCTTCAGATCCTCAGACATCGCGGTACGTTCTTTCATGTACACTTTCAGATATGATATCAATCGGAGGGTAGGAAAACGCGTCATATTCGTCACGAACAACGCCAGTCAGTCGCGTAAGAGCTATAAGAAGAAGTTCGACAAGCTCGGATTGGAGGTCCATGTAGTACGTTCATGCCTCTGTAGCTGAGAGCTGTCACGAACTGAGAACAAGCATTATGATATAGGATGAGATCTACGGCTCCGCGTATGCTTCTGCCGTGTACATATCAACGGTCATGAAGCTTCCGAAGGACAAAAAGGTCTTTGTCATCGGCATGTCCGGAATCGAGGAAGAGCTCACGGAAGAGGGTGTATCGTACATTGGAGGCACCGTAAGCTTCCATATTTTCCCTTTCCATCTCGCGATTCACCTCAGCAAGCATAGGACCCCGCAGATAATACTCTTGAGCCCTTCTCGCTCTCCAACTTTACGCTAGACACCTCTGTGGGCGCCGTCCTCTGCGGCCTTGATACGTCGATCAACTACACAAAGCTCTCCAAAGCATACCAGTACCTCACACGGAACCCCGTGTGCGAGTTCCTGGCGACCAACACTGATAGCACGTATCCTGCCGCTGGCGGCACGCTCATCGGCGCGGGATCCATCAGTGCACCGCTCGCTTTTGCTGTGGGCAAGGAGCCATTATGCATTGGCAAGCCAGCGAAGACGATGCTGGATTGCATCCAGGCAAAGTAGGTGTCAGTAGCTCATTTACGAAGAAGTGGTGCCGACTTTGCTTGCAGGGTACACTTCGATCCCAAGAAGACGATCATGGTTGGCGACCGCTTGAACACCGACATCCTTTTTGGCCAGCAAGGAGGCCTCGCGACGTTGCTGGTGCTGACAGGTATGCATATCAATTTGTTCTTGTCGAGGGGAGATTTGAACTTGCGTCCGCTGCAGGCATAACCAAGGAGATTGAGATTACAGGACCCAGCCCGTCGCCCATAGTCCCTGACTACGTGACAGCCTCAATCGGGGACCTGCGGGCTGTTGGCAAGCAGTAAATTTAGATATATTGATTCTCTTCGGGTGTATCAGTTAGACGTGTGGAATACCTAGACATGTAACACATTGAGGGGGCCATCCAACCTCCCCTGATGAACAAACTTTGTTGTCAAATAACAAGGAAAACCGAAGAATGTTAATGAGCACTTGTTGGGTGAAGGTAGGGCAAGGCTCCTCGGAGCATGAAACGCATAGAATATCATATCTTTCTCTAATGTAGGATTATACACGCTTGTACTGTTGTGCTGCTTACTCCTTATTTCGTCTTCTGCCGCATTTGCTCTGACCTGATTTGCTCCTCTGCCAGCCAGTAAACACCGGTGGTAACGAGAGCACCCAGCGAGCCTAAGATGTATCCAATGATGGCACCGAAGAGCGGAGGAAGCGGCCATGCCTAGATGACGTGGGCAAAGGAGCGCTAAGATAAAAGGATATTCATACCTGCCAGGGACGGTCCCAATCCAACGCTAGGGGGATGACACCAAACCAGCACCCGACAAGGGTTCCAATGGAGGGGTAGACCATGGCGCGTTCAATAGCGTTACGAGGGCTGTGGGATGGGTCAATCTTGGTCGGTTTGAGAATTAGTAAGGAGACTCACGAAAACTCGACGAAGAGGCGCGTCCAGTTGAACCATTTTATCCATGACGCAGTGTCGTTCCCCATGGTAAGGCGACCCAACGAGTATGCTGGCGCGAATACCGTCAAGAACGCCAGTATGAGCGACAAGAGGTAGGTGTGTGGATGGTGGCTACGGGGAACTTTGTTGTCAGACCGGAGCACAAATGTAATGAGGACCACAACGCACCTCAAGACTGGTGCTCCGAACAGTATAACGATGGCATGATACACAACAGATACCGTCAGAGTAAACACGGATGCCTTTCCATAGTCCTGTAGGATAATGAGAGGTGAAGCATTGGAAGAGGTCCCAAGGAAACGCACCGCAAACTTGGCTTTGCTAATCTCGCTCTGCTCGATCTTCTTCTCCGCATACGTCCCCCTAGAAGCCTGTTCGAAGTACCACATCCGTATCCATCCCGCCCACCAGCTTTGCAGGACAAAGACCCCGCCAGCAATCCATACGAGAGACAGCACGGGGCTGTACGCGAGTGTCTCAACGAGTGGGTGAGCCGGGCGATCCGTGACGCGGGCGGGGATGTCAATGAAGAACGAGGTGGTCTGCGGGAGGAACAGAGCGGAAAACGCGAGCAGGGATGTGTGTACGCCGACGAGGGAGGTGTACCGCGCGAACGGGAAGGGCTCGGGCGCGTACTCGCGCTCGGAGGGGTCCACGTCGGCCTTGGTGTAGACGCCTGGGATAGTGCTGCGGGCTGCGGGTTTTTGTTTGCGTGGCGCCATGGTAAAGGGTAGGGACGGGAAGGATTAGGCCCTAATTGACATGTACGAAGGAGTGAAGGTCAGGACGGGTCGACTGAACCTCGGGGAGTCGATGCGGACGGTTCGGAGTGGTGGTCGTGGCCGTGAAGGTGTTAGAGGGGTGACTGGCGACGACACTGCCGCATCGTGCCTTCTGGGGATGAAGTGATCACCACACATTCATGCTCAACATGAGCATTGTACACATGTACATGGAGATCAAGAGTCGTATACAGCCTCTCGCTGAATTCGACCACTGCCGGTGACCTCATTTCGAGTCCAAAAATGGGAGGTCTCAGCATGGACAGAATCATCACCAGCAATTTATGAGAGAGCACAAAAACATGGATTTTTGGGCATGGCCAAATCTTTCTGAAAATCGTATGATACCGTATGATAATGCAATCGTGTCGTGCTGGTAGGTGCTGGTGCTGTCGTTCCTCCTTGGTGCCTTCAAGGGGTTGAGAAGCGCGTGGAGGACTGTCGGGATTTGCCGAAGAGCTGCATAGTTGATTCAGCCACACATTCCCCCCATATTGAGTTGACCACATCGGCAACGGCCTCAGCGACCTCAAGGCTTCAAGGTGAGGGCGTCCTTATGCTAGGACGCTAAACGCATACTGACCGCTCACGTACTCACAAGTATCAATCTCTGTGAGTACCGTTTCTTGGATTGGAACGAAGAATCCGTCGAAAAATCGGGCGAGGGTTGGAAAATCGGAAAATTAGGAATGTCATGACGGAAGAGGATCGAAGGATGGGAGGAGGCGGATTCTCGCGCATTTCTTGGGAGTGAGTATGCTTGCTCAAATGCTGACCTTTTTGCCCCTGTAGATCAGCAATGGCTCAACGCGTCACTCTCCGCAAGCGCAACCCCTACAACACCACCTCTAACCGCCGCCGCGTTGTGAAGACGCCCGGTGGCAAGCTCGTCTACCACCACATCAAAAAGCTCGTCTCGCAGCCCAAGTGCGGCGACTGTGGTGTCGGTCTCCCTGGTGTACGTAGTGTAATCTCGTGATGTCGGAGGTCTGTTTGGCTGATTGACTATTGGTGATATCTAGGTCCCTACTCTTCGCCCCCGTGAATACGCCAATGTCTCTAAGCGGATAAAGACCGTTCGCCGCGCATACGGTGGGTCGCGGTGCGGTGACTGCGTGAAGTCGCGGTACGTCTCTTTCGCTTTATATCTCCCGTTCCCCTCTAAGCGGCACCATAGCATCCTCCGGGCATTCCTCGTCGAGGAGGCCAAGATCGTGAAGCGCGTCATCAAGAGCCAGCAGAAGGGTGGCCGCAAGTAAATTTTACTTGCGTCGTCAGGTTATCGCTGTCCATCTCTTTTTATGGCTTTCGGCATGCACCATATCATCATCCTCTATGCAATTATTGCATTCATGTACCACGGCCAGACAAAATGACAGACCTAACGGGTCCATATATGCGATTCACGCAGTTTGAGAGCAATGACAGAATAAAAGAGGATGTTCCTGCTGCTGTCATCATAACGTTCATCGCTCGTCTAATTTCAGACGTTAGGTGCGAGTTTACGCGTGGCAACCTCTTGTAAAGTCGCCCGAAACTTTACCTACAATGCTTTCGAGTGCGGTCTCCCTCTTAGACGATAAATAAGCAGACTAACATATAATAAAAGTATTATTACAACGTTCAGGATTGGACAATGTAATAAGGAAGAAATACTGGAGAAAGGGAAGATGACAACTGAAGGTGGCTGACGTTCTCGAAGATGGGAGGGAAGAAAGACCAGGTCACCAATGCCACACTCACGCAGCCTCGTAGGCAGGCGGAGGACCAGTGGATGAAGAGGTGCTGGGTACGAACTCATCCTCGAATTCCTCGTCCTGGTCCCCCATTGCTTGGTGCTTCATGCACCCTGGAGTGTCAATCAGAGACTCATATTGTCCCTGTTCCGCGAGGCCGACATCCTTGGAGCGTTCGCTCGGGTGAAGAAGTTGGAGCCGGTATTCAAACGCGAATTTGATGGACATGCAGCAAAAGACTGAAGCATTGATAGTATTCAGACGAGTGCATGGTTTGAAGAGAAAGGTAGACAAGCAGCGAGGTAACTCACATGCCTGAAGGATGAGTAGCCAAGATTGTGTCGCAATCGACCATCCGTATTGCCCGAAACAACTGAATTTACTGTGGGGGCAGGTCTACGGGACGTCTTATTAGCGCGTGCGCTGTGACGAGCAAACGCACTAGTATATACATCACCGATCACCCAGACGATGAACAGCCGCAAAGTGCAGACAGCGACCGCGGTACCCTTGACGAAGACGGACGCCTTCGTGTACAGGCTCATATGGTCAAGGCGCCTCTGCAGGGCGGCTTTGGCGCCAAAGAGCTCGAGAAGGCAGGCGGGGGTGAATGAAGCGATTGACAGAACTGCGAATGCCCCGTCCAGAACTGGATGCTGGCGTCAGCCCGTACAGGGGTGCAAGAAAGGGCAATGTGACGTACTGTCAGAAGGGAAAGGCTCCTTCAGCCATGAGACCTGCAAGCCCGTGCGTTGAGGTTGAGTTAGCGGTCCAAAGTAGTGGTAATCAGCACGTACGCTCCTGAGTGGTGAGTGAGACCTAATGACAAGGCGTTCAGGAAGATTGACTCACCGGATGAAGGACAAGATCGAGAGAGCCCCCGCGACTGAAACGAGCGTTAGCATTAGTACATCCATGATTCTGCACATGCCGACCCGCCCCTCAGTACACTCACAAACAATCGTAGGCATGCGGTAGTCCACCTTTTCCTGAGAAGGATCCTGGGCCGTTGTGCTGTGGGGGCTGGCCTCGTGTAGCTGAAGCATTGATCCCTCTGCCCCTACTACCATTGTAAACCGTACCATGGTAAGTCGGGAAGCGTTCACGCCCAAGCTGCCACGCACGCACCTCTCGATCCTGCTCGAGGCTGCATCTTGCGAGCGTGCTTGTGAGGCGAGAGCTTCCAGAAAGAGGATGGACGCCGTCTGTTGAAGCGCATTCTGCTCAATATGCGTTTAAGCCTGCGGCAGGAAGGGGCGAAGAAGAAGCTGTATACTAGCTGTATGCTGTGTAGTGGGGCCACCCAAGGCTTTCAAGCAGACCAGAATACAACCGTCGCCCTCGAAATCCAAGAAACTAGTCAAACCCACAGGTTATTAGTGGCGGTACCAGGTTGTACCACGGAATCATCCTTAAGGAGATCAGTGAACGCACTGCCCGGGTTGGGGTTGATAGGCATCCATCGCCTCGGGTGGGGCAACGGTGACAAGCCTGCCAGATTAGTATCTGGGATGACCATGAAGACGGTAGGTCCGGTCCGGTCTTTAGTACAGCATCGGAGAGATTCCGACGTACTGGAACTTGTTGAGGTGCTGAAGACTCTGGACTTAGAGGGAGTCTCGTCACAGTACTTAGAGACTTACGCTGTTCTGACACGCGACTCGCGAACACCCTCGGTTCCTATTATGATAGTCCATCAGGGCCCCTGTTCGCCCCACAATGATATGTCTGGTATGAGCCACGCCCCCGCCCCATCTTAGTGAGTACTACCACTCAACCTATCTCTCACCTCACCATCAGTATCACCTTAAAACGTGAACTGAGTCTCGTTTCTGGCGCGTGTACTGTCACTCTGGGCTTTGCATGTAATCCACCTGTGCGAGCTCCATGGTGGCCCTCTTCAGCTTCGACTTCGCCAATCTAAGCAAAACTATCATACTTGGAGAGTATTATTACAGATTATGGGGTACGAATGTTGTGTGTGGAGAAAGGAAGGGACGACGGCGAAAGTAATTCGCAAGGCGATCCACGTACTCGTAGATGAAAGGAAAGAAGGACCGGACACACGACGCTCACGCTGCCTCATATGCAGGTGGAGAGCGCGTGGATGAAGATAGGCTAGCTAGGGGCTCAGCGCTCATCCTCAAAGTCTTCGTCCTGGTCACCAAGCACGATGTGTTTGGTGCGTCCCGGAATTGGCGGACCTTGCTCGTCTAAAGGCACATACTGACCCCGTTCCACGAGGCCAATATCCTTCGGACGTTCGCTAGGGTGAACTAGTTGGCAGCGGTATGAAATGGCAAATTTTGTCGATAGAAAGCAAAGGACTACGAGATTATGGGGTGTGTGAACAGCTGACAGGGAGGTAAACGGGCAGACGTGAACTCACGAGCCTGAACGACGAGTGCAAGCGATTGTATCGCAATCGAACCTGTATAGTCCCCAAAACATCTTACCTCTCTCGGTGGGCAGGTCTACAGAACACCTCATTAGCGCATGCATCGAAATGACCGGACGAAATGGACGCATACATCGCCGATGATCCAAACGACTAGTAGCCGTACAGCGCTGACGACAACAACGATGCCCTTGACGAAGATGGATGACTTCGTGTACAAGCTCATGTGATCGAGGCGCCTCTGCAGGGCGGCTTTGGCCCCAAAGAGCTCGAGGAGGCAAGCAGGGATGAGGGATGCGACTGCGAGTACTGCAAATATCCGTTCCCGCGCTATGTGCGGGCATGAGCTTGTACAGTGTGATGTAATGAGGGGCGGCACGTACCGTCAGAAGGAAGGGGCTCCTTTATCCATGAGATCTACAATGCCATGTTCAGACCCCAGTGGATTCGGAGTTCGAGACTAATGTTAACATGCACGTACAGTCCTAAGGGGCGAATGAGCAAAACGATGAGGATGGGCAGAGAGAAGAACATACCAGATGAAGAACCAGATTGACAAGGCGCCTGCGACTGCAACGAAAGTCAAAGGTCAACGTTAACTTGAGGCACAGTGATCTCCAGCAGCTAGATGAACCCCAGGTGTACTCACAGACAATAGCGGGCTGACGATAGTCTATCTCTGGTTCCTTGGAAGGACCCTGGGCCGCTGTACTGTCGGGGCCGTCCTCCGGTAACTGAAGTGTCGCCGCTTCCGTTTCCACTGTCGCAGTGTAAGCCACGAAGTAGTTACTCAAGATCGTCCATGCTGAAGCTGCCACTGCACGCACCTCTCGAACCGGCTCGGGGTTGTGTAGGGATGAATCCCGTTCCAAAGTGCATCTTGCAGTGCTCAAGTTCAACGGGCGACGAAGAGTTGTACTTGCTGTAGTCCTGGGGCGCTTGTTCGTGGGTCACGGACCAGAAGATGATGGATCCTTGCAGCGCGGTTTGTATGGGGTGCACTTATGTAGCTTCCGTTGAAAGGCAGCGAGCAGAGATAGCGGGGGGCCAACAAAGAATTTATTGTATGGGCGCTGCGGCGGAAATGCCCCCATTAGCACTCGAACATCAAGTTCAAGGTTTAATACAACATGTTGTCGTCCCTGAGGATATGATCAATAGATGCAACCGCCAGTGGCTATGGGGCACAGTGGCGTTGACAGGCACGACTCACGATGATAAGCCCGCTGAATCAGAGTAAACTGAGGTAGGGTTGAGCCGGGCGTTGCATAGTTCAGCATCCGAGGAAAGAAGCCTAAAACTTGTCCTATTAGACACATTGTAACCGGTTGTGGACCTAGGATGTTAGTGATCCAGGAGAAAATCGCCGTGGCAAAGACACAAGCTGCGTTTCGGCTTGCGACCTCATAAACAGCCTCCGATCCATCACCCCTGTTAGCACTGAGATGATGCATCTGTGTCAGCATGTAATACTGGGCAATGGTTGATATTTGCCTGTGTTCACAGCCTATCATCAAGCTCTATCTCACATACACATCTTTGTTCCTTCAATTGTGCGTTTGAGGTGATGCAGCCAGAGTCAGGTGTGCGAAATGAACTTGACATATGTATTGCCCATCAAGACGTCTGAGAACCGCATAATCCCAGAATCCTTTCGTTATGCGTATATACTCGCATCATGACATTTAGGGAAGGGGAGATAGGATTATCAGTGCACTGGTACGAGGCTACAGGGGGTACGTGAGGTGATCGTGCATGAGATCGTACAAGAAAAACAAGAAAGCTAACACCTGTCCATTACTACCAAAGCGAAACAAACAGACTTCAGGCCGTAGCAACCCCGCTTGCGTTTACCGCGCCGAGTGCAGAGGGAACCCTGACGATGTCACGTCCCTCTCTTCCGACGGGTCTACCCAATGCGTCGGCCTGGGTACGCTCGGCCCGTCAAAGTCAGCGAACGGGTCATCGCCCTTCTTGTCGTCCTGATGCATGTAGTCGCCACCTGCCAGATCGTATCCGGGAGGCTTGCTGTCCGCATCGACGTGGGGCGGAGGTCCTGGCGGTGGAGCGTACGAAGGCTGGTACGGCATCTCAGGGCCGTTGTACGGGGGCGAGTAGTACGTGGGGTACGCGTCCGCGCGAGCCTGGCTTGAGGGTGCTCTGAACGAGTTCGCGGGGCTCTGTGGGTCACGTAGCTGGCGCCAGTATGCGAATGCAAGGGCAGTGAAAAGTATGCCAACAACTTGAAGTCATGGCAGATCAATTAATGCCGTTTGTGGGAAAGCATAACGGACGTACCTATTTCGGCTAGAAGGGTAATGATCTCTGCCCAGGAGTCCCTAGTCCACTGGCTGTTACAGACTAGAACGTAATTCAGCGCTGTTCCCGGGTCTGGGTACACTCAACTCACAATCTTGAGGATTGTCGCCGCTGTAATCGTATGATTGTCCCCAGATGCCGAACACCTGTGGATACGAGTTAGACCATGAACCAAGGGCCAGGACTTGGTTCAACTTACCGTTGTGTCAGAGTCGCCAGCCGAGACAACTTGTACGCATTCTTCTATAATATCTCCCTGAACTCACTTGTTAATATATATTGAGATGCTACAGGAACGTTTACATACTTTGAATGTCCAGTGCGTTATAGTTCGCATGAAGCCGACCGCGACAACCGCCACTGCCGACAAACTTGAGCCTAGCGCATAGAAACGTATGAGGCGAACGTTTTGCTATAATTAGACCTGGATGAGAACGTTACTGATCGCAAATGGGGCATCAGACACACCATGATGGAACCGGCGAGACCAAGCGCCTCGATAGCGCATGCAAAAGTGAATATGGAGCCTTGCACAATGGCGAGAGGCGCCAGCTTGGGTAGGTTATCTGCGAGGCCATGAGATCATGCTCTTCTGCCAGGTCCGAGTATGACTTACTATTATCATCCCACTTGAGCTCCTTGAACGCCGATACCTATAGGGGTAATTTAGGACACGGACATGTGTAGCGCTGAGATACACGTACAGCCCTGTATCACGAGATCGATTAGCATAGCGACGTTGCTGTACTCTGAAAGACACTCACCAGACCAGAGACCATAGCCCAGAGAACAAAGCACCTAGATGAACGACATTGAGTGTATCCAACACGTTGGGTGTCCAGGGTACCCACAGCAGATGACGACTGATCGCAAGTTTCGGCGATAGACTCTATTCACGAAGGTGTATGGGGGTGGAGCAGCTAGTCGGATATCAGAACTGATAACAGAAGAATCTGAGTGTTCACTGCACTCGCCTGCAGATGGGTTTGACAAGAGACGGTCTCAGTCTGACGTCAGCGCCGAGGTGATGGAAATACGCACCTCCAGGTGGACTTCGTCTTGAGTCCATGATTCGTTGAGCGTGTTCGATTCGATTTCGGATTAGAGTGATATACAGCAAAGAGAATCGTCGATGGAGAAGTGGTGGTTAATTGCCAAGGGGAGGTACACGCCGCAGCTACTCTCAAGAGCACTAGCACTGCCGCAGCCGAGGAGCTGTGACGTTCCCACGGCTCGCAGCTCGTCGAGTGCGACGCGTTGCCTTTTGCACTCCCTTTGCTATGCATGGCTGGATTGCTGTCTTCTAGACTATTGTCTTCAATGCCAGCCACCAGGTATCTCCGCAGGTGTTGTTTGAACAGTACGACGTTTTGCTTGCGAACAGGAGAACGAAGACGGAGATTGGTGGTCTAGCCAGTCCTATCGCCCGTGTGCAGGTAAGCACGGCGTTCACTTTTACGCCTATCTTTTGTACATTCTTTCTGACGCGTTGAAATAGAGCTCTGCCTGAACCTGACTTCTTAAAGAGTGACCACATCGCTGAATGAATCACCTGCATGGGCAATCATCGCATTCATGAAAGTTAACGTTATGCGCCGGGCTTGACGGAAGTTTGCTGAAGTTAAGCGCTCCGCGGAAGTCATATGACAACTGGCACCTAGCAGCAAGAGACAAAATGACGTCCAGCACCAGCAGCCCCGTCAATTCGGCTCTCGCAATCAGTCGCTGTGCAGACTGTGCTCAGCCCGCTTGACATCTCCTGACATCAGACGTTGAAATCCTTGTCCCAGTTGGTCGTGACGCAAGACGGGATCAAATGTGCATTATCCGTGCCTGATGGTGTGCTCGCAGAAGGCTATCGAATTCGACAAACAAGGCATTCGGACCACGATGACTCGGTCGAAATGCCCACGAAAGGCGCTGGGAAGGAGCACCATGAATCAGCTCTCAGTTGCTTACAAAGCACATGTTGTCCACAGTCATTCGCCTTCGCGCTCGGCTTTACGCGTCTGAATCTACCCCTATCTCATCGCTGCTCGGGAAATGACAAAGCAACATATGCTTAGTTCTCAGAGCTTTGGAAGCCTATAAAGTCAGGGTAAGTTGTGTTCCTGCTTTCATTCTCCTCACAGATCTCGCCCTCCCCACACCCCATACACTCATCAGCATCATGGCCATTGAAACCCTTTCCCCTCGCGACGTCCACGCCACTCTGAACTACTATGCTCCCAAGGACGCCGAAGGCCCATACCACTACGTTTCAGATCCCCCCGAAGGTGTCCCCAAGACCAACGTCACAACTGAGCCGCACGAGGCGGTCATCCACAATGTCCGCGGCAAGGAAGACACCGTCGGCCTCGATAAGACCGGTTTCCAATATGTCCGCTATCCCAGCAAGGAGAAGCTCTTCAAGGATGAGGAAGCAATCAAGACTGCATACTACAAGGAAGTTGAAGATCTATTGAAGCAGCATGCGGGCGCCAAGAAGGTGTTTATCTTCGACCATACTATCAGGTAAGACTGTTGTCCCTTCAATTGTTGGTTCCAGGTATTCATTGCCCTTGTAGGCGTCCTCCTACGCCCGAGACTCAGAACACGAAGGAATATCGGGGCCCTGTGGTATGTCAACCTGTCTGTTCGTGACATTAGTCTTATTCTCCAACTACAGCAATACGTCCACGTTGACCAAACCACCGAGGCTGCCATCGCCCGTGTCCGTGACCACATGGGAGACGACGCCGAGCGCCTCCTGCAGGGTCGATTCCGCATCATCAACGTCTGGAGGTAAGCCTTGTTTCGACACCGTCCCAGAGCAATCATCGATATTCACCATCCACGCGCGCAGACCAATCGAGAACACCGTTGCGCACAACCCGCTCGCGCTCGCGGACTTCAACTCCGTAGACGTCGACCACGACCTCATTGCCGCGCGCCTGATCTACCCCCACAAGGTCGGTGGCACGTTCACCCTCCAGCACAACCCATCGCACCGGTGGAACTACCTCGCGGACCAGACCGTCAACGAGGTCGCGCTCATCAAGTGCTTCGACTCTGACTTCAGCAGGGCGCGCATGACTCCTCACACAGCCTTCCAGGACTTGACCAGTCCAGCAGATGCGCCTCAGAGGCAATCAATCGAAATCAGGGCCCTGGTTTTCGATCTCGAGTAGACATGATTTTGGTTAGTCGGATTAATGCCAAATTGTACCCTAGACCTATAAGAATGTAGCTCGTCATTTCGGTAATGTTAATTGGATTACTGTAGCTACACGACCTTAAGTTCGTCACGCATCACGCTTGGCTGGTCTTGCGAACTTAGGACAGTGTTTGTCACTCATCACAAGGGTTTTTGGACCTCAATATGTGACAAAAAAAGTAGAACGGCTATGGGTCTGTTATCTAAGTGTGTTTCAAACATTTAACTGGTGTTTAGTAAACCTCTAATAGCTACGAAGAAACCCGAATGCGTCCACAATGACCATACTCATGCTGCGGGAGTAAAATATCGAGCCCTCCCTGAAGATACTAAGGTACATTGAGTTTAAGTCGTTTAAAGTTGGGTATTAAGGAGGCACGTTAACGAGTGTACGGTTATGGCACCATGGTTAGAGTGCTGTAAAGACACTTACTGGGCATATGAGAATCCAGTGCTTATGACCAACAGGCGACAGTCTTCCATGGCAATAGAGTTCACGTTCTTGAAGCTGTAGAATGTCATGATTTGGCTGCTACTCGTCACTGGGACGACAATATTATCACGGCTCTGTGGGCTACTAACTTAAAAATTGTAGATTCCACCGCTTCAGTCAAGCTCGAGCCCGAAACCTGCGTGGTCGGAAACCTTTTTGGGACGTCACGCAGGGTGGGTGAAAACCCTTAGTTCAAGGTCACGCGTTAGCCAGACATTTGAACTATCGTCTAGGCTGAACTTGATTCTCGTCACATGTCACGCAAATTTCTTTTGAACTTAAGGTCGTGTAGCTACAGTATTACATGTAAGATTGACTATGAAGACACATCTCTGTGATGATACCCGTGGTGGCGAGTTTTCCAAAAGTCCTGAACCGCTGACGCATCCATTCGTACCAAGTACTCCTACAAAGCCGATGACATTGCGAATTCGAAGCTAAGTTGATCTCGGAGACTTCGTAAAACCAAGCGTAGCCTTGATTTTGAGTAATATGACGTTCCTATTATCTGTCTCTTGAAGATCTTCATGATTGTACTATCTAACTCTTCACCGTCACAGTGATCAACTTCGGATGACATGGCACTACAGTGGTGGTGTGGTTGGTTCCTGTTTTTTTACCCCTCTGGCTCTACACTACTCATGCCAACAAGCCTGGAACTATACTACGGGGCACCCTGCGCCAAATAGGCATCATCCCTTCTTCGCGTGTTTCTTTGGAGCAGGCAGATTCTTTCGCTTCTGGGCCTTGCAGCGTCAGAATGCCGAATGTAATTCCTAAACCATCTTCACGCCCATCCTGTCACACCGTTCACGATGAGCATATCGATTTCCGCAGGACGACGCATGAGAGGAACTTACGGAGATAACCACCATCGCCTCCGCACCTAGCAGCACCTTCTCCCACCGCTTTCCATCCGGCAGACGCGGCAGCAAAATGTCTGCACACCTACCATGGACCCCTTCAGGCTCTTCGGCGATCTGATTATGCGTGCATCTCCACTCCCCATTCACCTTTATCACCTCCGGCGGCATGTCCAGGTGGCTGCTGCATTGCGGTGTGTAAGGGTTCATATCTCTGATACAAACGTACTCCCGCGGCTCGAAGCGTCCCCTGCTGATCTGGTAAAGGCAAGCAAAACGCGTGCCGTACGTCGATTCGCATTCCCACTGGCGGCCGAACCCGGTGACCGCGTGCAACTTGTGAGCGCCGCTTGGAACCCCTTCATCCCAACGTACTTCGAGGTGAAGTACCGACGCCGAACGGGCGCGGTCGACATATTCCATGATAGTAGAGAGTGGGATGAGAGTGGTCGTTTCGTTTATACGCCCATTGCGATCTAAATGAATCGTAACAGCAAGGAGCTGAGACTCGGGTTTGAGCAGGAAAGAAGAGATGTCCCCCGCCGCTCGTGAGACTGGGGATTGACTAGGTAGAATGATAGGCCGAACTGATACCATCTCAACATCTTCCTCGTCTTTCGCGAAGAACCTAAACTTGCAGATATGGGGCAACTGGGAATTATCTGCACATTTGTTCAAGACAATCCTGCGTCCAGCGAAAGTACCCGAGGAGAGGTCGCATATGAACAGCTGCGTGACATCAGAGTTGTCGGGGAGGAGGGCAAGGAGCACGAGATCGCCTGGGAGAAATGAGAATGACCACAGTATATGCATATGAAGGTCCTAGAGAAGGACGTATATCAGCCCCCTACTCGGATTCACGCATAGCAATTTTAGCATCAGAAATTCACGTACAAAAATAAGTTCGCCAGACGTCCAATCCCAAATCTTTAAAACTGACGTGGGCTGATGACTTCTGAGCAAGACGCCCAATCGAGACCCATGAACTTGACAGCCATCAATACGGTCGGCCCTAATTTCGTTTTCCTCGTAAACTGAAATGTCCCCATATGCCGCTGGATGACGTGCGCCTGTCGATAACTTGAAAAATATAACCTTCGTCGAAGACCTTGTGATACCTCCGTTCATGAGCGGGCGCACAGCAACGAACGACTGACTGCACTGACCCCTCTTCAGCATTCCCAACGACAACCAGCAGGTCTTGCGCCGGGTCAATGGCAATAGAGTAATCTCTCATGGGATGCCCAACCATCCAAGTCCTCGGTGGAACATGGGCGCTTGCAGACCCTATCTGCCTGCATACGACGCGGCCTGACCTACCGATAGCGAGCACATCCCCGATGAAGGCCCAGCACACCGCATCTCTGCAGTCACCAATGACTTCCGGGTCAGACCAGGAAAAAGCACTCCAGACGCGACGGTGTGCGCGGAGCTTTTCCAGGCGAGATTGGGCACTGGAAGCCTCGCAGTCCGGCAAGGGATCATACATGCATGATTCCTGTAACTCCGTCCAATACTGGAGAAGGACACTGTTCTTGAAGGTGTGCCAGAAGTGCCGGCATGCCTAAAAGAGATCGTCAACAATCTATCAGCCACGGAAACTGACGATGTTGAGGGGGAATCTTACACGTTTGCAATGCACAAGAGACTGAAGTCCAAGTTCGAGAAAAACGAGCACTAGCACTTCCTCAGGGAGACTGAAAATGACGACGGTGTTGCCCATGCTGGGGTCAAGACAGGAGTGCGTTCAGCTTTGACTGTAAATGTACAGATGGCAAGTCGCCGAATGGTTGCGGTAAGCGATTTGGAACCTATCGACTAAATCAAGGAGCGGGTAAGCGACGCATCCAACGACATAAGAACGGACAATTTACCGTGAAACCCTGGTAGTACAAGTAAAGGCAGAACGTCGAGACGGTCGTGGACGTGCTAGCTAAATCTCGACGCCTTATATCTAGCCAGCATTCCATCCTGCTATGGATTCACCGCTTCTCTTCTCCCGAAGGTCTCGATGCCAAACTATGCCAAACTATGACGTCGACATGGATGCGGATCCCTTGCGGATCCCAGCGGGAATGCTTGTGTGGTTTGTTCAGCAGTAGAGCTTTCCGTTGTCCGACTCGGACAATACATGGGCGAACATTGGGTTCGCGTCGTGGTAAAGTCCGAAAGGGCTACTGGCTACCCCACAATCCTCTATTCAGGCCGGGAACAACCTCGTCTCGCCAGGAACGCCATTGACAACAACATGTCCATCACGTTCTGCTCCCATCGATGTCCTCGGTTTCGACCATTAGACGACATCAAGACACGCCACACGGGCTTGCGGTTGCTTGCGGCTGCCATGGCCAAGAGACCAAGATGCCCGTGCCCAGAGAAGTCCTGAGTGCGATGATTAGACACACTAACTTAGAAGTGGAAGCTAAAGCCATTGGAACGAGTCAAGTGCCTTGCCGACTTGCGTCATAGACACGAGGTCAAGTAGTCGCTTGTGCGCGATATTAGCTATGAAGTTAGTCTCGGATAAATGCATCTTGAATCTCAATCACCAAGGTCGAATTCCAGAACCAAGGAATGTCGCTCTGGCAATATGAAGGTTGGCACACATCAAGAAGGTTATGCGAAAGCACGGAGACTGTGATTGCCCATAGCATAACTGGTAGGTGCGCGACGCATAAATGTGACGAAAAGGGAGGAAATACATGGACCAAGTCTGCTATGCCCAATCATCCGAGACACGACGAGAAGACTGCGCTTTTACTCTGCGTCAACGACCGCGGTTTGGAGGCCCTGACAAATAGGTATCCCGGTCAGTCGATGCGTTGATGAGGGATCAGCCGATCCGAGGCTTACCTTGAAGGAGACGACAGGGACGTGGCTGGCGTACGTGAAGAGCTTCTCCTTGGCGTTCTCCTCGTCATTGCGCTTGCCTATCACCCCAAAAAGAACAAGTTAGCCATTCGCCCAGTCGCAGTTCATACACGCGGTGCAACAACCGGCCCAGGAAGTGAAAGATTGAAAGAGAGACGCACGCTCAAGCTTGATTCTTATCCGGTGGGGGACGGTTTTGATGCCCTGCGCCCAGAGAGCCTGGTTGAGCTTGGGGTCGATCCGGACGTCCGAGGTGCCCATGGCCTTCTGGGCGAACGTGACGACCGACTTGACGGCCCAGGGGGCACGCTTCTTGAAGGAGCGGCCGTGCACGAGCTTGTGGAGGTGGACGGTGTACTCGCGGGTGACGACGTCCTGGAGGGCAGAGCGGGTCTTGCCGCCGGTCTGTAGCAAAATAAAAGGGTGCAAAGAAAGGGATGGGGATGATGAGCTATGTGCGCGTTCGTTTGGAGGCGGGTGGATGGGGATGGTGCACCTTTTTCGTGGGTTTCGTGGGGGCCTGAGCGATGGGGGGATTTGTTTAGTGTGCGAGCAGCATGACGAGGAGGTGGGCGAGGACGTACCATGGCTTGAGGCTGTCGGTGTCGGTGAGCTGATATCTACAGGCTGATTTCGTCCCGCACCAGTGTTCGTCACTTTGGCTGTGTTTGGTCCACCACTAACATAAGGTTTCAGCGGCTTCAGCTGGGTTGTACAGTTTTTCGGCAAGCACCGAAACGAAGGGTCCTCGTTTCCTCGTGGCACTTGCCGCGGCCCGCGAAGGGAGACGTTGTTTTCCCGACAAGGCACCTCTGATCATTGACGTTTCCGTTCCTAGTGAGAACACCAAAGACGAGATCGTCACTCCCTTTGTCCCTCGGTTGAATCGATGGGACCCAGCCCCTGCTATCTCTACGTGCCGCACAATATGGAACAAGGGCCAAGCGCATCAAGTTGCCTGGTTTCATTCAAACGTCGTTGAGGTGCCTTCTCATGCTGAGCCATGCACACGCGCACGACAGAGTCCTTTGTTTTCTTACCGGGCTAGAACTTGTATAAAAACTCGCGTCGCGTCGGGGCACACCTACTTGTCACCCGCCCCACTCTCTTCGTTCTTCAGTGGCTGCCCTTTCTTGATCCAGTATCTGCCCTCTTGCTCCGTCTGTCGTTCTTGAAGCTGCTTGAGCTCGGTTCTCACTGTCACTTCGCTCATACCATCTTCCATACCAGCGCTAGCGCTCACATCACATCTTCAACTACCCAGCAACCAACAGCACCTGCTTTACCATGCGCTTCGCCGCCGCTCTCGTCACCCTGTCCGCTTTCATTGCCACTGTACCAGCGGCGATGATATTCCAACGCCAATCCATTCCCAGTAGGTCCTCGTAGCATTCGGATCGACGCATGCGTTCTCATGCTCTAATCTCCCAGCTTGTGCCACAAACTGTCTTGCGAGCGCAGACATGGGCGACTGTCAGGAGGGAGACGACACTTGCCTCTGCAACAACCAGGCCTTCATCAACAGCACCACCTCCTGCATCCAGTCCACATGCACTGGTCAGGACCTTCAGACGGCCGAGTATGACGCCCAGCAGCTCTGCCTCGCTGTTGGTGTCACTCTTACCGCTTCGAGTGCTGCAAGCACTTCTACTTCGTCAGTCTTCATTTTTTCTCGTCTTGATATCGACCGTGGACTGACAGCTTCATAGGAACAGCACAAGTACTGTCAGCAACAACGGTGCCATGTCAAACTCGATCAGCATCTTCGCAGGCGCCGCGGCGATTGCCCTCGGTGCGACGCTTCTGTAAACCGCACCCCTGTTTTCGGCGTCAATAGCGGCCTTCCTCTTTTTCTCGTGTTCGGATTGTCCGCAGCGCACATATATCCACTCCTCCAGCTCCTGGTGCTGGCCGTGGGCGGACATTGTATCCTTATCTCCATAGCATGGATTCTTAGTTTATTCTTGAGTTATTTCGAGCACTTTAATGTCGGTGATATAAGGGACTGCGGATCTGTTTTGTATGTAGCCTAACCACTAGAAATTTGCCAATCTATGTATGTGCATCCATCTGCTTCTCGCCGTTCAGATGTCCGTGCCAGTCGATGACACTTTTTGCTCGCTCCACAACTTATCATAAAGATTGCGACGTGGTGGGCTTGGCATCACGGAGACGATCTGCGCGTTGGTGAGCGCTTCCGATAGCCGACACGAGGCGGAAGACAGTAACGCGCTGGCTGCGGTGAAGCGTCGACTCCTTCATTTCTTTGCCTGTTGACCGTCGGGTTCCTAGACTTGCAGTTGGGCCTGCACATACCCCTCCTCCTTCCCCCTCCTTCCTTGTTTGTACGCTAAAGTCGGCAGCACCAAGTCTGCGACTGTTTCTCCCACCCCTCGTACAGCCGGCAGCCCGGAAAATCCTCAAACGCAAGGCCCTGTACAAGAAATAATCCACTCGGGAGTGTCGTTAGCCCACCATGATAGCACGACGCGCCCGTTCCCCGCTCCTCCTTCTCGCCGGCGTGCTCATAGGCCTCCTCCTCGGACGTGCTTTCCCTAACGTGCGTACACCACCCCCCTCTCGTATGATAGAGTTTTGTACTCAATGGAATTCCCTGGGACTTCGCACGTGTGCTGCATCTGGCTTCACAACCCACAATCGCAACGACGAAAACAGTACAACAGTCGTCTGCCCATCTTCGTCTCCCGCGTGACCTCATCCAACAAAGTCACCCTCCCCACCCTCGAGCAGCGCCGCCGCGTCCTCGACCTCCTCACCACCCTCACGCCCCACTACACCACCGAGTGCACGCGTAGCTCGCAACCTCTCTACGCCGAGCAGGTCCGCGAGCGCTATGCCTCGCTTATCGGTCACCAGGCCCCCTCGCGCACATCCAACTGGTTCTCGTCATGGGGCTTCTCAGGGCTCAACGACTCGCCCAACGTGGACGCCGCGACGCAACAGGCGATCATCGGGGGCAAGGAGCACAAGTACTTCTTCGCGATCAACCTGTACAACTCATTCGACGTCATCCCGGACCTGTTCGCGACGCTCTTTAGGGTCAGCTCGATCCTGGGGTACAACAACGTGTTCGTGTCGATCTACGAGAACGGCTCGTCGGACCAGACCAAGGCGCTCCTTCGCATATACGACGCGCTCTGCCGCAGCGTCGGGCTGAGGATCACGATCCGGACGTCGACGCGCACGAGGGGCGCGTTCAACCACCGTATCGAGTACCTCGCGGAGGTGCGGAACCAGGCGTTCAACCCGCTGCACGAGCTGCGGGACGCGCACAATGAATACTTCGACTCGATCATTTTCATGAACGATATTTTGCCCTGCGTGGACGACCTCCTGGAGCTTATCTGGCAGAGCAGGAGGAATAACGCGGGTATTACGTGCGCGGCGGACTATATGTACCACGAGGAGCTTGTATGTTTTGCATTTATCTCCCGTTTCAGCTTGGCGTCTAATCGTGCGCATAGGGTTCACCCGTGTTCTATGATAACTGGGTTGCACGCGACATCAACGGCACCGCACTCGAGAACGCTCCCTTTGAGACGATCTTCCACCATACCTCGTCCCAAGAGCGCTTCCAGCTGCACCTCCCCATCCAGGTCCAGTCCTGCTGGAACGGCATCGCTGTGCTGGATCCTGCTCCCTTCTACACGCCGCCATACGTTCGCTTCCGCATGGCCCGGCTAATGGAAGAAGAGTGCTCTGCGAGCGAGTGTTCGCTCATCTGCAACGACTATTGGGAGGCGGGTTACGGAAGGATTATGATGGTGCCAAGAGTGAAGCTTGCGTATGATCACGTATGTCTCCCTCTATGCGACCCCCCTCTCCCTCCTTCGCTATTCTATCTCATCTCTGATCTTTTTCTTTGACGACGATGGCTAATTTCATTTCTGCAGAGGGTATGGGACATCATCCACCCCTCGCGGCGCAACCTCTCCGCAATCAGAGGCTACGTCCGCCTCGGTGGCCTGCCCGACAACCCGCGCACGGATCCCCAAGATCGCTCGTGGTTCGGTCCGCACGACCGCCTGTTCACACCAGAGGAGAGCGAGGAGCTCGATTTCCAGGCCGGTCCTTCGCATGGTGCGTCCCTTCTCTCTCTCCCTCCAATTGTTTCTTGCTGTAAATTCTAACGATGACGATGTTATCTAGTGTGGTGTTGGGGATGGGACGGCGCTGGTGATCTCGATGGACCCGACGTGGACCCGATCTGGGAGGAGATGCCTGGTCGCTCGAAGGCGGCGGATGCGGTGAACGTTAAGCACTTCAGGAGTCTGCCTGGATACTAAAACTCTAGATAATATATACTAATGCGATGATTTACGTGGGTCTTGTACTAGATTCCCTTCCACATTTCTATTTTCTCGCGAGATTGTGTGATTTTCCGACAATTCAAGTGAGGGCGGCAAGCGATTATTGAGCTAATGAACGCGCGAGCCGCGAACGACGACACTACTGATACATTTTCACGTTTGAAGACAGCGATGCACCAACTTTATGTCTCCATCTTCACCTCCACCTCCGCGTTCCCATTATCGGCGCCAGCACTGTTACCCCCAATGCTAAACCACTCGTCATAATAAATACACTCCACGGGGTTCGTCGGCCCCTTCTCATGGCAGAAATCGAACACGGGGCACGCCCCGCACGGCGCCTGCGACCAACCAAGCCGGAGGCGCTCCTGCCGCACCGCGCGGTACACGAAAGCGCCGCCGGACATGTCGTCGAACGCGGACGCGACGCCATCGGGCGGGGAGGCTTCGCGCTTGAACTTGTATTTCGACTTCGAGGATTTCGATTTTAAAGATTTGGACGACTTTGATTTTGCCTTTGATTTTGCCTTTGACCTCCTCGACTTTGATTTCGAGCGGGGCTCCGAGTCGTCGCTGTCGTCCGAGTCGGATCCGGTGTCGTCTGAGTCTGAGTCTGCTCCGCGTTTTTTGCTTCGCGATTTGCTCTTGCTCTTGCTTCGCGATTTTGACTTCGCGCGTTTTTTACTCCTCCGCCCGGTGTCTTCGTCGTCGTCGTCGCCCGAGCCTGACGCATCCTCGTCCGAACCGCTAAGGGTGTTGCTGCGCTTTCTCCGCTTCTTCGACTTCGACTCCGCTCCGCTTTCCTCCCCGCCGGATTCATCGTCAGAGCGCGAACGCTTCTTGCCCTTGCCATTCTTCTTGCTAAATGAAGCTTTTTTGCGCGGACTTTCGTCCTCTGAGATATCCTCGGAATCTGACTCAGACTCAGAGGCGGAAGCGTCTCGGCGACGACGCTTTTTGTCACGCTTGACGGAAGACGACGCCTTGCGTTTGCGTTTCTTGGTCGACCTGCCGTCGCTGTCCGAATCCGAACCTGATTCCGAGCCTGAACCCGAGGCACTGTCCGACTCGTCCGACTCGTCAGCCTGGCCACCCCAGGTCCCAGCAAGAAACGCAGGGATCTACGAGAACGGAGTTTTTCGTGAGTGATTGATCGCAAAATAAGAAATTATATACGCACCTTCTCGATTTCCCCGTCCAGCTCTAGTACCTTCAGCAACATCTCAACATGCTCAACTCCCAGCTCCGTGTTGGCAATTTTGCGTTTGCTTAGGAAATGCTGGATTTCCTCCGAGGACGGATATGCGGGGGCCGCGCCGGGTGCATAGAGGCGGAATTGGTCTGGCCTGTCTTTATTGGTCCGTTTTGCGGGTTTGGGGAATGACTGTAATTATTAGGAAAATGTTCTGCAGAAGTCACGTTAAAATAATACGCACTCGTTCACGGATATAGTGTAGACATGCGGCCGAGAGGAGCTTGATGAATTCAGTGTCGAGTTCGTTGTCGGTGTACCATGGACCTCCTGTAAGCTCGACGCTGGGTTCGAGGTGGGCGAGCATGTAAATCTTTCGAGTAGGAAACTGTTCCAAAATATACTCAGCAGCGGGTAAATTTTGGAGGCATGAGCACGTACGCGGACGGCCTTGATGGATTTTACGAGCTGCTTCTGAACGAGGGACTTGAGGCAGCGATCGATGACCGTCTGGTGCAGTTCCGTCTTCGCCTTGAGATGCTTCGTCCATATACCTTCGTCGAGGTCAGTACGGAATTTCGACAATAGGAGTCCAAAACACACCTTCGTTAGCAGCCGCCTTGATATGACCGAGGACCATCGCTTCTTCGCCGCTCATATCCTTCGTACTGCACCATTATCACTTAGCCAGCATACCCATGACAAGTACCCTCCATATACGCACACGTCCATCTCCCGTTTCGCAACAGCCCGGAACGACAGCTGGCCAGCTGAGTTCGACATGACCTTCAGCAGCCCCTGCACGCATCCTGTCAGCACCTCTCGATACTGAGTGCAGCAGTGGCAGGGCGCACCGTGCCGAGCAGGAAGTTGATCGCCTCAGTCCTGGATTTAACATCTTGAACGAGCTTTTCGGCGTCCTTCTGGGTGAGGATCTGTAGAGAGCGTTCAACTCGTGAGTGCGTGCGGTGAGCTAAAGGGAGTTCTCATGTCCGACCTTGTCACTGTTGGCGAGCGCAGACTGATGGATCTTCTGCTCGACGGCATTGAGCTTTCTTGCAGACATTTTGCCTTGCGTCTTGAGGCCTTGTGGCCTGCCCAAGTCGCCGGGAGAGCGCAGAGGTGAGGGTCGGAAACTGGGATGAAATCAGTGACTCTGAGCGGATCAGGTTAACGGGGAATTCGCATTTTGGGGATGCCGCGTCTGGCGAGCTGTCCAGCTGTCCAGCCGCGGCGTGTGAAAGGGCGTGGGAACACAAAACTCACCAACCTGTGATCTAGTCGTGTTAGCCACAAGTAGATAGATAGCCCCTGTCCTTCGTATTTGCCCTTTTCTCGTTATTCTGCTCCTTCCTATCCCTACGCCTTCGAGCGTACAGATCATATCTAATTAGAACTGCTACTGGCGCACCTGTTCACACTATGAGGTGATAGAGCTGCCGCAGCTCGCCGGATTGGATCTGGGAGCACAAGCACAAATCCATGTATTTCAAGCACATAATCCGGTAGTAATACAGGGCGAGCGAGGTGATACAAGAAGGCGAGCTTAGACGCAGCTTGTGATCAGTTGAAAGACGGTGCTGGGGGACGGAGGGCGCGTGATTCCAAGCTCTGGCAGGGCACAGGGATGAGTAACCGACGCGAGCCCAGACTGGGCTCAGCGCCTCCCGAACGTGCGTGTTTATTTGGTGCCAGTAACCGAGGTTGTGAGGGCGTGGTTTTCGGTGAGAGAGTTGCTCGCTGGCGCGTGCGTAGAGCATGACGAGAGCCCAGGACTGAGAGCTCGACGTAGTCTCAGACGCGGATGGCCCAACCTGCGAGTGAGATCGCTGTGGACGAAGGTCGACATGCGGGGGTGCCGACTTGCATCCGCCCAAGAAGCTGCAGTGTGTAATACACATGTGGCGAGCGCACTTGTACGCCGAGCTGGGGTGCGACCAGAGCATTTGGGAATACAGGACTTGGGGGCTGGGGTAGCTGTTCTTGACAGCGAGACGAGTCCTCAAGTTCTTGCGAGCTGTCGTAGTCGCCTTCGCGTTTGACGTCGATTTCTCGGATCTGAACTGAACAGCTGGACTGGAATGCGGGGCGGACGGCTGGACCCGTGGCTGAACGTCGAACGGGTGGCCGGACGGGTGGCTGGACCGCTGGACGACTGGACGACTGGACCGCCGGAAAATGCGGATTCCGCGTTATCCTCGAGCGGATGAGTCGCGTCTGCGTCACGTGTGCAGCGGCGGAAAGTCCATGCATATGATTTGCCGACGTTGTTTCCGCCCCTCGTCATCTCCTCTAGACCCATTCGTCATGGCAGACGAACGCTCTCCCCATCCCGCGGAAGAAAGACTCGCATCGTACTTCGACAAGAGCGCAGAGATCGTGCGAGGGTATGCTGGGCGGTGAGCAGAAATCGGTGCCGCCCACGGCTGCCTTTGCTAATTAAGGAGCTCATATATAGGTTTGAGGACAGTTATGAGCACGTCAAGCCGGCGATGGACGTATGGAACGAGAGCTATAGGAAGTATCCGGTTATAACGGTATGTGATCAACGGTTTCTCATCAGCAGTAGTTTATAATGCGTTACAGCTCTTCGTCACGCTCTTTGGATCCCTCAGCCTCTTGCCAGTGCTCTCATTTCTGTACGCATGCACTCTATCCCGCTAAACGTTTCTGCTAACAATGACGATAGGGGGATTACGGTGTTCACCATCGCTACTCTCGCTTTCGTAGCAGTCTGCTCTGTCGGTGCTGCCTCCATTGCTTCAGTCTTCTTATTCGGTATGCGCATACACCCACCCCTAACGCTCATAGCACTCACAACCAATCCGTCAGCCTTTGTGCTTCTCTCCCTTCTCTCCGGCTTGTTCCTCTTCTCTATCCTGGCGACGATATTCGGTGTGGTTGGCTACCTCACATTCCGGCTGGCCACTCTGATCCGCGCTGACGGCCGCGCCGGCGTGCTCGAATGGGCCGAAGAAACCAAAGGCCATATTGCACGCGGACGTCAGCTTCGCGCGAGAGAGGCTAGTCCAGCCAAAGACCAAAACCAAGCCGAAGACAGCGAGGGCTCGGAGATGTCTCACGTCGTCGTCAAGCACGACCCCGATGCCGACGAAAAGAGGATTGATTAGGGAGTGCTATGCCCTCCTATTCTGGTGCCTCCTCATTGTTCGCAGCCTGGGCTATGTTCTCTTCTATTGTCATTTTATCCTCGTTCTCGAATGTTAACGGACGCGGTGTACAGTATACTTGTACTCAATAACACTTCTGGCATTTAATGCATTCTCATTCCCGCATTGACACACTTCAGGTACAAAACTATATCGCCGAGTGCTTCTCAGTACCTTGCACATGCATCGAAAACGTTGTGGTCGTCAAAGTACGGGGTAATAATCCGGGGTACAATTCACTTATAACGCCGCGGTTTCCGTCTTGAATGACGCCGATGATGATCCGCCTTTGCCTTTTGGCTTCGACAGCGACGCATTAACCGAGGTAATGGCTCATGTTCGGGAACGACAACACATATAATATAAGCCGCGCCTTTTGTCGTGGAGGCATCACTCGACACCAACACCATGACAAGCACCGTAGCAGTTCTTGCATTCGCCGCTCTCGCTGCCGCTCAGGCAGCTAACTACGCTCAGGTATGCTCTAATGATTGCCCAGGTCATTCGAAGATGCTGACCCCTATTAATTGGTAGTGTGGTGGCCAAGGCTGGACCGGCGCCACTACCTGCAACAGCGGATGGACTTGCACCGCTCAGAGCGCTTATTACTCCCAGTGCATCCCCGGCGCTAGCTCCAGCTCCAGCTCCAGCTCCTCCGGTTCGGGCACACCCACCTCGACTGCTTCCTCTTCTGGACCTACGCCTACGCTCATCCCAGGCCTGAGCTTCATCCGCGCCGTCGTAAGCCTTTTCTTCTCCACTCTTTCCAACGACCCCTGAATACTCAATGACAATCACCTACGCATCTACAGGAAGACCCCAACTTCCACCAATACCTCCAGGGCGAGGTGGCCAACAACGCCTCCACCGCCGTGCTCGGTTCCCCCGACACCGCGGGCCTGTTCAACGTCTCAACCGACGGGCAGCTCATGTGGAACGCGCCCGCGGGCTCGAGCACGTGGCTCTACGCGCAGGTCGAGCCCCGCGCGAACTCGACCGTCATGAAGCTCGGGATGAGCTGGGGCACCGAGCCCGCGTCCGGCTCCGCGGCGGGCACGTTCATCTTTTCCGGGGACACGCTTGAGTGGAGTATTCCGACCATCGATCGGCCGCAGACGAACGTGAGTTCTTCCTTTTCCCTGGTTAAGCGCCTTTGAGGCTGATCCATGGTTTGGGCAGGCGTGGCTCGTGTGCCCCGACACCGACGGGAACAAGCTGCTGTATATCAACCTGGGCAACTATGACTACGAGACGCCACCTGGATGTGCGGATGAGACAATCCATGCGTACACCGGCCCTTACCCGAACTCATAAACGGTTTGGCTTGGGAGTGCATAAGCAACTTAGTTAGATAATGGGGCCATTGGGTCTCTAGGGTGTTGAATGTACAGTTGATAGGTTATATGGAAATTCTTCGGTTTAAGAATTGAGCGGCGTAAATCTACCTTAAGTCCCGGCAGCTCTACCAGAATACTTCGTCTCTAAGACGAGAGCCTATAGGATAAACCAGTCTCCTCTTTCTTCTTCTCACCACCCCAAGGACCCACCGAGAAGCCGTTCCACCTCAATAGCGTAAGGCTACGATCACCGTTATCAGAGCCAGACGGTTGTCTGCAGCACTCAGCACGATTTCGAAGTGCACCATGCGTACTGCCACTTCCATGTCCGACTAGTCCACATATCCTCGGGCCATTCTCGCCGCTGTTGGCGAAATCACGTTCAACTTCCGCGCATTGCCTCCGAGCAGACTTTGTCGCACCTTCAAGGGGAATATTTTCTTGAGTAAGAAACGCCTGTTCATGAGTGGCGAAGAGTCTACGTGGACTCTACACCCTCATTAGTACGTTTCTTCTACACACGGACTTTCTCTGAAGTGTTGAAGGGTACGAAGCTCATTTTGATTTTGCGTCGAATCTTTAGAAAGACTCTCCTACATAGAGGTTTCGGATGTTACCTACGTCAATACCGGTTCCTCGGTAGACAGCTTTTACCCGAGTCCGAAATCACAAGAAACGAAGGATGAAGGGGGCTCAGAAAGAGCATGTGTAGCCATCTGTCATACTTGGCATATGTCCTCCTAGCACAGAGAAGTGGAGCAAGATAACAAAGGGTAACAAATGGACTTGATTCGCAAGCGAGTCTCTAGCCTCGTTGGTTGATTGTTGCATGTCGAATTATCCACAGCGGGAATAGCCCGATAAGTTCTCGGGACTTATGGTGGAAATATTGAAGACGTATTTTAACTTTGTTTTGCAGGAAAAGCGAGACTTATTTGGTACTTAGCGGGGAGATATTTTCTGATCAAAATATCTTTGATAACCAAATTGGCCGTGTCAAGTGTAAATCGCCAAACTTTATTCAAAATGCGTCCCTGGTAAGTTCCAAAATAAGTCTCGCTGTCCTGGCAAATTTTTATTAAACTGCATCCACAAAATTTCCACAATAAATTCTGAGAACCTATTGGGCTACTCCCCCTGTGTATCCTCGATTATCCCGAGGACGCGCTGACCAGAGACTAGAGCTCGAGGTAACCGGAGGGAGAAACGACGGAGCGCTAGTGGATGCGCGCACGATGGGCATGTGCCACGCGTCACGCGGGAGACTGATTTTAGCCCGCGGGGATCTGCACCGTTGCCATCACTGAACAGACTTTCGACGACATTTTCGACTCGAACACACGACAGTCTCGACGTTATCTGCTTCTGCCATCCTTACATTTACCGCATGCTACAAGCGTTATCGCAGGTGAGTGAGCCTGAACCGCGGGTGGATGAGCATGAAGCCTCATGAAGCGCATTGCGCAGGTTCGGTGATCTGAGCAATGCAGTCGAGGAGATCAATGACTGACACTCGACAGATGGCAAGAAGAAGCTCCGTCTCTAGATCTCACCTCTGATTTGCCCAAAAATATGGCAACAGATGGCAACCGCTAGCATGGCAGTAAGCACTCGGTTGGGCTTCTTCGATGACCTCATTAACAGAAGACCGTCATCTTGTCCCAATGTTTGCAGTCCTATGTACAAGAGTCTTGTTGGAGACTTCAAGTTCCACCAAAAGAAAGACGCGAGCGACATCTGTTAGAACAAGAAGTTGCAACCCGTATCGTTTGCACCATGCACATGATGTTCTCCCATACAGAACAATCGTCGCATATTGCTGTGGAGCCCCACACGCATCATATTGTTGCGGTCGGTCGGCTAAACACCGACCTTCAGTCGCATTCCTTGTGCGACAATCTTTGACCATGTCGCTCGGTTGCACTTTAACACTTTTACCCAGCAAACGGTGCTTCGCTGTGCTTCCCGGGCGCTGCCAAGAGTTGAACTCGCTCCAACAACGCCTGCTTCGTCCGCGTGGTTTACTGCGGTCACTCTCATCCATGCTGGCACGTCTTTGACTTTACAGCTTACAAACCTCGCAAGTTCGCATAAGGCTCATATGTAGAGCTGGATCCTCGAACAGTATAAAAGGTCGACGGTTTCTTCCCTTAGCTGTTCAGCAGCACTCCTCTGCATCTTCCGGTGTCCACTTCTCTTGCACCTTCGCACTTGTATCATCATGCGTTTCACGCTCGCCACCGTCGTCGCCGCCCTCCCCTTCTTGGTTGAGGCTGCCCCCGCTCTCCAGTCTCGGGCTCCCTCCACCAAGGTCCCCATCCAGAAGCGCTCGACGCTCGCCCACGCTGATGGTTCTGTGAACTTCACGGCAGTCAAGGCTCACGTTGACTCGATCAAGGCGTATGTCTCTTATTTTGCTCATGTTAATCGTGTACAGTCCTGACATGCCCCGTCTAACAGTAAATACGAGCGCGGATTCGCTGCCTACGAGAAGAACACCGGGTCGGCTCACCCTCTTGCTTCCAAGAGCGCGTCCAAGCGTGCCACCGGCAACGATGCCTTGACGGATGACAACAGCGAGCTCTGGTACGGCAAGATCTCTGTCGGCACTCCCGCTGTCGACTACACCGGTATGTACCTTCTCTTTCACTGATATCATGCACACTGAGCTAAAAAAAACTCCTGTAGTCGACTTTGACACTGGCTCATCCGACCTCTTCCTCCCGGGCCCTGACTGTGACTCGTCCTGCTCTGGTCACACCGCCTACGACCCCTCCAAGTCGTCCAGCTCCTCTGACGTCGGCCAGACCTTCTCCCTGTCGTACGGTGACGGATCCACCGTCTCCGGCGAGCAGTACACCGACACTGTTGCCATCGCCGGTCTGACCGCCACCAAGCAGACCCTCGGTGCCGCCAAGCAGTACTCGACGGGCTTCCAGTCCTCGCAGTTCCCCGCTGACGGTCTCATGGGCATGGGCTACCAGGCCATCTCCTCCTACGGCGCCTCCCCCGTCTTCAACACCCTCGTCTCCGAGGGCCAGACCGACGCCGGCGTCTTCGGCTTCAAGCTGACCAAGGACGGCGCTGAGCTCACCGTCGGCGGCACCGACTCTGCCTCCGTCTCGGGCGACTTCACCTACGCTCCCGTCACCAAGCAGGGCTACTGGCAGTTCTCCGCCGACGGCCTCAAGAGCGGCAAGGGCTCGATCGCCAGCTTCGACGCGATCGCCGACACCGGCACCACCCTCATCGTCGGTCCCCCCGACGACGTCGACAAGTTCATGACGAGCATCGGCGGTACCGCCAGCTCGGACTCGTCGTCCCAGGGCCTCTACACATTCCCCTGCGACAGTCTCCCAGATATCTCGGTGACCATCGCCGGCACCGATTTCGCCATCTCGTCAGATACGCTTAACCTCGGCGCCGCGACGTCGGGCGGCTCGGACTGCATTGCTGGTATCCAGGGCGAGGACCTCGGCCAGGGTAAGCACCCTCGTCCATCTCCCTCTGCCCTACTTCAGCGATACTGATCTTCGATCTCTTTTTGTAGGCTTCTGGATCCTCGGCGACGTCTTCCTCTCGAACACCTACACCGCGTTCGACTTCGACAACAACCAGGTCGGCTTCGCCAAGCTCGCCTAAACGCGTTTTCTTTTTTCTCTGCAAAAGAAGAAGACCCTGTAAACGACTCAGCGGAGCTTCATCGGCCACCTGGTGTGTAATTAACGACGACAAGACCCTGTAACCTGCTCAGAGGAGCTTCTCGTTACTACCTGTTTATATATTTAACGTTGTATTTACGTGCTTCCTGTTACGTGTTGTGGCATGTCCCTTTTGGTCGATACCTGGTGTTGACTTTAACGAAGAGATGTTTTTGCTTTGGATTACTTACTACCTTGTGTGACGATAAGTTCATTTATCTTGCTAAGTTGGCTGGTTTAAATGGAGCGAGCGTCTCGATCGTAATTTCATCCATTCTTACAAGGCATGTTCTCAGACCAGCTCTTTCTTGATGAACTTGACGTACGCCAACACCAGCAGCATCCCCCCCGCTGTGGCTGCGAGGACTTGCGAGACACTGTCTTTAGTGTACAACGCGGGACACAGATTTTCATCCGACTTAGCCAGTTGTCTATCAAAGCTTTCGTGTGACTTGAACGTGCGGATGTTTCATACCAGAATATTCTGATCAAAGCAAGTCATCATTCTAAGAAGCCCTATAGCGAGACATTGCTCGTAGGTAGCACCGTAAAAAGTCTTGGGAGAATACTGTAGCTACACGACCTTAAGTTCGTCACGCATCACGCTTGGCTGGTCTTGCGAACTTAGGACAGTGTTTGTCACTCATCACAAGGGTTTTTGGACCTCAATATGTGACAAAAAAAGTAGAACGGCTATGGGTCTGTTATCTAAGTGTGTCATGCTTTCAAACATTTAACTGGTGTTTAGTAAACCTCTAATAGCTACGAAGAAACCCGAATGCGTCCACAATGACCATACTCATGCTGCGGGAGTAAAATATCGAGCCCTCCCTGAAGATACTAAGGTACATTGAGTTTAAGTCGTTTTAAGTTGGGTATTAAGGAGGCACAACGAGTGTACGGTTATGGCACCATGGTTAGAGTGCTGTAAAGACACTTACTGGGCAAATGAGAATCCAGTG